GCCATAGCGGTAAGCAAAAACACCTCCTTCAATGTACGGGCCCCGGTTGTTCAAAGGATGCGGTAACCTCTTATCCGTTGGATAAATCGCTATTCAGCGGATAAATTTTTACCCATAGCGTCATATCGGTTGTTCAAATTACGGTAGCGGTATCCAATCGCTATCCAGCAGAAAAATTTATTCAAGTAGTTGTAACGTTATTATGTCACGCAATCGCTTTATATCACGTGACTTGTGTAAGCCAATCGTGCGTTAAGTACCATGTGCTTCGAGATTTACTTCACTTGTAAGTTGTGGGAGCTAAGGTGATTTCGCCTCATTAAGTCTTGGATTCCGACTACCTTTGTGCTAGTTATTACAATGGAATTGTAATTGTAGGTACTATAAATTTTTATCCACTGGATTAAAAAAAAAGGATTGCCGTTCGACAGTTACACCTTTTTTAGTGCAACTTGCCCGGCAATCAACGTCGTTGAAAGACAAGAAGTTTTAACCGCCAGCTGGATCCCTTGGTGCATCGACGGTACCCATGTTTGAATAACTGCCCCTAACGAAAATGAACCGGACTTCGTGAACCGGAGAGGATTTCACTCCATCAATGTCCAAGCAATCTGCGACCATCGAGGTAAGGAAATATGTCTAGCTCTGATTATTGGTTTAGCCAAGGGCAGCACGTCTGTTTAACCCCAAGCTTTACTGTGGATACTATCTCGTGTCTATAACAGGAGTTATCTGATCCCAAATGTGGGTATGAAATCCGTGAGGAAATTTCGCATCCAGTGTGTAACGCTTTTCTGTCACGTTAGGGGCAGTGTGCGAGAGATTGGCTTGAGTATAACATGTGATCAAACGTGTGATGACGAGATTCAAGCACATACAATTTACGATGTGAACAACTGAATGAAATTGATTCAAAATGGTTGAGTTTTCGAACTGTGTGACAACCTGTTTAATTCTATAGCTGTCAGGTGTAATCGATTTTGTTTGCAAACGAGTATCGAGTCTTCAAATAGTGACATGACAGCAATGAAAATATTCTTCGGTGATCACTGAATGTGTTCTCCAGCATGGACATTTTGCAGTGGACTGGATTCGTTTGAATGCAGGAGCAAAGCATTACAGAGCATTCTCTTACAGAGTAGCATTATTTATTAACGTGTAATTGACGTTGCTCAAAGATACAGGCCGAGGAATACACTTCAAAGAAACAGAGACACTCATGATAGGCTTTTTGCAATCCTACATTTTATTAGCAGAATAACTCTGTCATTTCTATAAAAAAAAATTTTGTTCAGACTCAAAACTATTGGCCTAGTTAAGTTTGCCACTACATGTATAGAGAGTTTAAAGGCCATAACAATAAAAAATGTTAAGTTTTAAGACATTTAGACTTTGAAGACTTGTGTGGGAGAGATAAATTTTGTCCACCAGTAGCATTCCAATCTTTTTCATGCAAATATTATCCCAGAGTTTTTAAATCATCTGCCATATTTCTCATGCCCTTAGGATGCCTAATTTAACCTTTTATATTTTACCCAAAGATGAAGAAAAAATCGTGCTGATTTTTTTTTTGGACTTGAGAAAGGAAAATTTCAGTGTAGAGCAAACAATTTGTACTTCTAAACAAAAGCATTGAGGTTCCACCTTTCAACCCTCAATTAACATCATTTACAATTGTGACTTACAAGGATTGAGTGTAGCATATCAAATCCAAGTAATCACATGTGTAGAACTCTGCGAAGTGTTAAACGAACTCGTCAAGAACTTTGTGGCTACCGTTTCATTTCCGGTTTTACGTTACGTAACGTGTCACGTTACGTGTCACGTTACGTGTCACGTGACAATCTCTGGGGGGTTTGGACGTGCTTTGACATTTGGGAGAGAGTTTTACCTTCGTGTAACTGTTTTGGTTTGCAAAACAGTTCTTTAACGTCATTGTGGTTGTGATCATTATTGTTATGTGATGGTTATTACGATTTCCCTTTTTTGTACGTTATCTTGTAACGCTACACAAGGAATAAAGGCATAAGCCACAAGCTTCTGACTACGATGTAAACAGCGTTTGATTGACAGAGACCAACGTTGCATACAAAATCAGTTAAAACGAATCGCATGCTGTAAGCTTAGTAGTGAATCGTATGGCGTCAACCGTATACCGGTTCGAACTGAAATACAAAAACGAAAATAGAAGCTAACGTAACTAACATATCGAAGATAAAATAATACAAGTGCAGGAATTATCGCTAGCATTGCAATAACGACCGTAACATGGAAGTGTCAAATATAATCGGCACTTATATTGACCGTCAGGAAGGCTGAAAAACGATTAATAAGCTACATGGACGATAGCTTTATGTTAAATAACCCTCTGTTGGAGATATGGACCTAATCAAGCACGATTCCAAGCATACAAAAAACCATCAAACCGATTTAATAACGATATAGGTCATTTAATAGGTGATAAAGTGAGACTTGACTGAAACGAATAACAATAGAAAAGGCCTAAAAACGAGGAATCGATTACTTACTTGGTTTGCACACGCACTGAATTTGACTTGGTGGAATAGTTGAGTAACAGCGTAGAGAGAAACTATGGTCCAATGCCGAGTAGAAGTTGACGCTCTGGAATCTACACTTGAACTGATCTAACCAGGTAAAACCTCGTGAATATATCTAAAAAAACACCACGTGAGCTAAGCTCAGCGATAATTACTATTTCCTGACGGAAATAGCAGCTGAGGGCTGGTCAACCACAGCAGATCAATTAAGTGAGTAGGGCCTTGTTTGAACGTGACAATCATTTGATAACATCTACGGTATAGTAAGTTCCTGTGACAGGAACTGAATTGACGGCACGTGTTTTGTCACGTGACTCTTGATGTAAACAAACCCCGGAAGTTGGAAACATACCGATTTTTTTAAACTTCAGTGACGCAAGTGAGAAATTCTGCGAAACTCAGGTCGACCTTTAAGAGGAGTTAAACTTAAGAATAGCAGATCACAAAAGTAAAGCCGATTTAAACGCAATGAGTGTGGCAGAGCTTAAATAATATCTACAAGAGCGGGGTTTTCAGCGAGCGGATTCTTGAAAACCTCGTTAGTGGAAATCGCCTCTGCAGTCATAAAAATCGTTCTGCCAGTGGACCCAAATGTCGAAAAAAACAACGCCACTGCTTTAGAAGAGGTAATAATTCAGGATATGCTAATTCCCAATCCATTTTTAGCTCATTCATGCTGAAATCAATGAATGAGGTGTTGTGGTGACGCAGGTGATGACGGAAGTTGTTGACCGTAGACGGAAGTTGAATTGTGGACCGTGAACGGAAGAAGTCTCGCATGCAAACCTTCCCCACTTAGTGAAAGTCAAAATTAATTTCGATGAAGCTCAGAAACTCACGTGAAAAGAAATAAAATGTTTTTAAGGTTTAATAAAAATAATAACCTCAATCACATTTCCGAACCTCTAAAAATGCAACTTGAGTCGAGAAGCCGAAATGTTCACACTAAAGGGACCCGTAGCGGGTTCATTTCAACACACGTTGTGACCACGTAGAAGAGCATCAGAGGTAATCATATCGGTAAGACACGCATTTGCGTTCGTCTTCAGTTGATATAAAGTAATCATTGCTCTATCATTGTGCTTGTCCTTGGGAACTCTTCAACATACAGTTCACACATCAATCATAGCGGCCAAGAAAGCCTCACTAATTTTTTTTTTCGAGCTCCAATATTTCAGTTCGGACTTGAGGCTCGTTCGAACAAAAACAGCAATACAAACCGGTCAGTACAAAATGCAGACTGCAGACTGCAGATCGGGTACAAAATGCAGACTGAAAACTGGGTACAAAATACAGACTGAGAATTTATACTGTTTTTAGCTCATTCATGCTGAAAGCAATGAGTGAGATATTGCAGTGAAGCAGATGTTGACGGAAGTTGTATTCCGTGGAAGGAAGTTGTATTCCGTGGAAGGAAGTTGTATTCCGTGGACGGAAGTTGTGGACCACTTAGTCAAAATTCAAAAAGTCAAAATGAATTTCGATGAAGCTCAGAAACTCACGTGGAAAGAAATAAAATTTGTATGGTTTAATAAAAATAATAACCTCAAATCCCTTCCCGAACTTCTATAAATGCAAGTTGAGTCGAGAAGCCGAAATGTTCATTTCAACACACGTTGTGACCACGCAGAAGGGTACCAGAGGCAAGTTAAGCCGCGCATTTGCGTTCGTCTTCAGTTGGTATAAAGTGATCGTTGCTCTATCATTGTGCTTGTCCTGGGGAGTTATTCAACATACAGTCCGCACATCAATCATAGCGGCCAAGATAGTCTCACTATATTATTTTTTCGAGCCCCAATATTTCGGTCTGGACTTGAGGCTCGCTCGAACAAAAACAGCAGTATCAATCCGGTCGATACAAAATGCAGACTGCAGACCGGGTACAAAATGTCGACTAAGTAAAAAATGCAGACTGAGAATTTATACTTTTTTTTTCGTCTGATACGTGATGGCATGTTATCTTACAACTTACCGAGCGTCACGCAATCGCTTTTCCGCGATTATCTTTCACGATTATTTGCACTATAATTGCACAGTTGCCCGTTTCTTGATCACTATCATTCTTCATATAATTTCACATAGTATTCTCACTTTGCGCGCGAGTTGGTTGGTGTGATGTCTGTACAGAATTTACCAACTTAATAAAAGAAGATGTAGATGTAAATGAGATGCCTCTATCGAATATTTAACACGCGCAATATTCGAGAAACAAGTGACTGCTTTGCATGTGGTCCAAATGTTTCATCTTTTTAACCGATATGTGTTCATTTTGTTGAAAAAAAATGCGAACTGAGACCAAAACTGTTCCTTCGACTTGATATAGTTTTAACGTTCAGAGGTGTACACACACTGATTTTGTCATATGTGTCTTATATTATTATTTGCTTTCATGCGGAACCAGCGAATTTTTATAGGGAAAAGCGAAGCGTTGCTTTCGTGACTGGCCATTTTTTACTTTTCTGGTGGTTTCATCTCTCATCTGTTTAGTGACTACGCAAATAATAATTTGTGAAAATCAGACTAGATGAAGGTCTGAAATTCTATTAACAAAGATTGTGGCCGCTTTGTAAAAAACCAAATGCACTGGCCGCTTTTTTAAAAACAAAAGATACCGAGAAACGGGAAAGGAATATTTCACAATAATGCAATTGATCGTGAAAGATGAGGGTTACAAATATTATGCTACTGTAGTAACATTTGATGCCTGAATATGCCCACCAAGCCCACTCTCCGCCCCACAAACACACACACACATCAACAAAAAGGACACTGTCTGCCTAATGTCCTCTGCCCATCCCACCTCTAGCCCATACAACCTTTTTTCCAATTCCCATTACGACGAAAGCACAAGTTTTCTTAACACAACTACTAACAACAACTATTTCCTGTGTCATTAACAACTTCTTCTCCTTCTTCTTTGTCACTCTCCTCAATTTCTTTCTCAGAGCTCACACTTTGGCCATCATATGCTCTGTTTTCAAACTTCAAACCTTGAAGATCAGGAAATGCAGGCGATTGGCCTTCGGAAAACATCGAGTGGAGTTGAAGACACGGTCCTGGAGAAGACGCAAGTTGTTCATACGAAGAGTTGGGTGGAGCCATGTCGTCACAGATGATTCTGTTCAGTTCCTTTGTTTTGTCATTTAGTTCGATTCTAGCTCGTCTGTTCTTCCACTTGCATACCAGTAGGCCAATGACAGCCAATAACACAAAAACAACACAGAGCACAATGATGACAGCAACAGGAAAGTTACTTTGTTTATCTAATTCAAAGGATAAAGAGGGAAACTATTATCAATTTACAAGTTCAAACAAACTACACTTAGAGTAAACCGTATGATATGAACAGCACGTAATAGAACAAGTCCCTTTGTTTATCTGGAAAGGTACACACAAGTAAATAACAAACAAGACAGAATGTTCCAAAAATTTAAATAAAGGAAAAAGAAGAGAGAAGGGGGGGGGGCGCTAGTGTTACGGTATAATCTAACCGACAGAAAAACACTTCAAACCCCACATACTCAACTACTTTTTTAAACAGCGGGTAATGTTCTTAACAAGGAGCGACTCCTAGAAGCAGTAAAATACTTATCGCTAATAAACTTAATAAGCCCACCAAAGTCTATATCCTAGCTGACCACTGACACAATTTCACTGCTGTCTCCAAAGTTCCTTGAAATAAGCGGCCCTCCGCAGTGACTCTCTCTCTCTGTATAACTTTCAAAACATTCGTCGCTCCGACAACAACTATTACTACTACATAAGTGAGTCTTTATACATATTTACAAAGTGTTCTGGAACATTCCAGAAGCTTATATAAGAACTGTTTTAGAAGTATTACATAATAAATGCGTGACTTAATGAAATCTTCTGGAAAGTTCTATGGTATGCAATTCAGCATGAATCAGCAGTCTGGAAATTTCTGGAAGTTTTACATTTGCAATAATTATTCATAACACTATCATCTTGCCGTTTTACTTCACGCGTCAAATGGGTCCCGCATTACTGTTTGAGCAACGGGTAAAAGAAGGGTGATTTGCAATTGACCACCAATCCAACAAGAAAAAGAACCAATGTTTGAACAGCAAGTTCATATAGCCCCACGTTGACTATTTGGTGTACCAAAGTGATAGATAGGTGAAGACTTCGCTACACTAGGCTCAAGAACAGTTATTGATTCTCTAACTTACCAGCCACTATCAAAGTTGTAGCTGAATGGCTCGCTCCAAAACTGTTCGATGCTGTACATTCATAGACACCGCTATCACGATGTATCACGTCTCGGATAACAAGTACCTTGCCATCGTTGTTAAAGTTGGCCCGTGGTATACTGATGTCTCCATCTTTACTCCACGTAACAGAAGGTTGTGGATCTCCGCTGGCCTCACACGTCAACTCTGCCTTTTCACCAACAATTATGGTTGTCTTTTCTGGTAGTTCCTTGATCACTGGCTTATCTGTCATGATTATATTATAAAGCATCCCGTTTTCAATTCAAAACACCTAAAACAGCAATACTCTGACACCAAGGAAGGTTCTTTAAGGTTACACGAGCAAGCTACAGACGTTTCGTACATCCTCACTGCCACGAAGGAAAAGGTTGATTTTACATACTTAGCCTATCATTGAAAATTCTGAGTCTGAGAAATCGATTGCTCATGGGGACTCAGGTTATTTTCTATGTCCCACGCTTGTGACAAGACGAAAAACATCCTTCTCTATTCTTTACCGAGCTAAAAAGATATCATCTCTCTTATTCTATCAATCTAACATCATACCTGATTTCCTTTACTTACGAAACTGTTAAATATCATTAATAGTGAAAGCCACAGAATTACTAAAATAAATAAACACAAAGTGGAATGGTACCTTTAGTTTTCAGCGCTATGAAACTGCTTGAGGTATATAGCGTCTGCAAAGACAGCCCATAAAAATGTCAAAAAGCAATCGACGTGGCCGCTAGTGTTTTCCCGAGCATTAGGCAGGTCGTGTTGAATTTGACCTCTCTTGACACTCAAGCTATTTTTCTCTCTTCTGATTGGCCGTTGTGATTGCTTTGGATTTGGTTTTACGACATTCAACCGAAAAGCACTCTATTTTCAAAGACGTTCTTCCCTAATTATAAATAGTAGTTCGTATGGTGATTTACAACTTAGGGACTAGGAAACTTGGGAACTTGGATGGGAGGGGGGGTATGACAAAGAAGTAATCTGGAGTAGAAGCAGCTAGAAGTAAACTACTACATTCAAAATAGATTGCGCCTTGAGGTAACAAATACGCCGTTCATCTTGGAAGGAGAAAGCAATTGATCAAAATACCTCTGTGATAAAAGCTCTGAGAAACACTCTGTAATTCGTATTTGGGTGCAATGGTTTGTTGTAAAAATACTCCTCGCCATTACTTCTCTTGTTCCTTATTTTACTGTTTGATTGAACTCCATCTCCTAAAGTAAATTCTTGGTGATTGTTAAAATCATTTCCTCCAAACTGGAAAGTGACATAGGCTGCAGGCACTGGAGATTTGTGAGCTTCTTCATAAGTCATCAGTTCTTGTGTTGTAAAATCTGCTGGTGGCTTTACGACACCGTTGTAGCCAGAGCGATATGTAATCACGATGACTTGAAAAAAACTGTAATACCAAAATTCTTTTTTAAGTTGTCATATTAAGAAGATCTGAAAACCCGAAATTACATTTATAATTGATGCCAAGAATCTTCTAAATTTTAAAAACACAGAAAGAGACAAACACGAACTAAGAGGCTATTAACTGCAGAAAATATTACAAATCAATTGGAAGTTATTAAGAAGATTATAAGGAGAACACTCCTACAAGTCTTTAAAATTATGTGAGCTACTATAACTGCGGCATCCAAAAGCTACGATAATTTACATAGAGCTTATACTTAGTGTTGATGAATTTTTTCTTTATGGTTGAGGTTCATCGACTAACGCTATTGGAGATTAAACACAGTTGAGAACCAGCCTTAAAACGCTTTCCTGAGATTTAGTAAGTATCCAAGATTTCGAGCATTTGTTGAAAGAGAGAACTAAAACTTGCTCAACATACCTTACATTTCCCATAAAATTTGGGAGTGTTACTTTTGCTGTGATTCCTCCGTCACTAGAGAATTCTGCTGGGGAAGGCTTTTTATGAGACCAAACTTCATCTGTGAAAGGAAACGAAACGTTCATTGGAGAGGAAATTCATGCATGAAGAATTTCTTGGACAAAGTAATCAGTTTCTATGGAGTGACCATTACTATACATGAAATCTATCACGTGGGATTTAAAATGCGCTCAATAAGTTCAATAAACCAGAGCGACCAAGGAGATTTCTGAGAGGAAAAGATAGAATCAAGCAATTGAAATAGCACTCTGTGGACACAGAAGTACGAAATTTAAGTTGCTCCTCGTTTCAACATTTAATGTGAATTTCAAGCATTTCTTCACTCTTTTCCTCTTTGATGTAGAATCCATTATTTTCTGCCAAAGGACAAAATTTAGTTAATGTTGTAACATGTACTGCGAAGCACACTCTGCAAGGGGAAAATAAGGCAAAAATGAGACTTTCTAGAAAACAATCGTATTTAACGTCAAGATATTTTGCTTCTTTGACTCACCTAAAGTCTGGATCACTAAAGGCTCGCTGTAAGGTCCAGGTCCCGCCACAGTGAAGGCTCTAACCGACACTTCATACCTTGAGCAGATTGAGAGACTGGACAACAGCATCTCTGTTTTAGTTGTGTTGAATGTCGAATTAAACGAAGCGTCAACCGAGGAGCAACTTTCTTTCAACAGAAGTCTCACTTGATATATTTTAATGAACCCATTTGCAACCTCTCTGGGCAAAACATCCCAGGTTATCTGATATTCTGTGCGCCCAATTTCGATAGACAATACATTTTCTGGACCACGGCTGGGCTCTAGTAAAGAGAGAGAAAAGAAAACACTTAGCAAGCTTCCAAGTACAGATTGAAACCAAATGGTAAATGAGTTAGTATTCCAGTATCGGTGCACAAACGGATCATTGTTTACGTTGGCGCGCATGAAAACGTTTGAATTCGTTCATCAACCAATGTACAAGCTTCAAATGTATATCTTTCTCCCACTATTTCACACAGCAATCTTCTCACATTGCTAAAGCCAGAACAATTTGAACGTTCTCGGTAGCTTCATTTCATTTCACAAATCTTTTAATTTTGGACAGTCCAAATATTATGTTTAACTTCTTTCTATATAAGATTCCACCATAATGCTTGATCACTAACAAAATTCATGTATTGAGCATTAACAAAATCATTACTTTTTCCCTGATGCTGAACATACCGTACTCTTTGGTTTTCACAGAAAAAGAGGCATTCTGTCCCGGTTTGATAGTTACAGCTGTGATATAGAAATAATAAGTAACTCCGCCCAGGACATCTACCAAGTAACTGAACACGTCTCCTCCAACACTTCGCTTTGTTTCACCATCTTTGTTTGCATAGGACAGAGTGTAATTTCTAATGATTCCGTTAGCTTCTGCTGGCTTGCTCCAAGTCAAGTTTAATCTTGGACCATGCATCTTATTTGGGGCAACTTCCTTATAGGCAAACGAAAGAGGAGCGCTTGGCGCTATTAAGAAAAAAATTAGGGATCAATATCAGTATCTGGACAACTGCCCACCTACCCCTCCCCTAACCGAACATTAAGTTTAACTTTTTGTCAATTGACTGTTGTTGAGTTAGGGGAGGGGTAGGTGGGCAGTTGCCCAGATACTGATATTGATCCAAAATAAGTATGGGAAGTAATAAGAGTTTATTTGCATGCATCATAACGCTCATTTTCCTCATCACCTTGCATTTCCTTCAACTATGACGCAAAAAAGAATATTTCAATTTCGAAGATCTGACACCAATGAGACCAAACAGAGCAATATTTCGTCTGCTATATTTTGGTGATAGACTTAGTTTCTCCTGTGAATCATTCAAATAGGAAACACAATTAAAAAAGTTAAGAAAAAAAGGCCTTAAATGGATTTTAGCCTCGCTCTGTACACCTATATCATGAAATACCACCCTCGTAAGATTAGAGGATATATGGCGTTTCTTCTTATTCTTAGCTATGTGCCATGAAGTCGACAAAAACCTGAATCTAAAACTACTGAAACTACAAGAAGCATTTAAAGGTGATCTGTCTCAAAAAAAAGGCATCCTAAGAGATCTGTTTTCAAAGACTCGGAGACTTGCTATTCATTTGTTTATAATTTTTACAGTAGTTTAAGGCCTCACTGGAACCTATTCTACAATTTTGAAATGTTATTAAAAGACAACGTGAAATTTGTCAAGACCAATAAACAAGAGGAATAATCCTACCATCTTCCATTGTCCTCTCGACAGCAACAGCACTCCTTGGTCCATCACCCGTAGAAGTGAACGCTAACACTTGAAATTCATATTCGGAGTATTTATCAAGCCCAGTCACATGTTTAAAACGAATTTGTCCGTTGCTCATAGTTAAAGCAGCCGGTAATCCTGCTGAGCCTCTCTTTTTGAAGAATAATTTGAATCCTGTGATGACTCCATTTCTGGAGTCTGCTGGTGGTAACTGCCAAGATGCTGTGATACTGGTAGAGTTGCTCGCCGTCACTGAGAAGTTACTTGGGGCTTTCGAAGGAACTGCAGTTAAACGAAGAAGTCCTTATGTAACCTAATTAGATTCACGCCACAAATTATGATTCTTCGTGCAATATTATCATTACTGATTATTCATCAGAAAAAGATTTAGCCCCAATGTTATGTTAAAGTTGGTTATTCTAGCAACATAAGTGTTGTAGGTAACGTTAGCTAGGTTACCATTGTAGATAGGATTACTTTTATAGCTAAATCCTTATTAGTTTACATTTCTTACCGTCCTCCTTCGTTCTCGCGACTTCAGCCGAACTCTTTGGTCCATCACCAGCTGAAGTAAAGGCCAACACTTGGAATTCATATTCTGTGTACTTGTCTAATCCAATGACATCTACTGTACCAATCGACTCATTCCTAATGGTTAAAGTGTTTGGTAACCCGCTGGAGCCTGTCTTTTTGTAGTACAATTTGAATCCTAGGACAATTCCATGCCTGGACTGAACTGAAGGTAGCTTCCAGGATGCTGTAACACTCGTCGACGAGCTAACGGTCACACTGAAGTTTCTTGGAGGCTGGGATGGAACTGAAATTAAAAAGCTATTTGGATAACTTCATATCATCCTAACAAAGTATAAATTTTTTTGGAAAGTTAAGCCTTTAAAAAAAAGATTACATCTTTAGTGTTTTCTAGGTAAGTGTCAGTCTCTAAAGAACTGTACTTAAGCAACACTCGGTAAGTTAATTAGTGATTATGGATGAAAAGTTAGTTACAACTAGCTGACAGTGCTACGGTTCAAGAAATGAAAGAGGGTTGGTCATATAATTCTGTTAACATTTTGAGGATTGTTTAGGTTGAACTGAATATGTAAATTTGTTAAAAACAATAGGCAGGAGGAATAACGCTACCATCTTCCATTGTCCTCTCGACAGCAACAGCACTCCTTGGTCCATCACCCGTAGAAGTGAACGCTAACACTTGAAATTCATATTCGGAGTATTTGTCAAGCCCAGTCACATGTTTCAAACGAATTTGTCCGTTGCTCATAGTTAAAGCGGCTGGTAATCCTGCTGAGCCTCTCTCTTTGAAGAACAGTTTGAATCCTGTGATGACTCCATTTCTGGAGTCTGCAGGTGGTAACTGCCAAGATGCTGTAATACTGGTAGAGTTGTTCACCGTCACTGAGAAGTTACTTGGGGCTTTCGAAGGAACTGCAGTTAAACGAAGAAGTCCTTATTTAACCTAATTAGATTCACACCACAATTATGATCCTTCGTGCAATATTATCATTACTGATAATTTATAAGAAAAAGATTTAGCTCCAATATTATGTTAAAGTTGGTTATTCTAGTAACATAAGTGTTGTAGATAACGTTGGCTGGGCAAGCATTGTAGATAGGATTACTTTTATAGCTAAGACCTTATTAGTTTACATTTCTTACCATCTTCCTTCGTTCTCGCGACTTCAGCCAAACTCTTTGGTCCATCACCAACTGAAGTGAAGGCCAACACTTGGAATTCATATTCTGTGTACTTGTCTAATCCAGTGACAACTACAGTACCAACCGACTCATTCCTGATGGTTAAAGTGTTTGGCAACCCGCTGGAGCCTGTCTTTTTGTAGTATAATTTGAATCCTAGGACAATTCCATTCCTGGATTGATCAGAAGGTAGCTTCCAAGATGCTGTAACACTCGCGGACGAGCTTACGATAACACTGAAGTTTCTTGGAGGTTGGGATGGAACTGAAATTAAAAAGCTGCCTCGATAACTTTATATTCTTTTTGGAAAGTAAAGCCTTTATAATAAAGATTACATCTTTGGTGTTTATAAGATAAACTCCACTGTTATGCGGAAGTTGATAGGGGAATGGTAAGGCAATGTAACTAAAAATAATGTTTGTAGCTAAGTGGGCAAATCAATTTGAGTACCATCAGACACCCTGGTAACCAAAGTCCGTCCTTATTAGCTCCTATTTCTCACCATCTTCCTTCGTTCTTGCGACTTTTGCGGAACTCTTTGCTCCATCACCAACAGAAGTGAAGGCCAACACTTGAAATTCATACTGTGTGTACTTTTCTAGTCCAATGACATCCTTGGTCCGAATCGTCTCATTTCCAATAGTTAAAGTGTTTAGTAACCCGGTGGAGCCTCTCTTTTTGTAATACAATTTAAATCCTCGGACAACTCCATTTCTGGAGTCCTCTGGTGGTAACTGCCAGGATGTTTTAATACTGGTAGAAGAGATTACGTCCACAGTAAAATTGTTTGGAGGTTTCGATGGAACTGCAATAAAATCTTAAAATTAAATTGTGCTAGGCATAATTAGTTACATTTAAGAAAGCCGAAGATGGCTAAACATACTCGATCCAAGCAAAACGTCATGAGAAATAAATATCTTCAATGACAAAAAAACAATATGGGCCAGCGAGGGCTTTCTACCACAGCATCAGAACTATTTTTTTTATTTTACATCTACACCCATAAAAAAGCTCTCTGCAAAGAGGAAATTCCGAGTGTACATAAGAGGTTAAATACTAATTAATCTCTTACCATCTTCTTTTGTTCTTTCAATCCTTGAAGAACTCTTTGGTCCATCACCAACAGAAGTAAAGGCCAATACTTGAAGTTCATATTCCGTGTACTTAAAAAGGCCAGTGATATCTTTAGCACTGGTTGTTCCATTGTTGATAGTTATTACGGTTGCTGGTTCTCCAGAGCTTTTTCTTTTGTAGAACAATTTAAATCCTACGATGATTCCATTTCTGGAGTCTGCTGATGGTAACTGCCAGAATGCTGTTACATTAGTCGAAGAGCTTGCAGTCACAGTGAAGTTACCAGGTGATCCCGAAGGAACTGCAATGTGAGAAATAACAGTCATCAAGATATCATTAATTGTATGAACGATCATGTTCTTTGACCGGCCAAATTTTATATCTTTTCACTTTGATTTATCACATACCATCTTCCTTGGTTCTCTCCACCTTAACAGGGGTCTTTGGGCCATCCCCATCAGAGGTAAAAGCCAAGATTTGAAATTCATATTCTGTGTACTTATCAAGTTCCACGACATTTTGACTCAGTGTCGATCCGCTGTTGATAGGCAAGGTGGTTGTTAACCCTGCTGAGCTTTTTTCTTTATAGAACAGGTTAAACCCTGTAATGCTTCCTCCATGTCTCGCAAGTACTGGTGGTAACTGCCAGGAAGCTGCAATGCTAGTAGGAGAGCTTGCAGTCAAATTGAAGGCTGCCGGAGGTTGCGATGGAACTGAAATAAACAACATCAGTTGTGTGTTTTAATTTTTAGCTGATTGCTGATTTATGTGTATGTAAATATGCCATGATAGAAAAAGCATTAGATGTTCCAGTCTGGGGGGTCATCAGCAGTAGGGACTGTGTATATGCATTAGATATACATTCTTTATAACCTGAGTGTGAAGATGCTCTACACAGCACGAGACGATTACGTTCCCATGGACACCTTCTGGGTTTCAGAATCTTCAATGCTAGAATCCCAGCATATCGTAAGGAGCATGATCAACAATAACTCTAAACACAACTTTGTTTGGCAAAGGATCTCAGCGTAGTAAGTGAGATATTTAAAGATCAACAGGAATTAAATCTCCATTGGTCAGCTTTTAAACTGTTACAACCATTCTCCCTTGGTCAAGGATCAATTAGTCTGTATTGGAGAATACTCTACACCCATTGCCTTTAGCTCCTTAAGCTTTCATAAATAATTAGTTATTGTGACTTAAATTTTGTCGCAGCAAAGCAAATAAATACCTTTAGTTAGAAGAATTCCATAAACTTCCACCATCAGAGCCTTGAAACTATAATAGGCTGTCGGCTGAAAACGAATAAACTTTCCACTCGCAAATTCCCGTAGATTGTTTTTTATGATGCCTCTTTGATTTGAGTTTCCTGGAAAGACCTGCAATTTTTGTACAGAATGCAACATCATTGTATGAAAATTTTCTTAATTAATCTACTGCATCGTTTATTACCAAAGTATCGGCTCTTCTATGAACTTTGACTTCCAAGTGGGAAGTAATGAAATGAATGAACAAAGACTTTCCGAATAAGTACATGTCTCTAATGCCTAATGCCCTTTTATTAGAAAACTACTAAAAAAAGTTTATGTGACTGTGCATCAGAAGTTGAAATAGTATTTCTGCTGAAACTATTCAGGGAGGAGGTTTATGTAACACACACTCAAAGGAAAAGTTGGTGTTCATATCATGTCGTAACTATAGGTAATATTCCACATCAAATGTTTTTAAATTTCTCCTGGATTTTTGAGAAAACAGGTAAGTTGCATTGTTAAATTAAGATGTAGTGGTTGATAACTTCGGATGACTTGGACTTCTTAACATCTACACAATCTTGGAAGTGAATTGTCTTTACATGTATGTACCATCCACACACAGTTTTGTTTTTACACGAATGAACAATGTATGTTCCAGTACTAGTTTGAAAGCATTATTTGTCATGTGATGGCGCAATTAAATTTGTCACACTAATAGAGTTGTGTGCACTTGTATATCGATAAAAAAGAGTCCTGAAAACTGTTCATAGAAAGAGAATTGAATCTGAATGTTAATAAGCTGAACGCCTCTATTTCCTATGACTCAAAACAATTGATTGAGTGTGCCTGGTTGGCATTTTCAATATGTACAAACATATGCATGATCTTTATGTAAACCTACCTTGTCAGTATTGTTTTCTTTATAGGTGAAAAACGTGATGCCATCCAACGATAAGTGAATCTTGTAATTTGTTGTCCACTCATTGATACCATTCGCTCCTTGGGTAGCAACAGCACAGATAATGTACTCATACAGCAGGTCAACTTGTAAGTAGTCAGCAGGATTGGTCGTAGTCTTGGGTGCCCAACCTCGATTATTTCCATTCAGTCGGGCATAAGAAGGTTGATATCTACTATCGTAATGTGATGAGGCTGTGAAGCTGCTGTCAGGAATTGCACCACCAGTGGCCAGACCAATGGCCTCCATATTGCAAACTACAAAATAATAATTTAAAACAAGCAGTCTCCACATTTTGACACAAATTATGTAAATAATTAAAGTGAACTAAGAATTAAGTAATTTTTGTCGCATCTACGGATAAATTCACCTCAACTTAATTTAAAGTAATAGTTTTATGTAAATGGTTGCCTATTTCATGAGTAGAGGCTGCACACACACAAAACATTTTCCTTCTCCTTGAGACAAAATCACTTATGCTCAAGCTTATCAAGCCTCTTTTTCCTCTTTTTAAGTTAAAGAAGATAGTAAATAGTTGACAAACCTCAGAAAAGATCCATGCCTATAAACACAATTCAAAAGATGGACAGAGATTTCTACGATTTGATTGGTTAAGTGATTCATAATTATAACGTTACATCTACTGCACTTTGCAGTTTCTATAACCTTTACTTTCCCCTTCTTTCCCGTGCAAAACAATAAAAGCCAGCAGTAAACTTCAAGGTTTGACCCCTTTATTTTTAGTGGAATATTCCTCTGAAGTGAGAGTAAACAGCATTGCAGAAACAAATGAAAATTCAAAAAATATTTGTACAGGATACAGCACGTACTCGGAAGCTAAGCATGGAACTTAAATCCTGAGGCAATTTCAAAGATGCCGAACGTGGCCATACTTTTACTAGCAATAGGAAAACAAATGGCAAGCTCACACAATAGTCTGCTGATTTCAAATTTCTTGGACTAAGTGAGCTTGTATGTGTACAGGTATGATGCAAGACTGCAGCCCATGTCCTAAATCCCACGTTTTCACACTGTGATTGAGAAGCACAGCATTGGGTGATGTTGCCCATCAAGAAATGCAATGTTGATGAAAATTTATGTCGGTGAATTTGAATATATTATGCATTTTGGTCAATTGCTTAACCTTATGGGAACAGAACGTGTACAGGATCACAGCATAAGAGCATTACACAAAATGAAAGTATTGATCACTCAAGTCTCTGATTTTCAGCACTAAAATTAAAGTGGATATGTGATATCTATGGTTCAACAGAGAGTAAAGAGTGTTGATTATCAAATTCTCCAATGGTCAACTTGAATGCACGCTTTGAGTAACCGTTTGTAGTTCACTTGAAAAAGAAGTGAACCCGAATGTTGACAAACTAAACATCTCTTTTTTGTCCCACATCTTGACTCCAAAAATTGATTGAGTGTTTCAGATGATTATTTTACCTTTTTTAAAATATGTTCAAACATATCCAGGATCTTCACATAAACCTACCTTTTCATTATTGTTTTCTTTATAGGTGAAAAACGTGGTACCATCCAATGATAACTGAATCTTATAGTCTGTTGTCCACTCATTGATACCATTAGCTCCTTGAGTAGCAACAGCACAAATAGCATACTTGTGCAGCAGGTCAATTTTTAAGAAGTCTGCAGGATTGGTCGTAGTCTTGGGTGCCCAACCTCGATTATTTCCATTGAGTCGAGCATAAGAAGGTTTATATCTATTATCGTAATATGATGTGGCTGTGAAGCTGATGTCAGGGATTGTACCATCAGTGGCCAGACCAATGGCCTCTGTTGTACAATCTGAAAGATAATTTTAAATCAGCCTTCACACTTTTAAATGCATCATTAAACAATTTCAGTGATTGATCGGGTACCATACGTAACTTCAGACTATAACATCTATAGCACCTCAACTTTATTAAAGGGTATTGCTGTATGTTCAGGTGCCTAATTCATGAGGAGAGGCTGACTGCTGAGCCTCTCATTACCCAACACTATTAATTGAATGATGTTCATGAACACACAAAAACTGAAATTTCCTCTCCTTAGGACAAGTTTACTTGTGCTCAAGTGTATACAAGCTTATCACTTCTTCATTAAAGAAGACGGTAAATAGTTGATAAAGCTTATAGAAGATTGATGTTTGGCTAAAATTATCTTAAATATAATACTGCTCCAACTGACTTAGTACAAATCTGCTAAATGCAGACCATTCTTTTGAATTATCTCTTCAGCTGGCAAAGTGTAGCGCTTTCAAATATTCTTTTGCCGTCCATACGGTACAAGAATAAAACAAGACGGATAAGTTTCTAAAGGAACTGTAGTGCTGTGTTGATGGGAAATTATAACAGGGTAATTTAATATAATCAACTGGGTTGATAACGTAAATTAGCCACCGTAAATAGTTTCAAAGCTGCTGTTTCCAGCGTTAGCCCTTTGTCAGAGCGACTGCCGCAGGGCTAAGGTAGTTTTTAAAAGTTTACGAAAGGACTCAAGTCTCTTTAACTTGGTATCTTAGTTATGAACATTTTACAGTGTATAATAAGATAAATAGATATTTTAAATTAGAATCTATTTCTTTTCAAGGTGAAACGTCATAGGGCCAACCTCTGTTTATTTGTTTTCAAGATGAATTTTATTTGTTTTCATTATTGTATCTTGAATTAAACATTATGCTATGTTATGTTAAGGTTTGTAAAAACACATTTTAAAAGCTGGACGGATATTATCAAATATTCCAAATGGTTGATTAAGCGATTCCTAATTATGTTGATATTTCTACCGTCATTGGCAGCGAATCCAGTCCTTGCTATGTTCTTCTTGTCATGCAAAACAAAAGGGCTGTCCGCAGTTAGTTTTAAAGTTTAACTGACTTTTGATGAGAAATTATCTGAAGTGAGAATATATAAACAGTATTGCCAAAACAAATATGAATCAGATATAAATTCTATAGATCCCGAATGTAAAGATGCTTTACATGGCACAAGAAAAACAATTTTATTAAAATGGAAACCAACTTGGTTCCAGAATACACAAGCTATCTCACAAATCACAACATATTAGAAGGAGCATGGACAACACTTAAGAGCGCTTGTCTGTAAAAATTAAACATATCGCGGCAAGGGTGGAAAATTCGATTTCTTTCTTATTTTAATGTTAGATAGGCTAGGCTATAACTGAAATCAATGGATACTTTTTTTGGCGAAATATCTTTTATTTCAGAAAAAAATATAAATAACGAAATTCCGTTGAAATCGTCATTTTTAGCAGCAAATTATTGCACAAGTTTGAGGGCTTCGCGTGCAAAAACGAATCACTATCTCGTCTTTTAAACACTCAAATCATCTTTTTCGATCTCATAAGACCTCACAAAATTATTTTCGTAAACATTGCGCTCTTCTTTGTGCTTAAAATAATTTAATTTCGAAAGCATGCATTTCTATTCAGTAAAAATACTTCGTGAATAAAATTAATTTTCACCATGTGCTAAACCTTCAAATGGATTAAGCTTTTGGTGGTTGAATTTCGAAAAGATGTTCTCAATATAACTGTAAAAATTTGTTTGGGCAAATGATTGAGAGCGATACAAAAGCTTTTCAAAGTCCGTTAAAATGCAGGTATTTTACCTAGTTCCAGTCGCGAGTCACACATATTTTAATATGTTTCAACCAATATGAGGCCGAAAAATATACATAGAAACATATTTCCAAATGCTCTAACCTCATTTCTTTTGCTCTCCCCTTCCCCTACCCCCTAAAAAATAACTTTCTATTGTATGATTTGCATTGCGTGACGACTCTCCGTATACAACACTACGTTGACTGCAACATGTGTAGTGCCACTTTTAAAAGCATCGATCAGATCTACTGCACCACAAACCGAACAACACTCACAGTCAACTGAACCGCTGGATGCCACAGTGCAGAAAGATGTCAAACGTTTCACAACGAAGGTCGGTGACGGTTCGCAGATTGACAGGCAGTTTCATCGGACGTTATAAATACGACGAGCGACTAGATAACCACAGTAAAATGGTCTTTGGATGTTTCTCCTACGGCAAATGAGGTTAGAGAATTTGGAAATGTGTACCCATGTACATTTTCCAGCCTCATATGGGTTGAAATATTAAAATATGTGTGTGACTCGCGACTGGAATGTTGACCTCGAAAGGTCAAATAACTGCATTTTAACGGACTTTGAAAAGCTTTTGTATCGCTCTCGATCATTTACCCAAAGAAATTTTTACAGTAACATTGAGAACATCTTTTCGCAATTCTACCGCCAAAAGCGTAATCCATTTGAAGGTTTAGCACATGCTGAAAATTAACTTTACTCACAAAATGTATGCTTTCGAATTTAAATTATTTTACCCGCAAAGGGGAACGCAGTGTTTACAAAAATCGTTTTGTGAGGTCTTATGAGGTTAAAAAAGAAGATTTGAGTGTTAAAAAGACGAGATAGTGATTCGTTTTTGAACACGAAGCCCTCAAACTTGTGCAATAATTTGCTGCTAAATTTTTACAGACAAGCGCTCTTAATCTATGCACAACTTTGTTTGCAGAGATTCCAACCCTCCCGATTTGATGTCTTGCCTCTCGCTCTCCCGATTTTTACCAAATTCTCCCGATTTATCATAAAATTCTGAAAACTAGGGGAAAATTGCTAATCTTTAGAATTTTTGGCGATCTGTCACTGTGAAACACTCATATTATACTAACTTTCTTCGCCAAGAGCATTATGGTATGTTATAACTCAGGCCGGAATGATGTCAAAATTCAGGAAATGGCACTTGAGAGAACCTAAATTTGCAAAATTTCCCGGGGGCATGCCCCCTGACCCCCCTAGAAGCTCGCGCCTTTGGCACTAATAATTACTCCCTATTTTCCATCACATGGGGTTGGAATCTCTGTTGTTTGGCAAAAGCAAAACTTGAGGGATCTCTTTGTGGTTAATGTGGTATTCAAGGTTCAAAAGAAAATATTAGGGTTCTGCAGAAATTTTAAGTTGATTCACAAATTCTCAAATGGTCAGCTCAAAAACTATTTTGAAACCATTCTTGCTCAACCAAGGCTTAATCACTTTTGGAGAATATTAAACTTTCTCTTTACATCTAGCTCTTGCCTTTAGCCTCTTAGCTCCTTTGGCTTTCACAAATTATAAGTTATCATGACTTCAATTTTGCCTCAGGTTGAGAAAAAAATGAAGGCAAAAATTACCTTTAGTTGGAACTATTCCATAAACTTCCACCCTTAGAGCCTTCCAACCAAGATACGCTGTTGGCCAGAAGCGGATAAACTTTGCACTTGCAAATTCCTGTAGACTGTTTTTTATGATGCCATTTCGGTTTGAATTTCCATTAAATATCTGTAGTTTGTTGCATAAAATGCAAAATAATTGCATCATTAGTTACCATATGTATCAATGTATCAGCTGTGCTACAACCTTCTCCTTCGATATGGGTAGACTTCTATATAGATACATGTCTTAAATGTCTACCACAATTAAAATACTTATTGTTTCTTTCATTAAAAATCTACCATAAAATGTGCATATGTCCAAGTATTATAAGTTGAAATAATATTTTTGTGAAACAACTTAGGTGAGAGGTACATATACTTTAAGAAAAAATGGCTATTCCTCTGTAGTAAACTGTCTGTAATATTTCTAGCTGTATAATTTTCTCAAATGTCTCCTACATTTTTGAAAGAAGAAAGAGGTGAGTTACATTGATGAACTGAATGTAATGGTCAATATGACTTAGTCAGGATGACTTGTACTTAATCGCAACTACTTCATGCTGTTTCATATTGGGGGAAAGGAGGGGAATAATTTAGCCCTCTACCTTGTCAGTATTGTTTTCTTTATAGGTAAAAAATGTAGTACCATCCAATGATAACTGGATCTTGTAGTTTGTTGTCCACTCATTGATACCTTTAGCTCCTTGTGTAGCAACAGAACAGATGACATAGTTATGCAGCAGGTCAATTTGTAAGAAGTCAGCAGGATTGGTTGTAGTCTTGGGTGCCCAACCTCGATTATTTCCATTCAGTCGGGCATAAGAAGGTTTATATCTATTATTATAATATGATGAGGCTGTGAAGCTGCTGTCAGGAATTGCACCACCAGTAACCAGACCAATGCCCTTCATTTCACAAACTGCAAGGTAATAAAGTAAAGACATGTAGCCTTCACATTTTGACACAAACCATACAAGATAATTCAAGCAATCAATCGTATGTAATCTCTGTGAATCAATTCACCTCAACTTAATTAAAGGTTATTACTGTATTTCATGGTTGCCTCTAAAGAGAGGCTGTGGTTGACCTCTAATTACCTTGACCAACATGTACATACACAAAATGTTTGTTGGTGTGCATGGGGCAATACAGTATCAAGGGATTTATTATGGAACTATTATTTTGCTTCTTAAGTCTTAAAAATGTCCTATAAGTCCACTAAGCCATAACAACATCAATAAGGACAGTGGAATAGAGATCGCAGAAGCTGGGATGCCAACAATCAAGACACACAACAGCAGGGGAGCCATGACAGGGGACCACTGAGAGAACATTTCATCGAAATGCACCAATCAAGGTGTAAGATTCCATCCAATTACAGCTGAGCAGAACAGTTTCTAATGAGACAGATACTCAGTCTACCTTATCATCTGAAGAAAACTTCCAGTATGCAGTTGAAACATTGTGATGCACATCCAAAGTGACTACTTTGTGAAACAAATGATTGTATTCCATTCTTTAAAGTAGTTTGTTCTTATTTTAAACTATAAATCTTATGGCATTATTTGACAATTTCACTAATTGCCCATAAACTAGGCATTTGTTAAAGATGAAAGCAACTTAACTGAATCCATCAAGGTGTTCTTTATAACAGAAAAAATTGTCTGTTTCACACAAAAGTTTTTTTTCCAGTCCATTAGTCTCATTGCTTAGTAGAGGTTAAGATTCTTGAAGACATGGCACCAGCAACAAATGTGTATAAACTGCCAGCACATGACACAACTTCATTAAAATTAACTGGTAGGCCTGATTTGCACGAGAGTAACCCAATGTGTGATTGAACATTGTTGTTCAAATATTTAAGCTGTAATGATGTAAACAAACCAAAGTTTAGATCAATTAGCATTCATAACTTGTCACTTCACTCCCCGCTAGAATTTTGACATGTACTACACTGTAACATCATTGCACATTTTGCATACTCTATTTAACCAATTATTGTAAGATGGCATAACATGACATTATTATTAGTATTCATCATGAAATCATCTTATCTAACAGGTATCTTGAAACAATAAAATAACTTCTTAAGGACCTGTAAGATCTCACCCTAAATTAATTATTTCTCTAAGTTATAACATGAAAACAATCACTCGTGCCTCTACTCACATACATGTAATTATAATTTATAAATAATTTGTAAAATAAAAAAAAGATTTACATACTAAATGGAACCATGAGCATTTTTAAACCTTTGTCCCTCCAAGAGAGACTAGCATTGCATTTCTCCTTATAGTATCGCCCCTAAAGCAAACATTAAGGTCATGAGAGTAAAGGAAATGATTACTAACTAAAGAAGCATTAACCAAACTCTACTTGTCAGCACATTGGAAAATGTATAGAGGGCAGTACCAAGAAAGTGCATCCTAATCTCGAAAGGGTTAAACAGTAAATTTATTTTACATTTAAGTGAATAATATTTAACATACTGTAATAAATATTATAATGCATATACAAAATATGCATTACAACACAGGGTAATACTTAGCCATGTAAATTTCATATTCACCTCGTTCTTGTTGTACTCCGAACACCTCTGTTCTCATGCACACCCCACCCTGCTGAGTTTGTGGTAGGAATCGAAGGTATCTTGTTGACACTCCATAAATAACATGTTTAACAGTTGTGTCTCTGTCATTATTTCCCCTCAACACCTATGAGAGAAATATACAGTCATACCTCAACATTATAACATGCTTTTTCCAAAGATGAAAAAAGGGCATGGGTACTAAAACCAAATAACCCCCACCACACCCCTCTGGCACAACCAGACCAGTGACCAAAGGGGATAATTAATATGTTTGGGCATCTTTAATGAGAAAACAAGCTTAGGGAGCCTCTGAGTACTCAAGGAAAGCCCCTAGGGTGGGAGAGAGGGTCAAGAAACAGCTTGAAGGAAGTGGTCATGTGACAAATAAATGTCAGTCAAAAGTTAACCAGGTCCAGCATGAAGGCAAGGGGCTAATTAAGTTATTCCCTAGGAATATGAACTTCATATACACAATACATAGAGCAGCAATTGCTAAATAATCATTTTAATTATCACCTTTTTTAAGGCAGGGACTTTTGATATCATCAAACTTATACAATATTGTTCATCTTCCTGGGTAGTCTACTGTAGTCTATAGACTACAGTATAGACTTGGCAGTTCAAAGAAATTATTTAAAATAAGATATCATATTTAAAACAATTTCTTTGAACTGCCAAGTCTTACAGTTTATGTCTATACCTTAACTTGTCCAGCTTCCTTGTAGTCTGTCCAAGTTGTCCCATCTGTGGATAATTGTAGTTTGTAGTCCTTCACCCACTGATCTGCTTGAGAATTCCCTTGGGTGGACACAGCACAGATGATATGAAGTGTCTGTAGATCAATCTGTAGATATGGGTTAGTATCACCTGTTCCTGCACACCATGATGATCCTGATGTGTATTTCAGTCGACCATTCGTGGCTGGTGTGTTGGCGCTTTGTTCAGAAGAAGCAGTTACTTTATCATTTGGAATTTCTCCATCTTCCATTCCAAGGCCCAAATCTACACAATCTCCTATGGAAATTATTTACAATAAAGAATGAACAAACACGACGAGCACACAAATACATGTCCACTTTGATTCGAGAAGAGAGTCTCAAATAGCAGGTACTGGTTCCTCGCCGAGTCACAACAGTGGAACTTAACTAGGGGAACACGACCACGTATTCTCGAACAAAATGAACATGAGAATGTTAAAAAAATTTTTACAATATAATGGGTATAAATTTTGGAAAATAAGTGGGAAAAGTTGAGAGAGCTCGTAGAATTTCAGCTTAGGTCAAGTCTTAGTATTCTTATCCGGTATTTCTGACCTTAAAAATTAGTGCCTTTAAAACCAACCTTGTTTAGTTGGATGTTAAGTGGTATCTTCTTCTTTGAAAGAACAGCCCTCACCTCTATTTTTTTTAAGTGCCCAATCAAGAGGGTCATTAATAACATTTTAACGTTGCTGGCTTCGCTGATCAGATTCCGTCTTTTACAACCGGATTTTATATTTGATAAATACGATACTATGATTGCAGCTTATCTTTTCGCTCAAATTCCTTCATAGCTTTGAACTAAGAGAATTTTATACTCCATTTTAATTCGAAGTTGTGAATGATTCTTTTCACATTTTCAAACTCATGTTCAAAACTTTAAAAATGGTACAATCGAAATTCACCGCCATTTTTCTCCATCGAGTTAGGGTATCGAGACAAAACAGAAGGTTAATTTTTAACATTGCAACTTCCGGTAAGTTCTTGTCGCAAGTTTTCGTAATGCAACATCAAAGCGCGTGACATTCAAAATATTTGACAGGACCTCGTTCCCAAGGTTCAGGTGTCAACTCTCATTCCAGGCTCTCATTCGTAGTCATGCTTTTTTTTTATCCCCTCGTTTCAATCATTTCTCTCTCGTAATGTTCAATATAGGCGATCACGTCGTAAGACGTGACCGCGAAAATAGTTTCTTATTTTCCTCGGAATTGGGAACACCGAGCGCTTTATTGAAACCATCAGTTGTTGTGTTGCCTTACCGAGGGAGCTTGAAGTACTTATGTCTCAGTCATCTCCCACCACTTTTTAGATAATTTATTTTCGCATTTTTAAAAACTGGGTCGGTCGGGCGATGTAAAACGAAATATTTCTGAGAGATGACCTGGTGGAGTTTGATAAGATCTCCCATCATGAGAGGAAATAGCTTTATTAGACAATAGTCATTCAGTTTTCGCGGAACTAGTGGCAAAATTTATTTATCAAACTGATGGCACTGCAAGAAGAAAATTTTCACATTCTATAGTGAGGTTACTGAGGAAGCTTATTGAGTGAGGGTCTTACAGAAGAATCTTTAGTCTCTTTCCGTTGTGGGTTGGTGCGGAAAGTTTAGTTAACACCATCAACTGATGAAGATGATAAAACTGTTCTTTAGAAATGAAGCAGAACTTAACAAGGAGAGCAAAAAAAATACAGTGGAATTTAGCAAAAGAACAATTTATAAAAGGCATGTGGGTAAATTACATGAAATTCAGTCCTTACCTAAGGCCAGAGGAATTCGCAACAGCAAGGAAAAGAAGGCTAGGTGGAAATACGGATGCATCTCAACCAAGGCTTGTTTGAGGCAAGAGGATGCCTTTTTTTCGTGGGATGGAGCTAGCAAACTGAGTGCACTTCTCTCGTTTCTTTTATGATGGCACAGCCTCAGGCGGTTCAATGTCAGGAAATCTTCTTCCTACTCCCAGCAGACGATGTGAAAAACCAGATTGATGGCTACTAAGGAAATAGAAATAAAGATATCGAAGGGATCTTTATACTTTGCAAGTTTTAAAGCTGTCTCTATCAATTTTAGTATAATTCACCCTTGTACCATCTGTTAATAAGGCTTATTCACATTTTTTACCGGTGAAGATTAGATTTGTTTAGACAACATCTTCACTCGAATCTTTAGAAGCTGTTTTCTTGCATTTCAAAATCCAAAGCTAATACCTTGTAAGTCTAACAAAAAAAAACAAAAACAAGAAAAAAGATAAGAGACTGGCCAAAAGGTTTGCTACCTGAAAGTAATTTTCATTTGGACATCTTGTCTCACACCTCGTTAAGAATGAGGAGAATGTTTGGTCAAAGAATGAGACAGAAATTGGGGTGGTCCGACTCATAAAGGTATCGAAAAGATCTTTATACTTTGCACGTTATAAAGCTGTCTCTATAAGTTTTAGTATATTTCACCTTTGCTCTATCTGTTAATAAGGCTTATTCACATTTTTTACCACTGATAATTAGCTTTGTCTAGACAAGATCTTCACCCGAATCTTAAGAAGCTGTTTGCTTGCATTTCAAAATCTAAAGTTAATACTCTCTAAGTCTAACCAAACAAGGAAAAAGAAGAGATAAAAGATAAGATACTGGCCAAAAGGTTTGCTTCCCGTGTTTTGTCCACAATTTTAAGAAAGTAATTCCCATTCAGACATCTTGTTTCATGCCTCGTTAAGAATGAGGAGAATGTTTGGTTAAAGAAGGAGACAGAAATTGGGCTGGTCCGAAACTTAGGGTGTACGCAACAAATACTTATATCAAAATAATAATTTGTGTTTCACCGTTCCCAAACTTAAGTCCACGTATTTGATTACGCTTTCATCGTTAATTATAAACTAGCCTTTTAGCGACAGACCCTTGCGCCCTCAGTTGTGCCTGTGTCATTCATAAGTTCGATTCGTACGGATCGATATCAATTGAGAACAACAAACAAAAAAAAGTAGATATTGTAACGCTTTCAAAACACCGCAGACTTTTGCAATTTTGATCGCCATCTTTGCGTTGGGACTCTTCTTACAAACATAAGAAGAGCAAGAGTATGGAGGCCGGGAGTAAGGTAGAAGCAATTTTAAAGCGAAAAATAAAGCTTAGTCAATTGACATCGCAGCAGAAGTTTCGCTCTTGACTGGATCTTAAGCCATTGTTCTGTCATATGGCAAAGTCACCTGGATCAATTAGGATTATCATATATGAAAAAAATTAAGCCTTAAATTTACACAAATGTACTAAATTTTCAAAAACTGATTACGAACAATGATCAAAACTCTTAAAAACCATTATGAGTGGTTAAAAATGTTGCAGATTGTATAGGGTTTTAATGAGGGTTTAATGCTTGTGCATATGTTATAAGGCGACATCAAAACTTACCCGTTTAGTACCTCCCAAAAGCTCAACGCATGAACACGATGTAAGAGCAAATCTGAGTTGCCTGTCTCACTAATTTATAGAAAGACCAATCAAGATCGGACATGTGATATCTCTACTAAAATAATTGGGGTACAAGTTGTAACAGTGTCAAATCAAGGGGCTTAACGTCCAGAAAAGCAGAGTCCATAAACAATTTTAATCCTTGTTTTGTTTCTTGATATGCATATTTTGACCGGCTTTCAGAAATATGAAGATAAGTCGTATTAAATGAACTGAGCAATTTCATGAATCTTGGACACGCTATTCAGAATATTTTCCTGAACTTGTATCAATTGCAAGTGCTGATAATACGAATTTCTAACTAAAACACATGTAGAAACCATGATAATTATCATATATTTGATAAAGTCGCCCTACTCAGATCAGCCTCTAGCTAACCTTGTTGGTTCTCAATGCTGGTGCATTGTACCAAAGTCGCCAAGTCATGGGGGCGACACCTGTTCAGGCGTGAACAAAAATATTTGCACTTCTAATATAGTTGTTTTTTTTTCTCTCCAAGCTTTATTTATATATGAAAAAAGTAAGCCTTTTTATAAAATGGCTGGATCATTTAGCGTGTATCTTCGCGAGAGCGGCCATAAGCTTCCCCGAAAATCTACAGAATTCGTTCAGAGTATGATTTATATACAGGATTTGGAATATTTTTTACTGGTCATTGAAGTTACATCTCTTAAATTTACGCAAATGTACTAGGTTTTCAAAAACTGATTACGAACAACGATCAGAACTCTTAAAAACCAATATATGTGGCTAAAAATGTTGCAGATTGTGTGTGGTTTTAAAAAAGGTTTAATACTTGTGTATATGTTATAAGGCGACATCAAAATTTCCTTGTTTAGTACCTCTCAAAAGCTCAACGTATGGTGAACACAATGTAAGAGCAAGTCGGAGTTGTCTGTCTTGTCTGTCTCTCTTCACTGATTTGTAGAAAGACCATGGACATGTATCTCCGCTAAAATTATTGGCTTCCAAATCGTAACGGTGTTAAATCAAGGGGCTTAATGCCCAGAAAAGTAGAGTCCGTAAACAAATTTGATCCCTGTTTTGTTTCTTGATATGTATATTTTGACGAGCAATAGGTAATATGAAGATAAGTCGTATTAAATGAACTGAGCAATTTCATGAATCTTGGACACGCTATTCAGAATATTTTCCTGAACTGGTATTAAGTGCTGATAATATGAATTTTAAATTAAAACACATGTAGTTACCATGATAATTATCATATATTCGATAAAATCGCTTAACTAAGATCAGCCCTCAGCTAACCTAGTTGGTTCTCAATGCTGGTGCATTGTACCAGTGTCGCCAGGTTATGGGGGCGACTCCTGTTCGGGCCTAAAAAAAAATTTAGGGTCCAAGTTGCAACGGTGTTAAATCGAAGGGCTTAATACCCAGAAAAGCAGAGTCCTTCAGCAAATTTAATCCCTGTTTTGTTTCTTGATAAGTATATTTTGACCGGCTATCAGAAATATGGAGATAAGCCGTATTAAATGAACTGAGCAATTTTATGAATCTTGGACACGCTATTCAGAATATTTTCCTGAATTTGGTTATTGGTAATTTCAAATTTAAACACTTTTAGTAACCATGATAATTATCATATATTTGATAAAATCGCTCTACTCAGTTCAGCCTCTAGCTAACCTTGTTGGTTCTCAATGCTGGTGCATTGTACCAGTGTCGCTAGGTCATGGGGGCGACTCATGTTCGGGCGTGAAAAAAAATATCTGCCCTTCTAATATACTTTTCTTTTTTTGTCTCTTCAAGCTTTATTTTGACAACTGCCGGTAGTGTTTGATCTGTACATAAATCGAAAATGTATTAGCAATTAGAGGAAGCAATATGAGAATGATCGCACAAGCTCTCGTAACAATATGAATAATTCACCATCAAGCATCGATTACCTTGTTAGGAAAAGAGGGTCTCAATGGGGTGATGGCTTCTACGGCTAACGGTTAAAATTTTGGCCAATTTACGGCTAACAGTTAACACCTTTCCATTGTTTCCACCTGACATATTTTTTACGGTAAAATTTTTTTGCGATTGACGGCTAAAATTTATTAATTTTTACGCCTAACGGCTAAATTTTTTTACTGTTTTACGGCTAAAGGTTAACCCATTGAGACCCTCGGAAAAGTGATGCCGGCGGCACTGTGTCCTATTGAGCTAATGTCGAGCCATAGTGGTATACAAAAATACGTCACTTATTGTAATCGTTTTCTTTGTCTCCAGCAACTAAAAAAATCAACCATGTCAGTTGTAGAGTGAAAATGTCAACTATAAGGGGAGACACCACACATCTGTCACGTGGGTTGGACTAGGACCATTCTACGTCCCGCTTGAGGAAATAGACTTCAAACCTTCCCAGAGTTCTTGGGAGGGCGACATCTCGGTAGCAACGAAGCTACACGTAGTATTAATCCAGAACACATATGCATAGGTCTGACGTATTTTAAAGTTGTTTTATCAGATATTCAAATTTAGACATCCACTCACGTCAATTCCTTTCGCTGAGGAAAGCGAATGCGCAAATGCCACGATTTCGCCTGTTCCTAATAAACTAAATTGTCACCAAACGCAATGAGGATTAACAATATGCACAGGAAACCGCGTACATAACAAGGACTCTAAGTTATCCCTTGAAAACATAACTGTAGCTGTAGTCTGAAACAAACCTCCCCACGACCACAATCAAGAAAGAGGAGCATTTAAAACATGAACAAGAAACGAAGAACCATTATTTTCTTTAGTTAATCTTTATTTTTATCGTTTACCACCGCAAGTTGTCTATCAGATGTAATCCAAAAACACATTGTCGCCAAATGTCGAACCGTCTTAAGAAATGTTTTTACTACCAACTGTATAATATTCCCCAGAATTGGCCCTTCTTAGTTCTGCCACGTAAGCTGGTCATCTGTGTGAAGAAAATGGTAAAATGGTCAACGAATTGTCCAAAACAGAAACATATCAAATTAAAGATGCCATTAAAATTGAAAAAAAAAATTGAACTGATGGTTAAGTTCATTTAAGTTTTCTAAATTGCAAATACCGCGAATCTAAAGATGCGACTCGCCGAATCACCACAGTCTATCACTGCGATTGTGCCCTCGACTTTAAGGAGTGATCAGAAGATCAATTCGCTTTAGAATTTTAGACAGGCAATGTTAATAAAATAAATCATCAATAAGTGGGTACTGTCTTAAGACAAACCAAATTTTCGGCAATAATCGGAAAAAGGGTCAAAGAAGAAATGTATGATGTTCCATGAGAGAGTCAACTTTGAGTGGGAAAGAGTGCACCAGGTTACAATTTGATATCTCAAAATCCACAATTTTACCTTCGATTTTGAATAACATGTCGAAAATATTGACAGCTTACCTCTTTGAATCAGGTTGTTGGCGTTGGAGGAGGTTTGGTAGTTGGACCTACAAAAAGGAACAGACACGTACTGACTATTGAATAAGACTAAGAGCCATTTCAAATGAGATGTGGAAGTATTAAACATGTTTCTTCTGTCGACAACGAGCTACAACTTAACTTTCTCTCTTATTCTGATTACTGTCCAAAGTATTCCCGAGTTTTGGTTGAAGTTGATGCAATAACATCTAGGATTGGACTAAAAAAAACTATAACCATTCTTGGTTTGGTTATTGTTCATTTGTGGTGGCCAATCTCACAAACGCGTAACAATCTAAAACCAAAATCAAAATCTCATCTCCTCAGCGGGAAAAGCAAAATGGAGACGAGAAGGGGCAGATCGAATGGAGCTTTAAGGTCACAAAATTTCTCTAAAGTTACCCTTGGGAAGTAAATTATAGGTAGAATAATTCCCCGTTTTCACTTGCATGGTGTTCCCTTCCACTTAATCTATTTTTTTTTAACCGGAAGAAGAATGGCCCAAACATTCTTTTAAAGTTGTTTGTAGGAAAGATAACCAACATGATATTGGCTGATATTGGTCAGTGCCTCTCCTCCCCTATTCTTACATAACGGAGTTTTTCTTGTCTCCTCCTGTATCTCATCACCAAAGCACTCCAAAGGTAGTCCGTCGCAGCTCGGCTTAAAAACCTCGATTTCTTCGATCACCTGGAGGCGCCGCCTGTACGCATTGCCACAAGTTGCTGACCAAGAACTCCAAGGGTTGAAATTGCATTCCACTGTGTAGCACAATTCACCTTAACAAAAACAATCCACCATGATAAGGACATTAGTACAATAAGTGATATGTCACGTAATATCAGTGATTGATGTGTCACACAATGTCAGTTATTATTTCAGTGTCAAAGTCGTGTCACGCAATATCACAAAACTATATCCAAGGGCTCATTAAAACAACCGCTTTTTCACTGCCATTTGCAATCCGTTTCAATCTTCTCCATTACTTCTCGTTTGTTGTTGTTGTCCCTAGTTATCTCGATTGTGTTTTTTGGACTTTATAACACGAGTGATGGATATGTAATTTCCTTCAAATTTGTGGCAACTTTTTGCGTGGCTAAAGGCGATCCAAAATTACATGACGTTCTTATTACTTACAATCTGGGAGTTTGTTGTTCTCAGTTTCTGGTTGCTGAGTGCATTTGGTAGGGACGCTATCGCAAGACTCTGCTTGAACAGTTGTTTGTGTCTCCACAATATGTCGTGTTCTGTTTACTAAGCCGCATTCTCCAGACCACTGGCTCCAGCTTCCCCACGAGCATGTTACTGACTGGCACGTGCACATAGTCTTTCTGGTTTCAGTCTCAGGTCCGCTCGGACACGATTGAGGCAGACCATCGCAGTTTGTCTCTTGCACTACAATCTACGAGCGGAGGGGAGAAAAACGCTTTTTACATGCATGCATAATTGGCAAACCTGAAGTTACTATAGCTAAAAATTGGCCAATTCGTTTGTGCCTCTTATGGACCGCGACTTCATTTAGAACCAATGAAGAAAACGAAAAGGTTCATCGTTTGGCAAAAGATCACTCCAGTGAATTTCTCATGTGTGAGAAAAAAGCCAGCAGTTTGAAATGGCAAGACGAAATTGCCCGTTCTGTTAAACGACAAGACTAACTCGCCCCTCTGTTAGCCGATGACTGGAACACAGGAGTAGAAACATCTTACTCGCTCACGGAGCCACCCGTTTATAATAGTGACGGGGTTAGCAACCAGAAACATTCTGTTTTGTTTTGTTTTTCACTTCATTTTTTTAATTATTTTCTAGGAGAAGTAAAAAAATCAAACTACTAAGTCAGATCAGAAGAGAGCTGACAACATTTTCAGTATCTTTGAACTGGTTATATCGTTTTACACCAAAGGAATACAAGAAGTGAGGTTCTCTTCCAAACCTGTTCAGTAGTAATGGATCTCTTTCGTGTCGCCAATCCACACGTTGCAGACCAAGCCTCCCACTCGCCACGTTTACAGTTGACAGTTTTACAATCACATTTAATCTCACGTGCTTCGTTCTCTGGCGGTTGCGGACAGGTTTGTGGAAGACCACTGCAATCAGGCTTAAACACCTCCACCGCTGTTTCTACAAAGTTTGACAAAGGACGTCATGTCATGAGCTACTGAGTACAGAGTTTCTGTTGCTATCACTTACAATCTTCTTTCTCCTCAACAATCCTTGTCATTTCTTGAGATCCACGTATTTCTGAGAACTGGAATATCTCAGAGAACTATAATTTTCACATATTTTTCTATTCTAAAGCAGTTTTCCACATCATCAAAAAGACCCAAAACATGGTGAACCGTCATAAAATTTAATACCATTACACAAGTGCCTCTTTCAGTGTAGGCGCTGAAGAATGGTTGCAACAAGTAAAAACTTTTTTTTATGGATTACCTTCAATATTCCTTGTTCTTGTTCCTACACCACAAGTTGTAGACCAAGAGGACCACAAAGCCCATTCACAGTTGACAGTTTTACATTTACAGTTTGTTGTTTGCTGTTCTGTTTGTGGAGGCTGTGGACAAGACTGGGGAAGGCCTTCACACTTCAACTTTTGTACTGTGGTCTAGAAAGACAAAACAAGGTCAATTCTTTTTCCAGTAAGCCTAAAAACCTTTGGTCACTTATACCTTTGGTGGTTGCCTGGGGAGTGTTTATGAAATAGCTAAACTATTGTATATTTAAGTAAAAAAAGCAGAATACTACAATTACAAGTAGGAAAAGTTTTTCACAGGAAGGCAGTACCGAATAGACGGTTAGCTTTCTGCCTTTCATATCTTCTACAATAAAAGACTTGCATTACCTTATAATTCATTGCCTAACGATCTCTAATGATTTTGCTCTCCAGGTGCCTCAAAACAATAAAAATCGCAGTCATAAGACCCCAAAAGTAGAAGCCCTCCCCCCTCCTTCAATTACTGGGTTATAGAGCTATCTCTCTGAGTACCCTCGCATATAACCCCACCAAAACTCCATGCCACTTTACACGAACTATATGGCGTAAAAGAAGAATTGGAATTAAGTACTTAGACCCGATAGCCAGACTATCTGACTCGTGTGCAGACGGTCATAGGTAAAACTTCGGCAGTAAAGACTTTGTCCCACGCTCATGGTATAAACTAAATCAGTGAAAGTTAATCTTGAAACCTTAATAGTCTCTATAGTCCTTGTCCTTGAAGCTAAGCCGCATGTTGCTGACCAAGCACTCCACTGTTTCCATTCACATTTCACTGTCGGGCAGGTACATCTTAGTTCACGAGCTTCAGACTCTGGTGGCTGAGGACACGTTTGAGGAAGGCCGCTACAATCCGGCTTGAAAACTTCCACTGCAGTTTCTAGTTTGTGAAACAACAAAGGAAAAGTAAAGGTCAAACCATACGAGAACCGCGAAAATTATCAGGGTAATCTTTGTAATGAAAAAGTAGCGGATATTACTAAGGAATTGACTGCACTAGAAGGGAGAAGAGATACCTCGAGTTTGCAACCCTTTACATCACCCCAGTGACCTCAAAGAGACAAGTGAACAATCTACTCAAAAACCATTTGTTTACTGCTTCTGAAGGGAAAGGCCTCGAACATTTCTAAAACGAAGTTAAAATACCTTCTATAGATTACCTTCAATATTTCTTTTCCTTGTTCCCACACCGCATGTCGTGGACCAAGAGGACCACAAAGACCACTCACAGTTGACGGTTTTACATTTACAATTTGATGTTTTTTGTTCTGTTTGTGGAGGCTGAGGACAAGACTGAGGAAGGCCTTCACACTTAAACTTTTGTACTGTGGTCTAAAAGACAAAATGCAAGGTCACAATTTTTTTCAGGGAACCTTGCCTACTTTCTTCATCTATTCTTTCGGTGGTTGCTTAAGGACTGTTTTATAGCGTACGAAAAAGCTAAAGCTTACAAACACTTTAAGTAGCACAAGTGTTTGTAAGCATTTACAGTTTGTTGTTTTTTTTTCTGTTTGGGGAGGCTGTGGACAAGACTGGGGAAGGCCTTCACACTTCAACTTTTGCACTGTGGTCTAGAAAAGACGACATGCACTCATTATTTCCTTTCGGAGACCTAAATGGATTTCTTAATTCGTCAATTACATTTACAAAAACGATGTGCTTAGTCAAGTAGTCTAGTCCCGTACGGAGAATGTTATGTACAAATATCAGAACGAGCCTTATAAATACACTTGCAAAGTATCTCATGCTTATAAATGGACTGCTACTGTAACCTTATCCGCGTTCAATTTGGCTCCACCTTGAAAAAACGCTCTTACTTTTTAGATCTCTTCAGTCGTCTTTTCCGGTCAACTTGGTATAAGTTGCCCAAGTTTGTCATAAGTTGCTTAAGTTGAAAAGGCAAGGACACAGGAGACATGGAAGACAAATTATCGACTGAAACTTGAAAAGCGCGCGATCATGAGAATAGAGAGGTATCGTCCTTTTCTCCTCTTATGTGCGCTAATTCAATACCTGTTACGTAGAGAATTGAAATATTTTTATTTAAACCTTGATAGTTTTAATCGATCTTCTCCGCGTGGCTGCTCCACATGTAGCAGACCACTGACTCCACAGATTCCACTCGCAGTTCACTGTAGGGCAGCTGCATTTCACTTCACGTGAGACAGTCTGAGGTTTCTCAGTGCACTTCTGTGGGAGGCCATCACAGTTGGGCTTGTTGACTATGATTACAGTTTCTGAAAATATACCGTAAACCGTAATTTAAGAAGCCGTACGTTAAAAGGTTTCATATGCGAGTGATCTGTGAGGAGAACGATAATCCCAGACCCGGGACAGCTGCAACTAACTAGTTGTAGTACCTTTAGCCTTTGCATTTGCAGAAACAAATTTTCAGACGGTTGGAGAAATGAGATTAGGAAATAACGAACTCCAGCCGTGTGAGAATTAAACCAGAATCGGTACACGACTCTGTCAGTTCAAGGCTTTGCAACTAAACTGAGTTATAACAGAAGGATCTAACCCCTGTTATACGCGTCTGGTTATAACCAATCAAGCCTATGGCCCTTTCACAGAACGTGCAAAAACAAATACAAAACAAAATGATAAAAGACTTCGAGTTGCTGTTCTCAAGTTGACTATTAGGTGTTTGGAGGCTTCAAAGTTTTTCACCATAGTACAGGTAAACTTAGTTCCTTCATAGGGTTAAAAAACAAAAATAGGTGCCAACAAATCAGCATTCGTATTCTTTCTTCAAATTCAAACCTTTCAGTACCTTTAATATCACGTGTGCGCGTTCCAATGCCACAGCTTGTAGACCAAGAGGACCACTCCTCCCAATCACAAGTGACAGTGCGACATGCGCAATCCGTTGTCTTGTGTTCACTTTCTGGGGGCTGGGGACAAGATTGTGGCAATCCATCGCAACTCTCTTTTTGCACCGTTATCTGCGATGTTCTGGTATATTTAAAAGATGAGATGCTTAGTCAATAGACAACTGATTGCCGTAAAATACAGGCTTAATCACCACATAGATAAAAGAGGATCGTAAGTAAGCTGCATTCAAAATAACAAACTTTCCTCCACAAATTTCTTGGCAGTAAAGACGGAAAAATAAGGAAAATTATCTCTTACGAGTCCCTCTTGTCAGTAAACTGACACGGCACCTTTAGAAAAGAAGGGTAGTCTAGGTAAAACTTGTCAAAGATGGAATTTCCCGATGCATGTGTTGATGAGTTTAAGGCCAAAGACAGACACTTGCAAACACATTTGAGTAAAAGTGTACTCCAGCGAGTTATCGTTGGTGAATGCCCAACAACTTCACCTCCATGAGGGCACTTACCTACCCCTGACGAAGGCTGAACGCTGGAAATGTAAGCTTTCCAAACTTCGCCACAGGCTCTATCTGCTTTTATAAACTAATAGTTGATAACCAACAAAGTATATCACTTTCCAGAAAGTTTCCTAGGAGAGCAATAACCAATAATAAATACAGTAATACTCACTGTATTTTTCTTGTGCGCTTGGCTGCCCCACAAGTGGCAGACCAGTCACTCCACTCGCTCCAGGCACACTGTACTGTCTGACACGTACACATGGTCTTCCTGTATTCTTTCTCAGGCTGTTCATCGCAAGTCTGTGGCAGTCCAGAGCAGTTCTTTTGAGGGACTACAATTTCAGTGGTCTGGATGGACCGTGTTCTCTCCGCCATTCCACATGTCGCTGACCAATCAGACCATGCTTTCCAGGTACATTTGACCGACTTACATGGACCTAAGAATAATTCACAGAATAACGATAATGTTTCTAAGATGAAAAAAATTCTTGTCCACTAGGGGAAAAACGACGAAAAATAACATATGCTACTACTTGTGAAAGGCTTAAAATTCTATCTACAGTGGCCGAAGAATGCAAAACCATTATTATGGCGGGTGGAAATGCAACCATGGAAGATTAAATAAAGATACACGAGGAAGCCATTGTTCCATAGCAGATGGACAAGTTTTTAAACAAAAAAGGTGTGATCCGTTAGGATTTGCGAGCTCGAGAGCGGAAGTGAGAGGACTTTGACAGAGGCTGAGGAGAACAGTAATGTCTCATTTACCTATAACAAAACAGCGAGAGATAAAAGGAAGTAATGAGGCGTAAGGATATTTCAGCGATAACCAGTTTCTCCTTTCTAAAAAAGCTGGAAAGCGCAGCCTTCTATATCAAGTTTACTTTTTTTTTCTAATATCAATAAAACTCAATTTCTCAACAAATGTTTTGAGGAAAGGATCTTTCTCAAAGTGAGACTTTTTGAAACCCAGAAAAAGTTCCTTTCAGGTTTACCCCTAGCCTCGTTCTGAAATTGAGTCTTAATGCTGATTCCTTCGTGTAAAAAAATGCACGCAAATCACTCCTATTTGATATGACTGATTGTGCACCAATTCTCGCTTTGATGAAAAGGCTTTGGGCGATACGGGAATGAGCTACTTTAGTCTTCTTCAGTAGTAGGTTCTCGAAATACTCGGTGATCACACTCACAATTACTTATTTTCTTTTCACGTTCAGCTCTCGGACATGATTTCTGCAGTCCCTCACAGGATGGTTTATTTATCACATGCTGTGTTACTATAGGCGTCCTTGTTCTGATGCTGACACCGCACGTGGCAGACCACTCGCTCCAAGGATTCCATGAACACGTGACGTACCTACACTGACCTAACAACACAAAACGGTCGCAAGACAGATGCAGCTATTGACGTTGTAAAAAAATGTTAGGTACACGAACTGTCTTGACTTAATTTAGAAAGAGAAAAAATTCTCATTTGGGCGGAAATTAAGGACTATATATACAGCAAAAGTCAAAACATCCTTGCGGACAAGATGAGTGCCAAAAATAAACAGACTGATTGTGACTAACGAGGAGAAAATCAGACAAACAGTCGAACCAAAAATGAAAAGAGACAGCCAGAAGGGCACGGTTCTACTTACAATCCATGTCCTTAGTTTCAACTTTCTCCTCTTCGCAGGTTGTTGTAAGACCAGAGCATCCTCCCTGCTGCTCTATAATGTGTTCGTTCACTTTGGTCAGCGTTTTCCTTCTTTTCATTCCCTTACCACACGAGATAGACCACTCAGACCATGCACTATAGTCACATGTCACATATTTACACTTGAAGGCTAAAGATGAGACAAAAAAACATTTTGTTCTCTATAAATGTTGATAATCGTTTTGTCATTTATTGCTGGTACCAAAGCTCATGCAAGATGGAAATTGGAATTAATGTTGGAACAATAAAGTATGTAATATTTCAAAATTCGATATAACTTCTGTACGTGGGGATTCTCGTTTTTCGCGGACTTGGCAGCCTTTGCGGTTTGCTTGTCTCTGTGGTTCGGGAGAAAACCCGTTGTTTAAAGTTAGTGCAATTAAGCTATGTGTCCCAAAACAAGTAACGGAAATTCCTGCTAACATTTGCTAAGAACATGAGAGGAAGATCCTTCATTCCAGTTTCATTTTGCTGCCAGTGGGTCAGCTCTTCTTTCCTAATCTATTTCATCACTGTTAGTACAAGGCTTTTCGAGCTTTTCTTGCAGTTCCTTTTCCAAGCCTGTTTACTCCTCCCTTGAAACGGATTTTAAACGGATTCCATTTAAACAAGGAATCTCCATATATGCCTCTAGGATCACACACACACACACACCATGGCGCATTACTTCTTTGACTCTACTTACGTCCACATTTACCAATTTCACAACACAACGTCAGCCTCACCATGCGATAGAAACCATATCAAACCTTACCTTGACAAGACGACTGTGCCAAAGTATGAAGTAAGTTAGGCAACTCGGCCATATCACGGACGTAAAACACGTGCGAATTCTTAGGCTCTGAAGCCATGAACTCCAGCTCACTCTTAATCAGGTTATTTCCAACTCCCACTGAGAATATGTTTACTCTCAGGTCTACGAGATCCTTAACTGGAGTTCTGAGAGATGTTATACCACCAGTGCTAGCTCCATCTGTGATCACTAGTAACATCTGAGGTAAAGAATCATTTTATTGGAAAAATCAAAGATATTGTCTCAGATGGCATATACGGTCGAACCTTGATTATCCGGACTCGTGAAGACTGGGCTTGATACTCCGGATAATCAAGAATCCGAATGATCGAAAAGATGAATATAAATGTTCAAAAATGATGGGACCAGAAAAGAACGTCCGGATAATTGAAATATCCGGATAACCGAGGCCCGGGTAATAGAGATTTGACTGTAGTGAGATCGCTTTGCAAATGATCTTGGGAATGGATAACTTTTAAAAGGAATAAAGGAGTTTCCCTCTCGTAAAACTATGATTGAAACAATCAAAACATCACGATACTCAGAATAATGCAAAAGAACCACTGAGAAACGAAGTAACAACATACAAACCACTAAGATGTGATTGGTATAAGTTACTTTTGTATCTGTTCATTTGAAAGAGCAACGCAGGCTTCTAGTCCGATCACATACCGAGTTACTTTTAAAGCGCAATTAGAAGCTGTTGCATTCATTGCACAGTCACCTTTGTAACTCCTGGTCTTGCTCCATTTGAGCCCTTAAACAACTCTGTCTTAGCCAGGGTGAGCGCTTTACCGGTGTAGGTCCAACCACCTTTAAGGTGAAGTAAACTTTGTTACAAAGATCTTATGTCATCAAGGTCTTAAGGATGTATATCAAAGCCAGATAACGGAGAGCATATGTGGTATAAAGATAAAAAGTGCGACTACCAAGGTACTTATCATAATCAAGACCAACATCGTTTGGGGAAAAAAAGGAACATCAAAGGAATTAATTATGTAGCCCTTTTTAAGAACGTTCCTATTTAACGTTTCCGAGAGATTTTCTGTTGAATCTAGGAATGTTAGAATCTAAGCCTCTTGATTACATCTCACCTATTTGGCGGATTTTTCTTGCGGCTGCCATGAAGGATGCCTTCGTTGCATGCTGATTCAGTTTGATCTCAACGTTTGCGCCGGTAGAAAATTTTATGACCCCCATTTGAATCCCGTTCGGACCAAAATTAGAGAAACCATTTGCCAAAGCAGCGATAAAATTTTTTTCTCGTATGAAATCACCAGGTGTAATACTACCAGACTCATCCATGAGAACTCCTAGTTCGACTTTACAACCTGAAATTTTGATGCATAAAGGTAAATACACAAGTAGCATAAACGTCTAAGGACGAGGCTGTTACAAAGACAAAAAGAGTTGTTCACAGAGACAGTGCAACAATAAATAGTAAGGATATAGTTGAAAGCTGACTTCCTTTCAAGTAGAAAGGTAGTCTCTGACCTGTTAAAATAGCAAACGTTGTACCTACAGACGGAGAAAAAAATCTACGAACAGACAGGCAAGTATAGAGAATCTCTACCTTGTATAATACTGTACAAATAGAGCGGTAAAAGTGACACTCACATGATATAAATGTGGACTCTGTCTGAGGGGCTGGGCACGATGTCTGTAAACCGTTACAGTTTGGTCTGTTAACCACATGTTGCGTCGCTTTACTTGTGCGCTGTCGTGTGATACGACCGCACGTTCCAGACCAGCTTCCCCAAGAATTCCAAGAACACGTCACGTATTTGCATGGACCTGATATGTGACGAAATGTAAATACTTTCGTTAATTACGGCGGAGTTCTGAGAGCGGCGACCAAACTTATTTTCCGACTTGGCAGGCTAAACCTGAGGACCTGCAAATCTTGGACGGCTGACAATAACACAGCACAAAATTCAGCTACGTACCAATTCAGATATTTCGTGAACCTTATTTCGGAAGGGGCACCCCTGACAAAGCACTTACAAATACTATCTTTAGTTTCCACGTTCTGTTTATTGCAAGTTGTTGGGAGGCCAGAGCATCCTCCCTGCTGTTCAATGGTGTGCTTAGTCATTTTGGTCAGCGTTCTCTTCCTAGTCATTCCTTTGCCACACGTGGTGGACCACGTGCTCCACACGCTGTAGTCACATTTCATGTACTCACACTTGTATTCTGAAAGTAAGAAAACCGTGCTTGATGAGGGCACAAATATATCAGACCTAATAGTGATACGTTTAATTCAGATATAAAGGCACAGGAAGTTCTGCAGTATTTGGCAAAAAAACCCATAGAAATTGGTATCTCAAGTATCTTAATAGCGGAGATAGCTGCACACAAAGTGGCCTTCCAGTAGTCTTCTCAAGTTTTTAGTTAAAAATTTCCGACAATCACATTCACCGATCACACATAAAATGAGTGCTCCCCATCCCCTTCCCCTTCCCCCTCCCCCGGGCCAGTGCTACCCCTCCCCTTACCGTCTCCCTCCCTACCACCCTCCACTTTCTCCTTCTTCCCTAGGCTCATGCTAACCATCCCTTCCCTCTCTCCCTCCCTCCCTCCCCAAGGTCAAGACTCTACCTTAGCTCTCAAACGCTTTGACGTATTCCTTATCTCGAATGGACGCTTGGCGAACATTCTCTGTATAGGCACTTACTTTTGCAGGCTGATTCACCAAGTGCCGTTAATAGAGTGTGAAGTTCTTCCATATCTGCCACATAAAACACATGCTCATTGACCGGGCCAGTGGCCATCAGCTCTAGTTCTTGTTTATTGATGTTGTGGCCAATTCCAATGGCGAATATATTCACGTAACTTTCTTTGAGATTTTGGAGAGGAACTTTAAGCGATTTATATCCATTAGTGCTGGCACCATCGGTCAATACAATTAATATCTGCAGAGAGGACAAAACCATTTTTCGTTTTATAATACATGTTAGTCAAATGTCGTTATTTTCTCGGACTATCGAGGACTTTCCAAGATCTCAATTCTAACAGTCAGAGACCTTTACGTGGCAGTTTTTCCTCAACTGAGAACATCAAATGTCCTCAAACACACTTTTCGAAAACAAAGGGAGGTGTTCGTCGAGATCATATCTTTAGACAATTTCATAAGAAAAGCTTTTTCGCATTTCTTACCAAAGGATGCAATAATGTTTCGTTATTTTCAAAATATATGTTGTTCCCTTAATTCAAAATTAACGAATTACACTATGGTAGCTGCTAACATAATTTTAGCAGTTGTGCAGCATTAATCTGGAACTTTCGCTGTAACCTGCGTGGCACTAACTATTAGTGCCAGACCCCTTGGGGCGCTCAAGGCCTAAACCTTTTCGCGGGCAAAAAAAAGGGGAAGGGGACCACAGAGCACTAACAGTGAGGGCCTGCGAGCAGGCTACTTTTGGTGTGGTACTTGTGGGCCATCGTAATTCTGCGCAATCTCTTTAGCAGCCGTTTTTGGACTCGACACGTTTTGGTTGGTTACGTCTTGTGTGACAATACTAAAAAAACGACTGCAAAGGAGACGATTGGATTCTACGCAGTGTAACTAAGATTGCGTGACTCGTCATGGTTAAAATGGTTGAAACGGCACTGTTTCTTTAATTTTTATTTCACACCTTAGTCACGCCAGGCCTGGCTCCGTTCGAGAGTTGGAAAAGCTGATTCTTGGCCACAATCAAAGCTTTGTTCGTGTATGTCCAGCCCTCTGTTGACAAAATAATTGAGAGCTTAGATAAACTTTGAGCTACAAAAGGCATCCATAAGTCACCGCTACTGCTGTTACTTCTCTCTGAACCGTAATAATCAGTTGAAAGTGTATCTTACTGAATTGTTTGATTTGTCGCACAGCTTTTATAAACTGCATCTTGTTAGAGAACTGATTGAGTTTAATATCAAGATAAGCGTCCGTGCTGTAAGAGATAACACCCATCTGTAATCCGTTCGGACCAAAGTTGGTGAAGCCATTGGCCAGATCTACAATAAAGTCTTGTTCTTTGGTAAAATCATCGTCACTGATGCTTCCTGATTCGTCCATTAAGATCCCCACTTCTCCCTTACAACCTACAATTCGAAGTGTATATTTAGAATTTTAAGAAAACCTTGCGTGTCACTTAGGACCTATCATGTCATTACAGTAACAGTACTTCAACGAGTGCTCAGTAGGTCTCTGTATTACTGATTTCACTTTGACTTGGGAATTAAAGCAAAGATAAAAAGGTTCTTTCATCAAAACCCACGCATTATATTTACTTACAGGAAACGTATAGGGACTGGACTTCAGGTTTGGGGCACGATGTCTGCAAACCTTTACAGCTGGGTCGGTTAATGATGGATTGCGTGACTTTGCTGGTGCGCTGTCGTGTCATTCTTCCACAGGTGGACGACCAGCTACCCCATGAATTCCAAGAACATGTCACGGTAACGCAAGGACCTGCCAAGTATAGTGTTAACCTCGTTGACAGCCCATTACTCATAGTGTTTAAAAAACCTTTCCTATCATCTCACAAGCACATAGCAGAGGTTATGATAATGTGCGCTTATATCAAAGTATCACGGTGTTTGTTCACAGCTGTTTATTTTTAGAAGGAGTTTATGATGAAGTGAAATTAGAACTGGTTTTTTTCTCTCTTTATGCGTTTCTAAGCAACTCCCAAAATAAATCGAAATATTAAGATAATGGTAGTTTACTGAACAGACGAAAGGCAACTTGGAATATATTTGTTAACCCTTGACACCCTAACATCAGTATGCATATTCTCCATACTATTCTCTAAACATTTCCTGAGGTGCTGACAAGGAGAATTTGTTTAACAATCAAGAACTTCTTCAGTTTGTGATCATTTCTTTATTCCGGTGACCTTAATGTGCGATTCAAGGGTGATACAACAGGGAGAAATTAGATGTTTATCACTCCTAGGGTGTAAAGGAATAAATAGATGAAACACAATTATGCACTTAACTTACAGTTTGTGGTCTTCAGTTCAGTCAGTTGTCTATCGCATGTGACTTTCAGCCCTGAGCAACCTCCTTGTCTCTTGATGTAACGTTCATTGACCTTGCTCAATGTTCGGGTGCGTCTCATGGAGATACCACAACTAGCAGACCAGTCACTCCATTGATTGTAATCACAAGTCACGTAACGACAATTATACGCTGCAAACCAAACAAATGAACGGAATCTCAGCATTTTCACTATCACTTTCACTCTTGAAATACTAATTCGCTGACGGCGTCGGGTCTAAGCCGAGCAGTGAAACCTCCCTGCTAATTTACACAAAAGGAAAACTTTTGGGGCTATGTTTGTTGTCTTGACACAAGCGTGAGACAAAAAGTCCTCGAGAGGAATCGATACCCAGACTTCCAATTCCGCGCTCTCATGGTCTACCAAAGACCTACTGGAATTATACGGTAAGCTAAACCTTTTTTAAGTTCATATCGGAAACGCGCCCTGCATACTGCATAGCAGACGTTTCGCCTATGAACCGTTTTGCTGACAACCAGTGCGTTAATGTCTTAGGTTGTTTTGACAATGTCTCGGGTCAGTTCGCTAACGTCTCACAGGTTGTTTCTCTTACGTTTTAGATAATTTAACTGAAGTCTCTTTTTAGCTTTGTTTTCAGTATTTACTGAAACGACTCGATTCCCCTACGAATTTTCAGTCGATTGGAAGTCGATGGAGTCACTAAAAGTTTTGTAATACGTTAGAGAAACGACCTAGGAGAAGTTAGTGAACTGCCCTTAGACGTTGGCAAAACGACCTAAGACGTAAGCGAAATGGTCGTTAACAAAACGACTCGTAAGCGAAACGACTGATTACCTACATACCTCTAAGATCAGCAATGTCAAAACTGTTATGTGCGTAAATAGACTAAAGAAATTTGGACAAGAGAGAAAAAAAAACTCACTGGAACACGATGACGATGTAATGGAGCCAATCAGATTCTTTAACTGATCCATGTTCTGAACTGAGTACACGTGAGTGGAAGTAGGAGATGTCGCCATAAACTTCAGTTCGTGTACATTTGCTTTATTTCCCACACCGATAGAGATGATATTTACTGAATCATCTTTGAGTTTCTTGATTGGATCTCTTAAAGTGTTAATTCCTCCAGTACTCTGGCCGTCTGTGATAATCACTAATACCTTTAATAGGGGGGATTTCGAAAATTAATGTCAGTATCTAAGCAACCGGGCACCTACCCCTCCCCTAACTCAACAACAGTCAACTGATGACAAATTGACGGATTTGGGATCAACGTCAGTTCCTTAGATCCGGAATTTCATTATTTTGTGCCTTTTTGAATGTTATTTCTTGAGTATAAGATTTTTAGTCAGTAACAGTGACGAGGAGCCCAACATTTGACCTTTTGATGATAACTTGTGGTCCTCTACTATTGACACGGTAAGCTGAATACTACACGCATTTTTATTGGTTCTTACTTATGATCTATTGGAGGACAGACCTATAGATGACGTCACCATTAATAACATTTTGCTTTTTTTAATCATATAAATCAAATAGATTCTAAGTTGCCGTGGGTCTTTTCAGTGGTAGCTCAAAGAAGGTGTCAAAATGTGATAACAACATCAGTGACACACGAGGCGGTTCTTAGCACATTTTGACGTCAACTGTGAACTAGTATTGAGCAGAAGCACGGCAAAATGCAATCTATTTGTTAACCTTATTATAACTTGTGATCCTCTGCTATATACCTTCCGAGTTTTTTATAGTCAAATGCAAGTAATTTTCTAAACCACACAACCAGAGTTTGCGGAAAAATCCGATAACTCCCGCAAATTACCGAAAACGTTTCGAAGGATTGCAAAGATTGCCGCATGTTGTGCAAAGCAGCGCCAAATCTGGGTCATTTTGAAACTTGAAACAAGACCTTGTGGCTTATGATCATTATTACAATTATCATTGTCATCAATGTCTAGACAATAGGAGACAGTAATTTGTACTTACCCTTGCAACATTTCCCCGAGCACCTTTGGAAGAAGTGAACAGTTGAGAGTAAGCAAGGTTCAAGGCTCTTCCAGTGTAGGTCCATCCACCTAGAAAATAACAGAAAAATGTTGTGGGTCAAAATAGAATTCAGGTTGAAATCATCTTGAACTAATTGGTTACTTTTTATCTTTCTTTAAAAATTATGATAATTCACTTTGAACTAAAGGAAAATACACATTAAACTTGATCTAAACAACAACCTACATCCCATTGTTGTACTTGTAATTCTCCCTACTGTCTGACATACATCGCTTACAATTTTAGTAATGAGAATTGAATATTGGATCAAATGATAATCCCTGAATCAAAATTTTTTCTTAGAATTTAATATCGGATCAAATGATAATCCCCTAATTGATATTTTTAATATTCTCATCACTTGTCTGCTGGATATTGTTTTGATATTGTAAGGAGAAAGTGTGTTTTGAACACTGGAGGGTGTATAAGAATTAAAGAATATTTAATTGCATCAAAATGTTTCCTATGCATGGTGACAATTTTTTGTTGTTCCACACCCGGTTGTCCAGAGTTAACTTGTGCATTTAAGGCTTAATTAGTTACTTGTCTGCTAAATCCTTATACCTTTATATTTTATTTTATTCACCCCACTCTGAAAGGATGAGAGAGAACTGTACTGATTAAGCATGATATCCAGTTGTGCTTGGGTGCTGAAGGTGATGACACCAAACTGAGTGGCCCTGGGACCAAGTTGAAAGTGATCAGCCAGACCTTTCACAAAGTTCTTCTCCCGCTCAAATTCTTCAGCTTGGACGCTTCCAGATTCATCCATCAAAATACCAATATCAACCTTGCAAACTGAAAAAGATTTATCTTAGTCACCTTCTTTATTTCATTAAATGACAAGAAAATAGGCAACTTATGTTCATCTTGATTTCCTCAGAACTGCATAATTTTTTTGGATATATTTGAAAAACTGTATTTGCATACTGAGAAAGCTGTACACATTCACAGACTATATGAACAATGTAACTTAAAGGAAGAACTGAGCACACTAGACAGATATAGTGATTATTTAAGCTGCAGCTTTATGTTTTCCTGAGATGGAAAATGTGTCTGCAATTCACTTAATTACCCTTCAGACATCCATAGAGCTCCATTCTTAAAGATATGTGCCCATTCCATGATCTGGGATGAAGCCGAAGTAGGCGGCCTTCAATACTGGGTGAAATGGTATGTTTCACAACAGAATTTCTGTCTGCATTTCCACCAAATACCTGTGAATGTTAGAAAAGACACTAAGCATTCATTTTCCTTCTCAACCCCAAGCCATAGACCAAGACATTACCCAAATGTTATCAAAAATAATATACCACATATTCCACATTGCTTATGGGCCATTGGAAATATCCATGAACCTTGAAGAATTCTCAGGCTAAATTTATATAATTTGCCCTATTTTTCATTCAAACTTGAAGAATTTTCTTGTTTTACTTAACAAGACTCTCCAGCTGCTTTATTTTTTCATAAAACCCTGGTTCTTGGTGAGAGTTATTAGAGCAAAATAAAGTGATTGAAAAAGTTGTAGAAAATTTAATTTCTAGCTGATGAAGTAATCCAGTGATTCATTTTAATCCTTAACATCCTAACATCAGGAGGCATATTCTCCATACTGTTCTCCATACATTTCATAGGTGTAGATGAGGAGAATTTGTTTATAAATCAAGTACTTTTTAGTTTATGTTTCTGATATTGTTGTGACCTTGATGCATGATTCGGTGCCACTCTTAAACCTTTAACTCCCAAGATCTCAATAGTAATTCTCCTTATTGTCTGCCATATAGTTCTTGTGATATTAGTTTGGAGAATTTGGTACTGGATCAACTAATGATCCCCTAATCAATATTTTTCTTTATTCTCATCACTTGTCTACTTGATATTGTATTGATGTTGTAAGGAGAAATTCTGTATTGGTCACTCATGGGAGATAAAGGGTTAAGAGTTAAAGGATTAGTACAGGGACCAATTACATGAAAAATTGACATGAGTGAGTTGGATATAACAAATTTTTATTCTGACCTTTTGGCGCCCTCCAACACTATAAACTGAGTACTTTTTGCCATCTTCACTGTAGGATAGGGTGTAACTTTTAACCCACTGATTATAGTCAGCTCTTCCCTGAGTAGCAATCCCCGTAATTTGGACTGGACTGTGGAATGATACCTTAAAAAATAATGACAATGATGATGATGATGATGATAATGATGATGATGATGATGTTAAAATAATAATCATCATGATAGCCATGACAATAATGATGACAATTTTGCTATCAAGGAGTGAAAAATATCTGCATTACAATCATAACACAACCCTTGAGCAAATCTTAAAACAGCACCTATAATCTAATAGTAGTCTTTTCTAGTAAGTTGAAAGACACTGAAAGGTTTCATATCTTTATTCGTATTTTGGTGAAGGGTTTGTATTGCTCTGATGTCTTTTCTTATACATTAGCCTTACTACGAAAAATGTGATTGGTCAAAAGCATTCAATCAAATACACTACAGTGTGTAAAGTTGACATGATAAATGCAATATCTGTAGTGGATACTGAGTTGATTTTAATAAAATTCGGTCTAGTTTCCAAGCTTCCAAGCCCCTCATCTGTTTTGTGTTCCCAAACTTTTGCAAACTCAGGCGAGGGAAGTATCTTCATTTGCAGATTATTATAAAAAATGTAGAATAATATAAGACAATTATCAGATCCAAGTGAATGAGTCTGTTGAGAAGCCTGATCATTAACTAGAAAGTCAAATTTGTTCTGGAGTGCTTCAGAGGAAAGTTGATTCAATAACAACGTTCACTCTATAAAAAACTTGAAAATCGAAATCGAGCCAAAGAAATTAAAAAAAAATCCACAGATGAAATGCCCATGTAGCCATAGTGTCGAGGAATGTGTTGTTTTTGCGCAAGATCGTTTAAAGCTATGAAAATCAGATTTCTGAACCTCGGAGGTCTTACCTCATGACAGTTTCTTTGTTTTCATCGGTGAAATTACCGATTTTAACGTTATCGCTCATTTTTACAGTTTGATTATTTCTGCTCTCTATATTTCAGTCGATCATATCATCCGATCATATCATCCGATCATATCATAACTTCTCTTGACAGATCGAAGTCACAAATAAGAAGACTGGAACGAGTTGTGACGTCACTTCGTAGCCGCGTTTTTTTTAGCGCGAAACGATTAGCGCAGCAAGCACTTGTGGTAACACTTCACCTCTTCATAAACGTTTAGAAGACTTCGATGGGATAAATTAGTTCCGTTTTGAAAAACATTTACCCAGGATAAAGAAAGAGAAAAGTGGAAAGGTAAGATTAGGATGTGCATTTTAAAAATAGTTTTACGAATTACCTAAAACAGAAGCTTCTGACCTATAACCAAAAGCGGCATTACCAGCAGCAAGGAAAGAAGATTGTCTTCACGTCAACCGAAAACCGAATTAATTTGCACAATTTCTAGGCGTAATTTTCCCTTATTGAGTTTTAATATAAGCATGTGTCATCACAGCTCATATTTTCTTAGCAGTACCGCAGAGGTTCACCGGTGCAAGTTTTGTTGTGAGTTAACTTATAAAAACAATTAATGGGAGAGATTTGAAGTTTCTTCGTTACACTTTTCAAGATTTTGTTGCCAATGAAAAGAAAAAAATTGAAACGAAAAATACTTTGAATTTCGTATCTTTGAATTAGAACGAACTTACGTCAAAGACGCGATTTCAGGTTCAAAATAGAATTTGTTTTCTCGCCATCAAGAGACTCGCTTCAGTTGTCAATTAACTTTCGCCTCTCAGAAACACAACTGCTAATCCATACAGCGATGAACAAAGTGAAGGAAACTAATCAAGTTGTAAATTAGCTCGTTAACTGTAAAAAATCCGCTGTATCAGGTAAGAAAGATAACCTGTCAGTGTGAATATCTAAAAATAGCGAATTCTGTGAATGCACTTAGCCAAATTCGCCCCTTAATTTATCTCTCTTATTACAGCGTTATTATGGTGCATTCAGGGTATGAATGACTGTCACACTTTCTCGCTATCTTACGTAAATTTCCAGCCGTTATGGCCAATGTCTGAAAGCAATAATTTAGCTAAAAACGAGGTTGACTTTTATCATCTCCTGTCCTGTATAACCTCAATCCACTGATAATAATTGTTTGTCCTGGCACTCCACGCCCCTGCGAAGCTGTATTGTCTCGGCATATACAACCTTGCTCTCCATGCGGCGTGTCTTAGGCCATCTAGTACCGATGAAGCCCTTATTTGACTGTTCGTTAACCATCCGCTTTGCAGACCAAGGGGCTTGTCACAACCTGTATTGTACAACAAAACGAAATTTCATCAGTAAAAAAGGCATATACGACTTTCCCTTGACCATTATATTCAAACCGTTTAATTACGAGCATAATTCTGTCTTGTTAAAAATGTCTTCAGTTAGATTGGGACCATCTAGAAGCTTCTTTCTGTGACTATTAATGTTAATTATACTGAGTTTATAAAAGAGAAGAAATCAATGATTAATATACCTGCTAATTGGCCTGAATCCGAATTTCTGAGGGATGCAGATCTATGGTGCACATTTGTCCCGAGAACTGAGTGCATATAATATTATCATGATTGAATTTATGAAAATCCTGAGGAGGCTAAAAACCCGGAATTACACTAGATTACGAAAACTTTATTGGTCTGGTTATTCGTGTGGTATCAGAAACAAGTAAAAAAAACGTGTAGAAAATGTGAACAGTTAGACGATTCCAAATTCTCTTATTCTTTATGCTAAAATCGCGCCACGAAGTTACTTTACAAGAATATAGGCTTTATACTATGGGAAAAAGGGTTCAGGCTACTGGGTCATTCCCAACTTACTTCCGCCAATCATTGGTTTTTCTCCAAAGTACGTCATATGTCTTCTACAATAAAAGCTGCCAGCATTCTTATTACTTGGACCAATCCATTTAGCGCCTGATGCTATTGCATTCACCCTTGCACCGCCACTGTTTCCAGTGTGAATTGTTGCCGCAGGCCAGTTGCTGTCATCAAATGCTGTGGTTTGCCAGTTTCGTATGGCCTGAGTTGTGCATTTCCACTCGTTGTCGGTAACAATGCCATTTGCAAATGAAGCGATGAACCCTGACGGGCCCCCTCTGTTTTTCACATAAATAGCAACCACCTCAAGTTCTGCAGGGAAAAAGAAGCTGAAAAAAGAACACAGATAGATCAAGAGACTCAAGTAAATCGGGGTGAGATTGCAAGTGTGGGAACGCTTATGTTCTCCTATGACAAAAGGGAAGAATCAAAGAACTTCAAACGTTCTTTCCTATTTTTAAGAACAGCAACCACAACATCCAAAATTACAAGTAAAGCTACCGGTTCATTTTTTAAAAAATTATATGAAAAAAAAAGGAAAGCTTTGATTTCCGCGATCATAGAAAGACAATTCTAAATCATATAAATTCACATCCCAATGACTGGAAAAAATCAGTGGTAAACGTAAGGGTAATAATTCCTTTTGTGACTTTGATGCACAATCCTTTATTGCAGAAGGATTCTTTAAAACAATAACCAGCAAAAATCAAGTAAAGATCGTAATAATTCATTTTTACCTCTGTGGAACGTTCCATCGGCCATTATCGGTCCCTAGATATCTTCCATTTGCGTAAATCCAAGCTTGGTCATCTCCAGTAATCTTACCTTCTAGCCCTGTTTGAAGCCACCAACACATGTCTCACTCAACATAACTTTTCAGTTTGTGGATGCCTTTCTCGTTAAGGTTTAAGGTGACTCTGCCCAACTTGAGCTACTAAAATTCATTATCTTTTCACTAGTCGCGATACAGCGGAGACTTGGCTCCTTGACAGCTTTTAGATCTTACCTTTACAGTATCCATACTTTCTATCTTTATCATAGCTGGGGGATAGAGAGCACCACCTAGAGTTAGCCCTGATTGAGACACATGAGTCATAAGTTTTTCCTCTATACGTGAAAGGAAAAACACAACATTTGTTGTCCCGTGTCTTCATTCTGCACATAGCTGTAAAGAAATGATACGCGAGCATGGTTTTAAACAGAGCTTGGTTGCTAACGGAAATATACTCTATTTGTTTGTACTGTTCACTTTAAGAATCAGGTGTATTGTTTTAAACCAGTTATTCAGTTTTATCATACGATTGTTACCAGTATACATGTGTAAAAAACATTATGAACAGTCTTAAAAGACGTGAATTTGTTACAGCTGCAGATAGGCTCAGCCTTATCATCGCAGAAGTACCGGTGCATGCTTTGCCTCCTCTCTCCATGTGTTGGACATCTTTCTAACTTGGGTAATTTTGAAAACACACACGAAGCTAGAGTTGCTTTAATGGTACTAAAAGGTCTGCTTACTTCCGAGAGGTTAATGTGCAACGCCAATTCATAAAAGGGGAGACATGAAATTATCATTCAGTTCTTCCCTGGGAACAGAAGCCGATGTAAAAGCTATTCCGTCTTAATGTAAGTGAAATAGCTTTTACTTCGGGCCCAACTAGTTCACATTTCTGACTTTCATTTATGATTCACCACAGTCTATAAGTTTACTTTAACCTAAGCCTTAATTATACTGTATAGTAAAGGTAGAGCGCGAAAAGAGCTTTCAGTACGGAACGTTTTAAATTTCTAGGATGATTCTGTGTCATTAAGGGGTAGTTCAAATTGTTACCAATTTACGTCTTTGTCATTACGATTCCCATGCGATCGAAGAAGAAGTTATGCGTAGCAAACAAGGAAAAGGCAAAATTACTAATTAATCTTTGTCCAGTTGTGTCTAGTTGTCTACTATTTGCATTGTCCACATGGAGATTGATTGACGCAAAGCTCAGTATTAAAACAAATACAACCGATACAAAGAAGCTGAGAACTCCTAAGGGGAGAATTAAGTGTTCTTACCTCCATCCTCGGCTACGGTTGAACTGTTGTTTAAAGAGAAAGAGAATAAGAATATCAACAAGTCTGATAAGAAAGAAATAGCGAAAGATGCTCGGTTGAATCTAAAAAAGAAAAAAACTTGGGAAAAGTTTCGGACAATGATTTTGTACAAGTGTGAAATGTTCTACCCTAGAAAAAAAGATTCTTCAAACTATCTTTTGAAGTAGCGGGTCGAACAGTAGGTCGAGACCTACTATCAACTCTCATTCGACACGCTTTGCCATCTACATGGCGTAGGTTCCTTTTCCGAGTCAGATCAGAACATTTGGTCCAGGACATCATCGATGTGACTTCAAGTAAATCATAAATTGATCAGCGAAAAAAATTCTTTCATCAGAAAATTATAGAAAATAAATAAAAAATGACCTAAAAAAGAAGAGCAGTTATAATGTTTAGATATAAAGATATTCAATCTCTTTTGAAATCCTGGCTAACTTTAGCCCAAGGGCGAGATTAAGAGCATCGTGAAAATTGCCATCCTTACGGAAATTGAAATCTTGGCTATCTTAGACCGAGTTCTTCTTCGTGTCAGTCATTTTAACTTAATAGTTTTGCGTTTCAATTTAAATAAAAATTTTACCACTTCTGAACAAAATTATTTTCCCCCTGCCTTGTGAAGGTGAAAAAGGCCTCGAGGACGAAGAAATACTGTTAACCGAAATTAACTGGTCCTCGGATTTCTTTACTTACCGAAAGTTAAGCACGACGAAGAGCAGGATTATTGCTATGTTGAGCATACTGGTGGCATTAGAGTTGACGAAAGTGAAATAGGAGGTTCCACGCTGAAGCAAGTGGTTTATATTACTATCCTAAGAGTGTGTCCGATCTACGGAGGTCAATTTGTGAGACAACTTACCACACACAAACAGAAAAGCAATTACATAGGGATTTAAATTCGTTAAAATGGCTGTTTGCATAGTTTGTTTGGTAACATTCACGTTTGCGATTCTATTGATAGAACGTCAAAATGGACTGGCAAATCATCTTTGCGTGTTAGTTTTGCGCAACAGTTGTCCTTTCGTATGTGTGACCAGAACTGATGCGGCACTAAATAATAGTTCTGTTCAAATAAAAGAGCGTCGCACCTGTATACACCACCCTGGTTGCAACCGGAATTTCAATTTAACAAAGAAACCAGCACGTCTTTTGTTTCATCCATTATACATATTCGCTTTCGTCATCTTGTTACTCTGAAATTAACTCAATTTTAGAGACTAATTCGAAGTTTGAAAGAGACGAATTTATTAGAGAATAAGATATTTTCAAATGTTTTAGTTATTGCCATTCCCGGTCACGGCAGAGCTTTTGTAACAATTTTTCCAAAACAAAATGATACTTCCGACTGGTGAATTTCGCCTGATAGTAAATTATTTCTTTTATTCAAGATTTGATGAAGGTCGACAGAAGAGGCGAATTGTTTACAATACTCTTATTTTCCAAGTTGAAGTGTTTCATAGTCAGTGTTCAAATATTAAGCAACCAAGAAGTAAATTCTATTCCTTTACATCGAGTTTATTACCGGTTGTAGCAAGACGGACTGATTTACAGGGTTACAATTTCATTAAAACACCGCAATTCAGAAATTATCAGCCAATTTACTTGTTTAATAATGTCATATATCAGTCAGGAAAATAATAAGTTAATTTTGTTAAGGTGAGTAAATCTCTGCTTCCATTTTTATATTTTGTCAATACAGGCAAACAAAAAAAAGAGTCTTGCTTTTCAGATTTTTTATCCAAACTCTGGGAGAGTCAGTGGTCCGTTGAAATGGTTTGTTATGAAGGGGTAAATGGATAGAAAAAAAAGAAAGAAAAAAACCCAGATAAGATGGAGAAATGAATACTACTTGGGTGAGACGGAGTTAAAGTAATTGAGTATTTTGTTCTTTCTCTTTCTTGTAGCTATTAGCATGTGAATACTACAGTAATTGTGATTTCATGTATTATAAACTTAGCAACAGATTTGGACAAAGAAATCACGGTTCAGAAAAAGGCCATTTCGAAAAGGAACAAAACAAAATTAAAACAAATGTATTCAATGTTTGAATGACAAAATTACCTTTTTCGTTGCTAAGATATCAAAATCGTTTAAAAATTATTTTGTTATGAGTATTATTGTAGATGTAAACCATTACTATTGCGACCAGTTATTCAGACAAAAACAAAAAAGAAATGAAATATTTATTCTAAAACGTATGCTAGACCTTTAAGAGCAACAATATTCTTTTCAAGTACATGCAATGTGGAAAGAGAAAATCATGTTACGTTTCTGAAAATAAATTTATTGACAATAGAATGAAATACCTATCTCTTCAAAGAAACTGCAGGACTAAGGAGCTAACCCTCTAAGAATTCAATATCATCTACAACATCCTACACCCCACTTCGTTATCTAGATGTCACCTTAACCCTCTAACTCTTGAGATCTGGACCGGGATGTTCAAAGCTGGATTAAGATAACCCAGGGTTAGTGTGAAATCTGATTTGAGATTCAAAGTCCATATAAGAAAATTTAGTCCAATTCTTTTCGTCTACAATTTGATGTTTAAATGCCCTTCGAAGAATAAAGAAAATTACGCCAGAAAGGCTTTTGAACAAAAGGATAAAGAAACTAGGATTGAAATTTAACCCTGGGTTAGTGTTAATCAGCCTTTGAACAACTGGGTGCTAATTACTAATATCAATACTAGTTATAAGAATTTTGAGTAAGATCAATGTAACTTGTCTTTGAGAAGTTTGTGTATTCTCATTACCTGTTTGCTTAATAAGGTATGGATATTAGAGGGAGAAGTTACATGTTAATCATGTCTGGGCATTAAAGGGTTAACAGAAGAACTGAAGGGAAAAAGATCGGGATTTCCTCAAGAATTTTGCAGTGCACAGACCTAAAATTAACAGTACTTTATTCTTGACCATTTAAGGAACAGATGTCATGAACATACCAACTTAATGTACATGTTATGGGTCCTATCACATTACTAATTATATGTTTTCTGAGGTAGCACTTGTATTTAAATATCTATAGCTCACTGTTTAGATATGACAATTACGTCATTCCTGATCTGAATGCAGCTAAAACACTGCCTGTCAGCTCCAATGAATGAGTTAACCCTTTCACTCCTGAGATCTCATCAATTACTTTCCTTACAATCTGCCATACAATTCTTACGATGTTAGTTTGGAGAATTTGGTATTGGATCAACCAAAAATCTCCTAATCGCTATTCTTCTTTACTGTCATCCCTTGTCTGCTTTATATTGAATTGACACTGTAAGGAGAAATTCCCTCTTGATCACTCATGGGAGTTAAAGGGTTAAAGAAAACAGTGATTTCTCTGCTACCATGTTGAAGCCATTGGTTGAGGATTTTGAAGATATGACATCACAACAGCTGATACGGATAATCTGAAACAAAATTAAACATAGGAATGCATTTAATGTCCAGTTATCTAATAATTTGAGTCTTCTTACTACTCCTCCAATGATGGTTTCCCAAAATGTCTTTAAATAATTTACAGTACATGTACATATTAAAAGCAACAATTGACCAACAAAGGACTTCCATGTTTACAGAGCCTCAGCTAAACATGAGGGGTGGAAGAATTCATGACACAGAAGACAGTTAAGAACTCAAGATCTAATTGAGGGTTTAAAAACTTTTGAGAGGTCTTCCAACTTCAAACCCTCTTCCCATCTCCATCCACCTCCCCTGCTGCCAATGAGTGTTTAAATAAGATGCCTTTGCAAAATGTTTCTCAAAACTAAGCACAAATCAACACTGCAACCCTCTTTACATATTTTCATCTATCATAAGAGCATGTACTGTGTCTCAATTGATTTATAAATCGATATAATGCTTGGAGTGGATATCTCCAAAAGAATCGAGTAAATATTTGCTCTTCAACAGTAACTGCAACCAGTTGAATTTTCTGAAAGCAAGAGCTGAAAAAATTATCTTGGCATCCACAGGCTTGAACTCATATTTTGGAGATATTTTGCAGTTATGTGTTACTCATGCCTGAACTTAAAAGACATGATTTATGAAATAAATTGTACAGTGCTTTTGGTATGTAGATGATAAGTTGGAAACTTTGGAAATTAAATGGTTTTTAGAGGTAAAAGCCTATAACCATTGTTCAAATCCATTTCAAACGTTAATATTGCTTCTTATAAATTGGCAAGTATGTTGTACAGTAATGACTACTCACAAGAAACTGCTAAACATCTGCTTGGTATCTTCTGATGAGCGCGAGTTGGAAAACATTATGAATGAACAGTACACAGCTGCCCAAGCTGCCCATTTGAGCTGAGAAATAAGCAAAGATATAATCTTTAAATGTAAAAATTCAGTAAAAAGGGCTGGCAAAAATTAGACTTCATAGACACTTTCTTCTTTTTGTTCCAGCATTATCAAAAATAACTATTTTGCAGACCAGCTGAAATTATACAAGGAGAAGAAATTAGACACAAGGCAACTTACTTTTGTAGTGTTTGTTCCTATTTGGTTAAATACCTCAGCTGTATTCTATTTGTTGGTACACTCTAGATCATAGTCATGTGATTATGGTCACATATCATTGTATGTAATCGAGTTCAAGGTATTCTAATAAAATGTTTGTGTGGAGCGCATGGTCTGATTTATGCATTACTCTAGTAATAGTAGTGTATTAAACCCTAATACACAACAACTGGCAACAAGGATGGCCACTCTTGGAACAATTAAAGTCTTCAACCGTAGTTCAGAAGACTGGAACATATACTGAAAACCTTTCGATCAATACATGATTGTGAATGAAATCAAAGAAGACAAGGAGATTGTGGCCATATTCATGACCTCAATAGGCAGTAAAACTTACAACGTCACAAGAGGTTTGCGAGCCCTGGTGAAGCCATCTAGCACAAAGCTTACAGATTTTGTGTACTTATCACTTTTAAGATTCTTGGCAACAGTACCTCTTATGACCAAGAAGCAAATATCAAAAACATCCAATCTGTTTATTCATAGTGAAAATCAGGTTTATTTGATGGATGACTTGACATAATATTATTTCTTATCTTCACGGTATGTTAACAAGTCTAATTAAAAAAAAAAATGAATCACATATATTTACTACCTTCAAACTAATTTAGTGAGGACAACTAATGTCACGCAAAGAAAGATCTTCGCAGGGGAATTGCAATTTTAGCAATTGTAAACACCCGATGTGTCTGCACGGTGCATTTTTCATCAGTACTTATCAAGGGTTGAGAATACAGCTCATCAAGGACAATTAAAATTCGGTGGTGCTTTCATACTGCATTTTGCTTGGCCAGCCAGCCGGTTTTAAAGATGAAACAATTCATATTAGCCAACCATGAGCCAACAAAAAAGCGAAGAAGAGCCATGAAAGGATATTTGCCACAGCATAAACAATGCGATCTTCTGTTTTACAAAAACTGCATAATTTACATATGTCCACGGTTTATTTTTTTTCTATGAGTATGGTTCGCGTACCTAAAAATCTATCAACTAAGAGATGTGCGTGCGAGTTTCAACGTAAGCACAACGATGTCTGGAGTCGAGAGATCCATGTTATCGTGATTAGTCATACCTTCATCAGAAGCCCACACATACTGAATATCATCCCTAGAATGTTCATATACTCTGCTGTCGGATCATCTGTAGGTTTTATAGTCACTGGCTTGTAACGGAAGATCTTATTAGGCCTTCTGGGGTCTTCTTTTGTAGAAGAATACGAACCACTGGCAGCCGGCATGTTGAAAATCAGCAAGGAACTTCCCAGCAGGCTTTGGGCGGAAAATTCAATATAGTGAATGGGTCAAGTGGCCACGAGCAGACCTGATTAACATGAATAGGCATTCCTATTTACCGCATAGAATCCTCTTTCTAAGTTCAAGCCTTATCACATCATATCTTGTTTATTTAAATCCTGTTTTTGTTCATAAACCCATAAATCATCAACTTATCAGCACTATCAATGATGATTAAATTCTGAAACTTCTTAATATCCGTCAGGCGCAGACAGGCTGACACGAGCAATCCTGGTGACTAAAAATAAACAATAAATAGTTCCACGTGCATTTGAATACTCACACACGTTACTCGAGCGCTGGTGATATCATGGCTTATAGTGCCTCTTTTCGTTTACTTTACTTTGTATTTTCAGCTATTGCTTTTGTGTGCCTCGTAGATGGAGAGAAGTGTAAAACTCTCGAAGGAAAGTGGTACAATCAACTGGGCTCAGAAGTTTACCTAGAGCATGATACCAATGGTACCCTCTATGGGGAGTACAGAACTGCGGTTGAGAGACGCAATGGCTCTGCCGGAGTGGATCACTCTATTGTGTTAGGTAAAGTACTCCTCGCATTTTGATTGAGAGGTATTGATGTGTACGCTAGGGTGAGTTTATGTGCAATATTTCGACATGGCGTTTGCTTTCCTAGAAGATGCTCTAAAAATATATTTATGTACTTCTCGACAAGATTAAGTTGATTATTTACATATATATTAGACACTATTTCTTAGTAAGTTCAACAATGTGGTTATTCACACTCATGATAAGCTGAATGTATGACGTAACATTCCGTGTCCGTTTCACATGATTGATCAGGTGCAAAGTTCGTCTAGAAATGAGTCAAGACGATAGCTCTTTGGGGCACCAGACTGATTGAATTATGAAAATTTTATAATCTTTGTTTTTTTAACTTTCATTCGGACAGGCTTTCTTTACTTCTTATTAAGGCAAAATTCTGGTCATGTCCATACACGACAAACATGCTTCAGGCACATTTGTTTCAAATGTTTAGATGCAATATATGTGATAAATCGTCGTTTGAATGTTTCCCAGAGAGCAATTTGTGAGGAAATCAAGTGAAGTCAAAATGATTTGGCAAGATTTCTGTAAAATCCCATACTTCATTATGCACACAGGGCTTGTATAAAAGAAGACAATGAATTGCAAAACAATAGATTACCTTTAGGACCACATCTTTGTTTTAGAGTAGTCTGGGGGTTAAGGGGTTAGAAGGAAATATTTCCAGTGAATAACACTATGGGGCATCTAACTATTGTTTTATACAGAATGAAAGTGCTAATTTTTGTTATATTTAAAATTGAGTAGCTTCTAATTTTGAATCTCGATATTTTAGAAAAATTGCAGGTCATTGTTTCATGATATCCTTGTTCTTTGCTTTGTCTTGAAAATAATCAAGTTATTTATTAATAACATGTGATTCATTAACATAGATATGATCTTCATAAGTCCTTGTGATGTATTATAAACAATTCACTCCCCAGTCACATGTTAAGTCAGAAGCCAAAAGTGAAAAGAAAAAGACTAACCATGTGAAATGCATGTGAAACATACATGTATGTGAAAACCCATGTGCAAATTTTTTTTTCTGTTATTCCTAGTAATTTTATTTTGCGTCACTTAAAAATGCATATTCATCTGTTGTTTGACACTAGTCCACCTCAGAGTGAATTTCACAAGTGTGTAAAAATGTTCATCCCTTGAATTAAAAAAAACCCCATAAAAACATGTGTAAAATGTTCTTTTTTTGTTATAATGTATTTAATTGAGTTTGGTTTGTGTATACAATGTAGACTACTTGCAGGTTTATGCCATTACTGTTATCAATTTTTATTTTTATCTATTGAATGTATTGTATAAAAGTCTCTATACACATAATTTGACATAAATGAAAGAGATTATATTAGAAGCAAAAACAATAAAAACAAAACAAGCTTTTAAGTGAAATAATAATAAAATTGTGACAAGGCAGTCAAATAATTACTTATTGGTATAAATAATGAGAGCAGTACACATACATGTAATGAATGTATGCCTTGTTATTTCAGTTTTTTAAATGAAAATGTACCAATTGAGGTAAAGAAGCCTTGATATCCAAATTTGTCATGAAACATCCCATGAATGCCATAACCCATAGGCACCCTACAGAAAAAAAAAAGTACCTGCCCATCCTGTGTGAGGCTGTCACCTATGATTTATTAATTTAGGTCTTATTTCAGTTTGGAATGATATCTTGGAGAGTTTTGCTCAGTTGAAATTATTTTATAAATGAATTTTGGTGTTCTTTGTTTTATTTTGTTTTACCAGATAATATTTGTACATTTTGTTCATTAGTCAGTAAGCTTTACAGTTGTACTTGGTTTAAACTTACTGCACCTGCAACTGACTATACCCCCCTTTCTATTCATTTACTGAAGAAAAACATTGTAACCTCCACTTTGTGATGTTGGTAGAATTCTTGAAATGTTGTCTTCCCAAATTCTACATCATTGTTTAGATCAATAAAGAGATAAAAAGGACAGTATTTTTCTAATTGACATAGGACTGAGAAGTGCAGGTACAAACTCTCCAAATTAGTTTGGTGGGTTACAATTATACTCAGTTTTGTATTTTGGTAAATGTTTGTCTTTCCAAAGAAAGATGACAGAAAATGACTTGCCTACTACTCATGTCTGTTTGGCCAATAAATTATGGCAGGGATGATTGTTTTTTGTTTTGTTTTGTTTTTTTTCCTAGGAAGCTACTGTGAAATTATTTAAACTTAAAATTGTAGGAAATCCAAAGACACGAAAACCAAGATACATACCTCTGTTACTTTCCAATGTTTATTAAATCTCTGTGAATGATATCAAATACTATTTAATCTATTCCATTTCTGTTATAGGAAATAAAGCATGATTGGTTTTAGGTGTATGGAAAGTAAGGTTAATATTTTCTCTTTTATTGTCATAGGTTCTGCACCATATAACTTCCCTGGTGCAGTCTTTGCTTTTTCAGTGGTCTGGCGAACTGGCATCTCAACAACAGTGTGGACTGGTCAATGTTTAGTCCGTGAGGATGGCCAGGAGACTCTCCTCACATCATGGCTACTACGTTCCAGTGTTGATACCTGTATAGACAAGTGGAAATCAACTATGATTGGTCGTGACACATTCACCAGATATGAGCAGCTTTCTGGTCCTCGGAAACCTGATGAAGGAAAAACAGAAGTATCAACAAAAATTGATAAAATAATCCATAATTTTGGCCCTGATGTCAAAAACCAATTGTGTAATTTGAATGGAAACTGGTATAACACCCTGGGCTCTGAGATGATTCTCAAACAGAGAGCAGATAATGTAATTGAAGGGGAATATCGCACAGCTGTTGAGAGAGAAACAGGTGCAGCAGGTAACAGCCATTCTAAGGTGTTTGGAATTGGACAGCTTGGTAGCTCAAGCAGCACATTTTCCTTCTTTGTGGTATGGAAGAATGGTAGTTCTGTCACTGGATGGGTGGGACAGTGCCACATTTGTGGTGAAAATAAAACAGAGATCATTGAAAGTACCTGGCTACTGAGGAAACGGGTGGAAAAGGTGGAAGACAACTGGAGTTCAACTTGGTACAGTGAAGATAGCTTTACTCGCACTGAGACTACACCAGGACCTAGGAAAAAGGACAACACACATACACCAGACGGGAGTGTAGATGAATCTCCAAAGACTTGTGATGGGTGTCATCCTCTGTTTTCTTTTGTCCTTTTGGGCTTGAGTGTGCTAGTGTCTTTATTGTTGTAAACAATCCAGCTGACCTACAAGTGATATATACTATGCTGATTTTTAAAGTGGTCTCAGTTTTGTTTCAATAGTTAGGGTTTTAAATTTCCCCTCTGCTTCATGGAAATGTCCAAAATTGTAGTATCTTGGTTGTTTTAATAACAAATGAATGAAAACAATGCAGGTATACATACTCAGAGACAGATAGGGCTAGCCATATAACATGGTGAGATCATGTTATTTTGGGTGCAATTTACAGAAGTGAAACACCAGTCAATATAATTTCCAGCATTTCCCTATCAAGTAACAGTTTTTTTCTTTATATGTATTTTTTAACTGTCCAGTCAAAGATCCGAACGGCTTGTTATCAATAATCATTGTAACAACTTTGATGTAATATTTTTGTACATTAATTAATATGTTACTTTTGATTCAAGCCCTGGTTAACTGTGTATGTTTTCTCTTGTGCCAAACAGAACTCTGTGTTCCTCTTTGGGTTATTCTTGTTGGGGTCAAGAATACAAAATTTGCCCTCACAGGAAAATAGTAATTATTGTAATTCTTGTCATCAATAATTGATAGAACTTAATGATTAACTTTTTGGTGAAAATGTATTTTGTTCTAGTTTGCAAAATTCAAGCCAGGAAAAGCATGCGGCAAGTATTACTAGTGTTGTGGTGTTAAGGAAAAGTTGTGCCTAAAAATTTTTCTTTTTGCTGATTTTACTCTTACTATGGAGTACTTTGTGGCAATTTAGTAGTTATTTTATACTGACTTTTAACTTTGATTTCTTTCAATCAACTTGAGGATATATTTTTGATAAATTACATGTGTGTTCTATTTTGTCATACAGCACATCAGTAATCATTGTACAACTGCTCAAGTAACAACCAATTATATTTTTCAAACTTTTTTATACATCTTGGTATCAGTCGAGGAAGTCTGTTATTTGAAAAACACTGTACTCAGTGTTTTTCTTTTACAATACAGATATCATATCTTTTTAATGGATGATATTTAATTCCGCATAATGGCAGTTGGTGAAAAAAAACTGTTTTGTATTTAATTACCTATGACGTCACACAATCTTATGTCTAACAGAATATGTAATGCACATGTCCTATTTAACCATGTTAACATGGGTCAAATTCAAATGAATGTGAATGAGTATGTCTTTCCAAAGAGTTATTAATTTTCTGTCATTTACATTGTATTTGATCAATATTTAAAGAATATTCACCTTTGTAAACCAGTCAGCAAAGCTGGTTAGGAGTATGCTTTTAGAGTGCTATCATGTGATGAGAATGCGAGAATTGTTTTATTCATAAAGTGTACGCTTGAGTAAAATTTAGGGTAGCTGTCTAATTTTAATCATGAGGCAGTCAGGATTTTAAATATTGTGTTCGAAATGTTTTGCTCGATGTGTTGCAAATTGAGTGATAAGTTATTTCCTGTTGTCAGCTGTAAAAAATAGGTACAGAATAAATCAAAAATGAGTATGGATGTGTGATTCATTTTGATGCAACTGGGGAGTCGTACTCTAGCTTCTTACAGTACTACGGGCTGGTAGGCCCAGGCCTTCAAATTTTTCCGTTTGCTTTTCAATTTTATAATATGACTTGCAAATATTAACAAAAACATTTCTTCCTTAGAGAAGAGGCCTACAACAAATCGCAAAGCTGGTTATGCCTCTGCCAAACATTTAATATTAATATTATAATGATCATCAGATTTTTTCTTGGCTTTAGGAGCCTTCAAAGGTCACTCTCCCGGCACCCCTTTCCTCCTCCCTTTTTTATTCTCTTTGACTATTTGACTAAGTCACATTTGAGCCTCTCTGTAATCTTCCTTCCAGTTAGCTGCTGTACATCTCCATATGTGTTCGTCAAGAAAATTTTGGAATTGCATTGACAGAGTCTCAATGAGGTTAACCGATAGCCGTTGAAACTGTCAAAAACCAAAAAATTAGCCATTAAGCGTAAAAATAGACATTTTAACCGAAAGTCGTAAAAAAAGTTCACCGTAAAAAAATTCTGGTGACAACAACGGAATGACATCACCCATTGACCGTGAAATGGCCAACATTTTAACCATTAGCCGTCAGTAAAAGCCATCAACACATTGAGACCATTTATTGAGATAAAACCCTCACGCTAACATTTTTTTAACGAATTTTCGTCATCATATTAAGTCTTCAATGATTCACGGATAGTGTATAGAGATATACCATGTTATAAATCACTCGCCTCCGGCTCCTGATTTACAAACTTTTCGAGTGTTCTCCAAACATCCCGAGTGGGTTATTACGCCAGCGTCAGGTCTCATTGTGTCTCATGCATGCTCATTATTTCGCTTCCAAATCTCTTCCTTGGCATTAAGCTGGCCATGAAACCTTTTAATCTTGCTATGTTAGCATGACGCAGATTATAAAGCGCTCTATTTGCACACATTATAAGACGGAAAGTTACTGTCACTCTGTCTTATTGATCAGAGTGGTGTTTGAAATAGTTACCTGAAAAAATTCAGATTGAAATACAACCTGATTCTTCGCAAACAAAACGGCATCTTTAGTGTACGCTGGAAAGCAACGCAGCACATTTGTGTTTCACTCTAGCCGAATAAATAATCAACTTTCGTCCCTCAAAGCCACGCATGAATTTTTAAAACAGGTTAAGTCACAACCCAAATCAATTATCGTGAAAGTGATGAAATGATTTCTTCCTACAATGTAATTAGGCACTCTGGATTTGCTGCCACTTCATTGGTCCAGATAAGAAAACACTTCAGTAGCTCACCATGACAGCTTTAGGTAGTAGTCTTCCTACTCCAAAATCAATAAGTGTACAGCTGGGAGTGAAACATAGTCGATCATTAATTATCTGCGCAATCAAAAAAGCAGCGTTTCTCATTTGACTTTGTCAAGAGCACAAAAACCCATAAACGATTTGTTTCTTTAGGGTTCATATGAGAATTATTTTCCTAGATTTAAGAGTGGGTGATGATGCCTCAACCTAAAATAGGAATAGCCTTGTCCAGCTCCAAATATTTCTTAACATCGATCTTTGAAAGATATTCATTGCTTCAAATTAATTATAGATCTTGTAAGACACTCTTTACAATAAGGAGTTATGTTTTTTCATTTTGTCTCCAGGCTGTGGGCATCCCTTCTATATTTTTACAAAGCTACTGACATCTTGAGCGGTATTCTCAAACACCAGAAGCATACAACCTTCTGCTAACACTAAAAACCCGCTTCCAAACCTAAATGTAGGGAAGAGAAGTAGGGGCCTTTGCTAAAAAAAGATCACTTCATCTTGTTTCGTTTCCTGACATTTTCAAGGATTGTATTTCAAAGCTATTCGTATCTTGATATTGTTTGTAAAAGACGACAGACAAGAAATCGGAAGCCTTTCGGGATCGGCAACTACCGGAACATAAGAGAAACAAGCCCCAGGTCCTCGTTTGGAAAGCGGATAACGCTACAAAGCCGCGTAAATCGCTACATATTCGCCTGTGGATGACCTTGTTTTTTTTTTCGTTAACGCTTATTTCCTTTCGTTTGTATGGTATAATAGTCCCGAAGTTGCATGTTACTTAGTAAAGACCGTTTCTGATTCATCTTAACTCGTCTGGTGGCCGTATATTGATTCTTGGATAGGGTCGAAAAACTACCCATTCGTTGAAAAAAATCACATCCTCAAACCAACCCAGTAGCCAAGGTCGTTTTCTTTTATTCATCCCAAAGGGTCTCTGAAGAGTCTTTTATTGACTGTCGTTTAAAGAAAGAGACAGAATACGACGTATTCGTTGACACATTTCCTTCAAAGCACTTCTAAAGTCTGGCATTCTGATGACATAAACCCACGGATCAATAACAGCACTGAAGTATGAGATAACAGAAGCACTGAGCCAAATTTTTCTTTCAAAACCGTCGCATTTCACTCTTGCGATTTCAACATCGGTGGCTAGAGGGAACATGCTGATGAGAAAACTCGGCATGAAGAGAGCAATGAATAATCCTGTGATGATCCCAAATGTGCATGCCGTCTTTCTTTGTCGTCTATTTTCTGCCATTTGTTGAGCATTTGTGATGTTTTCACGCGCAGGAAATGTACTTCTTGTTACTTTGTATATTTTGAAATAACAGAAAGCTATTATGCAAAATGGTATCAACACAGAAATGATACCTCCACACATCCAGATTTTTGCTACGTGTTTGAAAGGAATAAAGTGAGCTGTGAACACACCCATGAAAGCAAGAAACCATGGAAATACTGTCATTAGTAAGCATCTTTTCAAAGTCATTCTGTCATGATAATGTAAAGGCGACGTAATTGCAACGAATCTATCCACTGCTACGTTACTCAAACTATAAGTTACGGAAGTTGTGGTGAAAAACCATACAGTAGTTTCCATTTTCACGAAGGTATTTTCGCTTCTTCCATAATTTCGAACGAAGTACAGATTAGCTGTGATCCCTGAGAGAAGTTCTGCCGCAGCGAGAGATGCCATAAAAAATCGGGCTGTAGGTCGCAATGAGCGAATGTATCGCACTGCTAAAATAACGGTCAGATTTTCTGCAATAGCTAATAATCCAGAAGTCCAGCATATTGCACCTAGGACTCTGACAAAAGTCAGCGACAGATCTTCGCAAGCCATAGCTTGATATCAAATCGCGCTCTCAAAATGTAAATTCAAAAATATATCAACCTTGTTATGCTTGTGCTATTGATTTTGATCAAAACCCTGAGATCGGTTGACGTATTGAAATTGTCAACTTTGCCACAAATTTCAAACATTAGTAATTTCGCAAACATCTTTCTCTACTCATCCACCAATCAGACGACGACAAATTGAAATAATTTTTAGTTCTAAAAATTTATTTGTTGGTGGTCTTCCTCAGCTGTCGTAATAGACAAATAAATGGTCGAAATGGCACCAAGTGGAGTCCAATTCGGCTTGTAATCATACGAAAGATTAAAAAAATCGAACCACCGCTTTGCGGGAGTCCGACTCAATAATCGCGCGAGTATGGCGATATTCCCCACGAGCAGGCGCATATTATTGGCGCTGCGGGACGCGCATTTCTCCGCCCGCGGGAAGATTTGAGACGAGTAAGGGAGAGGATTTACAAGGGTTTGGCACTAATATGAGTACCAGACCCCTTGTCGGACCTTTCGCCAGCTCGCATTGCTTAGTATTCATATTTTCCTGCGGGCGAAGAATCACTCTTGCCGAAGCCCAGATAATAAGGGCCTGTTCATAGGCTAGAATAATGTAAATGATGACGATGAGGGCACAAATGAGGCCACTGATGATCAATCATATTTGAGAGTTTTATTACCGTTTTGACTTAGTACAGAATATTTCTTCCTCGTCACTACAAAAAGCATGGCGCTTTCTGTAACAAAACAAATTACACTGCGGTTACTGTTACCAGAATCACTCCCACAAAACTCAGCAACTCGATTACAGGAAACCTGAAATGAGTTTCAACTAAATTCTCTGCCATCTTCCCTTGCCTTGATCTCAAACACTGATTAGCACAGTTGACAGATTTAGCTAAAGTCACTGTCCGGTTCGCTTCCAACATTTTGATTAGTTAATTTTGTTGTAGTGACTCAGTAAAAGTAAAGGCACTTGAACCTACAAGCTAGTTAATGCAACAGAATGTTAAGAACTAAATTACAACTCTTTGAGTCACTTTGATTGCGTAGGATATAAAAAAATTTTTTTGGAGCAGACTAACACCAACGAGTAAAGAAAGAAATACGAGGTTGAGAATGAAAAAACATTTAGCTTAGCTCTTCAAGAGGCAATATCCATGACGTGGCTTACAACATAAATGACTAAGCAACCAGGTTTCGTTCGTCAGAGTCATCCTAGATCGGCCATGCATATTCTGGGGACGATAAGATAGGATCTGGTTACTGCTCTTCTTTAATGCACTGATTTGGGGAATGAGAAGTTGACTTACGATATACAGTAGATATTTCCTAATCTTGGTGGACTAATCTTTCAGGTGCACCTGATTGAACCGTCCTATCATTTTGCCAGCCATTCAACAAAAATACTACGAGACAAATGTAATACTCTATTTACATTTTTGACTTCTCTTGAATTTTACAAAAGCAGAAAAAGAAGGAACTTTCAAAACCTCTTTCTCCCTTCCTTTATTTCCAGGCGAGTTGGTCAGTTCTACAGCACGTTGTTCTCTATAAATACAAATGTTTCCACTTTTCTGGATTGAACTTCCACAACTGCTGAGTTACAAATTGGTAAAATGAAAAACTCAACATTATTTCAGAAGCGTACTTTGATGATTTCGCTGTACGGATCCGACTCTTCCGATAAAACTCTAACCGGTGAAAATAGTGTTTGAATAGAGGTGTGACTTTTTAAACCCTTGAGGTTACTGCACTTGAAGTAGAAGATACGTTATACATTTGTGTCTTTTTGACAGGGTCTCATTTACATCTCTAGTGACTAAAAATTCGGATTGTAAATCGGAGCGAGTTCGTACATGGTCTTTTCCAAAGCTTTCCAGAAGACGCTTTCACATCACATTCGATTGATAAACAATTCTCGTGCGAGCCTGTCTCAACATCGTCTTTTCCACCAACTACAAGGAACTAAACGCAAATTTATCCACTTTCTACCAGAACGCGTCAAGCTTACTTCATGGCCAAGTTGCGATGTTTCTCGCGTACAGCCGAGTGACGACACTTTTGACAGTTTTTAGCTCAGCTCAAATCCTGCGCCTGATTCTACAGCATATAACAGTTTCTCTTTCATGGTTTCGTCGTCCAAATACTCTGGTAACTTGAGTAAGTTCATACATGTACTGGCTGACGGGAGTCTATCCTCAGGCCCCGCACTGTGCACACAGAAGGGAGGGTGGAGTTCCTAAAGGAAAAAGAGAAAATAATAAATACAAAAATTAAAAAAAATTAAATAGACGTTACATTTTAGCAGTGACAGATTCACGAAATGGTTCTTCTCGTCCACTGTTTCCACTTCGAAGTGCAACGTAGAATGTTGCTCTCTTTTTCTGGAACGAAAAACTGGAGAACTCAGAAACAAACCCTTGCAACATGAAAGAGAACTAACAACAATGAATCGAACCCAGGCTTCAGCGGTGAAAGGCAAGCGCTCTAACACTGCGTCATCCCTGCTTCCCTCGATAAGTAATGTAAAGGAAAGACAAGGATGGAATCAAGGTACTCTTTACCTACTTCACAACTTGATGGAGGATATACCCCGCCCGTGCCACTTAAGTAAGTGTAGGATCAAGAGACTTAGCTGACCTTAAAACCGAGGAGTGGAGGACGCGAGCAGCTCGTTACGAATTTCAACAGCTGACGCTTCTGTGTATCCGTGAACTGACCGACAACTCGCCAAAATGAAAGCATACAGGGATGGTCTTCCGTAAAGCCACCTGAAATGTTTAGGAGTTGTTAATATCGTTACAAACGATCTACGTCGCTGCTTGAGCATCTTGAGAATTTAATTGCAATCTTTCTCAGGGCGATCATCAAAATTCGTGTAAATCTTCTCCACCCTAAACTATTCTTCACCCGTTTTCATTTAGTCTTTTCAGTTTCTTGTTAGTCTACCTTATTAGACAAAAATTTTTTGTTTTCCTGATATTTTAGGAAAATTTGCGCATCGCAAACAATGACTCTCACGTGCCCTTCTGTTAATAACCCTTCATGTTGTGACTGCCGATCTAAGTAAACGAAACAACATAACGAACCAATAAGATCTCAGAGTAATTTCACGTAACCATCACCAGTTAATATGACCATCCTACCAACAGTCTTGTACCTGAATAGTTTGTGTTTCTTTTAAGGTCCTCCAAGTCTACTGGAACTAAGGCACCTGATATAAGTACCTACACAAAAAAAAAAATCACAAAAAAAATAGGTTGGTAGCTTGATGCCAAGGAGAAAACAAAATTCTTAAATATAAAACATGGTTTCACAGAATTCACCGACAAAGAGACTCGAACCATTTTTCTTAAAAATATATCTGCATATTAACTCTTTAACCCCTAACAGTGATTAGTAACTATTCTCTCCTGTCAGTATCACCCCTAAAGTAAACATTGAGGTTATGAGGATAAAGGAAATGATCACCAACTAAAGAAGCTCTTGATTGTTAAACAAATTCTCTTTTTTAGTACCATAGAAAATGTACAAGGAACAGTCTGGAAAAAATGTATACTGAAGTTAGGAGGTAAAGGGTTAAGAGACAAAATCACCTGTAGTTCGTTGTGATCAAACATCCTTAGCCAGTCTAGGTTGATGACATCTGATAGGCCTGCCCTGAATGCTACACAGTGACGATGAATCTAAAACAAATGGCAACAGAGAGATTACATTAACTTCTCAAGTTTGCCACAATCAAGCCAAGTGTAAAATAACAACATAACAAAATATGGGTGTAAACAAAGCCACCTCTTTAGATAACATGACAAAATAAATAGGTGGTAAAAAGAGACTTTTCGGACTGACCTGTTTGTTCAGCCTGTAGTCGGCCACAAGATGAATATAGCTGATTCTGTTGCTGGTGGTGACAGGAATATCTCGACCACCTGGTTTTAACTCCACAACCTGTAAAGCAACGATAGAGAATGGCCTCAGAGGCATGAGCAGAAGGGAGCGGGGGGGGGGGTGAGGTAAACCAGCGTCGCATTTAAGTTTGGAAGGTGGGGAGGGAAGGGTGTTTCAGGAGAGTAAAAAAATTATATGAAAGCTAGCAGCTCGAATTACCTGGCTTTCTCCAAGGTCATTATTCACCACTGTGAAATTTAGTGACAGTTCTTCGACATTTCCACTGTAATTTTTAAGAAACAGCAAGTTTCTAAAAGAAAAAAAATTAAAGAATACATAAATATTTCCTTTTCTTTACACCACAATAAATAGTAGAAATGTTAGAGGTAAGTCTCTAACTTCCAGGGCACTTATTTAGCAAGGCTAAGATACCTGTGGGGGATACCTGTAGGATACATGTTTTGAATCAATTGTCACAGACTTTTAAGAAGCTTTCCACAAGAATGACTTGAAGCCTACGATAAATTTCGGCTCTTAACCCTGTAACTCCCGTGAATGATCAAGACAGAATTTCTTATCACAATATCAATACACCACCAAGCAGACAAGTGATGAGAATAAGGAAAATTGTCAACTAGGGGACTATAAATTGATCCAAAGATAAATTGGAATAATAAGAATAAATAAGAATTGTATGGCAGACAGTAATATGAATTATTATCGAGATCTGGGAGTGAAATAGTTAAGTCAATACAGAGGTAGGCTTTCTCCAACAGCTCTATTTATTTTACGTTACACATCAAGTTATCCCACCTTAAAATATTTCTAGTTTATCTTCCTAGAGACATTTTATGATTGTGACTAAAATCTTGAATTCTTCCAAGAAATCGTGCATGACCTAAATCTCAGTTTTCACGATAATTTCGACTATCATCCTCGCCTTTTCCTTGCTACGCAAACTAACTAAGGCTCTCTGTGCCAATTGTCCGTTCAACATAAACCTCACCTGTACATTTCTGGATCAAGGGACTCCAAGTGATGTATATCTACATCGGTACCGTGCTTACTGAGAAGTTTACACAGAAAGAAGCTCGCGAATGGTAGCTCTACCAACATGTTCTCATACAACGCCTAAATAAACAAACAAACAAATAAACCAATCGCAAAATATTGACATCTCGCAGTGCGATAAGTCATAGAATAATTCTTAGCAAGCACTCTTGTGATTCTCAACAAATCGCGTTAATCGATCGGAATTTGAGACTCGTTGAAAAGAAGTGAAAAGAATGAGGTTTGTTCTCATTGATTAGCTGGGTTTCCTGTGCCACTTTTACTATCAGCATCACTCACACAAAATCAACCAATCAGATTACAGTGATTCCGACTAAATCATTCCATTGTGCTAATCATTACTTAACGTCAAAGGAAGCGATGACAAAGAACTTAGATGGAATTCTTTGCTCGTTTCCCATACTTGGTCAATTTTGTGTAACCTTTGTAAAATAAGCTGCAGCGTAAGAATAAGTCTTTTGAGCCGGGTTAAATCAAATAAATAGCTTAGCGAAGACAACACAAAAAATGTTCCGAAACCGAAGAGAGAGAAGGAAAAAGGAAAAAAAGTAATAACAAAAACAACCAAATGAACAAAATTTAAATCAAACAAACAAATAATCAAGTTAAACTTATGAAAACCACAAAGGGTGATTTAAAAAAAAGTAGGACTAACCTTTCCTAACATTCGTCCCAGAAAATGATAGTGTTTCAGATAATTCCTCTCTAAAATAGCAGCCTGGGTAAAACAAAACATACAAAAATACTAAAAGACCTGCATAATTTAGTGCTGAAGCTCCTAACAATATCGACACAGCCTCTGGTAAACAGGTAACGAGAGTATAACAGGGTATTTTAGTATTATCAACTGAGTTGATACCGTAAATTTGCTACTGTAAAGAGTTTAAAAGCTGACGTTTCGATTATTAGCCTTTCGTGAGAGCGATTGCTCGCAACGTCAGCTTTTAAACTCTTTACGGTGGCCAATTTACATTATCAACTCAGTTGTTAATACTAAATTACCCTGCTATACTCTCCCACCGACGCAGCACCACGGTTTCTTTAGAAACTAACCCCCCCCCCCTTATTTCTTTAGGTAATGAGAGTAGACAAATTTATCTGCAAGAAGCGGTTATCTTGATGTAACACCAAATTCTCTGAACTAAATTACAAGTAAATGTGTAGAGCATAAATGAGAGAATTACAGTCAGAGCACAAACATACCTCTGGTTTGGGATAAAGGAGTCGCTCATGTGTTGCCTTGAAGAAACCGATGTTAGGATCAAATCCAGCTTTGAGCAACTGATTTAAAAATTCTCTGTATGAAAGGAGTACGGGAAATGAAAAAAGCGCGTATGATTAAATCAGATTAAATCGTTAAGCAAGAGTAGTTAGAGGGGCTTATCAAAAATATGTCCGGCGATCTAAAGTTTTCGTGGCCGTCATTTAAAATCCGTTTCAATCTTCTCAATCTTTAACCGTTCTCGTTCCTTTTTGTTGTCTCTTTTTGTTTTTTAATCCCAGCAGACAACTATTTCGAGACGTTTTCCTACATTAAGGCTTTTCGTACGAAACTAAAATAAGTCAATAAATCGTGACTTAGCTCTTTTAGGTGATGTAGCAATAGCTCTTGGGAGGGAGAGTATCGACAGCAAATTGGTACTTATAAGTGCATGTGTTTCAGTGTGTATGTCGTGCTACGTCTCCAACATTCCATTTTCATTAAGAACACACTTGATAAATTCTCAACGTTTGACAGAGGCATCAAAACCTCTTTCCACAGAATATCGAGTCTTCCAAGTACAGATCGAGAGAATATAAAGTTTTTCATTAGTCAAAGTTAATCTCTCACCTGAAAATTCCGCCCCCGTCCACTCCTGCTTCCTCCAGTCCTTGAGCATTTATCATCCGAACGCGAAGCTTTTGTCTTAAATTTGGTGCTGTTAGAGGAAAAGTAGCCACAAACTATGAGGTGTTTGAGTAAAATAGAAGACAAATAAAAAATATATTTTATGAACAAAATTATTATATATTAATATACTTTAAATTCCATGAGTGACCAAGGCAGAATTTCTCCTCACAATATCAATACAATATCAACCAGATAAGTGATGAGAATAAAGAAAAATATCAATTTGGGAATAATAAGTTGATTGAAAATTAAATTCTGTGAACTAGCATTATAAGAATTGTATGGTTGACAGTAAGGAGAGTTACAAATTTGATCTGGGAGTTAAAGGGTTAAATATAGCCGTTATTCGACGACGAACCGCAAAATTTACCATCTCCCTCACCCTGTGTGTACACTGAATATTGACTATCATTAGACAGGACACTTGTCACGTATGAAACTGGAAGATAACCTGGCCCACTAACGAGTTCCCTGAAGCTTAGTTGTAGAGCATCCGCGAAATCTTTAGATCTGATGTTCGTTTAATTTTGGGAACTTACACCTTTTTAAATGTGTCACGTTCGTGACTAAAGCTTACATATTTCTCTAAGTTCAAACGTTTGGCTAATTATCTCTAACGACCTTTGTCTTCGGTCAGCTGATCAAAAGCATCTTGATAGATGTAGTTTCTGTTCACTGTCACATCTATGGCTGGTCCCATCATAAAGTTATGCAGCTCTCCCTGGGAATCCAAACGATTTTTTGCGACGATTCTCTGGAGCAACTAAGAAACAAAACACACCAATTGTGAGCGAACCTTAACATATCTCCCTTCTACGTATTTTAGCACCCTTCTCCATAAAGTATCGTAAATCTAAAATAATACTGATCAAAATTATTAGCCAATCAGATCAAAGGTATCTGTCAAAGTAAATGGCGGGAAAAAGCAAGTCGCCATTGATTTGGTTTTGTATCTGATTGGTTGTGCAAGTTTACTAACAAGTGCAATCTCAGATTATTTTTAAGGCTGTATGAAAATTGCTCTTAAATCGTTTACAAAAGCAACCTCACCTTAACTCGGTCTTTAAAAGGAACAACAAACGGAATGTACTGAAGAATGGCCATGTTCCTAGCTGTGCTGGAAGATAGAACTCCTTCTACGGTACCTTAAAGCAAACAATGGATGAAAGGTGAATCCTTACATCCAAAAGAGAAAGACGAACTGACACGGATAACATCTATCCCTTAAAACGATAGTACACAAGAACAAGAGGGCCATTAATTTCCCCGCAGTTGTTCTTCACGACGGGAGCGTTGTCTGAAATTTCATAGAATGGCTGCGAAGGAGGCCAGAACACCTGAACTAGAAGGCTATCTGAGTGCGCAGAATTTTTCTGGAAATGTTCCTGCTTGTTCGCTAGGTCTGCCAAAAAACCATATCTTAAGCCCATTTCAACCGCAACCGCACTTAAAAATGGGATTTGAGCCCTCTACAAAGCATCTGAATATGTATCCCCTTAGCTCATATAGATAATCAGACGTTTGCCACCGTTAAACGTGAACAAAGAATCGCAAGTTACCTTCTTCATTGAGAAAACCGTCAATTTTCATCTGTTCAGAGGATAAAAACGAATAACATCAAGTTAAACGGTTTAAAATTCTTAAACGTTCAAGAATCTCAACCTTTAAATGAGGAAATCTTTAAGAATACAAGCAAATGACCAAATGAGATAATCACAGAACAAGAAGCCGGCAGAAGAAAACGATTTTGAGTCAAGAAGGGCTTTACTCCTACCTCCAAATTGGTTAGAAAAAACAATTTTTCAAGATTTTCCAACTACTGAACAATTTCCTCATAATTGGTCAAAAACAAGTACAAAGAATCGGAAAGTGAAGCTTTCTCAAGGTTGTGAAACTACAATTACAACATTACTACGAGACGACAGACTGAAACATAAAAAATAGGGGCCTGAAATTAAATTTGAATGCTAAAATTTTTTTAAACAATCGAGCATCCGAAAAAATAAGAATCCTGTCTACCTGTGCTGGGTCTATGTTAACTCTGTGTGACAGCCAGTGGCCTTCAGGACAGAACTGTCTCCTGGAGTCTCTTGAATGGAGCTGCCGAACAAGGCAGGTCACGTCCTATTGAGGAGGAAAACAACTTTTATGTCAAAGAACAGTATAATCATGGGCAGAAAATTAAGGAATTTATCATAAATGTGCATTATAGCTTAGCCGGATACACGGCGTACACCTGTAGTGAACATACTATTATAGTGGTTGGTAACAGGCACTATGTTTGAGCTGTTTTGTCTTGTCTTGGAATACAGAGATCGTTACCCTCGTCTGAGCTCAACACAAACTACAAGTCCAAGATCACAATCACTGCATGAAAATACCAAATACTGGTTTGCATTACACTTAGGAGGGGAAAATTAAAACCACAAAACCGTTGGAAAAAATCATCCAAAACCACAAAAGCAAAAAAAAATGCAAAACCGTTAATCAAAACCATAATCGATCCGATACAAACATCCATAAGAAAACTTAGCAGAGTGCAAATGGAAAAAGAAACGCTGCAATGAAAACCTATTTTTTCGTCAGAAGGAAAACCGATGACTGAACACAAAACTATCACAAAAACCGAAAAATAGAAAAAAATGCAAACCCCAAAACCAACCTTTTAATTTTACCAGCAAAGCGAAACATTGATCCAGAGTTTTCTTTGGGATAAACCTTTAGAAGCTTGATCCACTTTTCTTTGGGATAAAACTCATCTTTTTTCATCAGGGCTGACTTAGCTCCAACACTCTTCATAGCAGCAAGGTACTGCCCTGTAAAAGCTGGGCTTACGTCTGGGTAGATAATCTCGATTATTCCTATCACAACAGTACACAAGACTGAAGACATGTGCTCGATTTCTTTGAGAGAAAATGGCATGAATGAACTTCTTTGACCTGAAAAATATGAGAAGCTTATGTGAGCAGAGCTTGAAAAATTGATAATGTTACCACTATCCAAACATTACTCAATTGAAGGTTATAATTATAATGGAAATAATTCTGGATATTGCATGGAGGTAGGATAACTTACAGACTTTACCTGTCTGCCTATCCCTCTTTCTGATTGTCCTTCTGTCTGTCTTTCTATCTGTCTGGCTGTGTGTGTCTGTTTGGCTGTGTGTTTGTCTGTCTATCTGTCTGTCTGCCTATCTGGCTGCTTGCTTGTCTATTATTTCTATTTATCAATGTTAACATTGGCTCACTATTTGATTGACTGATTATACATAATGTACAGTTTACTTTCAATACCATGTGAAACTGTTCAATTTATTGCTAGCTGACTCACCTCTGACACATAGTAAGGCATTGACTACCTGACTGACTGACTGACTCACTAACTCACTGATCCATTCAATGACTAACTGATTGTTAGACTCTACACCATGCACATGTATCCACTTTAATTTATTTCAATTTTACATTCTCAAAAACGTTTGGCTAATGCTTTACAGCTAACCTTCTACTCCATAAAATTCATTGTCATGAACAGAAAACAAAGTACTGCTTAGTAGTGATGACAACAAAGATAACAGTGGAGTAACAGCACCGGCTTCTTGTGTTGAAAGATCTGTCCCACGACATATGAGATCTAACAAGGGGATTTCTTTCCTGTTTCAAAAACAAAAAAAAACAGAAAATGAAAAATTAGCAGAGAGAAAGAAGAAATGTCAGATTTAGATTAAAATTTGAAACATATATGTAGGCAAGTAGAAATACTTCTTCTAGAATGTAAGTCAAAATAGAATTTTCCACAAACAAACTACCACTCTGGTTGTCTTTTGCTTTTAAGTGAAAAATTTTGGTCCTATCACAAGTACACAGCTGAAGAGCACAAATACATCCTATTAGGCTAAGGCTTAAGCAGAAAAATATTCTAAGAAAAAGAATTCAGCTCACCATTCAAACTGATCATTGCACTGCCTTGACATTTCAACTTACCCTGTATTGGTAAAAACTGTGACTGACTGTACATTGGTCCAGAGTTCTCTTACAAATGCTGGACTCAGTGCCAGAGTGTATAAAAGCCTAGTGTACGAAGAAAACAATGGAAAAATAAACTAGTTGCATGCTGAAAAATGCATTGAATAATCAATAAGTGTATAATATGTAAAGATAAACCACACTAATTTACATCAAACAATGCCCATTCTTCATTAGTAAGCTACAGTGTGTAGTTCTTCACATAGTTCAGGGAGCCTACAATGCCAGTGGTTGTCTCGGGTTTTAGAGTATGTGTGAGTATGAATACTGATATTCCTCAATGACCCTGACAGGAAGCTCACAGTAACTTACCCTCCTATTCTCTAAAATCTTTCTTACTGTTCACTAGCTCACATTCCTACCCCCTGATAGAGATTGCCACTATCAAAATTTGTAATAACACAACCTTTGGTTTGAATATTGAGCCTTGATGCCACAGCATCCCCAGCAGTACTCATTAGAAGCTAAAGGTTTTGACTCTTATCTCAAACTACAGACCTAGTCTTGTGTATTGGCAGTCTGCTCTCAGACATCAAGAAATGACAAATGTTGCAAAGTGCTCTGATAACTTCTTCCTCATAAGCTAGTTCTTTGTGTCTAGAAACAAATGAAAATATGAAATCATTATTTAGTTATTTGTTCAAGCTTTCAACATCACTCTAAATTCAAATTTTTGAAACTGTTAAAATTATCTAGGGAAAAACAAGTTAAAATGACCTCATTACATTGGTATACCTTGTTAAAAGTGATTCCAGAGTCTTTACATGATCCTTAGAATCAAGGATATCCAAGCATTTTTCTTTCAGGTCTTCTAAAGATGACTGTGAAAAACAACAATTTTCATTTTATTTTAAGTTAACAGTGAGTAAATGTAAAGTACAATGCAGTTAGTAAAAAAAAATCAAATCCAGACCAAAATAAAACTTACAACTATATAACAGTTGGGGAGTATCACTCAACAACTTCCTTTAGAAAAATGACATTACAAGTATGCATGTTCCTTGTCAGAAAGAAATTGAATTTTTTAGGAATACTATGTAGTACAAAATAAAGGTAAGACTGGGGTGAAAAAATTCCCTACTTATTGAATTTCTAACAATACTACAATGTACATCCATTTACATTGCATACAAATGCAATTAAGAATTTTTACTTGCCTGTGAAGAATCTATCTCCATTTCAGGATCACTGTCATCTTCATCATCTGACATTCTAGAAACTGGAACATTCAAAGAGGAGACATGTAAATGCATGCATACCATATTACTTTAATTCAGCACATAGCTTTACAAAGATGATCTGTTTTTTCAAGAACAAAAAGAATTTCTCATTTGAGCAAATTAGCAACTTATATTGTTTTTCCAAACCCCACTGAGATTATCAAATTACAATTAAAGGGAAATATTTGGTGAATTCTTGTAGTTTAAGTCAATCGGAGTTATTTGGATGAAAAATTTGTAGTGAAAGTTGTTTACCTGGATGAGGGAGCTGTACCAACAACATTTGTAGAACTTGAATATAGCATTTAACTACAGGCAAATCTGAAGTTGATCCTGGAGATAGAACATGGTTGGATATTAGGCTCAATTCTTTTTTTAACCTGAGTCTCTTTCTTTTCACAGACAGTATTTCTGGGAATGCTTGTACACATAGCAGACTGCACGTGAGACTTAAACTTTTAAATCATCAATCAATTCCAGTGTATGCTGGTTTATGGTATCTTTCAGTTAGGACATGTGCTATTACTAGTCACTTTAACAAGCTATATTTCATTGTAGATGGAAGGTTTTTATTTTGAATTGAAATCTTTCCCCTCTATTTAAACTCAGAGAGGAAATAAAATCTTACAAACCTTGCTTTTTTGTTTTATACTGAAACCTCATTTTTTCAATCAGATTTTTGACTTGTGCATTTCATGCTTGGGCCATAAATCCCAGCAAAAAAATTGGTCCATCACTTACTTGGACTTTGACCTTGGTTAGTAAAAGGAATTCATTAGATCTGCAGCTCACCAAGAAATTATCAATCACAGTATACAGTTGTTATAGAAGGTAGAAATTACAAAATCAATAATGAAGATTTTACTACTGAACACAGTAAACAGTCAGGTGAACAAACCTAGATGTGTATTAACAAATGCTAATACTCCATACAGTAGCCAGGGTGTAGGGGTGATCTTACTATTGGTCCCCCCTGATTCATCAGCCTTTGTTAATACTGTCAGGAGGGTCTCTAACAAGTGACTAAAAGGGAATCTTGCAGATTGGTCTGCTATTGATGGTAGCAAAAAACAGATGATTTGCTCTGTCATTTCTGGACAAAGAATGTCAGAAATGAGTGCTGAAAATACTGCATGCCTGAAAAAACCAAAAATAGAAATTAATTAATTTTTGTCTGGCTTATTTTCATCTCTTAAAATTTCTTTCAGATAAAAACATTTCTTGATTGAATTTCTTTTTATGTGTCACAGTTCAATTTTTATTCAGAGCTAAAATGTTTCCTAACCAGTTACACTTTTCTTTTTCTTTTTTCTATAATTCAGTAAAACAAATGACAATAAAAATCTTTTAAAAGTTTTAAGATAAGAACAAATTGAACCACAGCAGATTAAGTCATAATTATGTGATCAATACAATAATCTATGTTAACTTTTGCATAACATTATTTTTTGCAAACTCTCTAACTTTTATAATTTTCCCAAATAAACGCTGGGAACCAGTAGCAAGATTAACTTAAATTTGAAGAAGCTGGGTAGCTCTCAGTTGGTGTCATGAAGGAGAGGAAAACACTACAGAAATGCATAGGAGGAAAATAAAATTTACCTATCATTTGCAGTAAATTCAGATTCTTCTCCACCACTGGACTGGCTGCTGAAGTAAAGTGGGTTCATCACCAGGTCTCTGATAGCAGCAGCCATTGGAGTAGGGGGGACAGTAGATGGCTCTAAGCTGGATGGAACTTTGGTATTCAGCAGAACACGCAAATATCTAAAATATCCTGGTAATGGGATACATAAAATGTAATAATATTTAGAAGGGATCTTCAGCAGACTACACAAATTAATGTAGTTATGCATACATTCATGTACATAAATACAAACTGACACACACATGAAAAATGAAATTAAACATGTACGTGCAAAAAAGGTGAATTTGAGAAAGTCAACATAGAAGTGATTTTTAGACATAATAATAATAATATTAATCCCTCACATGACAAATAAATGATACACTTCAGCCCAATAATAGTAAAGAACTGTATGAAAAAGAGTCCTGGAAATAAAAGACCACATCTAACAGGGGTCACTGAATAATACTTTTTAAGTCCATAATTATAAAATTGACATTAAGCAAAAGAAGTACAGTACACAGTCTGTGAGAAACTACTGTGTAACATAAACTTCTTGCCTAGGGTTATACATCTGTAGTTACCATTTCTGACAAGGTAAACTGTCACCATTGCGGCATCCTTTCTACTTCTGGCAGGATCATTAGGATTATAGTATGAATTATGGGAGGTGAAAACTTCCAACATACGCAGCTGAATAGCAAAAGCTTTAGAATCTCTGATTGATGTCTCTAGTGATCTGTGGAGATAACTTTCATCATTTCTCTGAATTTTCTCTGCAATGCAAATACTATCCAGTGGTCAAAACAAAATATTGTTTAAAAGCAGAAGCTGGAGAGAGGGAAAGGTACAAATTCCATGAAAAGATACTGAGAAAATGTCTATGAAAAGGACATTTGTATTCAAATCTTATCAATAAATGGGTCTCTACAAATAAGTGATAACAGTCTGAACATTACTCACTGCTGTTAGAATATTCAAATAAAGGTATACTAAAATTGTTCTTGATTTTCAGGGGAAGCCAGGGGTTCCAATAACTTTTTCCATAAGCAGCTGGCAATGATGTAAAAGGCACCTGTGCCTAGAAAAGGAATGTAAGACCAAACCCAAATACCAGAGTCTGGTATCAGGCTAAACAGACCTTGGTATGAGGTTTTATAGGCAGTGGTAGACCCCTGTTATGTGGTTTTTTAATGAAACCCCAACAGAAGCCCATGATGACTAAACCAGGCAAAAAATCATATATCCAAGGTAGTACTTAGGTTTATAGAAGGACCAAAGTTAGTCTGATACTAAGCAAGCCCAGTCATTTCTTTATTGTAAAATCTCAATTATCATGACCCTCTCTTATGGCTCAAAAACAAACAGCATTCATTGCTTATTTCTACTAACTTTTATTTTTCATGGGATTGGATGATAAATAACATTAGGTTGCTGCTTTTGAAGCATTCTGAAGAAGAGGTTAAGAAAGGGAATTAAAGGAAAAGATATGGGCATTCTAATTTACCTGCTACAGATCAAGAGAAGGCATTTGATGTTATGAAGCCAAATTTGATGATCACTTGTTTGTAACTTTTGCACAGTATTTCCATTCTTTAACAGAAACTGGCACATCCAAATCTGAAAGAAAAAAAAGAAAATGATTACACTGTTTATAGCTAATGTTGTTTAACTATCCATTGCAAGATGTCAATAGTAATTCTCTTTACTGTCTGCCATACAATTCTTATGACGTTATTTTTAAGAATTTTGTATTGAATCAACTAATAATCTCCTAATTGATTATTCATCATCATTCTCATCAGAGCTCTGATGAAGGGCTAACGCTCGAAACGTCAGCTTTTTTACCCTTTACGGTGGCTAATTAACGTTTTCAACTCAGTTGTTAACACAAAATTACCTGCTATACTCTCCCACCGACGCAGCACCACAGTTTCTTTAGAAACTTACCCCTTTAAATATGTCTAGATTTTACTACAATTCATAACATTAATTGTAACAAATTGAGTTACATGGTTAGGCTTATCATTTTTTTTACCAGTCTCTGTGTGTCCTTGGAGTCAGAATGAAAGAAAAGAAGCTTTCTTAGTATATTTCTAATGACATCTGCTGTTGGAGTATCTTTGGATCCTTCTAATGAGCTGACTGCCTTATCAAATGAAATTCTCTGAAGCTCATACTGAAAGAAAAGAAAGGGATAAAAAACTGATATCACATGCAATCATACTTCTACATGTGCACAGAAGATTACATTCTTTCAAGGCCCTTGTTGTCCTGCTTTAACTAAATCTCACATATCAAATTATATTAGTTAACCCTTTAACCCCTAAGAGTGATTAGCAACTAATTTCTCCTATCAGGATCACCCCTAAAACAAACACTGAGGTCATGAGAAAAAAGGGAATGATCACCAACTAAAGAAGTTCTTGATTATTGAACAAATTCTCTTTGTCAATACAATAGGAAATGTATAGAGAACAGTATGGAGAATATACACACTGATGTTAGGGTGTAAAGGGTTAAATAAACTTAGAACTGATTAGAAGCTATACCTGTTGATGTCTCACCCTCTCTCCACGGAGAAAAGACTGAATTATGATAACACTTGCAGTTTTGCGACGCAGATCCTGGGATCCAATAAACGGAAATACAGTTATTATCTAAATCTCTTGTCTCAGGTACTGCACATTAATAATCCTGGAAAAAAATCACCAAATATTCTTATACTTTACCTCTCTTTTCTGTCTTTCTGCTTGAGTTCTTTGAATTAAGGAGGATCTTTGTTCCTACAAGTATTACAAGTAATGGTAAAGCTTTTAAGAATTTAGCCCCAAGGTGTCAAAATGTTTTCTCACTGATGATCATATTGTTGACTGGTTGTTAGATCTATCATAATTGATTTCCCAAATTAACAAACAAATTCTGAGTCAGTAATAAATTAAAATGATGTCAAAATATGGTAAGAACAAAAAGTGGCACATGAGGTACAGCCGAGTGTGTCACAGATGTTCTTCCCACACAGTGACGTCTTCTGTGATTTATTACTGAACAGACCCACAAAGACATAGCATGCATTTGTTTTATATGATTAAAAAGAAAAATTTTGTTAATGGTGAGGTCATCTATGTGTCTGTCCTCCAATAGATCATAAGTAAGAGGCAACCAAAATGCGTATATAATTCATCTTATAATGTAATGCAACACAGACACTAGTTTAGCTGCCAACTAACGCTGACCATGCAAGTGAATCACAGAATGTCTTTGTACGTGTTCCAACATGTTACACCATACAATACTACTCGATCTGTCAAAACGTGCTAACAATTATTAGAGCTCTTTCAGCGATAAAGGCTGTAGGAAAGTTAGGTAACAGAGCAGAATGATTCCATCACAATTCACTTTTACAATTTTGTGGTAATAGACAAAAGTCTACTAACAAATGACATTTCTGCATGATATAGTACTTGTAACTATAAAACCAACGGGAACGTTACCTTTTTACTTGCACCTCCGAGTGAAACAGCCCTCCTACTTTTGTACTGTCCATCAAAAGAAAACATCGTAAAAGGGATTTTTAAAAATATCCGCAGTTTACACTGAAAACGAAAATTTTCTGAAGTCGAAAATTGGATGTTGTCATTATTTAACTATGCAGCCGCGCATGTGACTGTGCAAGTGGGTAATCGGTAACCAAGCCTTCGAAACTCCGCGAGGAAGCTCTTTTTAATTTATTCCAAAATGGCGGAAAGATGGAGCCTGCAACTCACTTTCGCCTTAATTGCTTTAATAGCTGCTATCTTCTACAGTGGTAAGGCACAGTTCGTTTTTAACAAGATAAATCAGATTATTCATGGAAAGAGAGGCTGCTCTCCAATTGCAAGTATAGGCCAGGTGACGCTGCATTATTTTGGAACCAGAGGACGCGCCGAGGGTATACGACTGATAATGGAAGGTTCTGAAATACAATACTCAGAGACTAATTTTTCTAAGGCGGATTGGCCGATAATTAAAGCAAAAGGAATAGAAACAGGCCTGTTTACTTTTGGTCAAGGTAAGAGAGAAGAGATGCTTGAAATATTAGCGCAATATCTCTATTTGGTGACCATCTTCAAATGTTAGAAACACCTTTCATTTACATGATGTTTTGAGACTTTTAATCACGCAAGTTGTAAAGGTTTGAAAGCCGAAATAATCAATTATAATAAAACAAAACGAAGTGCTTAATCTGGAAATATTACAACATTTTTCAGAATAACTTTTCTAGATTCATTTTTTCATCTACTTTTTCCCTCATTTACTCAGTAGATTTTTTGTGCAGGATTTTAGCCAATCAAATTTCGCCGAGGCGTCAAACAGGTGTTTACTCACCATGAAATATTCATGACTCAAAGTTAAAATATTAGAAGTTGCTTGTTTGAAACTTGCTGGTAGTTTCTTTGGAAATCCTTCCTTTTTTTCTCTTAATGCAAAAAAACAGAGATCTTGGAAATAACAATTTTGTCAAAGTTGTAAAAGAAGTTGAGACTTTCATGAAATGGTTACCTATTTCATTAATTCCATTTTTGTATTTTCAGATACCCAATTTACATCATAGAAAATGAATATTATCCTACTAGATTTTCATGAGATGACTATATGCAAAATATGCAAATATGTCAGAAGTAAAGTGAAATATTAACAGTTTATTTTTCTCTAGTTCCAGCTATTACTACTACTACAGGATTACAACTTGTTCAGAGTAAAGGTGTGTGTTTGCAACCTGTTGTTTCTTTATGGTGGGAAATTTTTAGTCCATTTAGTTTCCTGTAATAGTTTAACCCTTTACACCCTAACATCATTATATATGCATATTCTCTATACTGTTCTCTATACATTTCCTAAGGTGCTGACAAGGAGAATTTGTTCAACAATCAAGAGATTCTTGAGTTGGCAATCATTTCTTATATTCTCATGACAACTTTCTCATATTTGACAGCTAAACCGTACACTACTCTCAAAGGAAGAGTTTGTTAATTGATATACATTAAGCAGGTAATTTAGTGTTAACAACTGGGTTGAAAACGTAAATTAGCCACTGTAAAGGGTAAAAAAGCTGACGTTTCGAGTGTTAGCACTTTGAGTTGATAGTGAGTCAGTTAAACAATCCCAAAATCTGATTGTTAATTCTCCCCTCTAACTGCCATTTATTTCCTGGTAAAATAAGTTTCTTGTTAATCACTATTGGGATTTAAGGGTTAAATAAGACCAACTATCATGGAAAGCTTGGTAAATTGCTAGTAATGTTCTTTGTATTTGTTTCATATATTTCAGTAATTATGCATCATATTGGCCGGTCAGTGGGTCTTGATTGTGACTGTTCAGACATTCATATTTGTGAAACCCTGGTGTTTGGTGCAGGTAATTTGCATATAATGTCCTAATTCCCTTGAGGTGATAAACTCTGGGATTTTTTATGTAGAAAAGTATTGATTTGGAATTAGGAAATCTAAAGAATGAGAGGAAATCAAGAAAAAAAAATTTTGTGCCACCATCTCAGTTATACTGATGAACTTATGGAAGCATTTGTGAACTGAGGAAGGCATGTTTCCAGATTTTCACATTTCCACATTTCCAGACTAACAAGTTAAGATAAATGTGAGTTGGGTAAAGATTCATCTGTATATTTCCAAATTTCCAGAGTATTAAGTTAAGATACATTTGAGTATTTAGCTGATCATACTTCACACATTCTCACATTTAAGGTTACTCTAAGGTAATTCATGTTATGTGCAGCACATTTCATTGTGATGACCTAATCTGAGCTCTTCTGCCCCAAGTAAAAGCTGAACAATTAATGAAGCATGGGCCAAGATACCTTAAACTGCAGAGAGATTTAAAAATATTGCTATTATTATCATTTTCAAATTATCATTTGAAAGTTTAAAAGGGTGAAGATAGTATTAATCTTTAAGATGATAACTTTAATGTTTTGAACTCTCTTTGCTAGACAGTAGAGAGATGCTAGAGAAAGTTTGCACTTTTTTAATTAACTCTTTAACTCCCAAGATCTCATTGGTAATTCTCCTAACTGTCTGTCATACAGTTCTTGTAATGTTAGTTTGAAGAATTTGGTGTTGGATCAAGTTATGATCCCTTAACTGACATTTTCTTTATTCTCATCAATTTTCTGCTTGATATTGTATTGATATTGTAAGGAGAATTTCTGTCTTGGTCACTCATGGGAGTTAAAGGGTTAATGTTATTTCTCAGGGTTGTATTTTTTTAGTGTTTACTCTCATTACTTTATTTGCTTTCACCCTTTACACCCAAATCAGTATGCACATTCTCCATACTGTTCTTTATACATTTCTTAAGTTGCTTACAAGGAGAATTTCTTTACTGATCAAAAGCTTCTTTCTTTGGTGATCATTTCCTTTATTCTCATTTCCTTAATGTGTGATTCAGGGATGATATTATAGGGAGAAATTAAGTGCTAGTGACTCTTAGGGGTTAAAATGTTAATACCAATCTCTACTGTAATGTAAATTATTATTATCATCACCATTGACTCCATTATCAGAATATATTACATTACTAATTTGATTTCTTGTGTTTCAGAGGATTTGAGAGCAAAGCTTGGCCCGGTCCTCTATAATCCAGAATTCTCTGCCAAGGTACGGGATGATCACATCCAATCAGTTGTGTACACTTGGTTGTCATATTTTGAAAAGCTTGCCCCTGTTGAAGACAACAGCACTGATGCTGATGGATTGTTCTTTGCGAGCAATCGAGTGACGTGGGTGGACTATGTCATGTTTGATCTCCTAGATACTTATGTTGAGTTTGGAAGACTTAACTTTGGAGATGATGAAGCACCTACAATAGATGTTTTGGAAAATTTTCCAAAGCTTAAGGCATTTTATGAGTATTTTGCTGGCAGACCTAATATTGCAAAGTATCTTAAAGCTGAGAGAAGAGTTCCATTTAGGCTGTGATTTAAAAGAAATCTCTGAGTCACCTTAGAATCATTGTAAGAAGGATTTTGAGATAATCCACAATTTTTAGATGGTTGCTAAAGTATATTATTTATTTGACAATACCTCCATATTGCATATGTTATGGACCACTGAGGTTTTTTTTAGAATAAAGTATCTGTACTCTCTGTAATTTAGAGGCAACATTTTGAAAGAGAAAAAACAGAAAAAAAGAGCTTGTCAAAAAAAAAAAATTGTAAGTTTGTAAACAATGAAAAGTTAGTGTAGTTGCAGTTCTTGTATTTTGCACCAATGCCAGAGACAAACATTTGCGTGCAAGACCTACACATGTCTATTTATATGATATTTCTGGGCTTTATTAGGTATGTTAGGTAGAAACATTTATGTTAAATATTGTATTATCTACTATTGATGATTGGTGGTCCCTTTTTGGATACTAAACAATGTTTTGATATTTTTAGGGTTTGCACATAAAGTTGTAAGTTGTAACTTTTTCGATAGCATCTCAATATTGAAATAAAAATGCGTCCTACTATCAAAGATTATAATAAAGTTCGGATATAACGCGCGCTGTCATTGGTTGAAAGAGCGTGCTCTATGAGAGTATAGAGCATAGAACTGAGCTAAAGCTGTCACGCCATCTGCCAAATTGTACCATGTTCGACCTTTTCAGGGACTTCTTTTTAGCTTTTTTCCGATAATTGAAAGTGAAATTTCGGAACAAGCGAGCCGGCAAGTAGTAACAGAAGAACCAAAGAAAGGTTTGTAAACATACCAGGCGCCGTTATTTACGTTATTTAAACGTGGGCAGATACGAAAATCCTCAAAGGAAAAACAAAATAGACATTCCGAGTTTTAAGATTTTCACGCTCAGTTAGATTGCAAGCTTACGTACGGTAATGAAAATCAAACACAGCCAACACTCGTATAGTATATAAAGTTCAGAGTTCAAAAACAAACAGAACAAAACAGAAATGATGAAAAATATAACCAAACTGGCATAATTGTTAAAATTCATACTAATCATGACGGTGTCTGAGCAAATATGATCATGCTGAAGTCCATTGCGGCTCACTTATCATGCCGATCTCCGGTCATCACAGTAAAGCAAGCCTCAGAAACTACATCGGCCGCCCTTCGAGTGAAAAAATAAGAGCTCGCTCTGATATCCTTTCCAATGTGTTGAGTGGAAAGTCACTTCAGTCACTGCAGCCGAGTTTTGCGGCGCTGTCATCCCGAGCGATCTTCATGTTCCGGTGAATTCGGCTGTCGTTCATTTAAAAAACACTCGCCTTGAACAGTTTGTTTCCTACCTTGTCATGTGAAAAAAACCCGCGTGTTTTTATGAGCCATAATTCGGATGAAGTTCACTGAACATTTCACTTCAAGATTCTGAATTAAAAACTTCAGGCAAAAGCGTTAAATTCGACCTGCCGAATTATTTTAGTTTGTAAACTATCGCAGTGTGAACTTTGATGGTTTTTGAACTTTGATGGTTTGACACCTTTGACAGCTTTTGTCTTGTACAGCCAATCAGATTATTTGAACCATTCTAACAGGGGTTCTGATTGGCTTATTGTAGCGTGCTCTATGAGAGTATAGAGCATGCTGACGACACTGTTCTTCGCTTTGGAAATAAAGTTTGTTTTGAAAATTGAAAGTAATACATGGAGAATTTAACGGATTCTTTATTATAAAACAAATAGAGAAGCCTTGATTGTGCTCTGTTCTGTTATAAAGCACTTAGGAAGCGGCTAGAGCACTCAAGAAGTGGGAAGAAACACTCGACTACGTCTCGTGTTTCTCCCTACACTTCTTTCGCGGCTAGTGCACGAAAGAAGTGTAGGGAGAAACACGAGACGTAGTCGAGTGTTTCTTCCCACTTCTTGAGTGCTCTAGCCGCTTCCTAAGTGCTTTATAACAGAACAGAGCACAGTCAAGGCTTCTCTATTTGTTAATTTGCTAATCAATAGGTCAGAGTTTTAGTCCAGGTTAAGTTTACAATGCAGTGAAAAATTTCCTTTCAACAGTTACCTCCGTGTCAAAGTTAGCTTACTTCTTTTAAAACGAAATCAACTGCAATGTGGTACTGCATTATTTTTCTATCTGACAAGTTTGCAAACATCGTTCGCAAAAAGTTGTAAAGTGTTTACTATGAGGCAAACTGCGGGCGCAAGTGACGCAATGGTTCCTGCTTAAATCCCATTGGCCGTTTTTTTGCCCGCGCGCTTTTCGTTGATTGTTTTGTCACAAAACGTGTGTTTTTCTGAGCAAGAATCATTCACTCACGCTTGACAATTTGCAAAACACGGAATTTTTTGACCTAAGAAAGATTGGAATTCTACCATTGTTTGAAAGCATGTCGAGGAAACACTGAAGATCATAGTGAACGAAAGTTTAACAGCCGAAAAATGTTATTTTTGTGCGCAGACTGTTGACAATCACAAATTGGATCAGACAGACCGAAGCGCGACGGAAGATTATACGCCCTATGTAGTGAACTAATTGAAGACACCTAACCAGTAGAAGTTGAAAGACTTGCGAAGTGAGGTGGAGTTGCCTGGCCACAAACCACATTCCCAATGTAGAAAAGTTGTTTGCTCACCGAAAGAACTATGAATGTGAAATTTGCTGGATGGGATGCAAACACGTTCGTGGAACTTCGCAATCGATCCGTGCAATTTGGCGTGCATGATAATCAGAATGAAAAATCTTTCTCTCAGACGAATAGTTAAAAATCCGTTATGGTTTCCAAAACATTGCCTTTATTTTCAAGGTACAACTGTACAATAAGTTGAAATAATGAGCAGAAAACTGTGCAAATAAACTCGCGTAGTTGAAGAGACAGAAGAGAGTGCAACGCAGTAACGTGCCGACTGGGTTTTGAATTCAGAGATTTCGGTAACAGTTTTGTCAATGGATTAATCATCAGACAATCATAGACTTCTAAGCCTGCGCACAGACGTTGAGAAGTTTTCTCATCGTGTGATGGTATCTTGGAGAGAAACGGCGTTGAGAGGATTGGGAAAATGTCTTTAACATACACGAGTGTCGAGAGTGTACTGGTAGGTAGCAAACTAGCGGTCCATTTGATGTCGTGTGGAAAAAAAGAAACAAGTTGGTGTGACTCTGGCTCTGGAGATTCATAAGGAATCGACGAGCTTCGCCTTGTGTCAAACTTAAGAAAAACTTTTGAAAGCAAAGGATGATTACCCGGGAACAACCAGCTTGAGGGTCTGCAGAAGAAAAGACAGAAGAGAAGAGGCGAAGGTATAATGAAATTTTTTCCTTCCTGTACGTATTTTAAATACGTTTGATACACACAACCCATCAACGATCAATTAGTCAATTAACTACCCCACAAACTGATCCACCAATCGTTCAATTTATCGATCAATTAATCAGTCCATCAATCAATCAATCGATCGATCCATCAACCAATCAATTAGTCAATCGACCAATCGATCGATCAGTCAACAATGAATCATGTTGTTGATGAGTCGGTCGAAAAGCGCTAATGTAACGGATCAATCAAAACATGAGTTGAGCACAATACTAAGAATTTTATTTCACACTTCTTCACTCCGTTTTTACACATCCACCACTACTTTCAAACGACAAAAAAAGTAATTGATACTATTTTTTTTATACTCTACCACATGTATAGACACTTTCATTTAAATAGCGCTTGTAGTCGGGCTTTTGCACAAGATAAAATTGTTTCCGCGTCAAAGAGTGCATTTATCAACCAGAAGGTCGAACTATTGTTTCTTAAAAAGACTCTCATAACAACATTCTTTTATCCCTTCTTTCTTCTGTCCTGCACATAAAATCAACGATAGATTTCAACACCAACACTTTTTTTTCCCTCCCATCCCTTCAATGACGGTAGTTAGGGCCAATTTATCTATAACTACCTTATGAAAAGTGCTTTTAAATTAATATGCTCATTTTTTAAAATTGAATTGAAGCTGACAGCAACGCCTAGTTGATAGTTTTAACATTTCGACACGAGCTGCTTGTTTATTCAAAACACATCTTTTTTAGAAAATTTACGCAAATTACTTGAAATATATATACAAAATTAATCCTCAGGGGTAATACACACTCTTATTTGGCCTTTACGGGTTTATGCCGCCCAATATAACAACTTATCCTCTTGCACTAGGTGCAAATTAAATGGATTTATTCTTAAACAGGTGCAGTGTTTGAAGATCTGTGCAGTACAACCACTTCCCACTCTCCTCCTCCTCCCCCAAGCCACGGTTAGGGCACCTCCCCATCCCTCGTAGGGAAAACATAACGTCAGCTTCCGAGGCAGTTTGCACGACGCTTTTCTTCCCCACACAAACATCCGCTTGCCTTAGCGCAAATTACGTTTCGGTCATTAAGCCTATTAAATTTCACAACCTCAAATATACAAAAATAGATTCTGAAAAAGACAAGAACGATATGTGATGCCTTCTTTCATTGCAGTCCATTTGATTTGGTATTTCTTTAGAATGCCTTCGCGGTTGCCAACTTGAATTAAGATTGGAAAGCAGGCGTCTGTGCAGAGTAGAGCAACGAGTTTCCTCAAAGCAACTGCGAAGGAAACTAATATGGAGAGCAACTTTGTTCAAAATGTAACCGCCATAGATGAGTAACACCAACTCGTCTAACTACAATTATATCATCAAAAAAGCATAATCGAAAACTTCTCAGTAATCAATCGTGCGCAAATTGAGAAAGTTCCATCTCATAAAACATTGGAAATAACAGCTGTCACTTATATTCTTTATCTAGTAAATTGTGCGTATCGGCATCTGTGCAAGTTGAGAATCTTATCATATCTTCAGCTATGCATAATAGCAGTCATTATAACTAGCTCATTCGCTGCAACATTGGACTTAATTTCAGTCACTGGTGTTTCCGCTGCATGCAAAATGTTAAACCTAGGCCTATCATCCGGAAACACTGAACGCAATATTTCAAACTTACATAGCATATCCATGGCATTCAGTAACATGGCCATCTTCGCACTAGAGTCAGATTTGACGCGTAACGGCGCCTGACAACAAAACTCAAAAGCTTTAACATTTTGCATAATTATCATAGTGTGTTTTGAAGTCTATAACAATTTTGACAAAATAACTTTTACTGTTATAGAAAAATCCAGGCTGGCTCCATGCAGGTACTCTGTTGTTTGAGGATTAAATCTTTTCTGCAGATGCATTTTTAAAACTTTGCCACTTGCTTTTTCCTTCCCTCAGAAAAATCTTACAAGTCACAAACAAACGTCCCTCCCTGGTATTATTGAAACGAAACGTTACATTACTATGTGCCTGACTTTTAAATTGTTAATAACACTATTATTGAAATAACATATATTTCTTTAAATTGATATAGATCAAACAAATTCAAGTTTAATCAATACATATATCTTACTAGGTAATTTAGTGTTAACAACTGGGTTGAAAACGTAAATTAGCCACCGTAAAGGGTAAAAACCCTTTACGGTGGCTAATTTACGTTTTCAACCCAGTTGTTAACACTAAATTACCTGCTATACTCTCCAACCGACGCAGCACCATAGTTTCTTTAGAAACTTACCCCTTTATTCATATATCTTACTAACTGAGTTTGCGAGGTCCGTAAACGAGGTTAGTAAGAAACGTATTTAAATAAACTGGGTTTAAATAGAGACGTATCTGTAGTGAACATATCAATATACTGGTTAGTAACAGGCACTGTGTCTGGGTTGTCTTGTCTTGCAATATAGTGATCATTACACAAGCCTGGGCTCAACACAGACTACAAGTCCAACATCACAGTCGCTAGACCGATGCATGTACAATTTACCATCAAAACTACTGGTTTACCAGCCGATCAACATTACACTTAGGAGGGGGATATTGAGGTCTATAAGAAACTGCAAAACCGTAGAAAAAATCATCCAAAAATGCCGCTCAGATTGAAGAGGAACCACATCAGATACCAAATCCTAAATACCATTGGTATTTCTTGAGAAAGCCGAACCAAATGCTAAAGAACCGGAAAGCATAATGAACACCAAAACCGCAAAGTTTTTTGGCACAAAACCGAAAAACCGATCTAAAAATTGGCAAAACCGCAGACCCGAAAATCCCAATGCCCCCTCACTTAGTCTAATATTGCCATCAATGCACTATAATGCATCACATTCTTAAGAAAACTTAACGGAGTGCTGGGGAAGCATACATGTGGATAGGTCCAGAGTTGTTGAAAATGTTTGTTTGGGTGCCAGAATGTATAAAAGCCTAGTATGTGAAGAAAACAACAGGAAAAATAAACTAGTTGCACGCTGACAAATGCATTTAATAAACATAAAAATTATATGATGAAGAAATGTAAAATGGTTTCCGTGTTGACATAGCCTGATATAAACACTCAGGAGGTTGGGAGAACACAAGATAAGCGTAGGAAACCACGACGCGAAGCGGAGTGGTTTCCAGCTTATCGAGTGTTCTCCCAACCTCTCAAGTGTTTACATCAGGCTATGTAAACACGGAAACCATTCTACATTTCTTTCATAAAATAACTAATGAAAGAACGAAAAACTAATCTATAACAAACAATGCCCATTCTTCGTTAGCAAGCTACAGAGTGTAAGTCTTCACATACGTTAGGTGGCCTGCAATGTCACGGGTTTTCTATGGTTTTATAGCATGTTTGAGTCTGAACAATGATATTCTTCCATGACCCTGACAAGATGCTCACTGTAGCTTACTCTCCTATTCTCTAGAATCTTCCTTACAGTTCACTGGCACACATTACAACCCCCTAATGGAGATTGGCAATATCAAAAGATTTCTACTCTGACCAATAACACAGCATAATGATACACCTTGGACTTGAATGTTGAGCCTGTCATGCCAATCTTGATGCCACAGCATCCCCAAAAATATTCATTAAAAGCTGAAAGTTTTGTTGACTTTCATCTCAAACTACAGACCTTGTCCTGTGTCTAAGCAGTCTGCTCTCACAGATCAAGAAATGATGAATATTGCAAAGTGCTCTGATTACTTATTTCTCGTAATCCAGTTTTTTGTGTCTAGAAACAAATGAAAATATCAAATCATTATTTATATTCTTAACGCTCTCAAAATCTCTTTACATCGAAAATTTTGAAACTGAAAAAATTATTGTGGAAAAAACAGGTTAAAATGACTTTATTACATTGGCAAACCTTGCAAACAGTGGTTCCAAAGTCTTTACATGATCCTTAGAATCAAGGATATCCAAGCATATAAGGTCTTCTAAAGATAACTGTGACATACAACAACATCAACTCCATTTTTTTTAAATTAACAGTCAGTAAATGCAAAGAGCAAAGCAGTTAGTAAAAACAAGTCAAATCCAGAACAAAACAAAATTAAAACTAGAGAACAGTAGGAGGAGTATCACTCAAAAAGAAAAATTGGCATTTCAAGTATGCATGTTCCTTGTCAGAAAGAAATTGAAATTTTAGGACTACTACTTAGTACAAAATCAAGGTAAGACTAGGGTGGAAAAATTCCTCACTTAAAGAATTACAGTAGTACACCATTTACCACATTGCATACAAATGCAATTAAGAATTTTTACTTGCCTGTGAGGAATTTATCTCCAGTTCAGAATCACTGTCATTTTCATCATCTGACCCCCTAGAAATGGAAAATTCAAAGATGAAACATGTAAATACATACATACCATGTTATTTTAGTGCAACATATAACTTTGGATGAATGATCTGTTTTTCTAGAACAATATACAATTGTAATAAAATTTCTTGTTTGAGCAAATAAGCAATATTTTTTTCCAAACTCCTATGGGATTATCAAATTAAAATTGAAGGGAAATATTAAATGAATTCTAGTAGTTTTTGTCAGTTGATGTTGTAGCGAAAATTGTTTACCTGGATGAGGGAGCTGTACTATCAGGATTTCTAGGGCTTGAATATAACATTTCACTAAAGACAAAGCTGAAGTTGATCCTGGAGACAGAAAAGAAAATGGTTGGATAAATTGTAATTTAAAACTTTAAATTTATGCAGACTTTACCACTGAACACAGTAAACAGTCAGGTGAACAAACCTTGATGTGTATTAACAAATGCTAATACTCCATACAGTAGCCAGGGTGTAGGGGTGATCTTACTGTTGGTCCCCCCTGATTCATCAGCCTTTGTTAATAGTTTCAGGAGGGAGTCTCTAACAATTGACTAAAAGGGAATTTTGCAGATTGGTCAGCTATTGATGGTAGCAAAATGAAGATGATCTGTTTTGTCATTACAGGACAAAGAATGTCAGAAATACTGCATGCCTGAAAAAAAATAAAAACAAATTCGTTAACTTTTGTTTGACTTATTTTCTTCTCCTAAAAATTCCTCAAGAAAAAAATATTTATTGATTTAATTCATTTTTGTGTCACAGTAATTCAGTTTTAATTCAGAGTTAAAACTTTTTCAAACCAGTTCAACTTCTCTTTTTCTTTTCTCAAGAATTCATTAAAACAAATGACAATACAAATCAATTAAGTTTTAAAAGTCTTAAGATAAGAAAAAATTAAACCACAGCAGATAATCTTTTAATTATGTGATCAATACAAAGATCTACATTAACTCAATACCATTTGCATAACATTATTTTTTGCCAACTCTCTAATTTTTATATTTTCCCAAATAACTGCAGGAAACCAGTAGCAAGATTGAAATCAATTTGAAGAAGCTGGGTAGTTCTCAGTTGGAGACAGGAAAGAGAGGAACAGTACAGAAATGCATAGGAGGAAAATAAAATTTACCTATCATTTGCAGTAAATGCAGATTCTTCTCCACTACTGGACTGGCTGCTGAAGTAAAGTGGGTTCATCACCAGATCGTTGATAGCAGCAGCCATTGGAGTAGGGGGGACAGTGGAGGGCTCTAAGCTGGATGGAACCCTGGCATTCAGCAGAACACGCAAATATCTTAAATATCCTGGTAATGGGATACATAAAATGTAGTAATATTTAGAAAGGATCTTCAACAGACTACACAAATTAATGTAGCTATGCATACATTCATACACATAAATACAAACTGACACACATAGAAAATAATTTAATAATGCTAGCCCAATGTAATTTCTCCTGGAAATATTAACACAAAATCGAGCAGACAAGTGGTGAGAACAAAGAAAAATAACAATAAGGGGATTATCGGTTAATCCAATACCAAGCTCTCTGAAATGAAATCATAGGAATTGTATGGCAGATAGTAAGGAGAATTACTAATGAAATCATGGGAGTGAAAGGGTTAAACAAGTTATTCAATCATAAATAAACTCTATCTGAACATGGAATTAAACGCACTGCACAATGTGCAGTGCATTTAATTTCATGTTCAATATAGAAGTGATTTTTGGACAATATCCCACTCATGACAAATAAATGATACACTTCAGGCCCCAGTTTCTCGAAGCATGGATAACGCTAACCACTGGATAAATCTCTTTCCGGTGGATAGCACAGTATGTTTTGTTAACACTTATCCCCTGGATGGCGTTTTATCCATTGGATAGTGCTATCTGGCCTTTATACAACTGGACCCAGCTCAATAACAGTAAAGAACTGTATGAAAATTAGTTGTGAGATAAAAGACCCCATCTAACAGGGGTCATGTGCCTGGAAGGATGAATGATACTTTTTGAGTTTACAATTATATAAAGAACTACAGCACACAGCTGCAAGAAACTGCTGTGTAACAAACTTCTCGCCGAGGGTTATAGTTACCATTTCTCACAAGGTAAATTGTTGCCATTATGTCATCTTTTCTACTTCTGACAGGATCAGTGGGATTATAGTCTGATTCATCGGAGGTGAAAACTTCCAACAAGCGCAGCTGAATAGCAACAGGTCAAGAATCTCCCATTGATTTCTCTAGTGATCTGTGGAGATAACTTTCATCATTTCTCTAAATTTCCTCTGCAGTGCAAATATTATTTAAATATTATTTTAATGTAGAAGCTGAAGAGAGGGAAAAGGTAAAATTCCATGAAAAGATGTTAAGAAAAAGATGCTGAAAAGGAAATTTGTATTCAAATCTTATTAATAAATGAGTCTGTACAAAGAAGCAATTACATTCTGAGCATAATACTCACTGCTGTTAGAATATTCAAATAAAGGTAAATTGAGATTGTTCTTGATTATCAGGAGAAGCCAGGGATTCCAATAACTTTTTCCAAAAGCAGCTGCCAATGATATAAAAAGCACCTCTGCCTGGAAAATAGGATGTAAGGCCATCTCAAATACCAGAGTCTGGTATGAGGCTAAATAGACCTTGGTAAGAGGTTCTATAGGCAGTGGCAGACTCTTGTTATGTGGCTTTTGTTGAAACTCCTGCAGAAGCCCATGATGACTAAAATAGGCAAGAAAATGATATATCCAAGATAATGCTTACTAGTTTATAGAAGAACCAATGTAAATCTTATACTGAGTGAGCCCAGTCATTTCTTTACTGTATAATCTCAATGATAATGACCCTCTCTCACAGCTCAAAAACAACCAACATCCGTTGCTTATTTCTACTACCTTTTATTTTTTTATGGGATTAAATCATAAATAACAGTAGGTTGCTGCTTTTGAAACGTCAATGTATATAACATATAGCACAGCATCTACTAAAGTTTTTATTGGAACTAGAAGGGAAAGTCTTCAGCTATAAAGCAGCCAAAAAACCTCCATGTTCATGTATAATGACAGTTGAGTTTCTAAATGGCTTGTGCATTTAATTTGTACCAAAAAGTCACCTTAATTCTCAAAGTTAAGCCTAAAATTAATTTAATAAGTCAGTTAGCACTCTGAAGAAGAGATGGAGAAAGGGAATTAAAGGAAAAGATATGGACATTCTAATTTACCTGCCACAGATCAAGAGAAGGCAATTGATCTGATGAAGCCAAATTTGATGATCACTTGTTTGTAACTTTTGCGCAGTGTTTCTATTTTCTAACAGAAACTGGCACATCCAAATCTAAAGGAGAAAAAGAAAATGATTACATTGCTTATGACTAGTGTTGTTTAACTATCCATTGCAAGATGTCATAAGTAGTTCTCTTTACTGTTTGTTATACAATTCTTCTAATGTCATTTCTTAGAATTTTGTATTGAATTAACCTATAATCTCCTAAGTGATATTCTCAACACTTGTCTGACTGATATTCTATTGGTATTGTTATGAGAAATGCTGTCTTGGTCACTCATGGGCGCTTAAGGGTTAATTCAGTTTTCAAGAATATTGCTAGATATGTCTAGATCTACTATAATTCATAACGTTAATTGTAACAAATTGAATAACATGCATCAATTTTTTTACCAGTCTCTGTGTGTCCTTGGAGTCAGAATAAAAGAAAAGAAGCTTTCTTAGCATATTTCTAATGGCATCTGCTGTTGGAGTATCTTTGAATCCTTCTAACGAGCTGACTGCCTCATCAAATGAAATTCTCTGAAGCTCATACTGAAAGAAAAGAAAGGGATACAAAACAGATATCACATTCAATCATACTTCTACATGTGCACAGAAGATTACATTCTTTCGAGATACTTGTTATCCTGCTTTAACTAAATATCACATATATTATGCTAGTTAAAATAAACTTGAACTGATTATAAGCCCTACCTGTTGACGTCGTACCCTCTTTCCATGGATGATAGATTGAATTATGATCATGGCACTAGCAGTTTTGCGACGCAGATCCCGGGACCATTAAACTGAAATACAATCCCAGCCAATGACGCCTTTGTTTTTTCTTGAAGTCGATAAAGCAAAGAAACTTCCTACGTGGTGGCTATTTGCTTTATCAGCTCTAAATTGACAATAACCTGAGTGAAAAAATTGCGAGTCATTGGCTCGTCTCTTTCGCGACTTGCATGACGTGTGACGGTATATATTTCGTCACAATGTTGAACCAATCGGGTTGTGGTACGATGCAAATAAATCACCGATTGGTTAACATGATAACCCCCGAATATCTTCGGTTAAGTGGAAAAGAAGGAGTGCGGAGTGTAGAAAATGAGGAGTGTGGGAAATACAGAGTGTGGAGAATAAGGAGTGTGGAAAATGAAGAGTGTGGAAAATGTCGAGTGTGGAAAATGAGGAGTGTGGAAAATGCGGAGTGTGTGGTAACGCTAACCACACTCCGTATTTTCCACACTCCATATTTTCCACACCTATTTTCCACACTTCATATTTTCCACACTCCACATTTTCCACACTCCCAATTCCACACACAACATTTTCCAGATTCAAAGTTTTCCAGATTTTCGTTTTGCACTTTCTTTCCATACTTTTTCAATGTAAGTAATGTGTTTGAGTTTGGTGAATTTCGTCTTCACGGTAATCTACGGATATTTTTTAAAATCCTTCATACGATGTTTTCTTTTGATGGACAGTACAAAAGGAGGAGGGCTGTTTCACTGGGAGGTGCAAGTAAAAAGGTAATTTTCCCGTTGTTTTTGTAATTGCAAATAAGAAAGAGAGTATTGAGTTTATTAGCAAAAAATTGTAAATGTGAATTGTGATGGAATCATTCTGCTCTGTGGTTGAACTTCCCTTTAAGTCTTTTTGTTGCTGAAAGAGATTATGGGATATGATGAGTAATGATTAAGAGAACATTTTTGAAGACCGAGGAATATTGTATGGTGATGTGGTTGTGCATGTGTTCCGCTACATTATAAGCTGAATTGTACACACATTTTGGTTGTTTCTTACTTATGATCTACTGGAGGACAGACGCATGGATGGTATCACCATTAAATAACTTTTTACCTTTTACTTCTTCTTGTCCAGAAATTTAGAATTACTTGCTGTAAACATTTCTTTATTGTTTCACACTTAGTCCCGGGCAACCGGAAACTCGTTGTTAATTCAAGGTCCCCGGAAAACAGACAGCCGTCGTTTCCCCCTTCTCTCCCCTCCCCCAGCAAATAACATATGCGAGTGTTACTGAGGTATTGACCAATCAAATCGTCGTTACTGCGCATAAATTATGCTTCCCGAGGGTGGGATAGACGGATACGAATATGTTCTTGCATCATGAAGGTAGCATAAACATGCAAGGTGACAGCGAGAGCAGTATCTGATAAAGAAACGATTGAGCAATTTCGTCCGTGAGTGTGTAAAACCACTTAGTTTATTATCAACTTGGAGTCGATAAAGCAAAGAAACTTCCTACGTGGTGGCTATTTGCTTTATCAGCTCTAAATTGACAATAACCTGAGTGAAAAAATTGCGAGGCGCGTAGATCCTTTAGAAATTAGTTTCGACGAATACAGGGCGATTTTTGGCGATTCAGATGAAGAAGGTACCGAAGATATTGAGGGAGATGGTTTTGATATTGATTTTTCGGGTATTGACGAGGATGGCGAGGAAAGCGATGAAGAAGCGGACGGTGAAAGTGGCAACAAAGGAGCCTCTGACAGCGACGATGAAAAAGAACAACAATGAACAGCTGACCTCAGTAGCATCGTTGTTGACGAATTTTCAGCTCGATCTGGAATCGTTGTCGACGTGGGAACCAACCCCAAAGCTGATGATTTTTTCGGTTTGATGTTTGACGAGGTTCTTTTCGAGAAAATCGTGAAGGAGACAAACCGCTATGCTCGCCAAAAATTACCCGACAACGAGCAACGTCTTGGTAGATGGCGCGATGTTTCTAAACCCGAAGTGAAAGCTTACTTTGGAATGTGCGTCATCATGGGTATTAATATTCTTCTCATGGTCGCCGACTACTGGTCGACAGACATTTTTAAGTGCAATGAAGGAATAAAGAGAGTCATGCCTAAGAACCAATTCGAAGTAATTAGCCAATTTTTGCATCTAAATGACTTGAGTTGGGAACCCGCGCGAGGAGATGTAAATTTCGACCGTCTGTACAATGCCGTCCTGCTTTGAACGCCGTTTTAAGAAATGTTCAACGCTGTTATTTGGCCACGAAAAACCTTTCGGTTGACGTGGAGATTATAGCATTTAAAGGCGAGCTATCATTCCGCCAATATTTACCGGCTAAACCGACAAAGTATGGAATTAAATAATGCTGAAGGATAAGAAACCAGTGAAAACGATAACAGACCCCTTTTCGGTTAGAGTTGGGAAAGCACCTAATAAACAGCTACTCATATCGAAAGCGAGCTGCGAATCGAGTATCGGCAAGTTTGTTTGTTCATTAGGGGGATTAGTCATGATAGATCTAACAAACAATTAATAATTTGATCATCAGTACTGCTGGTAACACACCATTTTGACAATAGGGGGCTATATTCTTAAAAGTTTTACTACTGTTATACATGTAGGAAGGAAGGTCCTCCTTACTTCAAAGAGTTCGAGCAAGAAGAAAGGAAAGAGAGGTAAAGTATAAGGATATTTGGTGATTTTTTTCCCAGGATTATAGATGTGCAATGTCTTAGATAAGAGATTTAGATAATAATTGTATTTCTGTTTATTGGATCCTAGGATAAGAATTACACAACTAATTGTGATGCAACCACAGTTCAATCTATCTTCCGTGGAAAGAGGGTACGATGTCAACAGGTAGGGCTTATAATCAGTTCTAAGTTTATGTTAATTAGTATAATTTGATATGTGAAATTAAGTTAAAGCAGGATTACAAGGATCTCAAAAGAATGCGATCTTCTGTGCGCATGTAGAAGTATGATTGACTGTGATATCTGTTTTTTATCCCTTTCTTTTCTTTCAGTATGAGCTTCAGAGAATCTCATTTGATGAGGCAATCAGCTCATTAGAAGGATCCAAAGATACTCCAACAGCAGATGCCATTAGAAATATGCTAAGAAAGCTTCTTTTCTTTTATTCTGACTCTAAGGATACACAGAGACTGGTAAAAAAAAGTTGATGCATGAAACTCAATTTGTTACAATTATCATTATGAATTGAAGTAGATCTAGACATATCTAGCCATGTTCTTGAAAACTGAATTAACCCTTAGCACCCATCAGTGACCAAGACAGCATTTCTCATAACAATACCAATAGAATATCAGTCAGAAAAGTGTTAAGAATGATGATGAATATCAATTGGGAGATTATTAGTTGATTCAATACAAAATTCTAAGAAATGACATTAGAAGAATTGTATAACAAACAGTTAAGAGAACTACTTATGACATCTTGCAATGGATAGTTAAATGACACCAGTCATAAGCAATGTAATCGTTTTCTTTTTTCTCCTTTAGATTTGGATGTGCCAGTTTCTGTTAGAGAATAGAAACACTGTGCAAAAGTTACAAACAAGTGATCATCAAATTTGGCTTCATCAGATCAAATGCCTTCTCTTGATCTGTGGCAGGTAAATTAGAATGTCCATATCTTTTCCTTTAATTCCCTTTCTTCATCTCTTTTTCAGAGTGCCAGCTGACTAATTAAATTAATTTTAGGCTTAACTTTGAGAATTAAGGTGACTTTTTGGTACAAATTAAATGCACAAGCCATTTAGAAACTCAACTGTCATTATACATGAACATGGAGGTTTTTTGGCTATTTTGGCTGAAAACTTTCCCTTCTAGTTCCTCTAAAAACTTTATTAGATGCTGTGCCATACGTTGTATATGTTGAAGTTTCAAAAGCAGCAACCTGCTATTGTTTACAATTTGAACCCCTGAAAAATAAAAGGTAAGAGAAATAAGCAATGGATGTTGGTTGGTTTTGAGCCATAAGAGAGGGTTATGATCATCGACGTTGTACAATAAAGAAATGACTGGGCTTGCTCAGTGTAATAATTACATTGGTTCTTCTATAAACTAGTAAGCATTTTCTTGCTTGGTTTAGTCATCATGGGCTTCTGCTGGGGTTTCAATAAAAGCCACATAACAAGAGTCTGCCGCTGCCTATAGAACCTCTTACCAAGGTCTGTTTGGCCTGAAAGCAGACTCTGGTATTTGGGTTTGGCCTTACATCCCATTTTCCAGGCAGAGGTATTTTTTATATCATTGGCAGCAGCTTATGGAAAAAGTTATTGGAACTCCTGGCTTCCCCTGAAAATCAAGAACAATTTCGATTTCCATTTATTTGAATATTCTAACAGTAGTGAGTAATGTTCAGACTGTAATTGCTTCTTTGTAAAGACTCGTTTACTGATAAGATTTGAATACAAATTTCCTGTTTAGAAACTTTTTCTGAGCATCTTTTCATAGAATTTTTACCTTTTCCCTCTCTTCAGCTTCTACATTTAAATAATATTTAAATAATATTTGCACTGCAAAGGAAATTCAGAGAAATGATGAAAGTTATCTCCACAGATCACTAGAGACGTCAATGAGAGATTCCCAACCTGTTCCTATTCAGCTGCCTATGTTGAAAGTTTTCACCTCTGATAAACCATACTATAATCCGACTGATCCTGCCAGAAGTAGAAAAGATGCTGCAATGGTGACAGTTTACCTTGTGAGAAATGGTAACTATAACCCTCAGCAGTTTCTCACTGACTGTGTACCCCCTGTTAGATGGGGTCTTTTATCTCAGGACCTATTTTCATACAGTTCTTTACCATTATTGAGCTGGGTCCAGTTGTATAAAGGCCAGATAGCACTATCCAATGGATAAAACGCCATCCAGGGGATAAGTGTTAACAAAACATACTGTGCTATTCACCAGATAGAGATTTATCCAGTGGTTAGCATTATCCATGTGTCAACCAACCAGGGCCTGAAGGGTATCATTTATTTGTCATGAGTGGGATATTATCTAAAAATCACTTCTATGTTGACTTTCTGAAATTCACCCTTTTTTGCATGTGCAGCATATGTTTAATTTCATGTTTAGATAGAGTTTATTAATGATTGAATAACTTGCTTAACCTTTTCACTCCCATGATTTCATTAGTAATTCTCCTTACTATCTGCCATACAATTCCTATGATTTCATTTCAGAGAGCTTGGTATTGCATCAACCGATAATCCCCTTATTGATATTTTCCTTTGTTCTCATCACTTGTCTGCTTGAGTTTTGAATTTTACCAGGAGAAATTACATTTTGTATGTATGTCCTGGTCACTCATGGGAGTTAAAGGGTTAACATTATTAAATTATTTTCTCTGTGTGTGTCAGTTTGTATTTGTGTACATGAATGTATGCATAACTCCATTAATTTGTGTAGTCTGTTGAAGATCCTTTCTAAATATTGTTACATTTCATGTACTCCATTACCAGGATATTTTAGATATTTGCGTGTTCTGCTGAATGCCAGAGTTCCATCCAGCTTAGAGCCATCTACTGTCTCCCCTACTCCAATGGCTGCTGCTATCAGAGACCTGGTGATGAACCCACTTTACTTCAGCAGCCAGTCCAGTAGTGGAGAAGAATCTGCATTTACTGTAAATGATAGGTAAATTATATTTTCCTCCTATGCATTTCTGTACTCTTTTTCTCTCCTTCCTGTCTCCAACTGAGAACTACCCAGCTTCTTCAAATTGATTTTAATCTTGCTACTGGTTTCCTGCATTTATTTGGGAAAATATAAAAGTTCGCAAGTTTGCAAAAAAATAATGTTATACAAATGCTATTGAGTTAACGTAGATCTTTGTATCGATCACACAATTAAAAGTTTATCTGCTGTGGTTCAATTTTTTCTTATCTTAATAATTTTAAAACTTAATTGATTTTTATTGTCATTTGTTTTAATGAATACTAGAGAAAAGAAAAAGAGAAGTTTGACTGGTTTGAAAAACTTTTAGCTCTGAATAAAAACTGAATTACCCTGACTCATAAAAATGAGTTAAATCAATAAATGTTTTTATCTTAAAGAAATTTCAAGGGAAGAACAGCCAAATAAAAGTTGATGAATTTCTACATTTTTTTTTTTCAGGCATGCAGTATTTTCAGCATTCATTTCTGACATTCTTTGTCCTGAAATGACGAAGCAGATCGTCTGCTTTTTGCTACCATCAATAGCAGACCAATCTGCAAGATTCTGTTTTAGTCAATTGTTAGAGACCCTCCTGAAATTATTGACAAAGGCTGATGAATCAGGGGGGGCCAACAGCAAGATCGCCCCCACACCTTGGCTACTGTATGGAGTATTGGCATTTGTTAAAACACATTTAGGTTTGTTCACCTGACTGTTTACTGTGTTCAGTGATAAAACCTGCATAAATGTATAGTTTTAAAGTATGATTTATCCAACCATTTGTTGTTCTGTCTCCAGGATCAACTTCAGCTTTGTCTTTAGTGAAATGCTATATTCAAGTCTTAGAGATCCTGATAGTACAGCTCCCTCATCCAGGTAAACAACTTTCACTGCAACATCAATTGACAAAAACTGTTAGAATTCATTCAATATTTCCCTTTAATTTTAATTTGATAATCCCATTGGGGTTTGGAAAAACAATATTGCTAATTTGCTCAAACAAGAAATTTTATTACAGTTGTATATTGTTCTAGAAAAACAGATCATTCATCCAGAGCTATATGTTGCATTAAAATAATATGGCTTGCATGTAATTACATGTTTCGTCTTTGAATTTTCCAGTTTCTAGGGGGTCAGATGATGAAAGTGACAGCAATTCTGAAATGGAGACAGATTCCTCACAGGCAAGTAAAAGTTCCTAATTGCATTTCTATGCAATATAAATGGGGTACTACTCTGGATTTGACCTGTTTTTACTAACTCTTTTGCTCTTTGCATTTACTGACTGTTAATTTAAAAAGATGGAATTAATGTTGTTGTATGTCACAGTTATCTTTAGAAGACCTTAAAGAAAAATGTTTGGATATCCTTAATTCTGATGATCATGTTAAGACTTTGGAATCACTGTTTGCAAGGTATGCCAATGTAATGAAGTCATTTTAACCTGTTTTTTCCACAAGAAAGTTTTCAATTTCAAAATTTTCAATTTAAAGAGGTGATGAAAGCTTTAAAAAATAACTAAATAATGATTTGATATTTTCATTTGTTGCTAGACACAAAAAAAAGGATTATGAGAAAGGAGTTATCAGAGCACTTTGTAGTATTTGTCATTTCTTGGGAAGACTGCCGAGACACAGGGCAAGGTCTGTAGTTTGAGATAAAAGTCAACAAAACTTTTAGCTTCTAATGAATATTGTTGGAGATGTTGTGGCATCAAGGTGGGCATAACAGGCTCAACATTCAAGCCCCAGGTGTATCATTATATTGTGTTATTGGTCTGAGTACAAATCTTTTGATAGTGCCAATCTCCATCAGGGGGTAGGAATGTGTGCTAGTGAACTGTAGGAAAGATTCTAGAGAATAGGAGAGTAAGCTACAGCGAGCTTCTTGTCAGGGTCATGGAAGAATATCAGTATTCAGACTCAAACATGCTATAAAACCAAAGACAACCCCTGGTATTGCAGGCCACTTAATGTATGTGAAGAATTACACACTGTAGCTTGCTAACAAATAATGGGCATTTGTTATAAATTAGTGTGGTTTTGTTTTCAGTTACATATCATAGACTTTATTCAATGCATTTGTCAGCATGCAACTAGTGTAATTTTCCTGTTGTTTTCTTCATATACTAGGCTTTTACACACACTGGCACAGAAACAAACAATTGTAAAAGAACTCTGGACCTATGTACAGTCAGTCACAGTGTTTACTAATACAGGGTAAGTTGAAATGTTAAAGCAGTGCAATGATCTGTTTAAATGGTGAACTGAATTCTTTTTCTTAGAATATTTTTCATGAAAGCTTCTTTTGTGCTTAAGCCTTGCATGGCCTAATAAGATGTATTTGTGCTCTTCAGCTGTGTACTTGTGATAGGACCCAAATTTATTACTTAAAAGCAAAATACAACCAGAGTGGAAGTTTGTTTGCATAAAATTCTATTTTGACATACATTCTAGAAGATGTGTTACTTTTTGCTTACATGTACATGTGAAATTTTAATCTAAATCTGATGTTTCTTTGTTTTTTTGTAATTTTTTTAAATTTTGATTTTTTGTTTTCAAACAGGAAAGAAACCCTCTTGTTAGATCTAATATGTTGTGGAATAGATCTTTCAACACAAGAAGCCAGTGCTGTTACTCTAATGTTATCTTTGATGTCAATACTACTGAGCAATGGTTTGTTTTCTGTTCATGATAATGACAATGAATTTTATGAAGTAGAAGGTTAGCTGTAAAACATATACCAAACGTTTTCAAGCTCTCCTCACCTAAACTTGTCATATTTTGTAGGTCAAAGAGACTCGTCTATGATATTTTCTGACAAAGAAATGAAGCACATGTCTTCAGTCTTGTGCGATGTTGTGAAAGGAATAATAAAGATTATTTACCCATACGGTAGCCAAGCATTTACAAGGCAACGCCTTGCTGCTCTGAAGAGTGTCGGAGCTAAGTCAGCCCTGATGAAAAAAGATGAGTTCTATCCCAAAGAAAAGTGGATCAAGCTTCTTAAGGTTGGTCTATAATGATAGAGTAGACTCGTGCACTTCTGACAAGGATTGCAGCGTTTCTCCAGCATTCTGCTAAATTTTCTCAAGAATGTGTTGCATTATAATGCATTGCTGGCAATATTAGACTAAGTGAGGGGGCATTGGAACTTTCGGGTTTGCGGTTTTGGCTATTTTCTAGATCGGTTTTTCGGGTTTATGCCAAAAAAACTTTGCGGTTTTGGTGTTCATTGCGGTTTCCGAATTGTCCGTTCTTTAGCATTTGGTTATCGGCTTCCTTAAGAAATACCAATGGTATTTCGGATTTGGTATCCGATGTGGTTTTCGGTTTTTCCTATTTGTGTTTCGGTTCCTCTTCAATCTGAGCAGCATTTTTGGGTGATTTTGTGTACGGTCTTCCGGTTTCTTATAGACCTCAATATCCCCCTCCTAAGTGTAATGTTAATTTGCTAGTAAATCAGTATTTCTGATGGTAAATTGGACATGCATTAGTCTTGAGATTGTGATCTTGGACTTGTAGTCTGTGTTGAGCCCAGGCGAGTGTAATGATCTCTATAATGCAAAACAAGACAAGACAACACAGACAGAGTGCCTGTTACTAACCAGTATATTGATATGTTCACTACGGGTACTTTGTAATTTAACGTCCTTCTTCAATGACCAGCTGAAAACATTTTATACACGTAGATGTATGCCGAGTGAACTGCGAAGCTATAACGCACATTTAAGTAAAATTCCTTAATTTGCTGCTTATGATTGTACTGTACTTTGCAAAAAAGTTTTTTTCCTCCCTCACTAGGACGTGTCCTGCCTTGTTCGGCGACTCCATTCAAGAGACTCCAGGAGACAGCTCTGTTCTGAAGGCCACTGGCTGTCACACGAAGTTAACATAGACCCAGCACAGGTAGACAGGATTCTTATTTTTTTTCGGACGCTCGATTGTTTAAAAAAATTTGAACATTCAAAATGAATTTTAGGCCCCAAGTTCTAATGTTTCAGTTTGTCGTCTCGTAGCAATGTTGTAATTATATTTTCACAACCTTTAGACAGCTTCGCTTCCCAATTCTTTGTACTTGGTTTTGACTGATTTCAAAGGAATTGTTCAATAGTTGGAAAACTTTGTAAGATGACCATTTTTATGTACAGTAATCACAGAAAAAATTATGTTTCTAAACAATTAAGAAGTACAAGTAAAGCCCATCTTGACTCGAGATCGTTTTCTCGTGCCGGCTTCTTGTTCTGTAATTGGCTCATTTGGTCATTTTCTTGTATCCATAAGGATTTCCTGATTTGAAGGTTGAGATTCTCAAAAGTTTGAAGATTTTAAACCGTGTAACGTGATATTATTCGTTTTTATCCTTTGAACAGATGAGAATTGACGGTTTTCTCAATGAAGGTAATTTACGATTCTTTGTTTACCTTTGAGAAAGGTAGACGTCTGATTAAATATTTGAGCTAAGAGATGCATATATAGGTAAATCGTCGAGGGCACAAATCCCATTTTTAAATGCCAAGCTTCGCAGTTGAAATGAGCTGAAGAGAAGGTTTGTTGACAGACTTAGCGAACAAGCAGGGAAATTTCCAGAAACATTATGCTCGCTCAGATGGCCTTCTTCGCAGCCGTTCTATTGAATTTCAGGCAACGCCCTGTCGTAAAGAACAACTGCGAGGAAATCAATGGTCCTCTAGTTGTTGTGTATTATCGTTTAAGGGATAGATGTTATCCGTGTCATTTCGTCTGTCTCTTTTACATGTAATTATTCACCTTTTATTCATGTTTGCTTCAAGGTACCGTAGAAGGGGTTTTAGAACCAGGGTTATCTACCAGCACAGCAAGGAACATGGCCATTCTTCAATACATTCCGTTTGTTGTTCCTTTTCCAGACCGAGAGAAGGTGAGGTTGCTTTTGTAAACGATTTTAAGAGAGATAGAGTCAGAAATTTATATGAGATTGCACTTGTTTGGACTTTTCTAAGCTTTATGATTGGTCCATAAAACTTGCGCAACCAATCAGATACAAAACCAAAGTTAATGGCGACTTGCATTTTCCCGCCATTTACTTTGACAGGTACCTTCGATCTGATTGGCTCATAATTGTGATCAATGTGAATTTTGATTTATGGTACTTCATGGCGAAGGGTGCTAAAATATGTAGAATGGAGGGTTGCTAAGGTCTGCTCACATCTAGCGTGTTTTGTTTCTTAGTTGCTCCAAAGAATCGTGGCGAAAAGTCGTTTGGATTCCCAGGGAGAGCCGCATAACTTTATGATGGGACCAGCCATAGATGTGACAGTGAACAGAACCTACATCTATCAACATGCTTTTGATCAGCTGACCAAAGACAAAGGTCGGTAGAGATAATCAGCCAAACGTTTTAACTTAGAGAAATATGTAAGCTTTAGTCACGAACGTGACACATTTAAAAAGTGTGAATTCCCAGAATTAAACGAACATCAGATGTAATGATTTCGTAGATGTTCTACCACTAAGCTTCAGGGAACTAGTTGGCGAGCCAGGTTATATACCAGGTTCATAATTATGTGACAAGTGTCCTGTCGACTGATGGTGAATGTTAAGTGTACAGCGAATAACAGATATATGTCAAATATTTGTCGTCTGTGGAGGCTAGCATCTAATTTACTGAAACAACACATTATAGTTTGTGGCTACTTTTCCTCTAACAGCCCCAAATTTGCGACAAAAGCTTCGCGTTCGGATGATTAATGCTCAAGGACTGGAGGAAGCAGGAGTGGACGGAGGGGGAATTTCCAGGTGACAAGTTAACCTAAAGTAATGAAGAACTCTCTATTCTCTTGATCTCTACTTGGAAGACTCGATTTTTTGTGGAAAGAGGTTTTGATGCCTCCATCAAACGTTGAGAATTAATGAAGTGTGTTCGTTATGAAAATGGAATGTTAGAGACGTAGCACTTTGTACCACTTTGCCAGTGATGCTCTCTCCCCCACCTAAAAGAGCTAAGTCACGATTTATTGACTTATTTTAGCTTAGAAAAACGTCTTTAAAAAATTGTTTCCTGGGATTGAAAAACAAAAAAGAGATAACAAAAAGGAACGAGAACGGTTAAGGATTGAGAAGATTGAAACAGATCTTAAATGACGGCCACGAAAACTTTAGATCGCCAGACATATTTTTGATAAGCCCCTCTAACTACTCTTGCTTAACGATTTAATCTGATTCAATCATACGCGCTTTTTTTCATTCCCTGTACTCCTTTCATACAGGGAATTTTTGAATGAATTACTCTAAGCTGGATTTGATCCTAGCATCGGTCTCTTCAAGGCAACACATGAGCGGCTCCTTTATCCCAATCCAGTGGTATGTTTGTGCTCTGACTGGTAATCCTCTCATTTATTTTATACACATTTCCTTGTAATTTAGTTCAGAGAATTTGGTGTTAAATCAAGGTAATCTCTTCTCGCTGATAAATTTGTCTACTCTCATTACGTAAATGAATAAAGGGAGTAAGTTTCTAAGGAAACTGTGGTGCTGCGTCGGTGGGAGAGTATGACAGGAAATTTAGTGTTAACAACTGAGTTGATAACGTAAATTGGCCACCGTGAAGAGTTTAAACGCTGACGTTTCGAGAAATTGTTCTGACGAAGGGCTAACTCTTCAAACTCTTGACGGTGGCCAATTTACGTTATCAACTCAGTTGATAATTGTAAATTACCCTGTTGAACTCTCATTACCTGTTTACTAAAAGATGTGTTAATATTGTTGGGGGCTTCAGCACTAAATTATGTAGGTCTTTTATTGTTTTTGTATGTTTTGTTTTCCCCAGGCTGCTATTTTACAGGGGAGTTATCTTGAACACATTCGTTTTCTGGGACGAATGTTAGGAAAGGTTAGTCCCAGTTTGTTTCTAATCACTTTTTGTGGTTTTCATAAGTTTAACTTGATTATTTGTGTGTTTGTTTCAATTTTTTTTTATTTGGTTGTTTTTGTTATTATTTTGGAGCACTTTTGGTGTTGTCTTCCCTAAGCTTTTTATTTGATTCAACCCGGCCCAAAGGACTTATACTTACGCTATGGCTTCGTTTACAAGAGTTACACAAAACTGATCAAGTATGGGAGACGAGCGATGAATTCCATCAAAGTTCTTTGTCATCGCTTCCTTTGACGTTAAGCAATGATTAGCACAATTTTCATTGTGCTAATCATTGCATTTAAAAATGATTTAGTTGGAGTAATTGTTTGTTCCCCGTAATCTGATTGGTTAATTTTATCTGAGTGACTCTGATAGTGAAAGTGGCACAGGAAACCCAAATACTCAATAACAGCAAACCACATTCTTTTCACTTTTCTCCAATGACTCCAAAAGTCTGATCGAGTAAAGCGATTTGTTGAGAATCACAAGAGTGCTTACTAAGAATTATTCTATGACTTATCGCACTGCGAGATGTCAGTATTTTGTGATTGGTTTATTTATTTGTTTGTTTATTTAGGCGTTGTATGAGAACATGTCGGTGGAGCTACCATTCGCGAGCTTCTTTCTGTGTAAACTTCTCAGTAAGCACGGTACCGATGTAGATATACATCACTTGGAGTCCCTTGATCCAGAATTGTACAGGTAAGGTTTATGTTGAACGGACAATTGACACAGAGCCTTAGTTAGTTTGTGTAGCAAGGAAAAGGCGAGGATGATAGTTGAAATTATCGTTGAAACTAAGATCTAGTTCACGCACGATTTCTTGTTAAAATTCAAGATCTTAGTCACAATCATAAAATGTCTAGAAAGCTAAACAAGAGGCATTTTAAGGTGGAATAACTTGATGTGTAACGTAAAATAAATAGAGCTGTTGGAGAAAGCCTACCTCTATATTGACTTAACCATTTCACTCCCAGTTCTCAGTAGTTGTTCACATTACTGTCCGTTATATAATTCTGTTACTATATAATTCTGTTAATAATGTTATGTAGGAGAATTTGTCTTATTCTCATCACTTGTCTGCTTTATAATGTAGTGATGTTGTGAGGAGAAATTTGTCTTGATGATCCATTGGAGTTGATTTGAGTGCCTTGGAAGTTAGAGACTGACGTTTCTACAGTTTCTTATGGTGTAAGGAAAGGGAAATATTTATGTATTCTTTAAATTTCTTTTCTTTTAGAAACTTGCTGTCTCTTAAAAATAACAGTGAAAATGTTGAAGAACTGTCACTAAATTTCACAGTGGTAAATAATGACCTTGGAGAAAGCCAGGTAATTCGAGTGGCTAGCTTTCACATCATTCTTTACTCTCCTGAAACCCCCCTTCCCTTCCCTCCTTCCAAATTTAAATACGACGCTGGTTTACCCCATCCCTTCTACCCATGCCTCTGAGGCCATTATCTCTCGTTGCTTTACAGGTTGTGGAGTTAAAACCAGGTGGTCGAGATACTCCCGTTACCAACAGCAACAAAATCAGCTACATACATCTTGTGGCCGATTACAGGCTGAACAAACAGGTCAGTCCGAGAAGTCCCTCTCTCCTACTTGTTCATTTTATTTTGTTATCAAAAACGGTGGCTTGTTTTACACCCATATTTTGTTATGATGGTATTTTACTTGGCTTGATTTTAGCAACCTTGAGATGTTAATGTAATCTCTCAGTTTTAATGTGATTTAGATTCATCGTCACTGTGTAGCATTCAGGGCAGGCCTGTCAGATGTCATCAACCTGGACTGGTTAAGAATGTTTGATCACAACGAACTGCAGGTGATTTTCCCTTTTTTTCGGTTAAGAAGAATGTGGCGAGATTTTGTCAGAGAATTCTGTGAAACCATGCACTATATTTGAGTATTTTGTTTTCTTCTTTGCATCAAGCTACCTTCCAATTTTTTAATTAAAAAAAAAATTATTATTATTATTATTATTATTATTATTATTATTATTATCTTGTAGGTTCTTTTATCCGGTTCCCTAGTTCCAGTAGACCTGGAGGATCTTAAAAGAAACATCAAGTATTCAGGTACAAGACTGTTGGATGGTAATGTTAACTGGTGATAGTTACGTAAAGTTACTCTGAGATCTCACTGGTTCGTTATGTTTCTTCGCTAAGATCGGCTGTCACAACATGAAGGGTTATTGACAAAAGGACACGTTAGAGTCATCGTTTTCGATGTGAAAATTTCCCTAGAATATCACATTATATGATAAGTTGGACAAACAACCAACTGAAAAGACTAAATGAAAACGGAAGGAGGAAAGTTAAAGGTGGAGAAGATTTACACGAGTTTTAATGACCGCCCTGAGAAAGATTGCAGGTAAATTCTCAAGATGCTCAAGCAGCGACGTAGATCGTTTGTTACGATATTAACAACTCTTAAACGTTTCAGGTGGCTTTACGGAAGATCATCCCTGTATACTTTCATTTTGGCGAGTTGTCGGTCAGTTCACGGATACACAGAAGCGTCAGCTGTTGAAATTCGTAACGAGCTGTTCGCGTCCTCCTCTCCTCGGTTTTAAGGTCAGCTGAGTCTCTTGTTCCCTACACTTACATATGTGGCATGGGCAGGGGTCCATCCTCCATCAAGTTGTGAAGTAAATAAAGAGTACCTTGATTCCATCCTCGTCTTTCCTTTACATTTCTTGTCGAGAGGAACAGGGATGACGCGGTGTGAAAGCGCTTGCCTTTCACCGCTGAAGCCTGGGTTCGATTCTCGGAGTTAGCATCATTGTTGTGAACTCTCTTTCATGTTGCAAGGGTTTGTCTCCAGTTTTCTTTCCAGAAAAAGAGAGCAACACTCTACGTTACACTTGGAAGTGGAAACAGTGGATGAGAAGAACCATTTCGTGAATCTGTCTCTGCTAAAATGTAACGTCTATTTAGTTCATTTTTATTTTTTTAAAATTTATTATTTTCTCGTTATCCTTCAGGAACTCGACCCTTCCTTCTGTGTGTGCAGCGCGGGGCCTGAGGATAGACTCCCGTCAGCTAGCACATGTGTGAACTTACTTAAGTTACCAGAGTATTTGGACGATGAAACCATGAGAGAGAAACTGTTGTATGCTGTACAATCAGGCGCAGGATTTGAGCTGAGCTAAAAAGTGTCGTCACTCAGCGAACGCGAATATCAATGGAAATGAATATTATCAGTATCGACGATTATGTCAGTGATACTGAACTCAAAGTCTTGAACATGCAATGCCGCGAGCGATGCAAACAACAAGGCTTCAATTTGGATTATGGCTGCTAAAATAGTGAAAAATCCGTATCGCTTACAAACAGTGACGTTCAAACTTTCCTAGGGAAAGAAAACCAAAAGACGAAAAAAAAACCGAAAGTTACGTTTTCAGTGACCTTGATAATGGCATGTTTTCATCGTGGGTGCGCCAACGCGCTTTACGATTTTTGTTCACTAATTAATAAAGTCGACTTTTCTGGTCATTAAAGGGTCATTGTGTTTATATGATAAGTAAAATAATACATAATTGCTTGTAGATATGAGATATCTCCTCTCGTGTTCAACTCGAAGATAAATTCCATATCTACGCGCGCTTATGTATTATTCTCTATGTAGTTGGTGGAAAAGACGATGTTGAGACAGGCTTGCACGAGAATTGCACATCAATCAAATGTGCTGTTAAAGCGTCTTCTGGAAAGCTTTGGAAAAGATCGTGTACGAACTCGATCCGATCTACAATCTGAATTGTTAGTCACTAGAAATTGAAATGTGACCCAGCCGAAAAAGATACAAGTGCAGTAACCTTAAAGATTTAAACAGTCACACCTCAGCATACTATAAACACTATTTTCACACGCTAGAGTTTTATCCGAAGAGTCGGATTCGTACAGCGAAATCAGCAAAGTTCGCTTCTGAAATAATGTTGAGTTTTTTTCATTTTATCAATTTGTAACTGGGCGGTTGTGGAAGTTCAATCCAGAAAATTGGAAACATTTGTATTTATAGTGAACACTGATCGTTAAAATTCTCGAATACGATTGATCATCAGCGGCCTTATTTGTTACCTCATCGTCGTCATTAACATTATACCTAACCTGGGAACAGGCCCTTATTAGAGCTCCGGCATAAGTGATTCTTCGCCCGAGGTCTTTAGCAATGCGAGCCGGCGAAAGGTCGGCAAGAGGTCTGGCACTGATAACATTTGGATTTTCCCGGAGAGCCTGCGGTCCCCGTCGCCGTTCCAGTCCTCGTTGCCCGTTGCTTAAAGTCCCTTTTATTGACAAACCCTCGCAAACTCTCTCCCCAACTCGTCCCAAATCTTCCCGCAGCGCCAGCAATGTTGGCCTGCCCGTGAACTACATTATTCCTTTCTCTCCTTTTGGGGAATATCGCCATACTCGCGCGATTATCAAGTCGGACTCCCGTCTGGCGGTGGATCGATTTTTTTCATCTCTCGTATGATTACAAGCCGAATTGGATTCCACTTAGTGCATCATCTGGAAATATCATTACATTTTTCAGAATATTTTTTCCAGATTTTTTTTACATCTACTTTTTCCCTCATTTACTTGGTACAATTTTTCTACAGAATTTTTGCCAATCAAATGTCGCCATGGCATCAAACATGTGTTTGTTCAAATTGGAAGGCGGTTGTTTGAAAGTTGCTAGTATTTTTTCGAAAGTCTTTTAACGTAAAAATACAGAGATCCAGGAAATAGCAATTTTGTCAAAATTTTAAAAGAAATTGAGACTTTCATGAAATGGTAACCTATCTCGTTAATTCCATTTTTTTATATATATACAGATACCCAATTTACATCATAAAAAATGAAATGACTATTACCATACAGGACTTTCATTAGATGACTATATGCAAAATATGCAAATAGTCAGGAATAAAGCAAACTATTTACAGTTTCTTTTCCTCTAGTTCCAGCTATTACTACTATTACAGGATTACGACTTGTTCAGAGTAAAGGTGTGTGTTTGCAACCTGTTGTTTCTTTATGGTGGGAAATTCTAGTCCATTCAAGTGTCCTGTAATAGTTTAACCCTTTACACCCAAACATCATTATATGCATATTCTCCAAACTATTCTCTATACATTTCCTGGGAGATGCTGACAAGGAGAATTTGTTCAGCAATCGAGAGCTTCTTTAGTTGGCGATAATTTCTTTTATTCTCATGATCTGGTGTGTTATTCTGGGGTGATACTGCGAGGAGAAATTTCATGCTAATCACTCTAAGGGTCAAGTGATTCTAGTGAGAGTGCTGACTCTGTTATATTGCAAAAAGCTTTTGTCTGGTTTTAATGTCTCTTAGAAAAAATTTTCAGACAATTTTCTCATTTTTTACAACTAAACTGTATTAAGTTATACCTTACTCTCAAAGGAAGAGTTAGTTAATTGATATGCATTAAGGTTGAATTGATAATGAGTCAGTTAATCCTTAAATAATCCCAAGATCTGATTGTAAATTCTCCCCTCTACCTGCTATTCATTTCCTGAATTTGGTGTAAGATCAACATAACAACCTTAACCTGATAAGTTTGAGTATTCTCATTACCTGTTTCCTGCATAAGGCAAATAGATAGGGAGAAGTTTCTTGTTAATCAATATCAGGAGTTAAGGGTTAAATAAGACCTACTGTGACAGAAAGCTCAGTAAATTGCTGGTAATGTTGTTTGTATTCGTTTCATGTATTTCAGTAATTATGCATCATATTGGCCGGTCAGTGGGTCTTGATTGTGACTATTCAGACATCATATTTGTGAAAACCTGGTGTTTGGTGCAGGTAATTTGCATATAATGTCCTAATTCCCTTAGAGTGTTAAACTCTGGGATTTTTTAAGTAGAAAAGTATTTATTTGGAATGAGGAAATCTAAAGAATGAGAGGAAATCAACTGACAAAAAAAAACTTTGTGCCACCATCTCAGTTATACTGATGAACTCATGGAAGCATTTGTGAACTGAGGAAGGCATATTTCCAGATTTCCAGATTTCTAGACCAACAAGTTAAGATAAACATGAGTTAGGTAAAGATTCATCTGTATATTTCCAAATTTCCTCATTTCCAGAGTACCAAGTCAAGATACATTTGAGTATTTAACGAATCACACATCGCACATTCTCACATTTCAAGGTTACTCTAAGGTGATTCATTTTATGTGCAGCACATTCATTGTGATGACATGCTCTGAGCTCTTCTACCCCAAGTAAAAGCCAAAAAATTAATGAAGCATGGGCCAAGATACCTCAAACTGCAGATAGCTTTAAAAATATTGTTATTTTTATCATTTGAAAGTTTAAAAGGGTCGAGGTGGCATTAATCTTTAAGATGATAACTTTGACATTTTAACTCTCTTTGCTAGACAGTAGAGACGCTAGAGTCAGCTTGCACTTTCTTAATTAGTGTTATTTCTCAAAGTTGTATTTTTTTGGTGTTTACCCTCTTGCTTTATTTGCTTTCACCCTTTATACACAACATTGGTATGCATATTCTCCCTACTGTTCTTTATACATTTCTTAAGGTGCTTACAAGGAGACTTTGTTTACTGATCAAAAGCTTCTTTCATTGGTGATCATTTCCTTTATTCTCATAACCTTAATGTGTGATTCAGGGTGATATTGTAGGGAGAAACTAGATGCTAGTCACTCTTAGGAATTAAAGGGTTAATACCTTAAGGTTAATAAAGGTTGTTTTTGGGACACAGTACCTGACTACTTTCTGTAATTTAGAGGCAACATTTTGACAGAGGCAAAGAGCTAGTCAGAAAAAAATGAAAAAGTTTGTAAACAATGAAAAGTTACTGTAGCTGCAGTTCTTGTATTTTTCACCAATGTTAGAGACAAAAATTTGCGTGCAAGACCTACATTTATAAAATAATTCAAATAGTACGCGCGCTCTGATTGGCCATAAAACCATTTTACATGAGCGTATGTAAACACGGTTTTCGTTCCTCTTTCATTAGTTATTTTATAAAAGAAATGTAAAATGGTTTCCGTGTTTACATAGCCTGATGTAAACACTTGGGAGGTTGGGAGAACACTCGGAAAGCTGGAAATCACTCCACTTCGCGTCGTGGTTTCCTACGCTTATCTCGTGTTCTCCCAACCTCCCGCGTGTTTACATCAAGCTATGTAAACACGGAAACCATTTTACATTTCTTCAGTGTACATGTATATGGTATTTGTGGGCTTTATTAGGTATGTTAGATAGAAAGATTTATGTTAGATATTGTATTATTTACTATTTGATGATTGGTAGTCCCTTTTTGGATGCTGGACAATGTTTTGATATTTTTAGGGTTTGCATGTAAAGCTGTATATGTAAGTTATAACTTTTTCGATAGCATCTCAACATTGAAATAAAATTGCATCCTGCTCTCCAAGATTTTCTAATTAACAGGTCGGAGTTGTAGTCCATGTTAAGTTTACAACGCGGTGAAAAATTTCTTTTTAACAGTTACCTCCGTGTCAAAGTTTGCTTACTTCTTTTAAAACGTAATCAACTGCAATGTGGTACCTTCATCAGTTTTCTATCTGACAAGTTTGCAAAGATCGTTGGCCAAGATTTGCGAAGTGTTTACTATTAACCAAACTGCGGGCGCAAGTGACGTAATAGTTCCTCCTTAAATCTAATTGGCTGGCTTTTTTGCTCGCGCGCTTTTCGTTCATTGTTTTGTCACAAAACGTGTGTTTTCTGAAGAGGAATCATTTATTTAGATATGATAACTTGAGAAAGACGGAATTTATTGACTTAAGAAAGATTGGAATTCTGCCATTGTCTGAAAGCATGTCGAGAAAACGCTGAAGATCACAGTGAATTAAAGGTTAACAGCCGAAAAGTGTTATTTTTGTGCGCAGACTTATGACAATCACAAAGCGGATCACAAAGACCGAAGCGCGACGGAAGATGCGACGCCCTGTGTATTGAACTAATTGAAGACAATTAACCTGCAAAAGTTGCAAGACTTACGAAGTGAGGAGTTTCTTAGCCACAGACCACATTCACAATGTAAGAAAGTTGTTTACTCACCGAAAGAACTATGAATGTAAAATTTGTTGGATGGGATGCAAACACGTTCGTGGAACTTCGCAATCGATCCGTGCAATTTGGCGTGCACGATAATCAGAATGAGAAATCTTTCTCTCAGACGAATGATTAAAATCCGTCACTGGTTTCCAAAACATTGACTTTATTTTCAAGGTACAACTTTACAACAAGTTGAAATAATGAGCAGAAAACTGTGCAAATAAACTCGTGTAGTTGAAGAGACAGGAGAGAGTGCAACGCAGTAACGTGCCGACTGGATTTGAATTCAGAGATTTCAATAGCAGTTTTGTCAATGAATTAATCATCAGACAATCATAGACTTCTAAGCCTGCGCACAGACGTTGAGAAGTTTTCTCATCGTATGATGGCATCTTGGAGAGAAACGGCGTTGAGAGGATTGGGAAAATGTATTTAATATACACGAGTGTCTAGAGTGTATTGGTAGGTAGCAAATTAGCAGCCCATTTGATGTCGTGTGGAAAAAAAAGAAGCAGGTTGGTTTGACTCTGGCTCTGGCTCTGGAGATTGATAAGGAATCGACGAGCTTCACCATGTGTCATACTTAGGAAAAACTTTTGAAAGCAAAGGATGATGGAACAATCAGCTTGAAGGTCTGCAGTAGAAAAGACAGAAGAGAAGAGGCGAAGGTGGGATGAAATTTTTTCCTTCCTGTATGTATTTTAAATACCTTTGATACACACAACCCATCAACAAGCAATTAGTCAATTGACTACACCACGAACTGATCCACCAATCGTTCAATTTATCAATCAATTTAACAGTCCATCAATCAATCTATCGATCGATCCATCAACCAATTAATTAGTCAATCAACCAATCAATCAGCCAATCAATCAACCAATCGATCGATCAGTCAACAATAAATCATGTTGTTGATGAGTCGGTCGAAAAGCGCTAATGTAACGGATCAATCAAAACATGAGTTGAGCACAATACTAAGAATTTTATTTCACAATTCCTCACTCCATTTTTACACATCCACCACTACTTTCAAACGAAAAAAAAAGTAATTGGTACTATTTTTTTATACTCTACCACATGTATAGACACTTTCATTTAAATAGCGCTTGTAGTCGGGCTTTTGCACAAGATAAAATTGTTTCCGCGTCAAAGAGTGCATTTATCAACCAGAAAGTCGAACTATTGTTTCTTAAAAAGACTCTCATAACAAAATTCTTTTATCCCTTCTTTCTTCTGTCCTGCATATAATGTAATGAAATCAACGATAGATTTCAACACCAACGCTTTTTTTTCCCTCCCATCCCTTCAATGACGGTAGTTAGGGCCAATTTATCTATTACTACCTTATGAAACGTGCTTTTAAATTAATATGCTCATTTTTTAAAATTGAATTGAAGCTGACAGCATCGCTTAGCTGATAGCTTTAACATTTCGACACGAGCTGCTTGTTGATTCAAAACACATCTTTTTTAGAAAATTCATCCTCAGGGGTAATGCATACTCTTATTTGGCCTTTACGGGTTTATGCCGCCCAATATAACAACTTATCCTCTTGCACTAGGTGCAAATTAAATGGATTTATTCTTAAACAGGTGCAGTGTTTGAAGATCTGTGCAGCACAACCACTTCCCACTCTCCTCCTCCCCCAAGCCACGGTTAGGGCACCTCCCCATCCCTCGTAGGGAAAACATAACGTCAGCTTCCGAGGCAGTTTGAACGACGCTTTTCTTCCCCACACAAACATCCGCTTGCCTTAGCGCAAATTACGTTTCGGTCATTAAGCCTCTTAAATTTCACAACCTCAAATATACAAAAATAGATTCTGAAAAAGACAAGAACGATATGTGATGCCTTCTTTCATTGCAGTCCATTTGATTTGGTATTTCTTTAGAATGCCTTCGCGGCTGCCAACCTGAATTAAGATTGGAAAGCAGGCGTCTGTGCAGAGTAGAGCAACGAGTTTCCTCAAAGCAACTGCGAAGGAAACTAATATGGAGAGCAACATTGTTCAAAATGTAACCGCCATAGATGAGTAACACCAACTCTTGTCTAACTACAATTATATCACCAAAAAAGCAAAATCGAAAACTTCTCAGTAATCAATTGTGCGCAAATTGAGACAGTTCCATCCCATAAAACATTGGAAATAACAGCTGTCACTTGAATTCTTTATCTAGTAAATTGTGCGTATCGGCATCTGTGCAAGTTGAGAATCATATTATATCTTCAGTTATATGTAATAGCAGTCATTATAACTCTCTGAGCTCAATCGCTGCAACATTGGACTTAATTCTAATGACTGGTGTTCCCGCTGCACGCAAAATGTTGAACCTAGGCCTATCATCCAGAATCACAGCATATTCATGGCATTCAGCAACATGGCCATCTTCGCACCAGAGTCAGATTTGACGCGTAACGGCGCCTGACAGTAAAACTCTAAACCTCTAACATTTTGCGTAATTATCATAGTATGTTTTGAAGTCTATAAAATAATATGTAAAATAACTTTTACTGTTATGGAAAAATCCAGGCTGGCTCCATGCAAGTACTCTGTAGGTTGAGGATTAACTCTTTTCTGCAGATGCATTTTTGAAACTTAAATCTATAGTTCACCTTTGCCACTTGCTTTTTCCTTGCCTCGGAAAAATCTTACAAGTCACAAACAAACGTCCCACCCTTCCCTCCCTGGTATTATTGAAACGAAACGTTAGGTTACTATGTGCCTGACTTATAGAATGTTGATAAAACTATTCTTGAAATAACTCATACTTTTTTAAATTGATATAAATCAAACAAATTCAAGTTTAATCAATACAGATATCTTACTAACTGAGTTTGCGAGGTCCGTAAACGAGGTTAGTAAAAAATGTGTTACATCTCTGGGTTTAAACAGAGAAGGAAGGTTCCAAGTGAAACAAAATAATGAATTCAGTGGAAGTGCAGTGAAATACAGGCCATGATATTGGCCAATCATAGCGCCCCTACCAACTGAGAGATGTAATGAATACATTTCTTTATAACACATAGTTTACTTTCCTCTAATTCGGTCGGCGAAGTAATTTTACTTCTGTGCCTTTTTCTCTGCATGTCTCTTTATCTTATTATAACTTTACTCGAACTGCACAACTCCATAATTCACATCACCCGAAAACCCAAAGATCACTTCGAATTCTTCGTTGATGGGTCTGGTTTATTTCCTGAAAGGAGAATTTATGCGCCTTGTCAAGAAGATAGGAAAAGAACTGATACAGAAGCATGTAAAAAAATTTGGTTTTAAATAGTTGTTGCTTTTTTCGCTGGCGGTAAATTACAGTTATAGATATGAAAAGCTTTTACAGTTTTTCGAACAGGTGGCAAAAAACCAAGTGTTACTCTTTTAATTTTCAAATAAGAAAAAAAAGTGGAAAAGGTAAATTGTAATAGATCTTGAGAAATTTTGAGCAACTTCGCTCTAATGTATATGTTTACCTGGTAATGTCGATTGAAAAAAATCAGAAATCAGGAACAACTTCTACTGCCCAAGACATCGAACGGCCATTTAATGCGTCCTGGAGGAAATAAATAATTTACCTCTAAAATAACTTCTCATCAATCACAATGTACACACAGAGTATATTAGAGTAGGGAATGTCCGTCAAGTATCTTTGTTAGAGTTAAAAATTATTGCAATTATATGTTTTGGTTTGGTCTTCGATGTTAATATCTTTTGCATGCACAACACGACGACTAAGCCAAAAATCTCCCTATATGTCGATTCTCGGAAAACGATGAGCTAAGGTTAAAAGGCAAACGAAAGAAAAAAAATGTTCACCTTTTCGTAGCTGTAAGGGAATAATCGTCATGTATCAAGGCAATTTTAATTACTTTTTTTCTGTTGGAAGGGGCGGGGAAACTTACCAAAATAGAAATATGTAGCAGAGGGTTTCAGAGAAAAACTGCGTTTCAAGTAAGTGAATCGATAAGTTTTCTACAAGTCCCTCTACTCAAGGAGTTCATGGACCCTTATTATACATAATGCCAGGTTAGCAATTTTGTTTAAGAAGAAAACTGTTTACCTGTTGCGTGGAATTCCAAGATGAACCATACCTATAGTGTCCATTTGACTTAATTCTAATAAAAAAGACGAGTTAATTTCACAATCAACTTATTTGTTTATTCCTATAAGTTTTAAACGAATATCGGGCTTATTTTTTTGCCTTTTTGAATAAATGTTTTATAAAGTTAAAAGCCTTGTGGTTGACTAAATTTTGGTGATGCGTGGATCCTGAGCTTTTGGAGCATTATTATCCCACGCGGAAGCTGTTTTTTGTTAAGCTTGCCAAATAACCCCTCAGCACTTGACAGACCGGCCATTTTGACGATTGAGCTTAGGAAAAAGAAGCCGATATGAATTAAGGGTAGTTTGGTAGACAAATACTGAAGTCATACTGCGGCCACGTTTATTTGCGACATGCCACCTGCCACTGCATTCTGGTTTGTATATCTGAGTTTTATCTGAATGATGGATGAAATATGTACCTTTCATTGATTATCCTACTTCCTTGACGCGCTCCGTTCACGTAACGCACCGAGGAGAGGCCACCGTGATCTCGAAGGTTGAATTTCTCTCCGTATCCCGTGCGTGCATTCAGACGCGGGTCTGATGAGACTATCCTTGACCCTGGTGCATCATAAAACCCATAATAACTCGACGGGTCGGTAATAAACGAACCACTCTGTGTCCCTCTTCGACTTGTGGGGCCATCTTCATACGGGATAATAGTTGGGGTGCTGGACATTTCGTTGGAAGAGTGGTAACGAGATGCACTGTGGTAGCCAGATCTGCGACCGAACGAGTCGGACGGATCAGTTACGTAATATGAAGTACCTGCATTCCCCTGTCTGCTAGGCCTGGATGATGTCACGTACCCCTGAGGCCCAGAGGTCGAAGATACGAGGTAATTTCCGGAAGTACTCGCTACACCTCGTTGCTCGGAAGTCTTGCCATGGTAGGAGCTACTCGTCATGTTTTGTCCAGCTTGTTTCAGACTAAAACGTGGCGGTCGAGGCGGGACAGCGTGTACAGTAATTATCATCTTTCCATCTTCTGCTCGGGTTGTAGCCGCGTGACTTGTGGTTTTGTGGCCTTCGTGGATTCTCTGAATGGTCTTCACTGGAAACGCTGGTGGTTGGGAGTTGCGACGCAGAACTATTTCATTGCCTGTAACCTTTAAGTAACAAAAATAGTAACGGAACAGTTATGAAGAAATCATGACGTGGTTTTGATTAATAGTTTTTAAAGTTGAGTTCAAAGTTATATTGGGTCTGTTAACACCCTAAGTATTCGTTATTCTTCATCAAATGAACACGGTTAGTTCCAAAATATCATAGGGTGTCTTTGAACGTTTTGTTTTATTAACCAACATACCTTTGAGCTGCTTTGTGGCTGCCTTACCACAATCTCCTGGTGACCACTTTGAGCACGGTTCTGGGATCGATGAGCGTCAGCACATGTCAACAATATCTTCCCTCTGTAATATCGTGCGCCCACGATGTAAGGACATAGACTACTGGCAGCGGCTTTTCGTCTTCGTCTCATGCTCCCGGTTCTTCTCATCTCCCTAGCGACGCGTATCTTGTTAGATTTAGCAGCGTTTTGCTCTTGTATCTTGAATTTGATTGGTGTGCGCACTTTTCCATCTTGCTGTTGTCCTTTGTAGTGACTGGTATAGTACATGCCGTCTTCGCACTGGTCTCCGCTAACTGGGACTCTAACAATACCATCCGACTAAGAACAATAAAACAGATGAATAAAAACTCATCGACAAAACTGACGATTCGACTGCATGAAACGAGCGATGAATTACACTTATTTTTTGCCAATTTTGCTTGTCTTGGTCCTAAGCACTGACAAGTATGATCGAATTTAGCTGGAAATTCTTGCTTCTCATTTCCTATAATTTAACTGGTTCAGTTAATGTAGTGACCTTTGTAAACTTGGAGAATTAAGTTATTGTAGCATGAATGACAATCAGTCAAAACTCCTCAGTTTTTCGTGGAACATTTGGGAGGCATGAGTATAGATGCTTTTCAAGTATCCACTTAAATAAGATAAAGTTACCTCAAAGGTGTCATTTTTCTTCTGTAGGATCCTCCCCCATGTTTTCCTAATCGAAAAATAACGATATAATCGCAATCATAAAAGTGGTGGAGTATTGAATGCGCTATCACTAAGATAAGCTATCAGCAGTACTGACTAGATTTTTATACTGCGGCTCGGAAGGGGGCAAAAGCGAAGGAATCTTTCACTTCAGTTTGTTCTCTTTCCAATTTGAATGAAGAAGAGAACAAACTGAAACGAAAATAAATCCAAAATAAACCAAGTCCCTATGACCAGTTGTTTCTACCTTGACTTGAGAGGCTCGTACAAGATAACTAGAAGAGGAAGGTCAGTTCTATGCTCTTCCATAATTGCTTGGGGTGCCGAAAACTGCTTTCCATCTACTTTTCATGAGTATAATCCTCAAAACATACCTTCCTTTATCACCAACTTTAATTTTCACAACTCCATTCTCTACTCTAACAGCATCCGCTCCATAAACATCATCGACTTTAATTGTTCTGATATAGGGCTCTGTAGTCTCCTTTGTCTCTCTCAGTACTATTGCTTTCTCTTCCGGCGCAGCTTGAGCAATAATGCATTGAGGGCGACGATGTTTTTCGCGTCTTCCTCGCACTCTCACGAGAACGTCAACGGGATCGTCTTTGTACTGTAGTATTTTCGGATATCTTCGGAGGGATCTGAGAGTTGACACAGTATCATCAGAATATGTTTTTTTCGATGCTCTTTTAAAGTACTGAAGCTTCATTGATTGGTTCTTCAAGTTATACCCCTAATTCTGTTGTTTTTCTTTTAATATAACAGAAAAGATTCTTAGGAATTAGCCCTTACATTCCCAGAAATGAGGAACATATGACGTCTTTATATAACACCAAATTTGTTAAATTAATCATATTACGATGAAACGTGTAGCATACATAGGGGATGACAAACAATTAAGTCTTGGATTGAGGGTTATCTGTAAATTCTAATCTGGACAAGACCTTTACCGTGTAAACCAAAGTTTTGACTATGAATCCTCGAAAAATATTTCTAACAAGAGCAAGATCATGCTTGTTGTAAGGAATTGAATACATTATTCATATGCATGAATAATTTCTTTCCACTTTACCTCCGATGGAAGCTTCGTCTTCTCACCGGCCCCACGTGGAACATTCTGTCAACGTCCTCGGCAGTGTATGCGTTCCACGGATTCAATTTCCAATTTTTAGTAAACGATCTACGTCTTCAGCTGTGAAAGCGTTCCACCACTCTTGCACGTCCTTTTTCGGTGATATGGTTTGTTGGTGACTGTCTACTTGGATCATGGTGACACCATTGTCTCTCACTTGTTCTCTGTCCACCTATTCAATCAGAAATGATTTTAAAACAATTGACAACATGGCTAATCCGCTTGAGCAGAAGCTGGCTAAAGGTTTTGTTTTTTAGGTAACGTCCCAACTGACGAAAACGCAAATTGTTTAAAAAAAAAAAAAAAAAAAATATATATATATATATATAGATGAGAGGCCTTGTAGTAAGATCTATAACAAGAAGTATTTCAGATTATATTATCTGTATCGTAATATGTAGAGGTTGTCTACTTTTACATAAATCTTAATGTCTTTAAATAACCTGATCATCCGTACAAAGTTTCAAACTGTTAAGCAGGAGATAAAGTTTTCTTCTGTGATCATAAAATGGGCCCTTTTTACCTCCTCAATTTGAGTAGTTCTTCTCCTGTAGTCTATAGGAACGCCTCTTAATTCCTTTAGCCTGTCTCGCTCGTCTACAATGGAGTCTTGCCGTTGAACCACAGTAGTTACAACATTTTGTTGAACATCAGGAGGGGTCATCGTCTGTGCGTCACACATTTGTTTCATAACAGCAGGCTTTTGATCTGGTTTACTCGTCGGAGATATGACCTCTTCTGCATGGGACTGCGGTGTTGTTCTTACATCATCTTGAATACTGCTGATCTGTCTGAGAGTACTGGCTGTGCTGGTCTGTCTACTGATTTGGCGACTGATTGTCTCGGATGTGATACTCTGTAATAAGTAAAAAGTATATCAATTCCAAAGTTCCATTAAATTTTTCTATCCGGTGACTAACCCAGGTTTTGTTTCACGTCGCTGATAGGGAACGTACAATTTTGCTACTAAAAGTTATTTTCAGGGAACTCGACACATAATAACAGCACGTCTTCCCAATGAAGGTTAATATTCTCATAGGGTTACCAGTACAGAAAATTGATTTAAAAAAAAAAATGATACCTTGAGAGTTTGATTGATGGTGAAGGTGTAAATAAAAAACTCTACATGTATGAATGACAGACCATGGTGTAGGGGGAAAAGACGTAGACCGAGGCAGAGTGGGGACAAGACTCTGGACGAATGAGTTGCAACTAAGATAGATTCGAGTGGTAATATTTACAATATTGCTCTTCCTCTTTTCCTTTCATGACCCATGAAATGCTTTCATTCAATGTGCACTGAGAATAGCGACATACCTCTCTTTTCCCAAGTGAGTCTGGACCATCAACCTCTGATCCTGAACCTGGTTTGAATTCGGTTGGTTGGTACCTCTTAATATGAACTGGAGGTTTGATATCAACATCTGGTTTCCTCTCTGAGTGGTCATCCACATACCTTTCAAGTTTCATTCGAGCTCTTCTATCATCCAGTGTATCAACCTTGTCTTTTAGCTGCTCAATTTTCTTCCGGAGCTCACTAATAACAGGTGATGTCTTGATCTCCTTATACTCTGGTAATGGAGCATCGATTTCCTCGCAGAAACGAGTCTTGTTTTCCTCTGATATATGCTTGTCTTCGCGGGCGCTTGTCCTTCTTGGTGAAGGTTTCGACCTCTCAGGAATGTGTCTCGGAGACTCAACTTTTGAAGATAATGATCTAGGAGTATCGTCTTCCCACCTCTTCCGAGAAATAACGGAATCATCTCTGATTGTCTTTCTAGTGACAAATTCATCATTTGAGTGAACCCTGACCGACCTCCTTTCATCTCTCTCCCGCCAGTCTTCATAACCAGGTTCGCCCTGCAATCCCTCTGGAGATGAAGCGGGATATTTACGTCCGTGAGTGACACTTTCGTATCTTGAATAAGGCAGCCGTACGGTATCATCCCGTGGTCGAGGTAGAGCAGCTGGCTTTGGTATTTCCTCATATGACCGTCTCAGTATGGAGTCTGGTATGCCGTTTTCTTTATCACCCATTTCTCTGTAATAATAGGCTGAACGACCCTCTGTGGAAATGCTTCCGCGGGAATGTCCCTGTACAGAACTTGGGCCACCCCTGGCTTCTTTACTTGATGATATGGAGACGATAGAGTCTGCCTTAAACACTCGCTTACTTGCATATGCTTCAGCGGATTGAAATTTAGAAGAGTTGCTTGGATCGGTCGAAATATCTCGTGGTGTGGTCAAGGGATTTTCTCGTTCTGTTGACCCATTTTCGTTTTCTTTGGGCCATAGGGGTGGCCTCGTAGAAAGCACAGACACAGCTCCCTCGGTGGTCCTTGTGGAGGATGGAACAGTGCGATCCGAGAATGGATGGAAGTAGTCTGCTGGAGGCCTGAGAGGCACTTCATCTCCAATAGACTTTTCAACATTTCGGAATTCATTTCGTAACTTTGGCTGGTCATTTCTTAAGCTGCCTCGTCGTCGAGTTATTTCGTCTTCTTTAGGATTTTTAGCATCACCAAACCTCTTTGTTTCTTCATTCCTCGACACATCCTTAAACACAACTCCATCGTTATTGGACACGTTATATCTCTCGACCAAAGTTCTGCTAATTCCACCATGACGAACATCTGCCATATCCTCCATTCTTCTGTCTGGAATGATTATTTCAGTGGTAACATCCGAGGTCGGTTTGGGGAAAGAAGGCATTTTCTCCGCTTCAGCTTTCAATCTTGCAATGTCTTCTTTGAGCCTGTCTTGTATAGAGGGTTCTCGACTTCTCCATCTCGAAGAAATGTTCGCAGACGCCGGTCTTAACGAAGCTGGTGGAACATAAGGTTTTACATGGTCTCGTGTCAACGTTTCAGCTTTGAGCTTTGCAATGTCTTCCTTGAGCTTGTCATGAATGGTGGGTTCTCGGCTAAACGAATACAGCTTCACATCTTTCTTCGTTGTCCGATTTTCGGCTTCAGCCTTGAGTCGAGCTATATCTTCTCTTAGCTTGTCACGGGTTGACGATCTCATTTCTCCCATTCTTGAATCTCTCCTGTTTGTCTCATCACGGCGAAAAGAACCTTCACGGTCGAAGTTTCCTTGACGGTGCAGAGCTCTAGATCGATAGCTTGGATACACCTGTTTATCCTCATAGGAAGGCCTTAACTCTTCTGAAGACCGGCTTCGCAGCCTTGAAAGAGATGAGGAGCGTCCATTGCGATCAGCGCGGTTCCAACGATCAACAAAACCTGCATTTCGATCAAGTGATCCTGTGCGCCTGCTTTCCCTCGAAAAACGCTTGTCATCGTCAGAACCTGTGGTTCCAAAATCTGATAAAGACCTGGAATGAGACAAAAACTCACTTCTCCCAGGAATCTCTCTAAAGATTCCTGATCTATCTCTTTTCTTTTCATTTAGGTTTTCAGTAGAACGGGAGCGTGCCTTGATTTCTCTTGGGAAAATTCCCCAATCACTTGCTTTACCATTCTGCATAACTGTATGAACATCAAACGTCTCTCGCCTGCCAACGACGTCGTCTTTCTCTGATTTGGAAGTATTTGTTAAGGTCGTCTTTCTGTGCGAATCGCTGTCTCCGTGTTTACCAGACAAATTCACATGCGCCTTCGAGGTGTGTTTCGATAGATCAATGCTGTCGTCTTCAGAAAACTTTTTGGAAAGTCTTTCTCTATCAAGAGAATTAGATGCGTCCTTTCTTTCCAAAGCTCTTCTCAGAATGTTTATATTTTCCGAATTGATGGTCGTAGGACCACCATTTTCCTTGTCTGCTTCTTTAATGCTCTGTAAAGAACTTCGACCCTTGAGGCTACTAGAAGAGTCTGTTGATCTGTCAGTCCTCCAGCTTACTCCTTTGGCAGCGCGCAATTCAGCAGCAGCAGCCTTATAACTTGTCGCTCGGATGGATTCTCCATTTTCTCCGGCGATATTGGTTTTCTGGTCAACACTTCTGTCTTTTCTAAAACCGACACTCGATCGATAAAAGGAAGAAATAACATCTTCGCTTTTATCAGCCAGTTGATTCACTTTTGCGGCATCTCTGAGGTCTTCGTCTTTGGAGTATGAAGAGTAAAATGAAGAGATCGGATCCTTTGTTGCTTCTCTGCCTGAATATCCAGGTAAATCTCTCGATTTAACGGATTGAATTTTTTCGCTCGTTCTGTAAGAAGAGGTTGACCTTTTATCGATGACACTTCTTGTCACAAAAGACTTTGTTGTGTTTTCAGAGACCCGTTCAGAAGCTTCCTTGGTGGGATAGATTTCCCTCTCAATCTTATCTTCTTTGGGCCCTATGCATAGGCTTGATATGAACGAGGGTCTTCCGGCCTCGCGACCTGTTTTGGCATCGTTATATTCCCGGACATCTTCTGTCCCAGATGAATAGCTCTTCTTTGAGTACATTGCTTGGTGATGTTTTTAGTGCTTAAGACATTCGAACGCCTAATGATATCCTGAATAAGGCACCCTGGATTGTCCTGAGAAAAAAGGAATCGACTATTAGTTACAACTAATAATTCGTCGTTAAAGCTGTCTAACATCTATCTATGTCACTTTTCCCTTTAATTTTCCAAGTTTGTTTTGCACTCTTCATACTCCTTATTAACCATGAGAAAACGCTTTATCGTGGTTTCGTGCTAAAGTGGAATTAGAGGCGTTCATTAAAAGGTGTCTTGATTCGCGCAAAAACATCCCCCAATATCGCGTTCGTGAGCTTGACGCATTTCCGTCAATAGCACTCCAGCACCTTTCTATGAAATCGATGGGAAGTTATGAGAAATACATGGCAAACTGAATCGGACTTAATGTACTTTGTGCTGAGAGAAAATGAAGCAGGAAAGGCAACAGTTTCGAGCATTAACTTAATAATTTAAATATTACCGGTTCATTAAAATCAGGTTTCAAAGAACAAGACATATTTCAACAATTTTAGTCCTAAAATAACGAACTGGGGTATTGTTTAATTAATGAATTAAAAAAATTTCGTATCCTATAATGTCAAGGAGTTAATTGGACAATGATTGCAGGACGAAGGAGAAAGTACTTTGGTCTTTAAGTATCCAATGGGCATCTGTTGACAGGTTTTGCGGCATTTTAGGCTTTGATCAGTCAAAAGTTCCCACCTTGGGGTTTTGTGAGTAATTAACATATAAGTAGTAAAACAATACAAGGCAACATCTTCCACGAAATTTCAGTTAAGGCCATGAATATTTTTTTCCCGTCAGCAATTTCAGGATATCACATAAATAAGTCTCAGTTGCATTTACGAGATCTTAAACCAACGGCTTAAAGAATTGGACCATAGCTCAAAGGACAATCAGGAAAGAAATCTGGAGTGAACATTTTCTTTTAGGCCAATATAAATTAATGAAAGCTTTTTCAGCTGTGTGCATTAAATATTCTGGAATGCTGTTGAATGTATAATAGCCCAAGAATCTAAAAGGCCAATTAAAGGCAGCAGGCAGCAGGCAGCAGGCAGCAGGCAATTCAAAAAAATAATAAATTTTACATGAACGCGTGGAGATTATGGTTGTTCTGCTTTGTGCGTTCTGCTCTAGCAAACAATTTTGTATCAAATTACTTTTCTATTTGTCAGATATCTTTTTTACCTAACGGCTTCGATCTACAAAGACATGGTCTGGAAACCATATGGCTTCTACAAGTTTGCTATTTAAGTCACAACTGGTTAACCATCCATTTGTTCTTGACGGCATCTTCGAACACATGTGGGCGAGTCTCTAACTTTCCGAGCACTCCCAATATACGGGTTTTCCAAAATTAGATCTCTTTATAGCGGACATATTATTAATGAAAATGTTAGTACTTAATTTGATTGAAAGGGTAATAGCAAGTGTTATTTTTTAAAGTACCATTGCGTTCCTCTCGATATTTCAGTAAAAGATGACTGATTTAGAAAACGATATAGGTTCGTCAGTGTTGTCTTAACTGAAGTTTTTTGTAAGGGGTAGATTTACGAGTCGTGTTGGGTATGTCCAATCTTCTCTTTTGCAATATTCAAAGATTTCGCTTTACCTTTTCCCATATCCCCTAATGTTCAATCATTGTTTACGGATGTCTCGTAAACAATTCCTGCGCGGTATTGACTCAGTTGAAGAAAGATATTGACTTAAATCGCAAATCTCTTAATTGGAATAAGAAAGCAGTCTTCTAACAATAACTAAGCATTAAATGCCTTGCGAACAATTCAAAGTTAATTGAAAAAACTAATTGCTTTGTAAAAAATCCGTTCAGTTGGTTTCTATGATATTAATGATGCTAATTGGTGGTGATGAAATTACATAAACGTGACGGATTTCCACGTATCAATTTTTTAAATTCAATTTTCTGAACAATCAACTTCGCAATCTTGCAGTATAACTACAGCTATTTGATTAAGTAACAAATGTTTTTAATTAATCTATCGTCCCCTTTTAAAGCGAAAGACTAATAGAATAAAGATTTCTTTCGTTAATTTTTTTACCAAATAAAGTGATGCTTGAACTACTAAGAACTACAAATTCTCAATTTTCTTACTTTCCGTTACTAGAAAGCGAAATGGTGCATAGATTAAATTAGCAAACTTTTGGTAAGGAAAAACAAAATACACAAGCTTAATCTCCTTCATCTGCTGATTTGTAAAGATTCGAATGAGCTCATCAACTTCCCTCGGATGTGGGATATCTGAGATGTAAGTCTGCATCGTGGTAAAAGCAATTTAGAAGCGTCCTCTAGTCCGAGGTTTTCGTGGAGTTTGGTCAAAATACAAAGCAGCACAGGACACCTACCTTATGTTTGAAGCCGCCAGGAGATCAACGAAATCAAGAGCAGGCGAAAGGTGCAGTGTTCTCCATAAGACACGACGCCTACGATTGATGAACTGAGTGTTGTTGTCATGAAACCTTGCATGCTGTAAGAATTAATGAGCATGCAATATAATAATATCCGTGTGAGAAAGCTGTCTTTCCACATCATTGGCTCTCTATAGTATGTTACAGAAGGGTTAATCCTTCATCAAAACAAAGAACAGTATTACGTAGTCTGGGGTAACTTTGATCACCCAGGAAAATCATGCAATTGCTAAAGTCAAGCAAAAACCCAAGTTATTTAAAAATGGATATTTAAAAGATGACCAGTTTGAGATACGAGGTTAGTTAAGAATGATCAGGTTTAACCTCTAAGCAGTCAAGAAGCCATGGAGCGTTTTGAATATTGCTTTCGCGTTGAGATAAGTAAACTAAAACCTATACTTCTCAGTTGGAGGAAACTCAGTGTTACACTTTATCCAAAACAGCCCTTACTTTATTGACTGCTACGGTAATTGAGAGATATCAATTTACTTCATAATTAAACAACTAAGAAAATAACGATCAAAGGTTAAAACGCAAAGACCTCTTTGAAAATTAGGTTTATGGAGGAGCTGTATTGGCTTTCAAACAAAATTTGACGAAATCGCTAATGCTTTGCTAATTATTAATTCATGAGAAACAGGAAGTTTCGTAAAGAGTTTTCCTTCCGTGGTCACAACCCAGAATTTTCCACAATTTTCTTTTCCAACCTTTGAGGGAAATATTAAAAAGCATTTATTGAGTTTGCGATTTTCCTGGCATTTTCATTTCCGTGCATAGAAGGAGATTAGTGGTCCAAAAGTATCACAGTGTTTGTATGTAGGTGAATCCGGAAATATTGGTCAAGAAAACCGAAGTTAACGGTTAGATTTAACTTATTTTCGCGAGACAAAACGTCAAAAATTGGGAGGTACTTTTTCCAAAGTACAAAGGAAATTGAAATTTAACCGTCTAAAATATGGTGTTTGGAAGTGTAAGAATCTGAAATGTTTTAAGGAAGAGTGTTAAAATTTCATCTTTCAAGACCACTTTTGAGCCAATCAATGGGTTAAACTCATCGGGAAAGAAAGTAGTAAGTTAAAAATAGCAGTCGCTATCGTGTAAGACCGTTATTAAGTGATCACGAACAAAATAACGCCTGAGTGTTTTCTGTCCTCTTCCGTTTTAGGAACTGCCCAATTCGCTTTCTTTATAGTCTGCGAAGTAAGTTCTTTGGAATGTTCTAAACGAGGCAGAGAAACTATTTTTAGAAACAAATATGGGACTGAGCCATATAAGTAGAACTATTTTCAATTTTAAGGTCACCTTTTTCATGGGCTTTGCTTTGGATAGTTGTAATAATATAACAAGTTCCTTAACTGCGTACGAGAAATTGGTCAGATATTGTAAGCGACTACTAAGAAAAATGAATTTTAATTTAATTTTTTGTCTTTTTCCTTGTTCTTTTTGAATATTTACGAACGCAATTCTCTTCCTCGTTAAGCCCATTATTTTCAAGCAAACTTTGATTAGAAATTCCTTGCGGTCGTCGTAGCAAATGAGTCAATAGGCAGAAGCTTTAGAAACTTGTACTTCTTTACCTCTCTAAGCTATTATTTAAAGTTAACCTTGAATGTGGGTTAAAGTTGCGTGACATGTGGCACAACCCACTAAAGATATTATTTTGAAAACGTAAGGAAGGCAAATTCATTTTTATACCATTCAAATATTTGTACAACTACGGCTACTTGTAGTAGTCACTTCACAAAACTAGTTAAATGACCACAAGATTCAGAAAGCTATCGCAGTTGATTTTGAAATTTAAAAGCTAATTGAAAAAGGGGTACACACAAGCAAGGACATTAACATCGTTATAATTGTATGCCTGCTTTGAAAGGTGCACTTTAATGAAATTTGCTACCGACAACTACGTGAAAGATATCTTTTATGGCTTCAAGCCCTAAAATTAACTTAGTTGTTTGAGTCATAATAACCAACATTTGGTAGACTTTGCTGCCTTAAATTATGGTTGCGTAGTGCACTGTTTATAGCGTGGCAATAACAATTTTCATTCATGTTACACTCGAGGAAGGTTTCAAACAGGTAACTTCATAGAAATCTCGTGCTTTAACAAAACCCTAGGTTTGCATCAGATATAATACTTTGAGATTATGTGCTTTTGATCCTACTTAATCTTACTTTCTACCAACGTTAACCCACGAACTCCCACACTTGACTTTATGTAAGAAATTTTTTTAAAGAAAGTTATGATGATTAAACAAAATAAAAGCCTGTGGGCGTTATCTGGATATAAGATGAAACTCTTTCAGTAAATTATCAATGAAATGTTCAGCATCTTGAAAGTCAGTAGAGCTGTGAGTCAGATGCCCTGGCTTGAAACTTGAACTTCCAGTTGTGATGATAATATGGTAGCGGCAAACAAGTGAGGAGAATAGATAAAAATATTACCCAGGATTGATAACATTCTTAATTCTCTTTACCAACTTATAAGGAGATGTATAGCAGCTAAAGCGAAGAATTAAAATTCATATCTCAGGAAGTACAGGGTATTTAATGTACAAACGGATATGCAATATTTCCACAACTGTCACTAATCAAGCCTTTTTTTTTGTCTCCTAAGTATGGTGATATTTTCGTTACTAATAACACAACATATAAGTAATAAAATTTACTTTTGATATGTCTCCAGGATGACGGAAAACTGGCCCTTGATTTCTCATTCACGACAATAAGTAACTGAGAGTCTAAAGGAAACGACTTGAGGGAACAAGCAAAGTGCATTTTCCATATCATTGGAAGTCTGCCGGAAGTCTTTCGAGTTAAGAGTACCTACAATTTTTTTCAATGGCGTTGCATTCTAATAATGTTTCTGCGTGAAAGATTGTATGTTAAACCTATCGAAGATTATGGCGTGATATGTAAACCGTAAACTAAACATGAAATTCGTGGTTTATTAGACCAAGGATTATTCCAAGAGCGTTGAAAATCTTTTCATCTGAACAATACTCAATCAAAAGATGGTGCTTACATTACTTAGTTCGCGCACCCGGCTTTCTCGATAAAACGCTATCCAGCGGATAAGTTTCAACAAAACGTACTGCGCTATCCACCGGATAGAGATTTATCTAGTGGTTAGCGTAATCCACGCTTCGAACAACCGGGGCCTGAACTTCAAGCGCCTGCTTCGACTATAAACTATTGTGCATTTAGATTTTTGCGGTGGCTAAATCGCGAGCTTTGGCTATAAATTTTTGTGCTACGGTTTATTTGACACTCTTGTTTGAATAAGCTCAGTTCCAGTTCGCTCGTTCTCACAAACTGATTGCCTGGGACAGGCTAATTGGACGGCAAAAAGGCAACGAATACTCTCTAATGCTAAGGATTCTGGATAAGACTAAAATTCACCTCTGAATACTTCGAGTTCGTCCACTTTAAATGTGGAATTGCCAGTAAAATACTTTTTCTTATCAACACCTTCAGGATGGATAAAGCCATAACCTAGATCGAGCTGGCTCGAAGCGTTTCCTGGGCCAGTAGCAATAAATACTCTCCACACTTCAAGGTCATAGTACTCTGGGGTTCCAAAGCAAGGACCTTTCTTAATGTCACACCGTATACCACCCTTAGCACCTTGTTTTGGCTTTATCATCATCGGTTTACTTCCAGAAGGATTTACCAGCGTAAACAGGAAAGAGTCGCTGTCTTCGATGGCTTTCAAAATCGAGGCTGAATGAAGAAAAATAATGTATCATAAACCATAAAATAGAAAAAGACTGCTTTTAAGAATTAGTTCTAACTGCGTGGTAGTGAGGGTGAAATGCGAGAGTGAGTGGAATGCGATTGGCATTTTCCTTTTAAGCCGTTTGTAGTGCTGACTGTCGATTGGGCACGGTGGTGGCCCGCTTGATCGACAGAAAAAGGATAGCCACGTTTATCGAAAAACTGGCACATGGCCATTGATTTCGGAAAAACCAGAGTCGTCACTACATACATGACGAAGTCTCAGAAACTGTGGAAAAGGTATGGAATTCTTCTGGAATTCTCAATTAAATTTATCTTTCTCAAAAACTTTAAATTACTTCCAAACGATTCTGAGACTAGTACTATCTTTTCGCAACCCCCACTTATTTCATTCAAACGCGACAGAAACACAGGCAACTTTTTGGTCAGAAGTTCATTTCAAACCAATGAGCAACCTGGAACTTTCAAACGCGCTTGCTCACGATGCAAAACTTGTCCTTTCATTCATAACGTAGAGCGGAAAATGTCGAAATCCAAGAGATCCATCAAGATCACTGATCACTTCACGTGCACCTCTGCTAATGTCATCTATTACATAACTTGCACTTATCGCAAAAAGTTATACATGGATGAAACAGGAAGACGTCTAGGTGACCGATTCCAAGAACACCTTCGCGACGTAGAGAGAAATGACAAGGACGCATCCAAACCAGTCGCTACACACTTTAATCTGCCTAATTACTCTAAGCAGCATATGGTAGTTTGTGGCCTTTCCCTACATCTAAGCATTTCGGGAAGCCTCAAAACTCTTGAACAAAAATTAATATTTCAAATCGGCGCTCTTAATCCCCACGGTATCAACGAGCGCTTTTCATTTAACTAATTTATTCTTGTTTTACCGTCACCATATTTATTTACATCAATAGCGTACATACTGAGAGATTTTACGCCGTTAAATTTTAACGGATTAAAATCTTACAGTATGTACACCAACGCAGATAGTGGCGTAAAATCGAACAGTCTATAGACTGTGTAAGGCATATATTACGCCGCTTTCCAATTACCGGTTATAAACCAACAACAGTACAATTCCTGTCTCACGACCTCTATAACGATTTTCGATAAGTTTTCGATAAAACTTAGTGGAAAACTAAATTTCAGGAGAAAATAAGGATATTGTATAGTTTCAAATATTCTCACGGTCGTTTAGTTATAATTTAGAAACCTACCGAAACAGTTTCCCATCACGATCGATGAAATATGCGCCATCTTCCTCGTCCGCTTTTAAATCGAACTTTCCAGAGAACATCGCACAAAGCATAGAATCTGAATCCTTTCTCAGAGTATCTAGTGTTGTTTTATAAATCTTACCACCAACATTTAACTTGATCTTGCTGGCAAAGTGAATTTGGTTCAATGTTTTTGTGATCTCCTCGATGGCCGCTTTCTCTTGTCTTGCATTGTCGAGGTCTTGCTTCAGTAAGTCCTTAGCTTCGTCCATAAGCTTCTGTGCATTAGCTATTTTTTCACTTGCCACCTCGAAAAGACTTAACACTTTTCCCTGTCCAGTAGCCTTGATATATGTGATATTTACTTTACTTCCGCTCCGAAAGTGAAAGTTGATGAGCCTCAATCTTTCAGAGCAGCGGTTAAATTTTTCCTTTTTGTCCTCGTACTCAATCTATTTCCGCTCGACAGTGAGCGTACAGCATAATACGAAAGGTTTTTTTAAGATTTGAAGTCAGGTACGAAGCCACGAATCTTGTCCTTTTTCTCTCTTTAACATTATGCAAAAGCATTGATGGGGAAATCCTCTTCGAGGTGTATTTATGGCATTTATTCGTCTGTAGACTCTGATATTCAGTAATACGGTGTACTTGAGAACGTTTAAGATAAGTATTATTTGAACTGCCGTATTTGTTACGGTTTCAGCCTGACAGATGGCCTTCAAAGCAAGAAATTGATGACTGAGCAATTGTTTTAAACTGCATAGCCCTGTCGCAACTCCATAAAAATCCCAAAGCCCGCCAAAAGTAGGGATTTCATATCCTAGTCTCCTTCGAAGCCGGTCCATCAGAAGTCACGCAACAAGATTCAAAAACGGCTGCGTCGCGGGGACTATTGAAGACACGCACTACCGTTTCAAAAACCTTGGAAAAGGTTTTCAGATGTTCTCATTCACGTAAAGTGATGAATTACAAGAATTTCGACGATGGAAACTCACTGCTTTTTCAATTTATTGCAACTGTTACGGTTTGCTAATACTGTTTGTTTTTAAAACAGCCATGCATCTTTCCAACAGATACTATGAAAAGCTAACTTAATTACTCATTTTTGATTTCCCAGATTAACATAAATCGTATGGAAATTTCTCAGTTAAATCTCAATTAACGTTCTTTCAACAAAGACTATGAAATATTAGTCACTTAGGCTCTGCAGGGATTTAACGAAAAAAGCTCTATTAATGTTTATGAAATAAAATCATGAACTGCTGTTGTATATGCAGATTTGTCCTGCGTGTTTTCAACTGTTGGGTTTCTTATTGGCTAGAAAGTCACCGTAGAATGATAATATATCCCGTTTAACTAATAACTTCACGGTTAAAAATTCATTTACTAAAACTTCTGGTCGAATAACATTTGTACAAGCCTTTTGAACGCTTTTATCTTGTACAAAAACTCAGTTATCATTTGTGATATTTACCTCAGTGTGTTACATTGACGAAAAACAATAGATTTTACAGTAAAGATGGCGAAAATATTTACAGAGACAGAGTTTTAGACGCCTCGGAAAGACACGGTCACTACAAATATTATGTTTCATAAGTCTTCCGACGCATGATAACCTCGATGTAATTGTTGAAAATAACTCACTTATCTTTCCAAAATTGAAACTAACGCTGAAAAATTCTAAATAAACATTGAAAAGATTAGACAAAGGAGCTGCTTAGGGTAGACAGGGACGCGTATTTTCGTGTGTTTTTCTTAACTGTTTAAAGACTTCTGGTCAGGATTTTAAGCACGCCGCAATGCATAACCTCAATTAGACCTCTGGGGCAAAAGCAAAATACAAATTCGATAATATTTGATAAGTATAGAAGAAAGATATGATGAGAAAAAAAAATTTTAAAAAAATGATAAGTTTCCCCACGCCAGGTATTGTACCCTACCCACGGACCGCAACATGATGCGGTCAGATGCTCTACCCACTAATATTAAGGTCATGTTTTAGATGTCCTACGCACTACAAAGATCAAGCCTAGAAACATATGTGATATTTCATAGGAAGAAAAGAATCCCCTTTGAAGAAACTCGATCCACTTAGACTTGCTGTTTCTATTTAGAAGTACGTGTCCACTTTTATTTTATAAGAAATTGTGCACTACTGCATTACCTCAATTTGACATCTTGAGCAAAAGCACGAAATAAATTTTATATAAAATCATACGTGTGTCGAAATAAAAAGACGTCAAAGACTTGTTATCAGTAAGGAAAAAGATATGAAAAGAAAGTAATAATAAAAATAAAAAAATGACAAGTTTCCCCGCGCTAAGGATTGAACCCTGACCACGGACCGCTAAATGGTTCGAGTCATTGCATTCTGGGCATCTGTTAATTTGACATTTGTCAATTTGAATAGGCTCAGCTCGTTATCTTCTTCAGCCGCCATATGGTACGTTGGCATTTCCTTCCTGCACCTAACCGGAAGCAATAGCTTCAGTGAGCCTCATCGAGTTTCTTGTCACCAGCGGTTTTCAGAAGAAAGTTTCGTGCTCAGGGTATTTCCTCGCAAAGAACCGTGTCTGTCACACGTTAAATGCATACGAAAATGAGTGAAATAAATGTTTTACGAACTTCTTTGACCGACAATGCGATAAATCTGCGTAGTATGAGCTTCTCCCAATCAATTTATAATTTTCAAATCTGCCTTGTTCACGAAAACCGTCCGTAAATTGTTTTCAATTCGCTTTCCGGCGGGTATACGAGAATCATCAGGTTTGTAACTTTTGGAAGGGAAGTATAAGTTCAACCTTAAGGCTTTATCGTGGAAAAGAGGGCTTAGTTGCCAAGAAAGCTACTTCTTGTGTATTCCAACGAAAGTTCAATATATTTGGGAACCAACCTTAACGTTCAAAGAATTTAACTCAAAATTGTAAAATAAGTTCAGCTTTCTTTACACAGCCGAGGCGAAAACACGAAGTTATGACGAATTTTTTATTGCATGGTCCGGCCCTTTGAACGCTGACTCATTCATCACGCAGTGCATATGACTGTGTTTTGCTTTATTGAGTATGTTGTGTCTGTTCTGTGTTACCTTACTATAATTTACAAACTACGTTGTAAAATGTGCATTACAGAGTTGCCTTACCGTTTCAGGTACAATTATATTTAGTACTTAAAAGTCAACTGCATCCTGAATTACTTCTCTCTTATTTCAAAGAACAAATTCCTTTTCTAAAAGATAACTTTAAAAACTTCCAGGTCATCAATTTGAAATGGACTCGTGCCACAGAAAAATGTCTTTTTATTAACATTGTCCGGACACTTGAAGCCAAAACCGAGGTCAAGATTGTTACCGATTGTTGACCAGACTTGTAGATCATAACACTGTGTGGAAGCGGTACCAAATGTGGGTCCCAAATCAGTTTGGCAATGTGTACTTGCATCTGTCTTCGTAGCTATCTTCATTGGCTTTGTTCCAAATGGATTTATCAGCGTAAACAAGAAGGAATGGCTGTCTTGCTTGGCTTTCAGTTCACAAGCTGAGTGAGTAACCGAGTAAAGCATTAAAAAAAATGTCGCATGGAATGGAAGGTGCCAATTTATACACCATTCACACCAAAACTTATATTCAGCCGTGTTTTGTTAAACACAGCTACCTATGTTTGTCGATGTAGCACAATGAAATTACAAGTTGCGATAACTTGAATCCTACGCAAAATTCAGTTTTTCAGTTCTCTGTTTCTGTTTTAACTAGATATGTTTTCCCAATGTGAATTGATCCTTCGACTTTGTCTAGATTCGAAAACGCTTTCTCTTTAATAAATACAGAATTATAAAATTGTTTCATTTGAACCAAAGACATGGTTCAGTTCACTAATGACTCATCTTTTAGCTCAGTGTTACTGAATCATTCAACCATACGAACATCAACGGCAAGCGTACATGCTAAGTCGAAGTTTCGTAAAAAACGTATTAATTACAGCTTTCCCATGTCAAAGTTTACATAGATACTTGTTACCGTCCAAGTAAATGCACTGTATTAATTTTTAGTCTTACCCGATTCCCACGACTTTGACGTGAAGCCTCCAAAGATGTATGACCCGACTCTAATCACCACAAGAGTAGGACCTCTGTCATCGCAGCAACGATGGAAGTCAGCTGGAGTTTGTCCATCAAAGGAGGCTTGGTACAGCAATGAACAAGTAGCTCCTGGCGGCAACCACGATAGGAGAATGGAATGATGGGCCTCATTCTTTAAAATCAACGTGGATTCAAAGGGAATTTTTTCTTCCAGATCGGTGATTATCCCCTGAATTTGATAAAACCTGGCTTCTGCGAGCAGCTCCTTTTGGACTATGTTGTCATTTGGGCAGAACAGGCTTCCATCTCGAAGGTAGTTCAAGACGTACCTTGAATGACGATGAAGATGAAATGTCAAACCATAACCAGCCAACTTTATGGGGTATATTGATTACGTATACGTGATCTTTTAGGCATTTTTGTGGGAAATTTGAGGTCGAGTGGCAGGTATACGCTAAAATACTTTGATGAATAATTAATTTCTTTAAAAACTCTTAAGTCTTCATTTGGATTGTAATTTTAATAGCAGAAAGCGCGCTGGTTACACTGAGGCTCAAACATTTCTTTATTTGTTCTCTTAAAAAATATTTGTGTTTTCTTTTGTATTGAGATTTTTGTCTAATTTTTTTTATCTTCCGCTTCGAGTTAACACTTGAAACATTAGCTTTGTAAAGTTGCTATGATACTTGATCAACATTCCTTTCATCCATGTCGATTATCAACCTTACAGATTTATCCTTGTCAAAGATATGTTTGTGCCCTCCATGTACAAACAGGTTCGCTGTTGCTGAGAGTATGGCGGAAGTGTTTGGGTAAAATGCAATCATTGTTAATAATATGATGAGTCAGAGCTAAGAAATTGCAAGGCGTGAAACACCAATATAATGATCTACTTTCCCTCTTATATTTTACGTTATTGAAATGCGGTTTCAGTTGAGTTTCAGTTTGCTTCATTAAGATAAATTAACTTAATTTCCTGATCTCAGTTGTTCAAGAAGCTGATAATGCCATCCAGTGGATAAATTGCTCTCCAGCGGATACATGTTACCAAAACGTACAGTGCTATCCGCCAGATATATAGAGATTTATCCAGTGGATAATGTTATCTACCCTTCGAATAACCGAAGCCTCTGCTCATCCATTTCGATGTGTGGTCTGCGTTTAAGTAAGTAGGAAGTGAAAATCCGTTTGGCGACTAAACAATTATGAATGTAAGTGTTCGAGATTGTTTTCCTTTTCATCACTTTTTGCCCCGTCATCCGATCTAAATTAAGGCTCCTGTGTACTCTTTGTGATAATTGTAATTTCACAGTATACTGATCAAGTAATGGCGTTGCCTTTCGCCTCTATAAGCTTTGAACTGAGACACGGAAAATTTTGCATATTATGTAACACGAGTGGCGAGGTCGAGCAACGACGTCACAATTCCAGCTTTTTCAAACTTTGCTGATTGAACTTTGTTTGTTTGTTGTTTGGAATATATCAAGATTTGTTGTGGTGAGTGCCGAAGATGAAAATGCATTTTTCGAACAAACAAGAGAACGAGAACACCAAATAGAAAACAGTGTATATAATCTGGGCCGGGTTTTACAATTTGGGCACCGGGTATTTTGTTTCTATTGATCGCCAGTATTTGTATTTAAGCCAGCTTTTCAATCTCTACAATGAATATTCATTGTCTAGTTAATAAAAATAAAATTACAAGTTAGCTCAATATAAGGGAAAGTCCGAGCCTACTTCTTCCTTTGAGGCCATGCTCGACTTCACGCTCAGTAGCTCACAAGATGTCAGAATGGGTTTTTCCAATACCGTAAATGGTGAGACAAAGAGTGATGGGGAGAATTTTTCAGTGATTAAGAGTACTCTTTACCATAAATATTTTTTTCATACCTGAAAAGTTCTGCATCACGGTCAATAAAATATGCTCCATCTTCCTCATCCATTTTTAATCGGAACTTTCCCGAGAACATCGCACACAGCAAAGAATCTGGATCCCTTCGTAGAGTATCCAGTGTTGTTGTATAGAACGTACCGCCAACATTCAACTTGATCTTGTTGGCGAAGTGGACTTGACTCAATGTTTTAGTGATCTCATTGATAACAGCGTTTTCTTTTGCTGCATTTTCAAGATCTTGCTTAAGTAGGACACTTGCTTCAACCATGAGCTGCTGCGCGTCTGCTGTTTTTCCGATTGCATTTTCACGTGCGTTGGCCATGAGCTTCTCTGCATCGGTTAGTTTGACGCGGGCCAACTGAGAGAGGCTCATCTGCTGTTCGAGAAAAGAACCCATATAGGAAAGATTCCACGAAAACTGCTTGTGAGGTCTTTGTGATGCGGCCTTATAAATCTAGGTTGTCACTCATTAGATTGGTCATTCATCAATTCGTGTCAGATTAATTTTGCATCATTTTCTTACGTCAATTGAGTAGCTCTAACGATCAGCGGTGAGCTATTGATGGAGGGTTTCAATAGGGTGATGACCTTTACGGCTAACGAATAAAATTTTGGCCATTTTACGGCTGCTGTAAACCCAAAATGACACAGTGAAGACAGGAAAAATTTTTACAGCTAACCTTTTGTCTGCGACTAATAGTTAGAATGTTTCAAAACTGAGGATAATGAATTCTTTGGCCGTCTTACGACTATTGTTTAACTTCATTTAGATCCTCTTGATATTTCCTGGTTGTCATTGATTTTGATAAATTACAGAATAAATTTTCATTCACTTTGCTAAGGTAATACTCCTTAGTTCAGTAAAACCACATTATTAAGCCCACGGTTTAAGCAAATTGCGAACAACTTTTAAATACATTTTTATCTGGAGAGAAACTTTTTTATCTCAGGAGGGGCTTTTATGCGTTCTAAAGAAAACGTTTCGAAAAAAGCTAACAGCCAAACTTACTTTTTATTTACCTTAATAGAATTATCCGAAAAGGTAGATCAGTTGTAATTAACATCCCGATCACAAACATCTCGGAGACCTGTCATATCTCTAACGGAAATTTTACAGCCAAGAAAAGCAGCCAAAAATGGCCGGAAACTACAGAAATTCAAAGTTCAAAAAAAGTGCAAGAAAATGCAAATTTACCTGAGTCATTATCACTTATTTGAATTTCAGATTTTTTTTAATTATTCAGTTTTCCGTGTAACTTTTGCACGAGGTTTGCGAGTGAAATGAAGAGTGAAGCGAAGGTCATAAGCTACTTCGATGCTTCGTTTTCCAGCTTTACTCATATTTATCCAAATTTTACAACCTTCCTTAGTTACGGGATATGTGGACCCTTACTCTGGTCGACTGTTTCGTCTTGGCATTCTTCAGAACTCCCTGCTTAAGACATCATGGCTCCGTTCTTATTGTGAAGCTCATGGATAATTTACCCGCCGAATTAGGCTTTCTCAGGTAACATTCTTTTCTTTTTGTTATCTTGGACACAATTTTTGTCGAATCTTCTGCCATTTCTACTTCATAGTCAACCCCTATCCAAGTACATGTCTAAGTTAACCATTAATTCCCATACGCGATTAAAATACAACTTCTTCTTAAAATCTCCATACATTATTCAGTAAACAGGTGTGGAGAATAGAAAACCTATCAGCTAAAGGTTGTTATCTTGATATGACACTAACTTCTCTTGATTTATTCAGAAGTAAATACATTGCCTCCAGAAGAGAGAAAACATATTCAGATCTTTTGAGTTGTAGCGTTGCAGAACATGACGGGAGATCAAGCAACCCAAAGCCTAGTCGGTTGTGATAATATTATTAACTGTATAGAGACTGTTACAGTTTGACAAAATGATTAAATGTAAAATTATTAGTTTCATTAGATTCTAGGCACTCTTACAACAGATGATTTTCTTAGGCAAGTGCACATGTCCAGATTAAAATGTTCTCTATCATAAATGAAAAAGTACACAATCCGTCAGCAACAACGATTCTTTGCTGTGACGATGATTGCAAGACAAGGGTCCTTGTTTTTCACCTGTTCGAACGTCCTATCAAATCACCTTGCCAAAAAGAACTTTCTTCTTTAAAGGCGGCTTTATTTGGCAAGCTGATCGCTGTTTAGTGGCTTAAAATCATTAAGTTACAGTTTATAGCTGAACTGGAACAAACTGCCATCTGATAAACCTAACTGCCTCTGACTTAACTTACACTACTATACGTGAAGCTTACTCTAACCCTAAAGCCCAGCTGAAAATTCATCCTCTCGTAACTTCATACTAACTCTGATAGTTAGTCACATATTTGAAGTTTTTCGTGACAAGTTAAGCCCTGTAGCGCAGAAAAGTATCTACCATTGTCTCAAAACACCTTTCTTTAATTTTTCAACGGTGAAAAATACGGCCAAACTGAGCTGACACAAGTGATGATCACGAATGATGATGATGATGATGATGATGATGATGCTATAGTCATGATGATGACATCATGGTGTGTACCAGTCTTATAACAAACTTGGACAGACTACTTTTAATTCCAGGATATTTAAGGTGAGCCTTCACATCTTCACATGTTTTATAATAAGTGTGCAACCATTCATTAGAATCCCCATAAGGACGTTCAAACGCAGTGCAGTGAAGAGAGCACAGGCTTTTGTGTAAGAAAAGTTTCTTAATTTTCCAAATCAACGTTTTGACCAGCCCCTCTCAAGAAATCTTGGATCCGCCCCTGTATTAATAGGCACCTACGACCTTTTGGAAAAGCATAACGAAAATTTGGAGGGGTAACCTAAGATCGACTAGCATTCTATCAGGGACGAGTGCATTTTACAGATATCAGGACAAGGTCAGGCTGTAATACGATTCAGTTTTGTACAATTGGCGGAATTCGCCTTTTCAATCTCGCTAAAATCTTACAATGGGAGAAAAAGTCGCGCAAAGTTTGGCTCGCCGGGGTCTGGGTCGAGAGGTCTGGGATCAAGACCTGGTCTTGCTATCGTGTTGTGTTCTTGGGCTAAACACTTTACTTGCACAATGCCTCTCTCTACCTGGGAGTGTAAATGGGTACCAGCAAACTTTCAGGAAAATATGATCGGAAATGCAGGGGGGGGGGGTGTAACCTGTAATGGAATAGCATCTCATCTTATTGAACTAGCAGTGATCTTGGTCGATAAGCACAAGCACAGACTTTGCCTTTTTGTTAACTCCTACAATATTACTTGACATTGAAAACTAGTTAGAGGGTGATCATCAAAGCAGACTCACGCTTACAGCAGCGACTTTATTTTGACATAGGGACCTATTTTGCCATCCATCTACATATGAATCTCATGTGACATCATTTTCATGGGATGCTAAGTGGCAGTCATGGATCTGTGGATTGTACACTCATTTCTTCAATACATTACAGGTGAGAGTTTATTTATTTTATTTGCTTTAAAATAACATCGAGCATTTCCGAGTCTTTTTCACTCTGGTTAAAGAGGTACATCTTAACTACTTTTTCCGAGCTTTCATGGGCACTTTTTTATCAACAATGTTTTAGTTTAGGGGGATAATTTTCCTACTCTTTGTCTTCAGAATAAATCTATGTATAACTTCTTTGACCTTCTTTATCCTTTCTCTTCTGACAATATTTTTGGCAAGAGCAAAGCACTCGACTTGTTCAGTAGAGGCATGTGTAAAATATCATCAGATATTTAAACATTTTGTGGAGTTCAAACGTCAACAAACATAATCAAAGCGAGAAACTATGGAGCGAAATTTTGAGTTTTCAGCGAAAACGTACAAACTGTTATTTTTCATTAGCTGAAGTAGATCCTCAATAATTGCTCTTTAACATAGGAAAAAAAGAAAACAGACAAGATGTGCGAAGAGATTGTTAAGAATCGTGGATAGCAAATCGTAAGTTAACGTTAAGGAATATCAATGCACTTTTAAAACGGAGAACTTGCAAAGGATAGGCTACCGTTCAAGATTCAACTAAAGTAGTTTTTTTCATTATCTTGCGAGGCAAGAAAAAGAGTATTGATTGTGGTTGATTTAGGCTTTTATAAAACCATCGTTTTCTTACACATAAAACAGAAAAAAAGAATAAGAAAACCTATACAGGGTCGAGCATAGACAATCAACGAGGTTGCAAGTGTATCCACCACAATTAAGTTGCAAAGCGGTTTCCTGCATACTTCATAACATAGGCAGAATTAAGGCCTTTATTACATCACCAATAATTGATGGGCTACTGATTGGCTACCCAAGCGGCCAAGATGAGATCGGTGGAGCGCAAAAGAAAATACGTGGAGCGGACTTAATAACTATGACCTCACTTTCCTGGTTTTATTGTGCTAAAAAGAGAGTTTGTTTTCTTCCTGGCTCTCGAAATAAACATTTCATTCTTGATTCTCATTAAAGCGCAATATTTTGTTAAACAATAAATATGTTATTGACCAAGCTTGTTCAGTCAAGATGGCTCAGTGGATGTTAGCCTCGTTCCCTTTTTGGGTTTTTATGGCCCTCAACTTCGTCTCGGTCCATGAAAACGCAAAAAAAAAAAAAGAACTCGACCAATATCTAGCCATCTTGACTGCACGCTAGGTCAGTAGCTCATATGTAATCAGTTATCAGCACTGAAGACTTTGGCAACACTCGGAGCTACTTTCGCTCAAATAATGCCACGAATGTCTGACTTCGTTTCCGTTGAACGGTGTTAGAGGCTATGAAACTTATTAATGGTTGTTTACATAAATTACAGTGTTATGGTCACGGTTACTTCGATGACATTCCTTCCAAAGTACAGTGACATTCTTAAAAATAGATTTTTATATCAATCAGCAATATCGTTTTCATGTCATAAAGAATATTTTTAATCCAGTTCTTGATAAACAAAAATGTTTTTAAATGTGACATGCGACAGGCATTGCATTAGATGAAGTCGTAAACAAATTTTATGCCGAGTTAAGAAAGACTCGAGTATCAGGCAAATATTTTGAAATCACCAACAGGCTCAGAAACACACCTATCAACCCTTTACCTCCCAGAAATGATTAATATGTGACTTCTCCCAATAATATCTAAACATTATCCAGCAAATAGGTCATGAGAATATTCAAACTTATCAGGCAGAAGTTTTTATCTCGATCTAACACCAAATTCTCATAACTGATTTACAAGCAAATTTCTAGCACCTTGAGGGGAGAATTAACAATCAGATCTTTGGAATTAAAGGGTTAACTTTTCGGGTCGACAAGAGCTGATTGCGTCGCGTTCCGCCGTTATTTCCGCCGTTATTTCCTACGCAGTGTTCGTCAAATCTGGTACTTAAGATATGTAATCTTAAGGAGGCTGTTTGTTTTTCGAAATTGAATAAGCTATTGATAAGAAATAACAGGATTTATAATCGATCAAATATTTGTGTTCGCTCTCAATTGGTCTTAACACATCACGTTACCGTCCAGTACGCTAAGTATCCTTTAAAATTTAATTCAAGATAAGACAACATTTCGCTGTTACAGGAGAAGAGACATGTTTGTTTGCTCATTAAGTCGTACATGAGAACAATGAAAAGTACTCATCTCACCCAGAAAAGGTTAGCTGTTTATAAGCATTTTTTCCCGCGCGTTGAAAAAACATTTGAAGGTTAATAAACACTGCGCTCTCAGAAAACTGTCCGCACCTCGGAACAAATAATGTCCGCGATGAAATATCCGAGCGTATTTCGCGCCAAGCGGGGGCTATTGTTTGTCTTTACAGAGAGATCAACAAAACGGTAAATTATAACGTGAGGAAACATTTCATATTCAAATGTACATCACGAGAATCTGCAAAAACATTTTTTAAATTCTAAGTAGCCTTGAGTGTGTGAATTCCATAAATTTTACCTCCGCAATATTGCCATTACTACATCAATTCAACCACACGAATGTAAACTGCAGAGAATATCCAGATTTTGTTTTGACAATATTTTAAACAAGTTTTTGCGAAGGTCAGCGTTGTTTCAGAACCAATAATTTCCACGGAATATTAGAGCACATATTTAAATTCTTAAATTCTTAAATTCTTGTCATGTTTAGAGTTCACCTTATTGTAAGAACTTGTGAAGTGTTCCTTTGAGTTATCGCTTTTTATTTCTTAGGCTCTAGCCTTTTGATCTCTTTGTTCACAATTACTCGTGATAGTAACAGCTTGTTACACCAAGAATGAATAATGATCAAAGTGGTGAACCTTGCTTGAAATCAGAGTGCTCCGCGATCAGTAATTTTAACAGAAACTTCATTCACTCAAAAAGTCAGTAATTTTTAGAAAAATTACGGGATAGCAGTCAACAAGAGGCCAGCATCGAAGTTGTATTGAACAGATTCACTCATGAGTGACAGGGTCTTGTTTCATTTATTGTAAAAACGAATTTTAAAAAATCTATTGTTGTTATAAAATGTAATTAAAATTTTTATTTTCCTGTTGCTTCATTTTTAGACAAGGTTCATTCAAGGGAAAGATCACAAGAAAATGGAGGGATACAAAGCAATTGGAGGACAAAAAAAATCTGAAGGGAACATTTCGACTCTTAAGCAAAGGTAGGTTAATCTTTGAGTGGAAACATTTTAGTCGATTGCAAATACAAACTACGAAAAAAAAAACTCAATTCTTGCTGTAATTTGGTTACTTATCAATTATTTTTTTTCTTTCCTAAAGCAACTGTGGACAAGACTGCTGCTTACTCAAGTGTTGGATCACAAGCCACTGGAAGACGAAGTATGCGATGAGAAACAATTTGATCCTTGGAAAAGGTAGAATTAGTGTACAGCAGATCTTGAAAACATCTTTTCGGAGATTCATAAAATATTCCAGCAGAAGTTGTCGAAGAAACCAGTTCACAAGCCTTTAGCAATTATGGATGCCAATTCATTTTGAAGGGTGCAACAAGAAACGTTCTGCACAGCTAAGTTTCTTTATTGACTCTGCAAGTTAAATTTTTGCTCAAAGTCGGTTTTCTTAGGTAACCCCTGTTCAAACGTCTTCAATTTTCCCGCCAAAAAACTTAGAAAAAATACGGTGCCTCAAAATACGCATGCGCCGGATTTTTTTTTTTTTAATAAAGAGGTTATTTTCATGGCGCCCCAAAATACGTATGCGCCATCTTTTTTTTTTTTTTTGCTCCGGTGTTTAAATGTAGTCAGTTTTCAATGGCTATTTATTTATCTCTCAGTTCAATAAAGTATAGTTCAAACACTTGTTTTTGGTGTAAAATCCTTTATTGCTTGTAAACAAGATTCCAATATTTGTTCAAAAATATACTAAGTCTTTTGGCGGGAAAATTTGGAAAAATTTGCACAGAGTTTCCCCTTACACTATTTTTGGCAAAAAAATTTACAAGACTTCATTTTAAAACTTTTTTCCCGCCAAAATATCCACTACCACATCAGGAAAAAATTTTCAAATTTACCTAACATTGCCTCCTGATCAAAAGTAACTACCATTGAGATTTTGCTTGAGATGTTGTACATGGCGTGTAGTTGTAAAAGGCAACATGAAACACTTTCCCTTGAATTTGGCCAAACGTTTGATTTCAAATTCTTTTGTATATTTTCTCGAGGGCAAACCGTTTTTAATTTTTATTTTTCTGATTGCCCAATTTTATGACGGTAAATTGTCCTTGATTTTCAAGAATTTTAATGGAAAAATATGAATAGTTTTCCATGCTGCCTTTCAAAACACGCTTACTATTAACTTTCTAAGATTTGTTGCTGTTTTACAGGAAAATTATTAAGGGCCAAAACTTTCTCCTAGTTAGTTTCTTGTTCCAGAGAATTCGTTCCCCCTGATTTGGCTTCTACCTCGATCTGCTCGTTTACAAATGTTCAAGACAACTCGGTTTGAGTTTAGCTTTCTTCTTTCAAATTTTCAGAGCGTTTCATTGTTTTTTTTCCTTCGCTTTCTGATGGTTTTCGATAACTTTTGCCCTTTTAATTTGTTTGTGAAACAGCAAAGCTTAACTCTTCAACTCGCAATAAAAATTCTCCCTCCAAAACTGTTCATGTTTATCATACCGTAAATTGATTTAGAGATTTGATGACCAAATTCTCAACTTCGAAAATAATCTGTGCGAGCGGTAGGGAGAACTTGTACTCTCAACTTTGAAATCTGAGAGTTAAGCCTAGTACTCAGTATTCAGAATATGTTACACAGCGTTATCAAGGGTGAACATCGAATGAAAATAATATGGACCACAGAGAGCATATAAAAGACCCAGAATTGCTTGCGTGAAGGTTGCTTTGTAATCTCTTAACCTAAACCTTTCGTTCTGAAAGTATCCGAAATCTTGACTACTGTCTCACAAAGCTGTGAAACGCTTTTCAAAAAATCACCGACTTGAATTCAACGACTGAACAAAACAAATTTGTTTAGAAAATGGAAGAGAAACGTGGCTTTTCAGTGAATAAAAAAATTCTCACCTTCCGAACTCATTTGACATAACATCTGGATTAAAATATCGCAATTGAAATTCTAAAAAACCTAACAACTTATTTGTTATTTCCTAATGGGAAACAGCCCATCGAACTTGGAATAACAATTCTCTTATTTTGGTTTGATTACACTTATGAAACTAAGGTAATCCCCTTGAGTAGTTTTCTTCGATCGACAGTGTTTGAAATGGAAAATATTCGAATTCATTTTTGACTTTGCGAAGAAAAATTGTTTTTCTTGAAGCTCTGATCGCACAATACAAGTTTGTCACAGTGAATCACTTTTGAACATGTGTTGATGACGATATATCGTACGAAATAATTGTACTCATGTGGTTGATGTTGTTTGATGCAGGTGCGTAGATTATGCAGCTTTGTGTAATCTGGTGCATTTACGACAAGTTAATTGGATTGCATAGGAGAATTACGATGGGAAAAATTGTTTTCCTTGACGTCCATTTTAAACAATGCAAGTGGCAATTAAGCTGGCTTTTCGGTGATGCAAAAACAATCGTACCCGTACCTATTGTTTTATTTCTATTATTCTGCTGTAAAGGAATATTTTCATTCGATAGGTGTCTTAGATGTGTAGTTGTGTTCCAGCCAATGCATTTGGGGTGGTTTGCTCGAGTGTGACTTAAACTAGTTTTTTTTGTCAGTATACTGTGATTTATCATTGTAAAAATTGGTTTTGTTTGATGCATTGTAATTCATTTTGATGAAGTACTTCTTCGTCGCTGTATTTTGGTGGGTTATAATTGAAGTGGAATAACACGATGCAGTTTGTTGAAAGTACTGTATGTGATGTAGCTCAGTGTAGTCAACAAAACATCAACCACCACAGGTACAATTATTTCGTGAGATGAATATATTGCAAAGGATCTCAATATTCCGGACGGTTTTCATGAGCGTTTATTTGCCTCTGTGGTCAACACTACCGGAAAGCCAATCAGCAGATATTTGGAGCATTTTTCATCCGCTGTGTAAACATTCTCAGAGTACTTTTAACTTCTAAAACGATTGGATGTAAAAAAATCAACAGAAATGAAAGTTTTAAAGTGGCACTGTTAGACACAACCCTTTATATGCACATTCAAATGCTTTCATTTGCGTATTTGGTGAACATCGTAGTTTTCTGTTGTCAAGTTGTTCCTGTGTCAGGGTATTTTTGAATCAAGATGAACGTCTAGTCTTGTTGGTAAATGATGTTTAGAAAGTGCACGTGTAGATTCTCTTCAGAGTCAAGTGAAAACGAAATCGTTATTCACGTATCGTGTCAGTTCTCAACTATTTAACTTGAAAACTGTTTCGAATCAACATGTTGTCGGTGATTACCGTTACTGTGGCAACTAATCAATCGTAGCAAAACTTGTCAGTTGACAGTTTTCGTCGTGACCGTTTGTGATGAATCAGCTGTGTCAGAATTGCGTTTGATTTCGAAGAGTTAGTCGTCGAAAATCATTTCATCAGCGTGGTTAGTCAGTCTGAGACCTTAGCAAAGTGTCGACCCCTGTTCTCGGTTTTTAGTCCCTCCCCCTTATCGTTCGGTCGTGAAATACGGTCGTGTGGGTGATAGTAGTTCAGCATGAGAATGACAGTTCTGATGAACAGTGGCAAACGTTTCACAGTCTGAGAAAAAATCGTCGTTAGCCCCTAGTGAAAAGTCGTTCATCAGTGAAACGTTTCATTTTGATAGGTTAGTTTGTAGTGACTCATATCTATCCTGTTTTAGTATGTAAGTCACTGGTCGTTCTTTTTTTTTTCTATGTAACTAATGTAATTTCCGTGAAAAAAAGATCCTCATTGTTGGAGAAAACGTGATTGTCTTTTCTATGAAGTCTGCATAAGCAGCACAGAGTTCTTAAAAGAAACTTTTTGTAGGGTGTTGTTGCTACAGTGCCACCTTAAAATATCCAGTTAGGACATAATCCTATCACTCAGTTTTCAATAAATCTACCACTCACCTTGGAAAAAAATAGTGGCTTAAATAGGTGGCGCAATTTAGGAATTTTATATGAATGTATTTGCAGTTTCGAGTCACCATGGTGAATTTCAAAATCCCGTTGTTACTTCCACCGTCCCGTTTTCTTTGATTTTTGATTAAAATACCAGTTGTCAATAGGTGACAAATTTTAAATTATTCCCAAATGCCCTTCTTACAAAAATACAGCGATAGTAGAATTGATTAAGCCACAATTTTTCAAGGGAGTGTGTATAATGAATAAGTCTTATCTCTGTCCTGTCTTGCAATTTATATTTCTGATAGATTCCCCATCAATGTCTTTGTCTTTAAATCCAAGTCATCTCATTCCTTCAGCTCTTCTTCTGAAAATAAGACGAATAAATGACAAATTTAGCCAATAAATAAGAAAAGTCTCATAATTTAAAGAAAATTAAACTTAAAGATTAAACCTGAAGACAGGATTTTTGCAACAAACGAAGAATAGGTTAAACTTCACCAATTTAAAGTTTTAATGTCAGAAAGAGCGATAAGGTCATCGACTTAATTAATTTGAATGAGGCGTGCTTGGCCGAAAATTTACGAAACAGCTCTTACAGCTTTAGGATATTTGTAGAGTTGCTACGCTCTTGCATTTTTTACAGCTGTATTGGAAAGAATTCTGAATTGAATCGTTAAAGTAAGAGAATGCAAAAGCTCGTTCGACGCGTGCATGTGGTCGCGTAAAGATTTATGTGAACTGTTTTGGCCGACTGAAAAGCTTGTGTGCAAAATAGAACTGTGCAATGACACAGTTTGGTACTCTATGTTTGCGTTCTTTAAGTCCTTCTTAAATTTTAAGATTTCGAAGAAATGTTTAGAGGAAACTATATCTTACTCGCTGCAATTGACCATTGCTTCGACAACGAACGGTTCTCAACTCCATGTTGGAAATTTTAGAATTTGCGAGACGCTAATAAAGATTTAAAGGTGCTCACCTTTGCGTTGACGCGAATATGAAAGTTTGAAGGCATGCACATTTCGTCTCCTTCCAGAGCCCCGAATTTATCTTGAGATAGAAAAACCAAATAGACATCCTCATACTTTGGCGTTTTTACTCAAAATGATGCCATTCCACCAAATTCATGAATATTGATTCTAAGCAAAGTGACCAATAACAAGACAATACGTCAGAAGCCAACATGTGAAATATGCAAATGAGTGTATTTCCTAGACCCGCCCTGCTAACAAAATTAGAAAAATTGGAAGTTTGAATAAAATCAAATTACAGTATAACACTGGAAAGCCGTTTCTTTTTTATGATTCACCCGCTTTATATGCTGGTACATTAATACGGAAAATATATCAAGAAGTCGGGCGGTTGTTTTGGCATGAAAAACGGTAGCAGATGACACGCAGCAGTTGGGAGTCGGTGCCTTTAGCGTTAACGGCGATGAGGGTAGAAGGTAGTTTATCTGTTTGCCTTTCAGCCGTCTATCTAATAATATGTGAACACATCTGCGCTTTTTGTAATGAAAGATAAGATATTTGACTGAATAAAGCCTATATTTTGATTCAATGATGACAATATAAATGATGACGCTGCGCACGGTTTTTTCCTCCATAGTCTTTCCGGGGATTTCCGAATTCCCCCAAGGTGAAAAAAGAAATCCTTCATAATAGGGAAAAAGGCAAATAGGGACGGAGGAACATCTGAGAAACTCAACTAGGCACAAGAGAATTACTTAGGGAGGGAGGAGACGCCTTCAGTCACAAGACGCGCGGGGAGCGTGAACGCTAGGAGGTCTGGAGATAGCCCAAAAGTGATTAATGCTGAAGAATGCTTTTGTAAAGAAATTAATGCTTAAATGCTAAGTATGACCAGAATCTGCTTTCTCCTTACAGTAATACTGCTGAAACGTTCATGAGGATCATGAGAATAGAAGAAATTATGGCCAGCTCAAGAAGATCTTAATTGTTCAACAAATTCTCCATGTAAGTACCGGGTATGAGAGAACAGTAGGGAGAACTTGCATGCCGATGTTGGGGTGTAAAGGGGCTACGTTTGAGGTTGAATAAGGTATGCAGTGAAGATATTTCATAAAAAATAATCCTTAGAAAGGTATTAGAACGTAGTAAAAGAAACGGAAGGGGGAAGATAGCGAGAAGACACTTGGGAAATAACTTAAATACATAAATTAGAAAAACAAATAGAAACTTCCATCGCCGATATCACTTAAGGCTTTTAACCTCAAGAAATTATAAACATCTAACTTCCAACAATTTCGATTAAATATTCGGCAAAAAATGACGAAAATAGCCGAACTTATCTCCGAGGTGATGTTAATCTTGATGTAACGCCAAATTCTCTTATCGAGTTTTCAAAGAAATTTAAAGTAACCATAAGGGAGAATTAATAGTCAGATCTTGGAGCCAACATAAACCGTGCTGCGAAGACGCTTAAATAAGCTACGCAAAATAGTTATATTTGGGACAAATGCACAAGAAGTGCGTAAGAAATTATTTAAAGAAACGCGTAACTAACGCATCAGGTAACGACAAACTAAATGACACCAAGAATTAAGTGTACATGAAGGAGCGTATTCTAATTATATGAGGAAATGGACCGAAAATTCATTAGCTAAGGTGTCAGGAAAAGTGGATTCATTTGGACCATCTGAGGGGAGTTAATCAAAGTGCATCAAAATTACAGCAGGGAACGCGTCGGAAATAAGTCGATTGGGGAACGTGGTGATTAATATGAAAATGAACTGAAAAAACACTTGGAAAAATTTGACTTATTGCTAAGTCAATTCATCAAGAGCAAAACATCCAAAGGAAAACGGATCGGATAATATTTAGTAAAATGCATCTCGATCGAAATGTGAAAGGCTTGATATGTAACTTAAATGCATCAGTTGGAAATGCAAAAGGAACACGTGCGGAGTAATGAAGCTACCGCTGTTCCAGTGCATATGGAGTCTCGTTCACAGCAGTTCTTTGGGATGTCACGCGCGCCTCTTGAAGGAGCGTTGCGTGACATCGTGACATTTCGACTACGAAGTAGAATTGCGCACATGGAACTTTTGGGTTACCCTTTATGGCAGGGAGCTGGACTTTGGCAAACTCCATTCAGTCTATTCAGCTCTGGTGATAAATTAAGATGTCAACTGAAAATTTTGAAGTAAATTGTTTAATTCCATTCATCTCTATTTCCACGTGTGGGTGATAAGGTTGCATACTAAATCTACTTCTGCAGCAAATCTTCTCAATTTGTCCACTAATAAGAAAGACTTATAAATTATTGTAAAGTAGTGAACTAAAGTGTACATGCATATCAAGCTACAGGCCTCTGCAATTTCAGAAATTTTCACATGAAAGAGAATGCTGAGCTTATAACACTGTCAACAAAGTAAACCAAGACCTCCTTCAGAAAACTAATAATTTATAAACAACGTCTTGAGTCAGAGAAAAATATTTTACATCACAGCTCAGTTCTATAAACATTGTAGTTGGACGATACACAAATCTATAAGCATATTTTTCTGGTCTCATTTTGTTCAAGTAATAAATAAGAAATTAGCATGTTCAGAAGAGCTATGAGGCTATTCCTTGTGTACAATCTCTCTTCATATCCGTGTGAATGCTATGTGTCCTTCAGATATGTTTCTAACAGTTGATTTGTAAGCTGCGAAAAAAAAAAACAGAAAAAGATTTAATATTGAACAAGATTTTGGAATTCTTAGCTGTGATGTCATTCAGTTTTGTCCATCTCTACAACTTATTTGAACCACCACTTACGTTGGCGAACTTGTCTGTAAGTTCCACCGTTAATTCATCTTCGGTCATACCGCGAGGTACAAGTGAACTCAGAGACGAAGATGGGTTTACATTGAGGTAGTTCTCAATCCTTTCTTTGGGCAAGTAGTCCTGTCTGGCTCTCATCTGAAACGATTTTGTAGAAAAAGAAAAAAGGGTTAGAGATTCATTGGTATAGGAAAGTATTTCCCAATAGGGAAGGGGTTTCCTACTGTAACGTCTTAGTGGGAGTAGGCCAGGTTGCTTTGTATTAAATCTACATTTTCTTAACAAAGCTACAGCTATTTTGACGCCTCAGCCTGCAAGAAAATGGAAGTGGATGGAAAAGCTAATATTTCTGCGTTTTAAGTTCTCCCTCTCAGAGTTAGTATGGAAGATCTCACCAAGGGAATAGGTACGGGTAGAGTGGAGGGGAAAGAAGGTTTCAAAGTTCCTGCTTCTAAAAAATTGTGGCCATGATACCTTTATAATTCGTTAACTTTCAAACCGGAAACAGTCACAAACTGACGGTGTAAGAAGAATTATTTATACCTTCGGCGCAGGAAGTTCTTCTGCTCTTCTGGCGTCTGATAATCGAACATAAACTGAACTACCTTCCAAAAGCTTAATCTTGGAGAACAAAAAACAAGAAACGTTAAGCAATAGTATGTCACATTTTCATTGCATGAGAAAATAAATAAAAGAAAGCGTTACAGAAGAGCGTTCGCCCATGCTTTTGAAAAATCTCTGTTGTGATCGACATGAAACTCCTGAATTTCCGTAAGACAAATTATGGGAATGGGAAAACTTATCAGCTGCAGGGTGTTATCTTGATGCAACACCAAACTCTCTCCACTAATTAACAAGAAAATGTACAGCAGCCAGAAGGGAGAATTGCCAATCTTACCGCCTTTCTTCTTCGAAAGTTGGCAAGCACATTGTGACAGTTATCGCTTTCAAGAGAATTAAGCACAGCCTGCAAGGGAATAAAAAGAAATAAGTCGAAACGAAATATAAAAAAGTTAATAACTTGGAAAATAAAGATCTCATGAGTTTATTACAAATTTTGAGAACTAGAATGCCTTCTATTCAACCAGGAGAGGATTTTTAAACTAAACGTTTGACAACAGCGATGACAGTCTTCGACTAAATGTTCGAGACAATCTTATTTGTTTCCATGAAAAACAACAATTTCATGTAATCCCCTTCTCCTTCCCATCACAGTGTAACCGATTTTCAAGAGTTCCCTACAGTTTTCTAAATATTTTTGCCAAAGATTGTTGGTTTCCATCGAAACATTCTTGTTATTTCGATAGAAGCATCCACGTTTGCTTATATAGCGGTGTACAAATGGGCCCAGCGAGGCTGGTGAGGATAAACGAAAAAATCTGGACAATGAAGGTTCGACTTTAGTTTGTCATAAACAGCCTACCATTGGCTATCATGCAACATACTTTGTACCTTTAATAAGCCAGACACAATCATACTGTTCTAATTATATGATCTAAGAGTACCTCAGGGAGGTCCCCAGTGTACAGAGGAAGCTGATAACAACCGTTCATAACATAACCTTCATCAAACACTTGAACAGCGGTCCACGCCTAAAAGAATCAAAATGTTAAACAAACACAAAACAACAACGTGAAAATTTACCTCTAAAATATATAGCGAGTTGACGATTCTAGAATTCCTCATATTTCATTACTTCTGTCGGTATTAAAACTTTGTGGTTCTTTCATAGACAAAACTCTTCAGACTAGTAACACAGCAACATAAGATCCGTAATCCAGCATTGAACCCTTTCACTCCCAAGAGTAAGCAAAAGAGAACTAATTTCAATAGGAAGGCCACGAGGAGAAAGAAAGATGTCAACTTCAGGGTACCACTTAATACCAAATTCTCGAAACTAAAAATAAAAGAAATGTATGGCAGACTGTATGGAGAATTGATTTTTAGATCAAAGGAGAGGATAAGATATATGTGTAAATCAAGTAACCTTTCAAAAGTTTAATCATTTAAATCTACAGGTTTTCAAAAATGCAGTTAGGTAGATGCCTTAAATGATTAACCCTTTAACTCCCAAGATCTTATTAGTAATTCTCCCTATTGTTTGCCATTCAGTTCTTGTGATGTCAGTTTAGAGAATTTGGGATTGGATCAACTAATTATTCCCTAAATGATATTTTTCTTTATTCTCATGACCTGTCTGCTTGATATTGTATTGATATTGTAAAGAGAAATTCTGCCTTGGTCACGATACCACGAACCTGTCCTTGTAAACTGTAAGATGTTTTGGTCTGAGTAGTGTCCAATACTAACTCATGAAGGTGGACGATAACAACCATGCACCTGTGATAAATACGGCGGGGGAAAACCTGCCAAACAAGCCAACAATATGAAACAGTTAGGTGCCGAGTGGTGCCGAAGTATGGAGAAAGTTCACTTGAGGGCAAAATAACCTGCAGAAAATTTTCCTTTTTGTTGCGTTTTTCAAGCTGGCAGAAACACGCGCAAGGCGAGAACGAGGACAGCGCGAGGAGCGAGTTACGCGCGAGGGGGATATGCGAGAAAAAAGACTGCTTGTTCTGCAGGCCAGCATCAAAGCGAAAACCAAAGTTTTTGTCATAGAAAGTAACATAACCTCGCCCTAACAAATGTGATCTTCATATCTTTATCATGGTAACGCATGCGGTAGTAAAACAAAAAGTGATATTCCTCAATTCGCACAGAAATAAGCCAAATGCTTCCCTGACCTTCAGTCCATCTTTCCACACAGGAGAGGCAACACTACTGGAGTACACTGGTTTTGTTACGTGGTTCAGCGAGTCCTCTCTGGCACCCTTAAAAAAGCAATTACGAACAAAGGAATAAGTGAGGAAAGAAGAAAACAGCATGGCGTGTGATCCTACACTTTACCATGTCTTGAGAATTCAACACAGATCTGGTTTAAGAACCCACCAGAAAAAAAAAGAAAGAGTCTACCAAAGTTTTCTTTCACTCACCCGATAAAATGACCCGGGAGGCGACAGACAGTAGCTGACCAATGTAAAATTGGACCATGGTAAATTCTGCGCAGCATCCACGGAGATCTGGTATTCGTTGCAAAATAGAAAAATTTCCAAGCGTCATAACATATCAATAATTGTAAAAGTGATTACAACTATCAAACAGGAGGTGAAAAATTCGAATTTGTTCCAATCCTTATTGCGCGAGCATAAAACTGTACATTTTAACCTCGATGATATTCACTGATGGACAACTGACCATCATAAATCCAAGTACGTTGATATTCTATGCATACCTTTAATCCGTGCATAACGTGGTATAGAGCAACGTAGCTAAGGTCCAAATCACCAGGCAAAGCATCGATATTTCGAGTGAGGCGAGTCTATACATATAAAAAACAAAAACAAAATACAACAGGATTACTGTAGACTAGTCTTAGACACGTACATGATCTCATGCAAGATTAAGACTAACCATTGAATGAATGACAGTGAATAACTGAATGAAGGAATGAAACAACGGACGAACAATCAAACAATTGACTGATTGATTGAATCGACTGACTCGCTGGCTGGCTGACTGACTGAATGACACACTAACCGACTGATTGGCTGACTGCATAACAAACAGACTGACTACCCGACTGACCGATCGACCAAACGATTGACTGACAAACTGACTGTCTGGCTGGCTGATTAACTGACTGAAAGTATGACACATTGCATGATTGAGCGACTATTTGTTTCAATTCATAGATTTGATATCATAATAGTAATAGGCTCAGTCTATCAGTAGCAATCTTATTGACAGACTAACCAACCAGAAGCAGTGGAAAGATAGTTATGAAGACTAAACGTAACTAACCAGGATTTAAGGATTAGAAATGACCAGCTGGGGACCGTTTCTCGAATGTCCTGTCAACTTAACGAGCCCGTAAAGTCGCTTTGCTTTCATTTAAGATGGGGTCTCAAAATGTTTGAAAATTAAATGATAAAAATATCAACTCAAGAAACAAAATGGAGTGGTTAGATAGTCACAACCTACCTCTCTATTCTTTAAATCTAAATTTTTAAGTATGGCTTCGTGCTGATAAGTTACCAGGACTTTCAAGAAAAAGGCCTAGTGGTCTCCAATAAAATCGGCTCAGACGATTAACTTACCTTGATCCAGCTTTCTATCACTCTGTCTTTCTTTAGTTTATGTTCCTGACCATCTCCTATGAGTTTTATTGCCTCACGAGTCTTGATTGGTTGTCTCTTAACCATACTGTGATATATCTGGCACTCTCCCAGGGTGGGCTCACAAGAGAGGGAGTAATATGCTCCTAGGAAGAAACATAAAGTCTTGAATGATTAGAATGAAAGAAAAAAAAGAACTTCTTTGAAACCGATAACATAAGGCTGAGTTAACTACAAATTTGCTTCTAAGTTAGTTTAGAGAATTATAAATATTACATCAAGATGATTTTTGATATTATGACCTTTGTGCTGAATAACGTAGTGAAATTGTCACTCGTTACATGTTGAACGATCCTCTTCGGGAGCTTAAGGGTTAAGAATCCAATCCCATGAAATAAAACCAGTTGAACTTCTGTGCAACCAATAATTTAAGTTAAGCAGAGTTAACTGTGTCTTGTTGATAGAGAGATATATATATAGAGAGAAGAAGTGTGAGGATCGTTCATATCGAGAGGTTCTAACCAATAACACCCAGAAAAAATTTAAAACATGTCACAAGCCGAATCATCGGCTAAAAGGGTGTTATCTCGATATAAAACCAACTTCTCTTGACTGTTTTTACAAGAAAATGTATGGAGCTTGAAGGGGCATTACTTGTCGAATATTGGAGTTCAAAGGTCTTCATGAATTAAACGTATAGATCGGCACAGTATTAGGACCAAACAGCCAAGCAAATGTGGAGAGGTGGCCACCATAAAGAGCTAGCCTCTACTGGAGGTTTTATTACAACACAAGAGACTATGCGATGTTGTCATTAGCCTCATTATAAGTGCTGCAGGACGCGCTTCCCCACCAGCCGAAAGGTTTGAGATGAGTCTGAGAGGTTTGCTAGGGGCCTGGCACCAATAATGAGACCCTCATTATCAGTACCAGACCCCTTAGAGACCTTTCGCCGGTTCACGTGGCTCAAGGCTTCGTACTTTACCGCGGGCGAAGAAAAATTCGTGCCGAAGTGCTATGCTGCCATCAAGGTAATTTAGCATTATCAACTGAGTTGATAATGTGAATTGGCCACCGCTAAGACCTAGCCCATGACCTTCATTGTGACTATTTCAAAATGTTACTAAGCTTTCAATAGTCATTCTTTCACGTTAAGTATCAATGGTGACCCGAGCAAAGCCACTTAAAGTTAATAAGGTGAAACCACAAAAACAGTTTATGATGATTTCCGGAAAGGATTGCGCTCTAACATCACAAATCTACGCGAACTTACACGGAATTACTGAATAATCGTTCAATAAATAATGTCACGTGAAATAACATGAATACAAGGCTTCAAATTTCCATAATGACTGAGAAAAACACTCGAGTCCTTTAAAAGAAAGAATGTCATTGTTACAATTATATCTAGCCATAAGTAGTTTTATCAACAGCCGCATACCAGGCATGCTTACAAATCAGGCAAAGGTAAGAGAAATAACATTCTCGAAGAAGGAAAAGAGTGGAAAATTTGAATCCTCAATCATATTAAACAGTTTGACCTCATGTTATTTAGAAACAGTTCAGTAATGAAGCACATAATGTTGGCAAGAAAACAAGGAATTTCTTCCAGAAGGAAACAAAGATAAGTAAAGATCCCTTCCTGATACAATTTGAAAATTAGGTGGCACAAAAGTTGAGCATCCAGCTGAGAAATTATAGAGATTAATCAAAATAAAATTATAGCCTAAAACACATCCCTCAGGTGACAATCGATTCATAACAGAGACACATCCTGCCTACACATTTGTTGTGGTTACCCTCCAAGGTTGAGTGACAACAAAAACTGATAAACACGCAGTTCGAAGACTTGAACCACGAAATTGCACAGGTTCGTATCAAATTTTTCAATTGCTAAGCTTTCCTCGCTTGCCCACTAAGTAGAAAAGAAGCGCAAGGAAAAAAAACTCCTCGACAAGTTCGTCAGGTTTATTTTGGTCTCCTCTACAATGACAAAACAAACCTAACTATCATTTCAAGAACCTTTAGAGTCTTTTATCAAGTTATTCTTTCTTTCAAATACTGCCGAGATGAAACAAAATTTTCGATTAGCACGTGAAGAAACCTTTATCACGTGATTTCTCTTTTAAACGTCACAAATCACAACTCTTCCCACGCAAAATAAAATTCGATTGGTTGCAGAAATATACAAAGAGCTGGCAAAACAAGTCCAAATGCCTTGAAAACTTCCGCAAAATTTCCTTAGGAGCGGATGTAAAACAACCTAACACAAGTCTTGGACGGATTGCCATTGGGGTCATTTCAATTCAGCTGTTCCACTATTTACCATGAAAAACGTCGAGCGACAGAGAGTGCGAGGCAATCAGGCAACGAAGTACGAAGATGCCATGAAACAGGCGTTTCACGAAATATATCAGAATCTCAGAGTGATTGAAGAGGGAACAAAAAAGAAAAGAGAGAAATTAGACCTTCAACGACGGAGAGGGAGTGCTCCTCCTACAACGCTTAGAAAAACAACAGCTGCTTTTGAGAGAGCAAGGACAGATGCTGTAAGAAAGGTGTCAACGCCACAACCAGTGCGTTGCTCTAAAGTGAAGGAAGACATATGAATTTTAACATAAACTGAGGTTTGAAATCAAGAGTGTTTGTGTGTTAAAAACGATGAAGATGTGAGCAATGAAAACTTTTTGTCAACGGAGCCACCATTGTTTTAATTTGTAATTTGCCAAGAGAAGTTCAATGTTTCCGCGTCATCGATGAGCGATTACAAAGTGGAAACACCTCAGGAGAAAACACAACCAATTTGCAGCAAGGTTAGACCAACCGGTTTGAACGTTGAAAGAAAGTTAATAGGTAAAAGAACTTATCTTTTACTAAGGATATGTTTTTGCTCAACATCATGACTTTTTACTTTGTCTCAAAAGCATTTTAAGCCAAGTTGTCATTTATGTTAATAGAATCACTAGACGAATCTACTAAAATTTCAGACGAATGCCATAAGGTCAAAACACAGATCTAAAACAAAGAGAGATTAGACACATAAGATAATAAAATCCTTCTCATGAAACAATAATGTATAAAATAACATTGGGAAAGTTAATTCTACCACGATAAAAACAAGCGTGTATATTGTCACGCTTTTGGAGTGAAATATGTTCAATGACAAAACCGCAAAGCGTGTGTCATGTAAGATCAAGGAGCGATGTGAAATCAAGTGTGCAATTATCTATTCCTGAGTGGTCAGTAAGGTCAGAGTTCTTTAAGTTTTTTTAAGGTGCAAAGTTTTCCCCGTGATTTTCAAATGTAATTTTTGTTGAACAGGGTACGTGATGGTATTGAGTCAATTCACTTAACGCTGATTCGCTTCACTTCAGGAAAAGAGTGCAAATTAGGGGGACCTGTTAATTTGCTTTGTTTTAAAATATTTCGCAAGCCAATCTCATCTTGTGATGATCAATTAGTTTTGCTCAAAATGCAAAAAAAAAAAAGAAAAGAAAAAGCCTGCATTTCAAGTTTTAAAACGCTGACAAACAAATGGTAACCTATGAAAATTGAGGTGAAGTAGTTTAATTGAGTGGTCATTTCATAAGTTTTCGGACAATGCAATAATTTACTTAAGCAGTAAAAAGGTCATTGGATCATGGAGCTGTTGTTTGGTATGACGTTTGCAAAGTTTAAGTTGATTATCTCGAAACATTGTGTTATAAACAGAATAGGGAAGAATGCAAATGTTAATCTCTGTTATGATGGAATAAATTAATATGATATTCATCTTTAGTCGAATAATATCATTATTAATTTCTCTTCTTAACTAAAAAAGACCTACACCAAGGTACGATTTGAACATCAGGTGAAGGAGAGGTCAAGCCAACATCGTTGCTTTCACTTTGCATATTAGCATAACGATAAGATTTTGCTACGACAGACAAGAGGGAACCAAGCAGCTCGTCAAGACTAATATAGTGAAAACAGTTTCAAAATAAAATGTTACAATACCGTGTTATATTTTGTTACATCGTTCGTTCGGGAAGTTCGAAATTGCGTAGGTTCGTTACATAGGGGCTTACGTCAAAGGTTTGTCATATCGTGAGCACGCTTTATCAGGGATTTGTCATATCGGGGGTTCGTAATACTAGGACCCCGTTATATCAGAGACTCGTTACATTGGAGGTTCGTTACATTAGAGATTCGTCATATTGGGGGTTTGATATAGCGAGGATTAGTTGGATGGGGTGGGGGGGGGGGGCGTTATTTGGGGATTGTTATATAAGAGAGCTAACTGTAATGGAGGGGCTTTGGTATATTGAAGATTTATAATACTAGGGGCTTTTGATATCGGGGGTTCGTAACTCAGGGATACCCTTGGCTAACGTAAACTACTGTTTGGCATATTTAAGATACGTTATATAAGATTTAATGGGGTTTATGAGAAATCCTCGGAAACTCACCGTCTGCGTAGTTCGGTTTGGGGTCTAACAGCCCCTCAGACTCCCACTCTGACTCTTTGAACTCTGAAGCCTAAAAAGATAATAAAGTTGATCACTTCTAGGTGGCGGTGTATTGAGGGACCTGCATCATGATTAGTACACCTTGAAATATCCAGCCTGAATATTTCAAATTTGTCATTTCAATCAGTGTTTTTCTTATTCGTTCTAAGTTATTCTGGTTCTTTATCCGGTTTTATTTTTAACTTACTGGTGTTCTTCTATTTTAGCAAAAGATCATTTTCCCAATTCAAAGTATGTCGTAAAAAATCTCACAACACCACATCACGGACTGCTGAATACAAAGTTAAGACAAACCATCAAGCCTTATTGTTATCGTCATTTGTGTCATCGTCATCCGGATCATCGTCATCCGGATCATCGTCATCGTCGTCGTCGTCGTATTTACCATAATTATAATTATTAATCAATTATTCACAGAAGTGAAGGCAAATATCCACCACATTTGACCGACATGGAGGTTGTTTAAGCATATACCATACAGAAACTGAAAAAATTTAGTTTCCGTCTCTCAATATACCGAAAAACGGTCGGAAATCGAACTCTTATCTTACAATTGGTCTATTCTGCTGTTCGGAGGTGAATTACACTTACTCATCACTTCCGGACTAGCCAATCAGCGCGCCCAAAAATTACTATTCACCGGTGCGGTATATGGTAATTACATTTATTAGCATCATGTTGAGAGTGTTTACCTACCTCTTTTGGTCTTCCATTAGGATGGCAAGCCGCTTGAACCAGTCTTACCAACAAACTAGCACATGGTACAGGACTGTTGAGTCAAATTATTTGCAGTCAGGATCGTAAACTAAGCATAACAAAAGCTAGCCATTACGGCAAGGCGTTTTCAGGATGTAAGTTAAGGGAGTAATTGATTGTTTGATTGATCAAATGATTAACTAACTAACTTGCTCGCTGTGTGATGGCCTGACTGGCTGAATAACTTACTTCCTAACTATCTGTATGACTCCCTTTCCCCCTTTTGCTCGGAAGAAGAAGGGCAAACACTCAAAATTTTCTTTGGTGGCATTTTCACATTAACCAAATTATCATGTAATACCCAACCCGACGCACCACAATGTTTCCTTAGACCGACCGACTGACCAATTGACTGACCAACCGCTCAACTAGCTGGTTGATTGACTTTTTTTATTAAGTGTTTACACAGATACTTACGACAGACTCTGCGTCACGCTCTCGTGTAAAGGTTGAGAGAGGTCTGGAGAACCACCATACAAACGAATTTGGTGAGGACCTTCATTAAAAGCAACCTAAAATAAAATACAGGAAGATTTTCTTCAATATGTGCCGCGGCTCACATACATGTAAGACACGAACTCATCGTATGAACGGTACATTTCCACTTTTACATCCCGCGGCTTTGGCAAAAGAGGGGAGCACGTCTCAAATAAACCGCAACTCAAATAACACGCGAAACCACTCGTATAAATGACATCGCAGCTTGTTCGCGGCTTACGTACGACGCGAGCGCTATTTATTCTCGCGCTCGCAACCGCTTGCAAAACTCAACGTGTCGTGAGACGCGAACCATTTATACAAGCACCTTGCAGCTTGTAGAAGCCTCGCTGATTTCATCAGCTCAGTTCGCGTCTTGTGTAAGCTACGGATTATTTTCATCTCATAAACGACCGTATTGTGAAAGAAAGGTAAGCTAAGAGTCCAAACCAACCTATAATAAGTTACCAAAACATAATATAACACACCTTAACATTCGAGCTGCTGACAGACGGTTGTTTTGTTGTTCCAACTTCAACAAAGATAGGTAGGAATCCGTATCCCACACAGCAAAGAGTCTTTGAAATCCTATCCACTGTGTACACTTTCAACATTAGAGTGCAAGACTGCGGGAAGACTGGGTCTCGATATTCTGTCCTGCAGTTGTATTCTGGGTTGTAGATATCACTGTCCAGTGTAGCTTGTACGTCAATGTCTACACCAATTCTAAAAAAATCAACAGAAAGGAAAAAGAGAATACTTGTGTAGGATCAATGTCAGCATCTGAGCAATTGCGCACTAACCCCTCCCCTAACCCTAAAACAGTCAACTGATAACAAGTAAGGATCAATTTTGGTTAAAGGGAGGGGAAGGTGTGCAGTTGCTCAATACTGAGTTTGATCCCTTGTGTTATATTTCGTGATGCTCGGGCTGTTCATAAAATGTAGGGACTCAAGAGTACTCCTCTCAGTGGGACGCTAGTCAATCACAGGTCAACTCCCCCCCTTCGCCCAGCAATTTGTCAAGCTTCCCTGACATTACACCAATAACTGATACTCTTGGGTGAAGAGAGCATTGTGAGAGTAATGTCCCTTCGCCAAACAACGTCTGCAGTAAAAAAAAGTACGGGGGAGGGGGGGTTGTTCCTCTTTCCTTGGCTTGACCCGATCTGGAATATTGTCGCTCTTGGTCCACAACAGAGAGTCGCCAGAACTTTTGTTTTCAGTTCACCTTAATATTTCGTCTCCTTATTTTGTGTACAAAGGGGCGGTCGAGGCAAGTGTCTCATACAAAAACACAACATCCTAGCCTTGGTTTGAACGCAGGATCTGGGTTCTTGCACAAGGTGAGTAGATTGCCTATCTGAAATCCCATTAATCATTTACCACAAGTTTTACCTTGTGTAGTTCTTGTCCAATACTCTTCCAGCCACCTGAAAACGGAAGTCAGTAGCAATGATATGAGTTAAGAGCAATCGTTTAACAGGTGTTGCCTCCCATGAGTGACCAAGAGAGAATTTCTCCTTACAATATCAAAACAGTATCAAACATAGAAGTGACGAGAATAAAGTAAAATAACAATTAGGGGATTATTAGTTGATCCAATACCAAATTCTTCAAATTGACATAATAAGAACTGTAGGTCAGATAGTAAAGAGAATTACTAATGAGATCTAGGGAGTTAAAGGGTTAACAGGTGTTGCCTCCGCTCTCTCCTAGAGGTGACCAGTTCTCCTTATAATACCAACATAATTTTCAGAAGAAATATTTGTATCAGCTTTGTTTTATTCCTTGATTTAACACCCAATTCTCAGAGCTTAAGTCACAAGAGATGTATAGCAGACAGTAAGGATAATTTTTCAATCCATTTACTATCAGTTACTTCGGACAACGTTTTGTTTCCCTTAGGAGTTTAAGTTAGCAGGGTTCTACTGTACTTTAAACACACCTTAGTGACGCTGACACTGTCTGGAAGAAATCGTGCGGCGTCAATATAAAGATCAAAACCATTCCCTTCTTCAAATTCGTCAGTAAGTATAGAGGACCGACCATTCTTTATCCATACATCCTAGAATGACGAAAAAAGGTAAGACTCAGGTGACGATCAATCACATTCACTGTAAACGTAGACCAACAAACATTACGGTCATGACAATTATGGAATGATTGCGAATTCATGAAGCTCTTGATTGTTAGACAAATTCTCCTTGTAAGAGTCATAAGAAATGTATAGAGAGCAGTATGGAGAATATGCATACTGATGTTAGGGTATAAAGGGTTGAATGAATCCATACATTCACATGGACTTCTACAAGGCCGTACATAAAATCGAATTTGTATTTTTCAGTAAAAAGAGTGCCTGCTTACCTTGGGAAGGTCATTTTCATCTTGAAATTCTTCAGGAGGACTGGATGTCGCAGGTGGGAGATTGCCTGAACCAAAAATAGATACCCTCAACGAGGCCTGTCCATAGGGGGACCACTGTTCCGGAAAAGGGCCCTGATATCAAGAACCAATAAACATGAGGACTAGGAAACACCTTGGAGGCACATCCATATATAAACACTTTAGAAAAATTCAACTGATAGTTAAAACAATCCATTTTTTATTGCTGTGCATTACCAGGAAATTCAATAACTTTCTCCATGAGAGGCAGGCGATGATGCAAAAAGGGGCTTTGCCCCGCAAAGGGATCGAAAGTGAAGCCCAAACATGAGATGCTGCTCGCAAGCGGTAGACGGCCAAACACCAGCTTTTAATGAAACCCCTACGTTGTTATACTGATTTTAAAACCTCGCGGCCGACACTAATCCAGTCAGATACAAAATCGCCCTTTCTCGCTTCTGATCGCACGAGCATTCACTGTAAATTCTCATTCGGTCCGTGTCACTTTATTTCTACATATCATTTAATTGCTGCGTTTATACCTTGGTTTCACCTTAAAGAGAATCCAGTGAAAATCATCATACAACGAAAGGACCTACAGTAGTGATAAAGGGGGAGGGAGTTCTATAGAAACTGTGGTGCTGCGTCAGAGTATAACGGGGTAATTTAGTATCATCAATTGAGTTGATTACTTGAATTGGCCACCTTAAAGAGTTTAATGGCTGACGTTTCGAAACATTAGCTTTGAAACTCTTTACGGTGGCCAATTTATATTATTAACTCAGTTGATGATACTTAATTATCCTGTTACATAATGGTGAGAGTTCAGTATCTTACCCGCAGTGGAATATTAGGAACTGGAACAACCGGTGGGAAAAACAGAGGAAGATAATGAGTACCAATGTTTAGCCTAAGTCCTCCGCCTTGATTACCTAAATGTTAATAAACAATAGAAAAATATAAATAAAAATTAATGGTTAATGCTAGCTCTCGTCTCTTTGTTCCTCTTTTGGTGATACATATGAGGGACACTAGCTGTAGATTAACCTTTCAACTCGCTCGATCTGATAAGTAATTCTGCCTTCTTGCTGCTACACGATTCCTTGTTAATTAGTAGGGGGTATTTGCTGCCGCTTTATCAAAATGATATCCGCAAGCCGACAGCTTTGTTGTTTTCATCAACCGTTTGCTGGATAATGTATTGCTATTGACATTGAAAGTTTTACAAAGCAATTCCTTCAGAAAGGCTTGAAAACCACCCGCTTAGCAGGAACACTTTCATCATTTTCCGGGTCATTTAGCCACAATATTGAATACCTCCCGATAGTCTTCCACGTCTGGATGCTTGCGAGCCTGCAGTTAACGCCAGCGGTATAGCAGTCCACGCTGCAAGTTTGCTCTCGTCCAGCAGATTAGACGCAGAAGTGGATGCATCCCCTGGTTGCAGGTACAACCGAAACACTACGATGGAGTGCGCGTCCCAAGGAACGTTTCTGAATTGGGCCTGGGGAGAGTTAAGAAAAGATTCATTTAGAAGAGATACCTATTTAGCTTGTGCTGAGTAGAAGGGAGAACTGTAAGAGATAATCCTTCTTAACCTAACATCAGTAAGCATATTCTCCAAACTATTCCCTATACATTTCCTATGATACTGACAAGAAGAATTTGTTTAACAATCAAGAGCTTCTTTAGTTGATCATTAGCTTTGCTCTCGTGACTTTAATATACGATTCAGGGTTGATATTGCGAGGAGAAATCAGATGCCCGCTCGTACCGGCCAAAGAGTAAAAGGTCCAACTTAGAGGTTGAGGGGGCTCTGAATTGTATGTATAGATTATTCTTAAACTTGGAAGAGAGATGAATATTAATATGGTAATTTTAGTGTTACCAACTAAGTTGAAAACGAAAATTGGCCACCGTAAAGAGTTTAAAGGCTCAGGTTTCGAGCGCTAGTCCTTCGTCAATCGCTCTCACAAAGGGTTAACGCTCGAAACGACAGCCTTTAAACTCTTTAAACTCTTTACGGTGGTCAATTTACGTTATCAACTCAGTTGATAGCACTAAATTACCCTGTTATACTCTCCCACCGACGCAGCACCACAGTTTCTTTAGAAACTTACCCCCTTTATTGAATATTGATATGTTGATTTCAATTCAGAGATAAAAGATGGGAATCAACGAGCTTAATATTGAGTTACAGGCACACAAAGAGAAAAAATAGGGGTGTCTGTTGTAGTGTTGCTATGGTAACCTAAATTGTAAGTTTAATGGTCACAACTTGCTGAGAAATAATTAAGCCTTTCTTGACCTAAACTTTAAGGAAACAAACACACAAAAAAGGTGGCTTCGAACACAGAGAACTGGTGATTAAAGGTAATGAAACCATTTGGAGCCATCTTCAATGTTGATTACGGTTTTGTAACCAGTGTGAAAAAAATTGAAAAAAGATGGCACGCAAACAAGCTATGACAGTTAATTTCACGTAAATAATTTCCAAGCTGATGTTCAACTGCTGCTTTTCCAAGCTTCGTTAACGTAAGACCATATCTTCTTAAACTGACCACAAATGAAAACTTGTATTGATAAAACGTTCCTGAAATTTAAAGGTGCACCGCAGAGTACCCCTTCGAAGAAAATTTACTGATCTTTTATACTAGGACTGATAAATTGAATTTATCGATTGAGATAATAAGGAGGCCAGTTGCTTGAAATTTGATCGTAAAGTTTACCGAAGCACCTGTGTTCAAGAAGCGTATACAATCAAACCTTAAAAACCGTAAGAGTGATCAGCATCTAATTTCTCCTAACAGTAACACTGCTGAACCATTCATTAAGATCATGAGAATAAATGAAATGATCGCCAACCTTAGCAGCTTTGATTGTGAAACAAATTCTCCTAATCCGTACCAAAGGAAATGTAAAGCGAACAGTGTGGAGAATATGAATGCTGATATTAGAGTTCAGGAGGTTAACGAGGTATTCAGAACATTTATGAACTCAATTACAACCATTCATCGATCATGAACGAAATCAAACTTTATTATTCCCGATTCCGTAAGGAGTTAAGAAAATTTTTCCTTCTGATTCTCTTTTCTTGGAGAAGGCATCAGCCTCAATGTTTAAAAAGGACTGCACGATACTTTTGTACCTCTATAAACTTGTGACGAGTATATTTTTAAAGCAGAAACATTCTCTATTTTAAATTTTATTGGGGATCAAAGGAAATCAAAATAAAAATTATCTCCTTTTAAAAAGTATTTAATATTAATGACGCGGTGCAAAACACTGAACTTGAGGCATAAAGATTATTTTGATTAAGTACATCAACCTTGCGGAAAAATTTTCTCAAACTGAAAAAAAAAAATGAAAAACAAAATTGAAATGGACGAACTGTAACTTAAACAAAAAAAATGTTTCCAAATTGTTTAGTGTTCTCGCTTCAGTTTAATTGAGAGAACCACACTGAATGAAAAAGGTGCATTGAGCAAACCTGCGTGATAAAAAAAAATATGCGGCCAATTTGAATGAGTATGTTCCTTATCACTTTATTTTTGGAAAAACTATAGCACTAAATTTTTTCCCATCAGCGTCAGGATTTTAATCGCTATAGTCTTCCTTCCTCACAACAAAAGGGTTTAAACGATGAAATGATATAGTAGCTATCGCAGAAAAAGAAAAACAACTGCCCCAAGCGATATCTTTCGCAGCAGTTAGCCGGCAATTCCCCTGTTTTGCATATTTTAGATAATTTGGAAATACTACCGCAAAAAATTTCCCAGCCAATTAATAATTCAGAAGCACGATTATGTTTTCTGAGTGTCTGGCCATGTTTGCGAGTGAAGCACCAATTGAAATATTCAGGAATGATTTAAATACATCGCCCTGTTCTAAAGCGAAAGTATCCTCAACACAATCACAAAAGACATCTTTAAAATATTAACGTGATTCGTGTAGAGGTTTTCTTTTTTTATCCACGAATAGACGCTTTCAGAGCAAACTAAAAACACGCGGTTAAAAATTAAAATTATCTGGCGGTCTATCTGTGGGGGAAGTTTAAGGCGAGCATTTCGGTGTCACAGTATATTTGAAGTTTGATCTGCGCGACAAAATATCACTTAATTTGATTTATTCTCGAGAAAAAGCGAGTAGTTTCCACCACACGGAAGATTAAAAAATTCTCAACGCATTTTGTAATTCTTGTGAGTTTGAATAAAACAAATCGGCTTTTTTATTTGAAATTTTGGTGGCATGGAAACGTTACGCGAATCTGACGAGGAGATGGACTCCGAAAACGAGGTGTTACCGTATACGTACGAAGGAGATCGGAACGAAAACGGCGAACGGCACGGAAAGGGGAAAGCAAGGCTGCCCAATGGCGATATATACGAAGGACAGTATAAGCACGGGTACAGAAATGGCTATGGTAAATATGTCTTTAGAAAGCTCAAGGGCAAGTTGCGAAACGCGTGTTATATGGGGCATTACGAAAACAACAAGAAAAACGGACAAGGGACTTTTTTGTATCCTGATGGAGCGAAGTATGAGGGAAGCTGGAGAGACGATCTCAGGCATGGATTTGGGTCTTATTTTTATACCAATGGCGATTTGTATCGAGGCGAATGGGAACACGACCGAAGACATGGACAAGGGACGTACACATACGCGGCGAGTGGAATGTCATACGAAGGACAGTGGTTCGAAGGAAAAAGATCAGGTTAGCTTTTTCAAGGTGTTTTTTGGTACAAAAATAATAATTGCGTACTTAGTGTAAAATATTGAAGACGAACACAAAACAACGAGTCGAAACGGTCTTGTAATAAGGCTTTGCTTTTGAATACGTTAACCGTAATATCACCAGTTTGAATCACTTCGATCACAATTTGCACCTCAGCTCGAAGATGGCGGATCACTCAGTTTGGGCAAACAGTTTGACGATCAGAATTTTTGACGATCGTAAACTATGTAAAAAAAAACTATTTATGGAACGATCTTGAAGAGATAATTTGATGATAATCACGTCTTGGCACACGATTAAAAAGTAACACATTTCTCTCGATATTCGCCTTATAAAAGAAATTTTTGAAGAAATGGTTGCTAGGAGCTTTCATATGCCCATTAAATATTAAGAAAGGAAAACGTGCTGGACATAAATAAATTAAAACCGACAAATCGTACGAAGACAAAGAAAAAACAGATACAAAGCTGAAAGTTGTCGCTAGCGAGTTTTTATACTTTAAAAACAAACTGGAACTGGTAAAAACAAACATTGGTGCATATATAATGGCGACAGTTTTACATTAGAAACTAAACAAGTTGTCTGACGGCAAATCGACGAATGCAAATGAGCGCTTTGCGATCAAAGAACCGAAAATTAATGTATTAAATTACGGAATAAATTTGAAGAATGGCTATCATAACAAGGGCAAAACTTTTGAAGGCAAAATATACTTTTAAACTAAAAATTGCAAATGCGTATCACAACGAGCTTCACCACGACCAAATGAGTTTTGATCATTATTCAGTATGAGGTTAAAGAGGTTTTTTAACATACATGAGGAGCAGGTTTTAGTCAATACAAAAATGTCAAAAATACGACTGAGAGTTAAATTAAAACCCAAACTATCACCCAGTCATAATATAGAATAAATGGGAACAATTACACCCTTGTGCGTTGAAGCTAAGATAAGCTGAAGTAAACCATTGCGTTTTAAAACTCACAAGTGGAAAAAAAAATGGATTTACTACAATAACAATTAATCCGATCGTCACTGTAACGTTTCAATTCTCTGTGACTTAAGCGAATTTCGCAAAATATCCACTTCCATTTCCAACTCCCACTCTCATCTCATTAAAAATGTCTTTAAAAACAGCATAATTTTAATTTCACAAAACTTAAGACAGAATAAATTCAGCCAGACTAATGAAAAAAAAGACAAATTTTTTTGCTCTCTTTCCTTTGCAATACTTAAAGAATTTCGTTATCCTAGGACGGAAAAATTTTCTATCAGCACCGTAACGCAATGGAAGGCAAATTTGAAAGCTGTAGAGGTTTTATCCAAAATTTTATGGCTTCGTTTTCCATTTCATTTGTAAATTCTATCGTTGTTGTCGGTCGCCTTGCCGTTTACTTAGTTGCGTGGGAAGAACTACAGGTATCAACGATATTTCTCAGTTGCTTTTCTAAGTAGAAAACTACCTTGAACCAAAAAAAAACCTTACCAAAATACTGTGGTAATGTAAACGAACACCTAAGAAATCAAATAATGAGAAAGCTCCTTACAAGATTGAATATCAATTCTCCTCACCGCTCACCAGCGAAGAACCCATTACAATTCCCTATCTTATTCTCAAAATTTTAGCCTTGAGAAAATGGTTTTGATTAAACCTTTAACTCCCAGTGATTCACATGTAACTTCTCCCTATAATATCCATACATTATTCAGAAAACAGGTTATGAGAATACTCAAACTTGTCAAGTAGAGCTTGCTATCTTGATCTAACACCAAATTCTGGTGTAGCAGCTAGAGGGAAGAGTTAACACCCAGATCTCGTGAGTGAAAGAGTTAAAAAACAAAATTCCCCAAACTGATTTCTTTCTTCCCAACTTATTTCTGCTATGAGGAACAAATTTCTTTTGGTTATCGCGATGTTTATTTCTTAATACTATGTACAGAGGGAGGACCGAACGGAAAAATTTTTGGCTTAAGGTGATGACGCACGGACCTCGCACACGGCCATTAGACAAAACTTTCGTATTCTTTATTAATTTTTTCGCAGGAAGGGGAAAATTGACTTTCGGAAAACAAAACTACATCGGCAACTTTTACGACGACAAAATGATCGGCCCTGGTACGTACATCTTCCCGAACGGCACTCAGCAGCATGGCGAGTATATAGTCGTGGAGGAGGAAATTGAGGAGGTTAATGAAACAGGCAAAGGAAAAAACGACAACGATACAGAGAACCGAAGCCGAACGAAACAAGTGAAAATCAAGTGGATCAGTAAAAGTGGAGATACACCTCCAGTCACAGTTGTAAAGAAAGAGACGCTCATCAATTAGTAACTTTTTGATTCATTAAGTGATTTTTTGGAATTGATGGATTTGTTAGAGGAAAAGCTTATTTATATTGAACTGAAGTTCGCAATTAAGAATTTGTCGGTGGATTTTACAGTACTGTGATTATTTGATTCGAAGAGAAGTATTTCGTTGACGTAAAAGTTTTTTATATGATCATTTTCCCAACAACTTCAGATAGAACGTGTTTTTTTTTTTGGGGGGGGGGGGGGTGGAAGTGAAATTAGCGCCTCACTTACTTCTGATGCCAGTCAAAAGGCTCGACCACTGAGCCGTGAACATAGAATGGGAATTTATGAGTTTAATGAGAAAATAGAAAACAAAACGCTCCGTTGCGATGAAAAGCACACGGAAAAAAAATTCTAATAACACAAGTCACGTGCCAATTAGCACTTCCGGAATTCGCATCAAATAAAAATATCCACTGCACAGTTTTCATTTTTAAGTTTCTATGGAAACCATTTAAAAATTCCCCAAGCATGCACGTGGTTTAATTGCTAACTCGTCCCAAGGAGTCTAAAAGAACGTGCCGTAAGGGGGAAAAGGGACTGCAATGTATGATTGTCAGGAGAGAAAGAAGATGAGAGACCTTCACATCCATCTTCCCATCATACCCCGCTTCCCAGATCGCAGTGCCTTGTCGCGCGTCAGCGATGGAGTCTTGGGACGAATCAGGTAAAAATTCATATCAATGCCAATTGGAGCAAACGTTACTTGCTTTTCCTTATCATATAATGTAATTACCAAAGGCAAAAATAAAAAGCATTTTTAAAGAATTTGTACATAAATTATTGCACCATAGAATAAAGCTGGCGTATTATGTCTTTGATCCCCACGACTGTAAACATGAAACACGTAGGAGAGGATATTGAATTTCAATAACTTCAAAATTTTGCACTTTTAGCTTAACGATTATTTCCATTTAAGTAACTGAATATTCTAAAGAAAGTCTCGTTTGAAGACAATAGTCTTTTCGTGAACTGAACTTGAAAGAATAAATTGAAAGTCTCGTTCAAATAGACTTTTTTGTTTGGTAAAATCATCTAAACACACTTAACTTACAAGAATAAACTTTAAATTGTCTTTGAATAGGTTATTTTTTTTCTTTAAAGCATATAATCGCACTTTCATTAATAAACTGGATCTTTTTACGAAAAATCAAATTTATAACATGATGATAGCTACTGTTTTCCCTAATGGAGAGTGCGAATCCAAGAACTATGCATCTTGAAAAACTTAGAGTTAAATTAATCAGAAAGGCTTAAAATATATCGAAGTCAATAGTGTAAGATATTAGACTTAATAAACAAATGACGCTTTTTAGCCTCAAGCAAATCAAGCCCGGATGTTTCAAAGGACACCTTGACGTCAATCCTTATTAATTAAATGCCAATTTTCCATCTTAGTTACGTTAATAATATTTTGGATGTTAGAAAAAGAGATATTAGTGTCACAATAAAACAAAGACTTCTCAAAATAAATGAAAAAGTTCCATAAATGTCAGGAAGCAATAAAGTCGAAAAAGTCATATTTGAAAGGTTTTTTTACGTACAACCAATATTTGCCCACAGTTCCGTTCTAACTCAAGATGAAAAGGGTAGCTTCGAAGCGTTCACATGCACAAATCTGTCAATCAAAAATCTTAACTTTGTACGGCCCCGGTCTCCGACATAAAACCTTTCCAAACTCTTTATCTTATTCCGCTGCTGAGTTCAATGACCAATTTATCGATCACTGACAAATCTTCATTCGCTAAAAATTTACATAATATTCAGAGTGACAAAAAATTAATTTTCGCCATACTTCAGGTTTCTATTTTCAAAGGACCGTAGTAAGGTTTTTCAACTAGGTAAAGCAGCTCTCCTTTTTATCCTTTTTCATCCGAATTAATTTCAAAGCAGACTGAACTGCTGTAATAAAAAAATCTCACACAAAAGGCAATGCTACTCTCTCGAGCGTTAAAACAATTAAACTAGTCATATCAAGCCGGCTTGGTCCCGTCTTATACTCTGTAACGATACAGAATGTATAACCCTTGCCTGTGGTTCGTAATGTAGTTTAAAAAGTTTACTCTAGTTTGTAGGATATGCATCCGCTATTTTGATAATTGATGGAAATATTGCAGGGATTTTTCATTTCAAGTCCGCTCCTGACTCTTTCACCTTACGAGTGACTAGATCATGACTGTATCATCTAATCTCTCCTTATATCATCGCCACTGAATAAAGCATTGAGGAAATGATCGCCTGCTTAAGTACAACTTGATCGTTAACCATATTCTCCCTGTCTACAGAGGCATTAGAAGAACTTTGTTGGCCAACACTTTTTAAACTTAGGTTATTTCACCGCTGTGTCTTCGTTTATAAATATGTAAATGGCATTATAGATTTTAAGTTTGATACAAAGCTAATCAGTGACATCCATTCTTATAATACTCGTGGCAAATCCAATTTTTACTTACCGCGAGTTAGGCGCAATTATGGAAAACAGCGCCTTTTATATCAAGGACTGGGAGAATGGAACAGTCTTGACAAGTCAATACGTGACATGAGGTCACTTTTAATTTTTAAGCAAGCCTCGAAGACCGCAATTTTAACTCATTTTATAATGTAATTTTATTGAACATTTTAAAATTGTATTTTAAACTATTTTTAACCTTTCAAATTTAACATTTTTCTTTTTTTTTTGGCAGGGCCTCACTGAATAACACCTTTGGTGATGTGAGCTCCCTGGATAAATAACATCATTTATTTATTATTATCAAAGAAAACGTGTAGAGAGAAATGTGGAGAATATGCAAGTTAATGTTAGGGTACAGAGGTTTAAAGGTACGATGAAAATATAATGAAATTGTGCTTACCTCCTGTAATCCAAAGGAGAATATTCCCTCAAGGAAGTCTTGTTTTGCTGACCTGGTTACACACATTATTGGGATGTTATTGTCTCCTTTAAGAACCTGAAAAAATGACCAGGAAAGGATTCTTTTACGAATTGACGTAGAGCATCTCTTTTCCTAATATCGAACTATTGATTTACTGACCGATTTAATGACTAGCTGAGTAACTGGTTGACTGATTAACTGGATGATTGACTGACTAGCTGACTGGTTGACTGACTGGTTGACTGACTGGCTGACTGACTGGCTGACTGACTGGCTGACTGACTGGCTGACTGACTGACTGACTGACTGACTGGCTGGCTGGCTGGCTGACTGGCTGACTGGCTGACTGACTGACTGACTGACTGACTGACTGGCTGCCTGACTGACTGGTTGACCGACCAACTGGCTGACTGACTGGCTGGCTGACTGGCTGACTGACTGACTGACTAGCTGACTAACTGACTGCTTGACTGACTGACTGACTGACTAGCTGACTAACTGACTGCTTGACTGACTGACTGACTGACTGACTGGTTGACTGACTGACTAATTGACTAACCGACTGATTGACTGCCTGACGACTGATAGACTGACTGACGGACTGACTGATCAATTACTCATCAGCCTGATTGTTTTACTGGCTATCTGAATACTACACTGATTAACTTCAAAATGGATCGAATGAATGACTTTTGACTGCTGTCTCTGGCGTGACAAGTTGAAAGGTAAACCTCTCTGCCACAACTTACCTGTCCCTCGCCGTGCTCGTAGACTGTTATTTTAATCCTAGCTTCTCCCTGAATGGCATCAATCAGTTGGTCTACTTGGAAACCAACGACTGACTCATCAAGCGGGGTTCTCGGGACGCTATAATATATGGGAAGACAAAAGAAGTAGGAAAAGCGAATAAACTGAAGAAATTGAAATAAAAGCAATGACTACCTAGGAACTCCCAGATAAATCAGAGCGTTTCGCTCTTAAGACCTTAAAAGTAATTCTCCCTACTTTTTATAATACATTTTTTTATAATAATAGTTCAGAGAAATTGGTGCAGATCAAAACAAATTCTTTAGTTGGTTTATATACATTTATCCTCAACATTGGTCTGCTTGACGGCCTATGATTTAATTAGGAGAAATTGCGTTTTGGTCAATGCTGCGGGAGAAAGGGTTTGACTGTCCGGTCTATTTGGTCAGATTCTTCTTTAACTATATGAAAGCGCCTTGAGGTGTCTCAAAGGGTTTACCATTCTGGATAAACTCTTACCTTTCTGCTTTCTGTGAAACAGCTGCCGGGGTGTCGGAACGGGGAGGGGGAGGGGCAGGGGGAGGAACTGACGGGGGTGGGGGTGGGGGTGGCGCTGGGGCAAAATTTTGCGAGCTGTGGTTGACGGACAGCGTAGAAACTTGAGGAATGACGCGAATGTTCTCCTGAGGTGGAAAAAAAGTTATACATTAAATTGTTTATTAAAATAATAAACAACGATCAAAAACACTTTTGAAAAGACAACCCTGCTTAAAAAAAAAGTAAAACCAACACGTCACAACTGGGTAGAGAGAATTCAATAGGATTACATGACGGAGCGTCTTTAAACTGTGTGTTGAAAGTAAACAACAGCCTTTGATTTGTGTTGAAAACTTGCACCAACTTGATTTGTGTAGAAAACTTGCATCAACTCATCTACCGCTGAAATACAAAACCGAAACCGACAACGACTAAGGAACTCTTATTTTCCCGCGCTACACGCAGGTCACATGTTTTAATTTTGATTTCTCATTGGCTGACTGTGTTATTTTTCTTTCCGCTGATTGGCCATCATCAGCACTTTGATCTTGGTTTTGAAATGCGCTTTATATGATGGCTTGGGGCCGAGTTGGCGTTGGCATAAATTTCCTGTGCAGTTTTACATTTTGTTATTTTAATTTTCAGTTGCAGTTTTGGAGAAGGATTCAGTTATACACTATTTATAGCTGATGTGTCTTACCACTGATGGATATTTGTACAAATGATGTTGGACAGGCTGGGGATTCTGTGTGTCTTGCGAGGGTATGTCGCGACTGTTCACAAGCCTGAGATAAAGCTCTGCCTGTCCGACCTTAATGATACAAAAGTCAAATCAAATTTAACGAACTAGTTAATATCACTTAAAGCCATTTATACACAGTTAACCCACTAAACCCTAACATCAGTATGCATATTCTCCATACTGTTCTCTAAACATTTCCCAAGGTGCTGACAGGGAGAGTTTGTTGAACAGTCAAGAGAATTGTTCTCGTAACCTTCATGTGTAATTTAGGGATGATATTGTAAGGAGACATTAGATGCTAGGCACTCTTAAAGGGTCAAAGGTTGAATAAAACTGTCCAATTTATCTCCAACTTGACAGGAAACCACAAAATACTAATTTGGTAAAGGAGAAAATAATCAAAAAGGAAGATTACAACGAAACATAAAACTTATCCGTTAAAGGATATTAACAAACCAGCCCAGAGGCGTCCAGGCAAAAGAGAAAAAGACACCAACCTGGGGTATCATGTTAAGTTCATGGGTGCTAAGAAATGCTTTGATTGGAGAGACTCTGATCGGGATCTTCCACCTGGAACACAAACAATAAATTAGAATTCCATAAAATAAAAGAAAAAACCTACTGAAATAATTATGAGAATTATATATGAATTTTCGTACCTTCCACTGAGCAGTCGGTTGCTCATGTCAAACAAGTCAATTCTAGTCCACCCTTTTGAAAACAGCTCATTTGGGTCATTAGAGTCCTCAGGACTGTTTGCTTGAAGCTCAACAACAAGGCCGAGATTCTGATCCGGCATACATCTAAAGATACAGTAACACAGGTGCTAGTAAACAACAGGCCAAATTCTGGTCATGCGCGCCAAGCGATAAAACGCATCGAAGATTTTACCTTGGAAATGGATGCTTTACACCAATAACTCCTGCTCCACCAGGGGGGATTGTGGGATGGCTCTGTCGGGTGATGACTGTTGTTCTAACAATTGGTAGCAGTTTGACGTCTGTCGATATTTCTGCCCCTTGATACACCCCAGCAGCGAGTCTACATCTGGGAAAGGACGTGCTCAGGCCAAGAACAAAATCCCAGAATACGGCAAACCCAACACTGTAAGAAGAATATTACATCATTAGCCATATTCTTCTCTACTCTCCTGTATGTACAGATTTCAACTTTCTCATTTTGAAAGTGAGGGCTTTGGAACCCGTGAATGAACTTGAAGCCAAATGAAACGATGGAGGACATTGAATTAAAATTATTTGGGCTACCTACTTTGGATCGTAAGGACTCGGCTGCAATTCTTTGTCTGTGCTTGTGTTTGTTAATATAAATGGCGACTCGAACGTCTGTAGTTTAGAATGTAAAGCAATAGATCAGTGTGACAGACACTCGCAGTAAAATCATAACACATGTCTCTTAGTTGATCTTTTAACCCAAGATCTGTTTGTTAATTCTCCCCTCTAGCTGCCACACATTTCCTAGTAAGAATTTGGTGTTAGATCAGGATTAAAAACTTCTACCAGATTACAGGAGTTTAAGTATTCTCATTACCTGTTTCCTGAATAATTTAGGGATATTACAGGGAGAAGTTACTTGTTAATCACTTCTGGGAGGAGCAATAACAATTAAACAAGAGCTTCGGCTCTCAAAATAACTGATAATTAATAGCGTAATAAAATATGCATTCGAATGTCTAATGTAATACCTGCTGTAGAAAGCGTCTCTGCATTATCACTGTATTTTAGGAAATTTCTAATTTACAGCCACACGCGCGAAATTAGTGAGTGACACGCGTGCGATTCTCACGTCCTGCAATATACGCAAGCAATACAGTTGCTGTGAGTCCAAAGAGTTCACTTGAAAGGAACACGTACAAACCTTTCTATTCCCTTCCAGTGGTATTATGCTCTCTCCTCTAAGCTCTTTCAGTTGTTTTCTCATCTTCTCCACCTCTGCCTGTTGTTTCAAAAGCTCTGTTTCTTGTCTTAATGATGCCATTTTCACCAAGTGCTCTTCTTTTAGTCGTTGGAATTCAGGATCCACCTCTGAAGAAAAAAGATCAAAAGCAAGCATCTCAACTGTATCCAATGTATGGAAAATGAGACTCAATGAGAATAAAATGTCTTGCTCAAGAATTAAAGGCATAATGACTCAGCCAGACCTCCAACAAGGATGTCTCTATCCAGAGTCCAAAGCACTTTAGACTAAACAGAGCTTGTGTTACTACAGTAAGATACATAAGTAAAACTAATGTTAAAATAAAAGGTGAAGTACCTGGTGAACGCTTTCTTTCTTTCTGTCCTCTCTCATCCTAAAACAAATTTGGTGAAAAAGAGGAAGAGTACTTTTTTTTCATATGCAGTAGAAGTTACACAAAGAGATTAATTATTCAAAACTTTACGATTAAGCCAGCATCTTAAGTTTAAGTATGTATCAAACCATTTCTTACCCTTAGAAGTTGCAGCTCCTGTTCAAGTCTCTGATTGGCCAAGTGGAAACTCAGAATTTGCTGTTGCAGGAATGGATCTACAGCTTGTTGTGTCAGTCATATGAAGATGGATAGAGTAAATGTGAGTTAAATAGCGGCAAGTTTTGCTTTTATATTCCTTTTACAAACATACGTATGTACATATGTATGTATGCAGAAAGATGCATTACAGTAAATGCAAATCTATTAAGCTGTTCAAGTGCAACTTAGGAAAGCCCCCAGGTAGAGTGCACAAATCAATGGCAACTGCATAAAAGTGAAACCTTGACTTTGGGGATAAAATGTGTCTCCTGAATTGAAATGCCTCTTAATTATAGCCTGGGAGCAGGGCTTTGTAGAAGCATTTTTGCACCGACAGGAAAGTATGAAGCCTTAGGCAATGCTAGCCAGCAAGAAGCTTGCAAAGGGTCTAACACTGATAATGCCAGATCCCCATCAAACCTCTCCACAACCCATCTGAAATCTTCCCTCTGCCAGAGAAACACGAGTCCTATAGTGCTAATAATGATGACCAACATGTACTTGCAGGTTACTTTACTTTAATCAAGGTAAGAGACACCAAGGAACCTCCAATCAGGGGGTACCCTTAGGACTTGTAAAAGTGTTCTCAGAATGGAGGTTTCCCTTCAAATAAAAGGTAATGGAACGATTTTTTAAAGCTGGGATTAAAGTTTGTGTCCCTTATTTATTAAATGGAGACGTGCCTTAAATAACTGACAAGAAAATGTATGAAGTCTACTTAAGCAGTGGTGAAAATAAGGCCTGAAAAAAATTCATCCCTGTGCGAGATTTGAACCCATGACCTCTGTGATACTGGTGTAGTGCTCTATCGACTGAGCTAACAAATGTATAACAAATGTATATCAATCACAAGAGCAAATATTAAGTGAAAAATATTCATTGTCTTTTATACCTTGTGGTCTTTGGGTAGCTTGCATTCTCTGGGCCTCATACTCTAGATCTCTTATCTGTGCAAGTATTTCTGGATCATGGCCTCCCCTTTGAAAGTATTCATTCTTCAGCATACTGTGGACAAGAGCACACAAGTTCTCATCAGCTAATATAAGGAAGATATGTGTAAGTTGGGAAACCACCTCTCTGTTTACTCTTACAGTGCTGTACATGTAGTTTCTGGACATGTATTTGATTTCTCTTGGTTTCACAATACAATAATGTGTAATGTGTAAAAAATGAGGCCATGTTTGCCCATTCTACATGTACATACAGTAAGATAACTCTGATGACTTATGGAGACTGCCTTCTCCAAAGCTGGGCACAGAATGCTCAGGGCTATGATAAAGTTACAAAGTAGTCAGCTGAGTTGATAAAGCTAACTCCCAGTACTACAGTGCTGGACAAGTGATGAAAGCAGATGCTATCCATGGGATCTGGATGGGGGAATACTTTGCCAAAAAATGGCCAAATTTAGGTGTTCTAAAATGATATTTTAAGTGATTAAAATCTGGAAAAGGACTCACTTAATTTCATGCAAGATATTGCCCCGCCCAAGTGGTACTGATCCAGGCTCAAAATATTGTACTGGTGGAGAATGATATGGCACAACCTGGCCTGTAAAAGTAACGAATAAAAATATTTTAATAAACCTGTACACATTAAAATATTATAGACCAAAATCATTTTAAGTAGAATTATAACACACAGAAATCTTGGTTAATTGTAACAAACAGTTAATTTTTTTGTTCATGTGTGGTTACTCTGCAGTATACTGTACCTCTTCCATTGGATGGCTCCCTCAAAGATTTCCTACAAGAAAAAAAACCAAGGAAAAGGTAGCGCTAAGCTCTGAAATATAATTGAAGTACATGTATCTGCATTGTGTCTGTGATAATTATGCTGCAGTCTACCTCTCATAAATTGTATCTGCCTCTCCTGTTGTAAGTAGGGAGGCGTGGTGGCCTCATGGTTAGTGTGCTCAACTCTGGATCGGGTGGTCTGGGTTTGAACCCTGGCTGGGGTCATTGTGTTGTGTTCTTAGGCAAGACACTTTACTCTCACAGTGCTTCTCTTCACCCAGGTGTACAAATGGGTACCAGCAAATATGCTGGGGGTAACCCTATGGTGGACTAGCATCCCATCCAGGGGGGAGTAGCAATACTCCTAGCTGCTTCATACTGAGAAAACTGGAGTTAAGCACTGGCCCCATGGGCCCATATAAAGGCTTTGCTACTACTACTCACCTAGTGTAAGTATCGTTAAATATGCAGAGTAAGCTAATTATTTATCTAAAATTCATATTGCAAGTAGTGTAAGCGTCACATAATTTGTATGTAAGCTAACTTAATCCTTTTGTAAGTAGTCTTTGACATGAGTATTGATATGTATTAGAAACAACAGGGGTAGTATTGTAAGTAACTTTAGCATTGTTAGTATTGTAATTACTGCAAGTGTTTTTAAGTAGTGTTAGTAATGCACTGTTGTATGTAAGTTGAAAATTAATAAAGACAATTTTTGGTAGTATGTGAAATACTCTAAGCAGTAAAACCCCAGGCTAAAATAGTTAAATGTATGAATAATAGATGGTACCTTGGATGTACTGCTTGCAATTCTGAACCCCTTAAGTAATCAGCTGTAGCACTTTGAGGTGGTGATCTGGGTGAAACTTTCATTACATTGGTCTTAGATTGCTGAGCATAGAAATTTCTCCTGGGAAAAGAAAAACAGGAGTTAAGAAAATCATCCAGGCCTGAGGGAAAGTAACACATATTCAAAAATAAAGTCACACAGGAGTTTCAAGACTTTTCTAACTTTTCTTCCTCTTCTTTGAATTCCAAATATCTCTTGAGTCCATCAAGTTCTGTGGCTTGTTGTTTCTAAAAAATTCAAGGAAACAATATTTTAGGCAAATAACTCAGCAGCAGCACATGTTTGTATACACAAGCACTTCAACAAACACACCTGGAAAAATTGAACTTAAGGGAAAAAGACAAAGTTACATCACAGTCACACATGTTTTGCTCAGATTCATCTTTCTCTGTGCCACAGTGATTACAGTATTTTGCATTGGCATATATGTGTATGATAAATGACATTTGTTGGGCAAAAAAGACAAAAGATCAGCAATAAACACAAAACTGTGGTCCTGACAGACAGAGGAACAATGAGTTCAAAGCATCTGGCTCCAGTTGTTTGAAGGTTGGATAACACTTTCCACTGGATAAATTTCCATCTGGTGGATAGTGTGGTATGTTTTGTTAACACTTATCTGCTGGATAGTTATTATCTGCCTTGTGAATGACTAGACTCATGGTTCAATGTGACAGTTTTAAAGCATACCTTTAGAAATTATAGATTAATACTAAAATTAAAAACAAAGTAATAGCAATCAATAAAGTTCATACCAGACTTCCCTGAGATGGAATTTTTTGTCTACTTCTTATTCCAAGAGAATTCAATCTTTCAGCAAGCCCTGGTAAGTGACAGTAAATACACACATGAATAACTTAATCCTTGATTTAAAATGGGTCCAAGTAAGATAGACTTTCTCAAAATCTCTTAACTGGATGTATACATTCAATTAATTCATCATTTATGACAAAAGGTAAGCTCTGATTGCTGATGCTCATGAAGATAAATTGATATGTATTGCTTAACAAAGTTTACGTATTAATAACAGAGATTCAGAGAGAAATAAATTTCTTTACTTACTAGCTTTCTCTTCCTGGAGTTTCTCATTCCTCAGTTTAAGTTCGGCAAGCTGCTGCTGATGAATTTCAGTCAATTTCCCAATCCTGTCATCACCTCTATCATGATCGTAATTGCCTCTTCTTGATGTCTGTAATAAATGTTTGAACCCTAAACTTCCATGAGTGACCAAGACAGAATTTCTCCTTACAATATCAATATGATATCAACCAGATAAGTGATGAGAATAGAGAATATATCAATTTGGGGATAATTTGTTGATCCAATACTAAAATCTCTGAACTAACATTAAAAGAATTGTATAGTTGACAGTAAGGAGAATTACATATTTGATCTGGGAGTTAAAGAGTTAATACAATAAACCTGGATTGTTCATTGCTCTGAACAGTAAGCTTGTTCTGTCATGTTTATTGCAGTGAATTCTGTAAGTTTATACACAGCAATCACTTAAAAGAGAACACATTTCTCATGTTATACATGTAGCCTGAATTTTACAGAAGAAAATCCAATAATATAAAATTATCTTGGTCTTCAAGTAATGTACCTGAAATTGCCTATCTTTGATGCTGTCCAAAGAAACTTTTTCCTCTAAGTTCCTTGAATTTCTCTGCATATGATGAGCCTTAAACCTTTTTAACTGGTCAATCTTAAATACAGAAAAATAATTATGACAGAAATTGACTATAAAAGATTGACAGAGTGAAAAGTATTCATCCAAGATTTTTACTATTATTGTTTAATTGATTGCCGATAGCAATAACTCTTTGAACCCTGAGAGTGACTTTCATGATTAAAATTCTCCCTACAATATCACCCCAAAATCATACATTTAAGTCATAAGAATACAGGAAACGATCACCAACAAAAACAGCCCTTGATTGTTAAAGAAATTCTCCTTGTCAGCACCTTAGGATATGTATAGAGAAGGTATAGAGAATATGTACACTGATGTTAGGGTGTAAAGGGTTAATTTATTGGATAAAGTATTACACCACTCATACAATGCTTCAGTACATTTTGTTTTCCTTCTTAATTTCCTTGCTCAACTAACCTTTTCTTTTTCAAGAGCTGTTATACCATCATATACTCCAGAAGGTGTGTTTGGTGCAGATTGACGACGCGAGGAATGATTTTGGCTAGAAAGAAACATCTGAATAAAGGAATCAAACAAATGCTTAGTTTAGGTTTCTTTACCTCTCATATTAATCAAAAGAAAAAATATTAAAAATATTATCTATTATTATCATCACATTTGGAAAAAAGAAAAAAAATCTGAGTTCCACTCAGAGAAAAAAACCTAAGATCTATGGATTTTGCCAGATCCAAAGATCTAAGATTCAAGTCTTCATCCTTCTTCATCCAACTGCTGCACTCAAAATGTACCATCTTTGTTACTCCTCTCTCTGATAATGATTAAAAAAAATTGTACATTTTGAACTATACTCACCCTACTCCTGTCATTTTCTGGATGTACACTGCTGATATGTCTTGATGGAGTATTGGGAGCAGAGTGAACTGAAGGCTTGATATATGGTAATGGCTGAGATCAGATAAGAAGAAATTAATAATTGTAGACATTTATACCATGTAGTTTAATACAAATATTCAACTTCACATTACAGTGTCTCTCAGAAATAACACATAAAAAAAGGCTGGAAAATTATGATTTTCAAAGTTTTAAAAACAGTTTTAAAAACAATGCATAATAATGCATATCAAAATTGAAAATCAGAGCTAACTTAGGTTATCATCTTGAGGAATGTCAATAGGATAACAGAATCATGATTATGCTCAACATCCCCTCGCCTTAACCTTCCAAATTTTCCACCTGCCAGGAGGGTCTGTGGACTTCACCATTTCCTTGATCTTCACTGTTAGAGACAAGCTATGGCATTACCCAGCCAGGAAATTGAGAACTGATATCTCTTTCTCTTGGGTTCTCTATCCCTGGGGTTCCTTCTCATAGTATCCCTTCCCATAACCTTCCAGGAGTTTTGGCCAGCCAGGAAATTAAGAACTGATATCCCTTTCTCTTGGGTTCTCTATCCCTAGGGGTCCTTCCCATTGTATCCCCTCCCCATTACATTGCAGAAGTTTTAGCCAGCCAGGAAATTAAGAACTGATATCCTTTTCCCTGGGGTTCTCTATCCCTGGGGATCCTCTCCCTCTCCTTCCCCTTCCCTTAACAATCCAGGAGTTTTGATCTGACTAGTAAAAGTAGAAACTTGATGCTGGCATACACCCAGAGAATATCAAATTCAAATTGATACTTGTCAACAATCAGCACATTTACTGCTGTTTGCTTGTGATAATTGATACGTCTACCGTGTGAACATGGAAACATGGGGATAAATAGCCTTTTTGACAGCTAGGTATATATACCCTTACAACAAACCAGCTGACTTACAATTTGGAATTCTTGTCTGTCTCTTCTTTCAGTGTTACTCCCACCTTTACCAGAAATTCTCGAATGAATACGAGCAGGATCCACACTGTTTCCGAAACAAAACTTCTTCTTGTGAGTATCAAACAACTGTTCAGTCTTAAATGTCATATTACACTCCTTGCACTCCCAAACCATCTTCCTCGGTAGAACAGCAAGAAATATTTCAATAATCGCTAATCAGATGTGCATTCTTGAGATTTTTTCCCATAGGTTGCTCTCTTCCTGAGCAAACAACGGTCATCGTGAACCAGTTGTCAAGGTAGATTAAGTCTGCGGGAAATATTACACATTTTGCTTTAGTGCATCACATTGCAAGCTGAGAGTAAGATTCATTTCTGTCTAGGATACAAAAATTTGTATAGACATCTGGTTCATTTTCTCGCTTTTAGAAGCCAAACAAATAACTGTTCTCCAAGTAAAACTTGTTTAGACAGTAAACACAATTTCCACCACAAACTACAGCTTTCGGTCAGCGGTGGTTACTGCTAGAACCCTGTCCTTTTGCGCTCTTTGTAACGCAAGGACAGTGACAGGAATGACAATCACCAGCCAACACATACGCAGTTCATTCTTGCACGTAAACATGAAGGTAGCTTACAATTATTTTTCTCTGTGTGCTTTTGTTACGAGCCTGATTTCTCATGAAGCATGGGTGAATGGCAATCTATATGATCCACACTTGTTTCCAGCCGAAGGTCCGTTCATGGAAGGATGGTATTCGCGAATCATGGATGTCAGCTCGAATCATTCGTTCGGAGTTTTGTTCGGTCAAGTTCTCATGCAAAAGAAAGGCCCTGAGTTTGGTCATTATCCGCAAAACATGGTCTCGATTATACACAGCAAAGGGGATGGACGAACCATGGAAAGCTTCGCAGTTTATCCTTCAAACGAAGACATCGAGGTCACAGTTAATGGCAAGCCTGTGTCCAACAATCCAGATTTCAAATCTCCTGCGAACTTCGAATGGAAGGCAAAACCCTATGGCTACTTCAGAGTGAATGAAAACGAAACGAGAATTAATTTTACGAACGTGGATGGTGTAAGTTTTATTGGTGTTTTAGGACCCCCCAAACCATGGGGCCCTAACGGGGAGGGCCCAGAGGGCTGGATTGATCACCTACCCTTCCTTCCTCTTCATTGGTTTGTTTACAGTTTGGGCTCTGAGCTCATTAACTATAACTGGGTCAATGAAAAGTCTGGAGAGTTGTTACGAGGAAATCAGGGCCTTGCACATCAAGAAAAAAACTGGGGCAAAAGCTTCCCACCAGCTTGGATTTGGGCAGAAGGAGTTGACGACCCTTCATGTTCCTCCTTTGCAATATCACTTGGAGTCCTTAGCATAGAAACATTTGATGTACCAGCCCATCTGATTGGCTATCGTAGTGCAGCAGCAACGCTTAATTTTAAGCCAACAAATTCTTTGGTGACAACAAAGCACATTGATGGATGCAGTGGAAAAATGAATGCCACTATAACAAGCCTTGGAAACAAACTTGAATTTGAAATAGAGACAGCACCATCAACTTTGGAAACATGTCTTCTTGGACCCACTTTGGATGGCTTTGCTCCAGTGTGTGTGGAGAGCTACACTGCAATTGCTACTTTCCATGTGTACAAGATGACCGTGTCTGGATATGAACTCATTGAATCTAAAACATTTAACAATGCTGCGCTAGAGTTTGGTGGCTTTTATTTGTGCCAAGAAAAGAGCCCTTGCCAGCTTGAGTCAAATGGGATGGCATGAGTTCCAATATAAATCTTGTGAGATGTGAGGTGAAAACTAAATTCTCTTTCGTAGGAAATATACATGTTTTGCTAAAAAATTATACCATTTGATACAGAAACAGGGAAAAATAAAAGTTATTGTAGTGAGGGGAAAATGGGAATTTTGTATCAATTGCATATAATTTACAATATACCTCTATTAAAATATTATTTGAAAGGGAATGTTTGGAACTGATCAGGACCTGAACTCAAATTTCAGTGATAGGAACAAATGTTTGACAAATTTCTTACTCTTAAAAGCAAAATGAAATATGTTATAATTATTTTACTTTACTATGTCAGTATCACATTACCATTTACAAATTATGAGAAAAAGGTGCTATTTTATGTTTATATGGGTAACCAGGAAAAAAAATAAAATCCAGTTTATTACACTGTGGAAAGAGAGGAATTCTATATCAATTTTATATTATTTATATTACTTTAAAATATTATTTTGAAGGGAAGGTTGACCTGACCTACTCAGATTTTTCTTTTTATGATTGGGACTAACTTTGTAACAAATTACCTATTCTCCTTAAAAAAAAAATTTATATTATATTTTATTATATAGTTTTGTTATCACCTCATTATGTATTTCTATTGTGTGCAAAATTATGAGTTTATCTTTATTAACCCTTAACTCCCATGGGTGACCAAGAGAGAAATTCTCTTTACAGTGTCAGTGCAATATTAAGCAGACAAGTGATGAGAATGAAGAAAAATAGCAATTAGGGGATTTTTAGTCAATCCAATGCTAAATTCTTCTAACAACATAAGAATTATATGGCAGATAGTAAGGAGAATTACTGATGAGATCTTGTGAGTTAAAGGGTTAATTGATAAAGAGATGCCTCTCTATATATATGTAATGCATTTTTTTCATTGAGAAAAGTAACAGACCAAATGATACAACAGAGATAAGAAATGCTGAAAAAAGAAATATGAAGAGTCAGTGACAATATGGCAATTAAATAGATGATTAAATAAATATGTAAGAAAGTCATTGTTAAACTAGAAATTATAATAAGGTGAAATGAATAAAAATAATTTTATTATTAAGCCATGATTGCTTTTTACTAGAAAGTTAGTCAAAAATTAAACCCTTTAACTCTCCAGATCTTATTGTTAATTCTCCCCTCTAGCTTCTATGTATTCCCTTGTAAATGAGTTATGAGAATTTGGTGTTAGATCAAGATAACTACCTGATAAGTTTGAGTATTCTCATTACCTGTTGGCTGGATGAGGTCAGGATATTATAGGGAGAAATTACATGTGAATCACTTCTGGGAGTTAAAGGGTAAAAACAAAAGTAAAATTCTCAGTGTAGCACCCAAAATCCCGGATAAATATACGAAGACAGATTCTGTGGATTAATGCTTCCCCTCGTTCCCGTGTGGGCTAACGGTGAAGTTGCACTTCTCTCTTCCTTCGTTCATTGAAGTTACAACTTCACGGGTTCCTGCGATTATGTGCATTGAAAATTCCCATGCACGACTGAACTTTATGACGAGTAACTGAATTGTCCACTTTATTACATTGTAAAGCAAATCCAACTAATTTGAAAATCTTGAAGTGTACCAAATATGACAAAAATGTTTAGAAACGCCAAGGGCTGTACCAGCAATAAATAAAACGCACATAACTTCCTCTTTTTCCACATGAAATTATGTGCTGTCAATTTAGAATGTAAAAAGTGCCCCACATTGTTGAACTGTGGGAAGAAAAAATATTCAGGCACAAAGATCAAATCTTCAGTCCAGTTGTAATTAAACGAGTTCCATGGTTGCTTATAATTCTTATGAGGGCGACGCCGGTTTCCACGACTTTTTGGAGTAGTAGGTTGCCATCTGAGGCAGCGGACCGACTCAGTTTTAGACAAGCCAAACATTTTTGGCTCCGTCTAATAAAGCTTTAGGGAAGCAAAGGAGAAGCTATGAAGAAGATGCTGCAGATACATAATCACGTACGAAGGTAGACTCTGTTTCTGTTGAATTGCTGTCAATCTTTGACTCCATAAGATCAAGATCAGTTCAAAATGGTCCATTTCCACTGTTTAAGTTGGATTTGGGACAGAGTTCTTGAAAAGGTAAAATAACAATGAAAAGCGATTGAAGAACGGCTAGAGCAAAAGTCAAACCTGATATAAATGCTCCATCAATGCAGATGTCCTCAGAGAAAAAACATTAGGGTCAACACAGAAAAAAACAGCATCATCATTCCTTCGAGCAAAGCTGTTGATGAAGACTTGTCTTTCTCCTTTAACTTCTTGGGCATGGTAGTTTCTTTGACCTTGAAAAAGTAATGGGTAATTCGGACTTCTTCTATTAACGTGGCGGAAACGTTATTTTGGTGGAGAGGCTAAGAGAATTATTTTTGAATCGCGTAACTCTGACGAAAGTTTTTAGAAGTTAGAAAAGAGGTAAATTTAGTTACCAAAACTTGTGCAAATGTTTATCCTAAACTGGACAGGTGTGACATGAATTATCAATCCATGTTTTCATTTTTGTTTACGTTAAATCACCTTATAAACTTCAAGAAGATCTTAAATTCTCCATGGTTGAAGATCAATTCACGTTACAAATCATCACCAAAAAGTAAAGAAAAGCTCTATCTTTTAAGTGTCCGATTTGCTGCTTCCAATTTGTCTAGAAGGAATTTTTCAGCGTAAGTTACGTATAAGGATATTAAGTTAAAGTTTTAAGGCACCGTTTCTAAAAACAAGCAGGTTATTGTAAGCAAACTGGCTGTTTACTTTTCTGGTGGAATGAGAAAGAATAGGCGTACCGTAAATTTGGAAGGGAAGAGAGGAAACCCAAAAAAATTCATTTAGCTCGAATTTCCCTGGCTTGTTCTAGATTAATTTTATGAACAAAGCCGTTTTTAGCCGATTAGCTCTCAAGATCGGGCTCGCGATTCTCCCCTCTAGCTTCCATTAATTTATTCTTAAGTTAATGGGGAGAATTTGATAATATATCAATTTATTATGTCGCTCAGTTGGTACGTGCGCTATGATTGGTCAATATTTAGCGGGCCGTATTCCACTGTACCGCCCGTCAGATTCAAAACTTTGTTTGAATGGAAATCTTCCCCGTCTATTTGAACACACACACACACACACATATATATATAAGAAATCTTGCTAAACTCTTTTCCTCGGTCGGTAATTTAAGTTACAGAACCTTGCTTTTTTCCGCTCAGATTTATGGCTCGCACGTTTCATGCCTTAGCCATAAATCTGCGCAGAAAACACAGGGTTCCGTAACTTACAGTGCGGAGCTCGAACTTGGTTTGTAAGAGGTATGTAACACGCTCCCTTCTGGCTAATAAACTCACTCACTAGTGTCACAGCACTGACGAGGGCCTGGGTGCAGGCTTATGGAGGGTTGCCAGGTTTATGTCTATCCACTAAAGTATTAAAATCATACTACATTTAATGGTTTACTTACACAAGATTTCTCCCTATTTACAAGAGATCTTAAATCTTAAGAAAATAAAGAAAAAAAAACTGCTCCTTAAGTGAACCATTTCGAACATGTTATGCAATCCCGCGTGTGAACAATGCTCCACCAATGTTTATTTGGGTAAATTATTTCCATTGAAGCCAGCATATTCTGTATCTCTTTCAGTTGCCAGGGGAAGCCACTTCTCCGAAATCCACACTTGCCAAGTTAATAAACTGAGTCGTTTCGATCCAGGAAAGCCATCGTCTTGGCCAAAGAGAGTCCTTTGGCATAGCGCATTTCTAACGTTCCCAAAATAAGTTACTGACATACGGCAATAGAAAAAAGTGACGTAGTCCAGCACGGAAAAATTGTCCTCATAACGTTCTTGTGGAACCAGCCAGTGAACCCGCGTTGTTAATAAATCAGCCAAAACTTCGATCGTCACAGAATAAGAAGAAACGCAATAGTTGTAAATACGAGAATCATGATAGCTTCAAGCACCGCAGATGAGGGAGAATCGCCCCTCTTTTCCTTCAGTTTCTTGATCATTTTAATGTTTTGAAAATGCAAGCTGCTTGGTTAGTACACGGCTCTATTACCTCTTATAAAACAACACCTTGAAACTCATAAATTTTTTAATTGATTTTTGACGCCAGGAGGTAGATCCAATTAAAAATTCATCTCTCTTGGATACAGTGCAAAAGTTTGTTTTGAGAATCATTTCTGTTACTTGAAAAAAGGGACTCGAGAAAAATGTTTTTTTTACTGGCCTGTTTCAGGATTTCAGTTAGTAGAACGAGGCGCGTTAGAAAGCGGCGCAAATTAAGTGGCAGAGAAGTTAAAAGGACGAGCAAGGCTTGGGTCGGGTTGCGTTACGAACGCGTTATGAACGCGAACCAAACATCATTCGTTTTCTACCCCTCCCCTACTACCGCGCCGTTTATTTTTTCGTTTTACTGAACACCTAAACAGACTCTATATCTACCTTTTGAAACTACTTCGTATCTTTTTCGTTAAAATTCATTTACATATTTGGAAACAAAATATCAAAACGTATTTAATTATCTGCCACTAATGAATAGAATAACCTGCAGTTGCCCATTTGAAAAGTTTCCAGTTACCACAACACTGCAATTCCAGAGATCTGACTTGTCATTCTCCCTTCTTGCCCCTAGACATTTTTGGCGTAAAAAGAAGGGAAAGTTTTACGTTTTATGACGATAACACCCCACACTTAAAGGTTTGTGTTCTTGTGTTGAGCTATTTGCTGGGTGATCTGTTGAAATTATAAGACGCTATATGTTAATCGCTTCTTAATGACCGCCTTGATTAGTCCTCTTCACTAGATTCTTGTGAAAAAATTAAGGAGCAAAAACAACGTCTGTGCCAGATTGGAATCTGTTTCGCCCTTTCATTCGCTAGAGTTCAAATCCATCCCGAATCGTCGTGAAGAGGAGAACGTTTATCTGACTTTGGGAAAACTTTCACAACTACACCGTACACAATTTGACACAACTTTGATCATAGGGGTCGGTGAATTTTGCTTCTTCTTGTGATTTCTACTCCTTCCGGCCAAAACCATGAGATGTTGGATGGACAGTTTAAAGTGAAATATACTTCATTTGCACTTCAGCGATATTCAACATTGTAAAGGAGAGTGAATAGGAAATTAAAACCTTGGAGGTTTTAGAAGAAATTTTTTTCACGAATTTTCCCACAAAATTTGATCCAACTTGCAAGTTCCAAGGAAGAGAAAATGCCTCCCATGGTAAAACACAAACATAAAAGAAAAAAAAGAACAAAAGAAGGAATTCATTGCTTCAATTTACTACAATAACAATCACATACAAGCCTCGGACTAAATGAAATAGCCATACCAACACTAAACTAATATCTATTTAAAGTATAGAAATTTATATGTTTTTCCAACTATACAAAAATAACTACCCATTTTACCCTTGGGGTAAAGGTTATTAGAAAATTTTTTATACTACAGCATTTTATCGGTTCATAATCCCCCGGATATGTCAATATTGGAACATCTTGCGTTGCAGTTACAAAAATCTGCCAATATATAGAAACTTTGGTATTTATCAAATACTTAACTATCATGATGCTGACGAATAACCTCATTCTGTATGTATAAATTGCGTTACGAATTCTACAATAAAATGAGTCATAGCCATTTCCAAACGAAACGTCTTATGACAGGAAGAAACATTTTAAGATTAAAAAAAGAAAGGATAGACACGTTTCAAACGGTCGAAGACAAGATAAGCGACCTTTAACCCCTTCACCTTTACATCAGTATCAAAATTCCCTATACTCTTTTCCATACGTTTCCTTTGTTACTAACAAGGAGAATTTGTTTAGTAATCAAAGCCTCTTACGCTGACGATCATTTTCGAGTCCCTTTACTCTCAGGATCATAATTAATGATCAGCGGTATTATCGTGAGGAGAAATTAGATTCTGGTCACTCATAGGATTTCAAGAGTTAAACTGCCATAGGTAAGATGCATGCGTATTAAACTTTCAGCGATAAGTGAAAGTATTAGTATTCTAAGACGTCTGTAAAGAGAAACAGTTGGTCACATCCTGCGAAGATTCATCAGAAAAGTAATTTCGCAGTTACAAAAATTAGTAGTTAACAAAAATTAAATACAACTTAAATACGTGTTATAAATACTCCACTAAATTAAACAGGACTCAAAGGGTTAGCATGTCATTTTGAAAAAAAAATTGCATAAAAATTAACCGCTTTAAAAAGGTCAACATACCAAGCTATACTAAATATTTATTTTGATTAGATACAAATTTGAACAGATACAAAATGTATCAAGCAGGATTTACTGAGTAAACAACGAAGAAATTCCCCTTAACGAACTTAAACACAGTTGAAATAATGTAAGGTTATGGTCTCACCACAAAAATGCAGCCACAAGTTACCTGTGTGACGGCCTCTTTAAATTTTAAGAACATCAGGCAACTATCATTAGGATAATGACGCCTGGTTACTAAGTAGAGTTGACGTTACGTCGCTTAATGACGTCAAATTTTACGAAGTCAAAAAATGATGGGTCACCTATGAAGTGGGACTGTCTAAACGCCGTTGTTTCATCTTGAACACAAGTGGCGAAACCACACCCGAACCAGTGCGAGCGTTAGATTGGGCAGACTGAGCTGATATCACACCACACAGATGACAGTAAAGTGAGATTACACTATATAAGGAAAGGACTTTTGAATCTGGTTACTTCTTCCCACCCATTTTCTCGAACATTGATTTCATCGCAGAAGTCCGCTGTTGACGCTTTTCCTAGAGAGCAAAAAAGACGCGAGTTACGATAACGTTACCAAAAATTTTGAATCAGAACAGGTCACTTATATGGCTTTTAAACAGCATTCCACGGAACTGAACCCAGAAAACAGCTTTTTCCATTTCAGAGGACACTTCACCCTTAGCCATTTATGTATTCACACTGAGATAAATACACCTCAATGACCCAGGCCTGGTGAACTGGGCTTAAGCGCGTCACTTTAATTACTTTGAACAGTATACCAGAGAATAACAACTGACATGCAAACGAACAATTCAGCAGCACCTATTAATGTTTGCTTCCAGAGAATGGAGAGAAAATCAGTACAAAAATACAATAAAGCAACCCTTGCCGCGAGGGATTGAACCCGAACTGCTCGGTCTTGAGTCCAATGCGCAAACCATCGTTACATTTTAAGTCTTAATTTCCTCAAAACAGCTCAACTTGGTTGAAGAAATACCGACCTTTTCCTCTTTTGCTTTCCTCTTTTTCTCCATTTCTTCCTCCATTTTCCGCTGAAGATCACGAAGAGAAAAGCGAAAAATTGATATACTTTACACCACCAAACAAAGCCGATTTTCTATTTAAATTTTCATCTCTGCCTTCCGTGTAACTCTTTCATCTACAGCCAATAGGATATTTTATTATCTTTTAATTATTTATTTTCCTCTGTTTTTTCTTTTTCCAAACAAAAGGCATCCCACGAAAAGTCTGGCGGAATATCCACTCAAATCAGAAAATTGAAAACTGGTGTCAGTTTGGAGGAGTAAGTGCTTCGTGTCAAGACCCATCTCACAAGGAGAAAGCTACTAAGAGGCTGATAGAACATTTTTTGTCTACTCATAATAACTGAGTTACTGCAGAACCATCAGATGATTACACAAAAAGACAACAGAAAATATTGAACTGAGTGAAATTTCCTTAACCGACCTGCTGCTCGGATTTATTGGCTTCCTCTTTCTGTTTTATTTCTAACTTGACTCTTTCTCTTTCTTTCTGTAATTCATCCTCTCTTCGTCTTTCTTCTTCTCTTTCCATCTGCCACAAAAAGGTTTCATCATTCAACAATATCATTTGTTAAAACTGAGAACTTGCTCTGTGCTGGTGCATCCAGCTTGATCAATAGCAGAGAACAGCAAGTGTTAACAACAGAACCTGCATCTCATTGCACAGTGAAAAGATTAAAGGGGCAACTCTCACTTGATTTTTGGAAGCAAACGCTAGTGCTCAGGGAATGAAGAACCAAGTCTTTCTCGGAAGCTTCTTATTCTTCTGAATGTTTTATTTTTCGCCCTGTGCAATCTTATGAATAATATGAAGATTGGAAAATACACGTTTCTAGGAAAAGAGCACATGCATGTCCAAATCTCTGTTGTTGTTTTTTTTTTTACACAAGAGCTGACAATTCCTTACCTCGATCCTGCTTTTCCTTACTTCCTTTTTGTTGCTGAGACGCAAAAGAGAAAAGCAGAACGTTATAAAGAATGGAAGGAAGGAGAGATGGAGTGAGTTAAAAATGAGTGGTGGATTGCTGTAACAAATCCCGGCCAAAGCGACAAGGAGTTTAATTACGCATAACTGTATTTTGCAGCAGCGCGTTTTGAGAGCGCGGAACAGAATGGCCCGAGGCCAAACCAGTTTCAGTGGAACAAAAGCAGCCTGGCTTAAATTGGAGCCTCGCCATAAAAAAAGCGCAAGAAAAGAACACTTCGCGGTACTTACACTGCTTCGTTTCCTTCTTGCGACTGTAACATATTCTCCCAATGCGTTGCCATGGAGTGAGTCAGGGAGTCTCGGTTTGTTGGTTTTTTAACCTGTTAGAAGACGATAAAAAAACAGAGTTTAAGAACGAATAACACTGACATCGGATGGCCCTTACCAGTGCTTTCGAAAAAAAGCCAGTTACCGCTGGTAACCCATCACTGCCGTCTGTATAGCCTCCGAGCAAGCTCTCGTGTGGCAATTTCGCCTTAACCCTATAAACCCTAAGAGTGACTAGCATCTCATTTCTTCCCACAATATCGCCCCTGAATCACACATTAAGGCCATGAGAATAAAGGAAATGATCACCAACGAGAGAAGCATTTGATGGGTAAACAAATTCTCCTTGACAGCAGCTTAGGAAATGTATAAAGAACAGTATGGAGAATATGCATACTGATGTTAGGGTGTGAAGGGTTAAGGTACAGCCGCCTATTACGCCATCGGCAGCCGCTTATGGACAATGTTAAAGAAACCCCAGCTTTATCTCTTATCTATAATCACACAGGACGTGTTTCGAGTTTCTCACCTGTATTTTGTTTGGGAGTGGATTTCTCTTGATATCCTTTAAGCTCAAATCTTTCTTATCACTGGCTACTTCGACAACTTTCTTTTTCCCTTCTTCGAGTCGATGCCTTTTCTCTGCTTCTGATGTCTCTTTCTTTACAATTTCTTCACGCATGCGCTGTTCCTCCAGCTCTCTCTGTATCCTCGAATCAGAAAATGTAGGGATACCATCCGCGCTGTCGGTATCATCTTTAACAAAAGAAACCCTTCGTAGGACAACAGGGACCGCTTTTTTATCCTCGTTTTGTCCCTTTTTCATTGACAAATCTCCAACACTTTTCGCTTTAGTAAGTTTGCCTTCATTCGAAGGAGCTTTCCATCCAACTCGCCGCAACAGTTCTTCCTCTCTTTCTATCTGCGCCCGCGTTCCCTTATCGAATACGTCATCAGCGTATTTCTTACCAACAGATCCCGGATGCTTACTTTTCACGGAAGCGTCCGTAGACGAGGTGATTGGCTGACGAAACTGGTCAAGATTGAGCGAATATCGCTTCTTTCGCAACTCCTCATTGGAATCCTTCCTGGCAGCTGCGTTTTCAAAGTTCGCTTTTCTTAGTTTTACTCCAACACTGGCAGAGTCGTCGTTACCTTCTGCTGGAGGAGAGGGTTCATCCAGATCCAATCCTTCTGTAAGGTGTTCACAGTTCGAAGCGCGTCTTCTGGGAACGGTGGCTTCTTGTTTACTTTCTTCCAATGCTTTTAAAACGCGCTGTTCTAAGATCAATTTATGCGCAGCAAACGCCGTCCTTCTGGTTTCTGATTGATTTTCCTGCAATTTTTGTCTTTCCATTTTGTCTTTCTGGCGTTCTTCGGCTTTTCTACGTTCTTCTTCACGCTGCTTTTTCTTCTCTTCTTCTTTTTCTAGCTTCACACGCATCATCTCCTCAGCTTCTTTGCGGTCGACCTCTTTCCTTATCCTTTCAAGATCAGCTTTTTGTGCTTCTCGCCTTTTCTTTTCTTGCTCCTGCATCTGCCGAAAAAGTTCCTTCTCTTCCTCGCGTTTCCGTCGTTTTTCCTCTTCTTCCACGTTTCGTTGCGTTTCTCCCATCTCTGTCCCATTTTCGGCTGCTTGTTTAGCATCAACCTGGTCGACTGGAGGCGACTCAATAATTTGTGTGTTCGTTTGCTGAACAACTGCCTCTATCTCCGTCTGTTTCTTCGTTGAGGTCGTTTTTCCATCGACTCCGTTAGACTCGGGGTGATACTCTTTCGTTTTCGCGACTTCCTCGCGCAACACTTCAACATCCTTACTGCCACCTTCCATCTGCTTCTTTAAATGAATTTTACGGGCAATTTCTGCTTCTCTCCGAAGTTCTTCTTCTCTCTCCTTCTGCCGCTCTATGTCTAACTCAACAAAACTCTTACGATTTTCAGCCTTTCGCGTCGTCGTCACCTTTCCGTTTTCCTTAGCCCTGCGAACAACCGGCTGTGGTTGGGGTTGAGACTGCGCTTGTGGCTGGCGCTGTGTTTGCAACAATTCCTGAGAAGGTCTATTCTCAAGTGGTCGTTTCTTAACCTCATTATGAACAATGTCATCGCCTGCACTCAAATCAATGACACTACCGCGTTTGGACGAGATCCTTAGCCCTTGTGTATCACTGCCATCGATTACATCCTTTCTTTCATCGAATATTGGTTTTTGCACGAGATCCTTGTTGTGAAAAGCCAAAGGATGCTCTTCCTTTTTGGCATGCTTCGATTTCTGCTTTTCTACCTCAAGCCTTTCTTTTTCCTTAATTTTTTCGTTTTCTATCCGCATCAACTCCTCGCGTACTCTTTGCTGTTCCAGCTCTTCCTCGATCATTCTCCCTGCTTCTGTTCTTGACAGGGGAGCTTTCTTCGGTTCCTGTTTTTCTTGCGCCAATGCAGTTTGCTTTTCAAGTCTCTGTCTCTCTTCCTCAAACTTTGCCTTTCTTTGCTCTGCCATCTTTTTGTTCTCCTCCTTCTGTTTATCGAGCTCTTCACGAGCTTTCCTACGCATTTCATTATCTATCTCTCTCTGTTTAGCTCTTTCTTCATCTTTTCTCTTTTTCTCTTCCATAACGTAGGGAATAAGTTCATCTTGCGTCAAACTACGCGGCGAAGTTCCTTCTCCGTTACTCATTTGAATATCTTTCTCGTTTCTGAAAAGAAAAAAACATCCATGAAACATCAGTATTTATAACTTGAGCAGTTGTCCCCGCCTACCCCCGCCCCGCCCACCTTACATGGTCTCGTAAAATCTTAAAACAGCTACTTTGCGATTTAGTTTCTTTCACCCTTTCACTTTCAGCAATGACTAATACGTAATTTCTCGAGCGTCCTTAGCTCCATTGCACGTTTCACTAAAAATAGAGTGACTACCAAGGATTGTACCTGATTAGGTTTCCATCGTCCTCTTCCAGCCTTAAAAGCAAACCATCCATTCTAGATGCGGCCGACGACTCAGCTGAAGGTGCTGTGACAACATCAATCATTTCCTCTAAAGGGGCTTGAAAAGAACCTTGTGTTGCTGGTTTGCTTTTTAACGCTCCAGCATCGTACTTTAATGCCTCTTTTTCATTGTCCGTTGTACAAATGCCATTTTGTGTTGCCATCCTTAACGCCCCTGTCTTTTCATCGTCTGTTCTGTTTTCATTCATTGTGTTTTTCTCACTACTGCTGTCTGCAATGGTGCTCGAGTGTAATTCTTGTTGTTGTGTTAATTCTGAGGCGTTGCCACCGTTTACAGTGGGCTGTAGATTGCTTGGTGACGAGTCGCTGATTATCAAGTTCTCCTGTTTGTCCTTTGAAGAGAAGTAATAATGTGAGGCTAAAGAATTTTTAAACAGTTGGAATATGAACTCGAAATTTTTATTGCTTAACAACAAGATAAGCGCATAAGCAACCCACTTTACTCAGAGTCTATCATGGAATAAATAGCAAATAGCATAGCTTATCCGATTTGCGATAGGACGCCATTAGATTTACACTGACTTGATGCGGTCTTAAATTTGGTTTCTTAACCCTTTAACTCCCAATATCTGATTGTTAATTCTCACCTCTAGCTGCTACACATTTCCTTGTAAATTGGTTACGAGAATTTGGTGTTCAATCAAGATAATATCTTGTACCTGATAAGTTTGAGTATTCCCACTACCTGTTTGCTGGATAATGTATGGATATTATAGGGAGAATTTACATGTTAATCACTTCTGGGAGTTAAAGGGTTAAACGCGCTGTAGTTTTGAGAGAACTGTAGCCAATTTAGTCCTCAAGAAAAAGCATGCAACTTCTATGGATCATTCTTATTTGCTATCTAAGAACTTAGTAAAGATGTTTCTGATTGGCCGCGAAGACACCTTGTGTCGATGACTCTGGCTGACTGCGAACGTAAGGAGGTACTCATGAACTTCGTTTCCGGGAGCCTGAAGAGTTCGCTTTTTATCGCATCTTTCCCCACAAATCAAGAAGTCAACCCTTGATAACTGACTTCTTTTAGTTCTATTACTATGAAACCACCGAGTTGTGGTAATAAATATCGCAAAAACTTACACCGATCGCTCTCGCTCTTGACTTCTATCAAATTTGATACCTGACTGACTCTCGAGAACGAAATCTGTCAATGCAGATTAACTCTCTTTTCACAAATAGATTCTCAGCAATTGCTATGCCAATATCAGCTTTGTTGACATTTATCAAAATAGCCGCATCCAGCAATCGTGGTGTGTGTTCATTGTTCTCACGCAAGAAAAAGAGTATACCAATCAGTTTTATTTTTTCAGTTTCATACGGAAAGAAAAAGTTAAGCGGGTTCAAAGTGGCTTAAAACGACTCATGACAAAATCCTTATCGAATACATATAAATCGACCGTGTGCGAAGGATATTAGATAAAATGTAAAAATACAGAAGAGCACTTAATTGTACATGTCTTGTTTTTACGTAGAACGCAATAATAGTATTGAGGAACTCGATATAAACATCCTTTATTATATTTAGCGCTTAACCCTTCGTGAATCGTTCTGACTGAGGGCTAACGCTCGAAACGACAGATTTAGAAACTCTAAACGGTGTTCTCATTATATCATCAAGTCAGTTGATAAAACCAAACTTCCCTTTAAGAACCCCCAGCGACGCAGCACCACAGTTTCTCTAGAAACTTACCCCCTTAATTCATTTATCATAATTAGCCTTTCTGGAACTCTGAACCGCAATGGGATGATTGTGAAATTCGTATCAAACTTGCAATGCAATATATGAGACGCAAGCTAACGCGTGTACGGACGTCAACGATGGCATGGTTTACATCAACCCGCAAGCAGCGATATTGCCTATTTGTTAAACCTCCTACAAGCTGAAAGTCTTTCCAAATATCCTTTACATTGCCGAATTCTGTGGGAACTCTGATAAATTGCAGCAAAAAGTGACATGGCGAAAGAGTGAAATTCTTCGCGCGTCAAAACAAAACAGAAATAAACTGGCTACTTGCATTGGTTTCAACTATTTTACTCTACCCACAGTAAAGTTTACTTACCTTGTCAACATGTGAAAGACCTTTCTTTTCCACTGTTTTATCACCTTCCTCTGCCCTCTCTTCGTTTCTCGCCTCAAGGTCGGTTTTATTCTTGCTATCTTCGTTTTCGTTGTTATTGGAGTAAACAGAGTGCAATCTCTCCGCATCTACGTTACTTTCGAAACCGTTGATGGCTGGAGACGTCGATTCAAGAGATGCTTTGGAGGAATCAGGGCTCCAAGGCTGGTGGTTTTCGCTCAACTCGATCACAGTTCTCCCAGACTGATCCTGATGGATATTCGTGGGTGACGTAGGTATTGAGGGTTCTTCTGATATTGTGGCACCAAAATCTGTTGACATAACAAAAAAAACAAAAAGTTGCTCACAGACTATTTAAGGGGGGAAAATTGTAATGCAACATTGTCACGCAGATACAGGCTACGGAGAAAAATCATGCCTCTCTCATGAGTAATTCTCCTTACTGTCTGCTGCACAATTCTTATGATGTTACTTCAGAGAATTTGATATTGGATCAACTACACTGATCTAATCCGCTAATTTCTATTTCGCTTTGTTCTCATCACTTTTCTCATCACGAATATATCGCTATCCAGCAGATAAGAGTTAACAAAACGTACTGCACTATCCTCCGAACAGAGATTTAGCGAGTGGATAGCATTTTCCCCCTTTGAAAAACCGAAAACATATGTTAAAACTTCGGATTCGGCTTCCCTAGCAAGTTTAACCTGCAGAACAGGCGGATTAGCGGGGCCGAAGCGATACACCGATTCACTAGCGCGCGCGAGGCAAATACAAAGTTGGAAGGGCCCTTGACATTGTTCCTCATGCGAACGTGAGCGTGTCAAAAAACCACAACAAGCCCCTCCGTTTTTAAAAAAACCACAAAAGGATTATTCTTACTTATTTTAACGATAAGTAATACGACAAAGACGAACACATTCTATTTAATTAAATTCGTGCCCAAACGCCAAGCTTAGATGAACCACGACGAAAAGAAAAGTATTCAAGAGAACAAATCAATAACAACAAAACCGAACTCGATCCAGATTAATTTGCATAAATTCTCTGCCATCGTTACAAATTACCTCGAGTCAAATCGAGCGCCTTTTATACATTGCAACATTCGCTTGTAAAATACCCCGTCAAAATATTCATATTAACGCATTTGGTTTCCATTGCTCATCATAACTTAAATATATAAACACCTGAAAGTAGTTGACAGATTTCTACCGGACAATAAATTGGTAAGATCGATTCGCTATTCGCAGTGTATACAAGCAATTTTTCCAATTGAATGGATTTTACACTGACTCAAAGTTTCAAATTTATTCTTGCACCTGAATTGACACAATCAAATAAACTATTCTGGAGTAAAGTGATAATCCTAATATTTTGAAACTCCCTTTGAGAGAACACAGGTCAACAAAATGAATATTTGAAGAAAATTTAAAGTGATTTTAGCAACCGAACTAACTTTAAATAATAATGGGAAATAACGAGAAACAGATATACTACCGAGAAAAAATTCGGAACATTAAAAAACTTCCATTTTCCTGAAAATTATCGGAAATTCGGAAATTTCCAGAAGTTTACAAACAAAGATAGGTGGATTACAACGGCGTGAAGTGTACTCTATTTAATGGTGACTGAACATGTCACAAAAGTAGGTTAATGGATTATTCTAGCAATTTGGGGGAAATTTTGGAAATACATTTACTAGAAAGCGAGTGTCATATTTCGGTTTTCAATGATTTCGTTTCGATTTGAAATTGTGTAAAAAATGATGAAAAATGGAAAACGACATTTCTGTTTTGCAAAGACGAGGTTCTAATTACTCAAAGTACATATATAAAACCGCAAATATGCGTTACAAAATACAGACGTGCTTGTTCTTAGGGTAAACCTTTGCTTTTCGCTTTCACGAACGCGCAGTGCTAAAATTAATATTTTTAAGACTTTCGAAGTTACAATCAGGAAGAGTACTTCTATGGCTGTGGAAAGTTATGCTTTTAAATACAGCTAATTAACGAATAGAACTTCGTCAAAATGGCTACCCGTATGTGTTTACTAAATCGATCGACTCTTTCAAGATTTTAAAATCGCATAACCAAATGATTTTTTTAACATTTCGACGACTACAGAGATTTTTAAATTGGGAAACTTATAATTAGAGGGATTAAGAAAAATAGTTTTTACTTGACAGTCACGCAAATAAATTACAAAAGAGGTCTTACCTTTCAAGTCGCCATCTTCTCTCCACAGAGTTAGTATTTCTTCATTTTCTCTGCCTCCAACAGGTACTCTATGATTCTTGTAGGCCCCACGGAAAATATCTTCACCAGTTGGTTGACGTTTGAGCAGAAAACTTCGGTCAAACGGCTTAAAGCTCTCTCGCTTCGATTTGTCTTTGAGTTTTTGCAGCGCCTGCAGGAAAATGCAAATTAGTGTGCGCTCAGAGAGATGCTAATGTGGTATGTTGTCAGGTACGCTTCGGCACTCAAGCGTTGCTCACTACATGGAGAGAGAATGTAAACAATACTCAACTTCAAACAGACCGAAAAAAACAAAACTTCCGATTAAAAAGAGCATGTTCTAGTATTTTCAAGGGCTCACAACAACTCCATTTCAGCTCGTAAGTATAATGGATTCATGCAAATTATTAGAAACTTGCTGTTTCTTAATAACTTACAAGGTATTAACAGATTAGCCATCGCTCTGACCTGTCATCGAAAATTCATTAAATCTGTCCCAAGACGGCCCACCGGAAAAAAAAAAAAAAAAAAAAAAAGACAACGTGGGAGACTCTTTTGTTGTTATTTTTGCTCATTTTGAATCCTAAACAGCGATCGTTAAGACTGTCATAACTCATAATGTGCAGAAACGAGCTTAGCTTTATCACTACCGATATCTGATTATTATTTCTTCCCTCATGTTGTTGAACAGTTATTTGTAGTTTAGTTAAGATAATTTAGTGCTGTAAGATAACACCCTACAGCTGATACGTTTAGATTTTCTCACCACCTGTTTTGGGATGACGTATCGAAATAAAGGGAAGTTGCAAGTTTTTCACAACCGCGGGTTGAAAGCTAGACGGATCAAAAACGATTACATGCAGTCTTTCATACACTTCAAGTTCACTATCAATCCCACAGTCGCTCACTAAAACAAGTTTATCAATTTGTTGCAGTTGGCTGGTAGAATATGTCAAGGCATGTACGGAGATGGGTAGACAAACTGTCGGATCAAAACAACAAGAGTGACTTGGAGAAAAAGAAAATAAAAATTGTGCGTGAATCATGTGAAAAAACAAAACAAAACAAAACAAAATAAACATGTTTTTAAACAATAGAGTTTAGTTTTTGGGTGCATATCAAATTAATTTTCTCCTCCCAACCGATACGGTAAGTTGTTTGTTCCCAAGTTTTCCTCCTCAAAACATTCTTGGATTTTGCAAAACGTAGAATTTTTCCTACCTCTTTAGCGTTTGTCCATCTAAGTCGGCAAACTATATACGTTAAGTTTCTTTTTTAAAACGAAACAGTCTACGCCGACAGCGGAATATCTCTATAACTTTCTGTGGGTAGAGAAACTTGGCTCATTTAAAAGGTGCAGGAATATCTCCAATGGTGTCCTCTCACCAAGATGTCCACAAACTAAAAGTTTATAAACAACTAATATTCTGTCTCCTATCAAATAAAACAATCGCCCGTCTTTTCAAAGCATGGGGATGTTCAGTGCACGCGCAGCGTCATTGTAATGTCCATTAAATCTGTTGTTTAAAAAGATTCTATTCGTCGTCATTTAAAAGGTGCAAGAATATCTCCAATAGAGTCCTCTCACCAAGATGTCCACATACTAAAAGTTTGTAAACTAATAATATCCTGTCTCCTATGAGATAAAACAATCGCCAGTCTTTTCAAAGCATGGGGATGTTCAGTGCACGCGCAGCGTCCTTGTAATATCCATTAAACCTGTTGTTTAGAAAGATGATCTTTGTCGTCGACATTCGGCATCGCAACCAACGTGCAGTGACCAAGTTCGCACTGTATAGAGTCGCAATACACGACAGTAAATACCTTTCAACAATTCTTTTTCAGTTAGAGTTTGCAATCACCTGACAGACTATCGCGTGATTACCGTGGGATCAACTATAAACTGCACATGGCGATGACCCACCGGTAGTGTGACGGATGCGGAGAATTATGAATGGCGGGAAATTAACGCTGCATGCGACAACCATGGGACACAAACAAGTCCCTAGCCCCATTTTCAACACTTCTAATTGAAAACACTCTCTACGACAACAAGAGATAAACTAGGGTATCAAGACTAACTATAAACAAACAATACCGAAAAACGAAATCTGAAAATCAAAGAAGACTGAGGGAAGTTTAAAACCTGAACGTCCAAGACTACTCAGTGATCGATAAGAAAAAGAAACAACTGAAATAAAGTCTGACCCGTCTCAGCTCATTTTCCTCCTTTTCCAAAACGTAAACTCGTCTTTCAACTTGATCCAGTTCGTCTTGTATCTTCTGGGCCATCACCTCTTCTTCTAAGTCACCGGCTATTTCGTGGCACAGTTTTTCCTAAAGCAGAAACGATATGGCGTTAAATGAAAACGAAATAAAAGACGTAGCGAGGAAACCTAACATAATTGACAAAAACTGTCCTTACACATGATGCTTTTCACAAAGCTAACACCAGAACTTTGCAGGACGCTTGCCACATATGAACTTATAATGCTCTCTGAAGCTAAACCTGCAGGCAGCCTCTTATAAGCGCTGCAAAACTAGGGGCAAGGCCTGCGCGTTTCGAGTCGACGAGTGATGAAAGCAACGTCCGCGAGGGTTCTGGCACAAAAGATTCTTAGCCAAATTCTCAGCGCTAAAAAATTATGAGAAATATAAGAGGAACTGTGTAGCAAAATGATATTTCGATCTTGGGAAAGAGAGCAATACGTACGTTCATACCTTTACTGAAAGGAGCTTCCTTTTTTCAGTTTGGACTTCGGCCAGTCTGCGACAAGGAAAAGCAAAGGTGACGGTTAATTGACCACAGATAATTATTTCCTGCTTAAAATATCTATCTTAAGTTTCCTGCGTAAAAACCTCAATCTCTAAGTGGCTTAGTGAGAGCTGTAGAAGCTCTGCACAACAATACCATACATCGTTAATAAACACAAGTAGCTCTGCGGAAAGCTCTTGTATTTCATTTAGGCTGCTATTGCCCTTTTAAAGTGATCTTCAGAAAAAAAAACGACAATGGCTTATCTAAAGAACAAGTTGGTGCTCCACGAATTGCAACGTAAATACGTTGATTTTGCAAGAGAAAATAAGCCTCTGAGAAAAAACATGTCCGTGCAAAGGGGTATTACCAAATGCGTCAAATAGCCACTTAGTTTTCTGGGTTGCTTTTATCTAAGATTTCAAACCATAAAAATGCCAACTAACCGTAGTCTCTTGCTGTCATAACACTCCTCTGTCAGCTGCGCAAAAGAAAAATAATAAAAAGTCAATCAACAATTGATGGGTTTAAAGCCAGTTATAAGTTTTTCCACTTTAACCAGAAAAATCAACAATGAAAAGTACTACACCATTTATTTACCTGTTCTGATAGAATTGATCTTACATTTACGTTCCCCTCAATGGAGTTACCTACAGAAATAGACGAACAGTTACAGTGGTTATTTTCCAATACAAACCTACTTTTCATTAACTTCTATCACGAAGTAAAAGGTTTGAACTTAGGAACAACTGTTAATAACCCTTTAACTCCTGTAAGTGTTTAACATGTAACCTCTCCCTATAATATCCATGTGTTACTCAGCAAACAGGTAATGAGAATCATCAAACGTATCAGGCACAAGTTGTTACCTTGACATACCACAAAATTCTCTTAACTAATTTACAGGAAAGTTGTAGCAGCTGGAAGGGAGAATCAACAATCAGATCTTGGGAGCTAAAGAGTTAATCATGCTATCTGATGGATCAATGTGAATATCAGACCAACTATCCACCTACCCCTCCCCTAACATTAACCCTGACTTGTTATCAGTCAACTGCTGTTGAGTGAGGGGAGGGGTAGGTACACAGTTACCCAGAAAGGATAAATGACAACTATACTATTTCCTTATCAGTGTATACATGTTTTGTTCATGATAGTAAATGAAAATTGTTTGTACCTTGCTTGCAGAATCGTGTTATATGCACAGCTATCAGAAATTCTTCAAGAGAGAGTTTTCCATCTCTATCAATGTCAGACAAATCCCTGGGGAAATGGATAAATTTATTAGTGACAATTATCATTAGTAGATACTCAATTTAGATGTCAAAATCAAATTAATTCAGGCCTGCAATTGGTCTTATTGTCAATGTGAGATTTTCTGGTCTGCTAGAGTAGAAGGGATTTCATTATTAAGACTGTGTATCTTAGCCCTTTAACTCCCATGATTTCATTAGTAATTCTCCTTACTGTCTGCAAAATGTGTCTGATCATGTAAATTTGGAGAATTTGGTATTGTATCAATTAGTAATCCCCTAATTGATATTTTTCTTTATTCGCATCACCTGTCTGCATGATATTGTATTGATATAGTATGGAGAAATTCTGTCTTGGTCATTCACAGGAGTTAAAGGGTTAAATTGGTTTGATTTATCAATTAACCTTTTACAAACAAACATCACTATCAAGTATATTCTCTGTACTCCTCTCTATTGTAATTTTGTACTGACTAGGAGAATATGTCTAGTAATAAAAAATTCCTGCGTTGGCAATCATTTCCCTATTCTCATGATCTTTATGAATGACTCAGCAGTTTTTCTGTGAGGAGAAATTAGATGCTGGTCACTCTTAGCCTTCAAGGGGTTAAAGGCAATCACTAGCAATTTTCTAGCCAAAATTGATCAACAATTCCCTTCCCTTCATCTAAAAAATATGTTTCATGAAAACATTTCCAAAATTTGTAACAAACAAGAAGTTATTAGTCTAATAAACTGACCAAATTCTTGCTAAAATGTCCTCAAGAAGGCCTGATCCAATAAGAATAGAACAAGCAGTTTCAGCTGCAATTTAAGAAAATATTATTAACTCCCAGTGGTAGATCAGATAAATTATTACATCAGAAACCAGAAAGTTGGAGAAAGTTTATTCTTCAAAAAAGCAAAAACTTCGACATGTTCATCAAATCTAAGGGATTCCAGAGATAAAATTTCTCACTATAATTCATTCTCACTATTGTAACCATAACATTACCATCAGTAAAATTAGGATTCATTCCTAAATCCAAAGAGTAACAATATAACTGTTGATTATTAAGCTATTGCCACTGTAAAATAGTAACTTTTGCTTGCAGGAAGAATATGCAGTATCAAACTCCGAATGCGCACAAATCTGTCAACCAGTTTGAAAAGGTCACTAAACCAAAGCCTTGTGACAAATTGAAGATCCTCCCAAATACCCCTATTACCCAGATGGTATATCTTGGCCTTTGAAAATGGGAAATTATATTTTTGTCCTGAGCCGTGATTGCTCCTCAAGGAGAGGATGGTGAAGAGTTAAAATATGACAAATAATTAAGCCAAAATTAACATGCAACACATCAATTTTACAGAAAGGGGAGGTAAGGTGAGATGTGAAGTTTTTCCATTCAAATTGGTAACATTTGAAATACTGTTTGAGGTACCCATGACACCTTAATTTTTCAAAAATTTGTCTGTAAAATGGGATCAGAACCCCCTTTGCTACCATCTAAGCATAATACTAAATCAGTAAGAAAGAAAATGACAGAGATGGATTTGCTATCACAAGTCTCTTGCATCTCAGTGGTAATGCGTCAAAAGTACTCATGAGATGGGCATAAGTTCTTATTCCAATTGGGAACTCTCTGATTTTGTTTTCCTGAGTACAATAGGAAACTGAGAATTGTATGAAATACTTAGATTCAAGCATCCTCATTGTGGGACAAGGAAAAAGTGTGAGTTGATTCTCACTGATGATTCTAGTTTCGAGGCTTAACTGAGGGTGAGTGACAAGACAGAAATATCAACTGAAAATTACAAAATTAGTTATTGTCTTAACATGTCTTACCATCAATATAACCTGTCTTATGGCCATTTTTCCACCTGAAAGCTCTTTCATAAGCTGCTTTTTCCTCCTCTGATATAAAAGGAATGCTTATACAAGGTAGATGCTTTGGACTTAGGGTCTCCGGCAGCTTGAGGGGAATATCTGTGCCTTTCAAACGAATCTGAATAAGATGCATTGCTACAGCAAACTCAGCAATGTCTAACTTGTTGTTCCGGGAAACATCTGCAAGTTTCCTAGAATAAATAAACAATTCAGATCAATGTCAATATCTGAGTAACTGCCCACCTACCACTCCCCTAACTCAACATTAACCTTAACTTGTTATCGGTTGACTGTCGTTGAGTTAGGGGAGTGGTGGGTGCGCAGTTGTTCAGATACTGGCATCCATCTGACAATTCAGCTATCTATCAGAACAACTCAAAATTTTCCACAGATATGTGTTGTTGTTCAAAATGAACTTCTTCATTTCATGTCAATAATAAAACTTCTGCAACAACCTTTACCTGGAATGAATGACACAATTTGTTCACTGTTATTTCATCTCAACTATGAGGACTATCCAGAAGTTTCAATAAAATTTTGTATACGAGGCTGCTGATAGTGTAACAAGGAGGGAGGGAGAGTGTGCAGAAAAAACTCAAATGCAAGAGCCTGTTCCCATGCTAAACAGATGGCAGGACGCCACCATTAACCATTTAACCCCTAAGAGTGACTAGCATCTAATTTCTACTTACAATATCACCCCCAAGTCACACATAAAGGTCACAAGAAAAAAAGGAAATGATCACCAACGATAGAAGCTTATGATTGTTAAACAAATTCTCCATGTAGGCACCTTAGGAAATGTATAGAGAACAGCATGGAGAATATGTCTGCTGATGTTAGGGTGCAAAGGGTTGATGAGTTTTTTTAATTGAAACTCCTGGCTATTCCTCTTTCACAGCTTTCTCTCAGTGGAGGGGAAAAAAGTGAAAGACCCAATATAAACCAAGTTGAAAAAAAAAAAAATAGAAAATAAACCATGCATGAAAATATTTTGATAAACATTTATTTAGGGTATCACATCAGAGTCAGAGTATGACATTTTAAAACTTACAAAATGATATAAGATTAGTGGATCCACAGAACAAAAGGTAAACAAAAATAGGACACTGAACAAGGGGCATTGTGTGTTTTGGTTTCATATCCAATTCAGAGTGTGTTTTTGGCTTTTTCTATTTAAATGTTTGGTTTTCAATTTTGATTTTTGAGTACCATCACTTCAACTAAGTTTGCCAGTAGTTCATTGCTCTCAGTAATGTTTTACGCAATTTTTATGTTTACTTCATGATGTATTTCAGGTCTTTGGCATGCATCAATACCCCTTCCACTGTGCATGCCTAATCACATCTACTAAGAATGATCTGAGAAAAGTATGGAGCAGCATAGCATTCCTAGAAAGTAGTTGAGTAAATATTGAGGGGTAGTAGTGAAAGAGAGGTGGCCAGCAATGAAGGTGTTCCTGTGGTTGGAGAAGGTGTAAACAAAACTCTAACATATCTGAGGTCTACACATTTGATTTACATTTTGTTAAAAAAAAGTCCTGACTGTTTGTGTTATTGCCTTATACAATGCCAAAACATAAGGGTTACACCACTCATCATAAACGTCTAACAATGCAAGCTGCGTCTGAAAAGATGTTACGGTAGATTTTCCTCTATATCAGCGGTAGGCAAACCTCTTAAGAAAATCATGCCTGACCAAATCTAAAAATTTTCCCACGATTTTTATGCTTCAGTGTCGCGTGAAATGGTGCATATAAAAACAGTGCTATAACCCGTATATAATGCAAACCTATCTCCACTTATTTTTATGATTTTGTTTCGTTTAGATAAAAACAGTTAAAACAGCTTGCGCCACCAGATTTTCCAACACATTCATCATTACAATGCCAGGCGATGCGTGTTGAATCTGGCTGTTACAGACAAAAACACAATAGAGTTGTAGCCGTGAAAGAAATAACAAAACCACGATTGTATTCAAAACAAACCGTTGACGGTATTCTGTTGATTCATAAAAATAAACACAGAACAACTTCTGCTTGCCAATTGCACCGATATCGCTGCTTGCTGTTACCAGGAAACACACAACAACGCTTAGAGTCCATCCTATCTTGAAAGGGGATCCAACAACCGCAGTGGTTAATAAACACATTTGGTGACCCGGAGGAAAATTTAGCGCGAAGGAACGCGATAAATTAATTCCTTCGAAGCAGACATCGATTATACTAAACATACCAAAATTATACAGATCTAACTTTTCCTTACCATATTTTGCTCAGCTCCGGTAGAGGCAGTTTAGATCTTATAAATAAAGATCTGGCTTGCTCTCCTGCAATAACAAATATATTTGTACAATTGAGTGAAAAAGCGTACAACCACCTTAGCCCAAGGCATTCCTTGCGCTCACCTGATAGGTATCTATCTTGAGGTTTTTGGCTGTAAAACAAAGCATCATGGCGAGTTCTTTCCTCCTCAGATATCGTCCACTTTAAGTCCATCTCGGGCTGAAGAAGCGACCTGTAATTGAAGAGAATACCCTATTAACTTGTTCGGAGCTTTCATTCAAACGACCCCGAATCGCTACATTACTGATCAGACTTCGAACGACAGAACGCGTTGTGACTGCAAAAATTCCAAAACGTTTGGATCACCTTATGAAGACTGCGCATTAGTTAAATTAACAAATGTGGAAAATATATTTGTTTAAGGCTTCCCATGTTGACGAGATATTCTTCGGCCCGCCATGATCATTCTAATTTTGATGTCATGCCAAGTTTTTCTTCAGATGATCGTCACGGTGAGAACGCTTGATTAGGTTCCATGGGCGCGCGTTCATAATCCTCTCTATGGAAACCGCTTCAAACATTTTTAAAATTATTTTCTCAGCACTTAACTTATTTTCCTTCGGAATTTTTTGCCATTTTGAGAACTTTTCCCGTAATTATTCTGCCATGGTTCTGTTTGGTCTTTATTTATAGTAATTCAATGTCTTGTAAATTGAAATATAACACCTGCTGAAAGCTTGTGTTTTTTTAAAGACTGTCATCGTTCCTAAAACTTTGAACTGTCAAATTCTTTAAACATAGAGAAGCATTCAGGCTCCAATCTCTTCATTAGGCTTCATCCATAATTTTCACCATCGATTTAAGAATTACTCCTAAATTTCTATATATAATCAGTCTTACATTATTTTTCCTCGTTTGTTTTTATACATTACTAATTGCATTGTGTCCATTGTAGAATAAGCTAAGAACTGTGATCAGTCACTATGATCAATACCTACCAATGTAAGCTTAAAATCATCATTCTTTACACTGTTTAGGGTCCAGCGATATTTCAGGTTAATGCTCTTGAAAATCAGACTAAGAGGATCGCGGGAGGAGAGACTGGGGCTGAGTGTCTACTACTAATGGTGGTTTTCAAATATGTATATATATATATATGTATATATATATAAAAAGAAAAAAATTATCAGATTTTGATAAAAGTTATCTTGTTTCGGTGACAGTTTGAGTAATCAGTAAGCTTAACTCTTGAAAACTTCAAACTGATAATCCTTCCAAAGTCCGTTGGCTCCCAACATAAATACCAGCTTTCCTTTGCTAAACAATGCAAAGAATTATCCTCATTCCCTTGAGGGGTAAAGGAACTATCGATTTTCTGTTACCTACTCCACTGCCCTTAATTAATGCTTCCCTCCTCATTTTCTCCTCCCCCCCGATAAAAAAAAAAACTGGTCAGCTGACTACCTGATAAAGCACATGGGACGATTTTCAACATGGCGGATGTCAAGGAGGAAACTGCGAAGAAGGTGAAGACAATCAAAGAGAAAACTAAAGCTATCCTAGAGAGTGATACCAATTTAAACTTTATTGTGGATATCCTGGAATTATCAGAAACCCAAGACGAGAAAGTTTTGGTGGGATTCATAAGATCAGCGCACAAAATTTTCACAACTTTTTCATCGCGGGGAAAGTTGTTTCGATCGTCGAAACAAAAGCGTTCCCTTGAAGAAGAAGGGAGTCCAGATCCTCAAGATGTTTTCAGATCCTGGCTACACGATAAATATTTGTTGACCTTGACTCGGCTTCTACATTTGCTTCGTGTCGGATCACAAAACGTAAAGGAGTTTGCTCTTTGTACCTTGATGAAGTTTCTCGTGGAGGAGGCAAAACACGACAGGAACTCGAAATCTACCGATCGTTTTCCTACAGTTCTATTTAGGAAAACTTGCGATGCGTTGTTTGATGGCAGGTACAGTATGAAGAACTGTATCGAAAGGTTTGCTGAGTACTTAGAATATGATGATGTCAGGTTTTACGTGCTCAAAAATCTGACAAAAGTCCTCGGAGACGCTTTAAATAGCGGAGAAAGCCAACGTCGGTTTCTTGTAGAAAATGCATTCGCAATGCTAAGCCAGGTGAAAATGAAGAAGCAAAACGAGGATATGACGAATCTTTTGATTGAAGTAAAGCAACGAAAAAATGAAAATAGTGAGAGGAATGAGTACAGCTCTCTAGAGTTGAAGAATCATCAAAAAGCCTTTAGTTCTGCCTGGCTTGCTCTACTGAGGCTTCCATTGTCATCTGAAGTTCATAAGAAGGTTTTACTCAACTTACATACAGATGTGTTACCACACATGACAGATCCAAAACTGCTTATGGATTTTCTCACTGACTCTTACAACACTGGTGGTGTAACAAGCCTTTTGGCACTCAACAGCCTTTTTGTACTTATCCACCAGTATAACCTGGACTATCCTGACTTTTTTAAGAAGCTTTATGCATTGTTTGAACCAAACATTTTTTATTTGAAGTACCAAGCAAGGTTCTTCCACTTGGCAGACTTGTTCCTGATGTCCACCCATCTTCCAGCATACCTGGTGGCAGCCTTTGTCAAAAGGTTGTCACGCCTTGCTTTATCTGCTCCCCCATCTGGTGCAATGTTGGCCATACCTTTCGTCTGCAATCTCATGAAACGACATCCAAGTGTTGCAGTTCTTATCCATCGCAAACAAGTAAGTTAGAATAATAACATATTTTAATTGATTATTATAAAATGAGGACCAAAGTAATCACAAGGAATATGAACAACACAATAAGAAGAGGGGCTAATGCTCAAAACATCACCTTTGAAAACTTACATTATCAACCCGGATAATAAAACAAAATTATCATGTAATACCTCCCAGAAAAGAGGCGTGGAGGCGCGGTGGCCTCATGGTTAGTGCGCTTGACTCCGGATCGGGTGGTCCGGGTTTGAGCCCTGGCTGGGGTCATTGTGTTGTGTTCTTAGGCAAGATACTTTACTCTCACAGTGCTTCTCTTCACCCAGGTGTACAAATGTGTACCAGCAAATATGCTGGGGGTAACCCTGCGATGGACTAGCATCCCATCCAGGGGGGAGGAGCAATACTCCTAGCCACTTCATGCTAAGAAAACAGGAGTTAAGCACCGGCCCCATGTGCCACTTGGGCCCGCATAAAGGCTTTACTTACAGACCAGTTGCGGCATGAAGTGAAGCAAGCTGAAGCAATCCTAGATAACTCTCTATACAAAGATAATGACTTTCTGACGAAAGGCTAACACTTGAAATGTTCACTTTAGAAACTCTCTTCGTTGGCTAATTTATATTATCAACTCAGTTTCTTAAACCAAATTATCTTGTGATATACCCACTGACCCAGCACTTCAGTTTCTTTAGAAACTTAACTCCATTACTATTCAGATGCAATTTTCATTCAGGAAATGCAGATACAAAGAATCTAAAATAAACCTACTCATCTGTCCTAAGTAAACGAAATGAAGATCCAGGTATATGGATAATTTAACTGATTTTTTACCCGATCAGAAGTGGTTGGCAAATTTAGGGTTGTACTCTGAACTAGGCACATTCATCCACAGAACCTTTCTTCATCCAGAAGTATTAGTGGGAACCTATAATATGTTGGAGAGGCTTGAAGAAATGTGGTGGAGTAATCCAGAATTGACTGCATGTATAGAATCTGATTGAGATAGAGAAATATTTTTAACTGTTTTATGCTTTCAAAATCAGTGTAAGTGCAGGCTGTAGTTGACACCACCCTAAGACACAAACTTTGCTGTGTGGTGAGATTTAATCTGTGTTTGTTTGCTTCTAGGCGGGAAAACTGTTGCTTGATCATGGCACAGAAGAGAACATTGCAGATCTCAGCAAAGGTGATCCATTCATTGCTGATGAACCTGACCCTGCTAAATGCAATGCCATGAAGAGTTCCTTGTGGGAACTAAAATCTTTGCAGAGTCACTTCTATCCTGGTGTGGCATCCCTTGTGGAAATTCTAGAGAAGCCTCTCAACACTGGTGAAACCGACATTTCAAAGTACTTTGATGATGGTTATAACCAACTGTTTCAGAGAGAGTGTATTAAGATTACAGATCAGAATGCATATTTGGAGTTCCAAGTTCCCAAGAGTCTTATCAGTAAGGATATGGCAGAGAGATGGGTCTTGGAATAGATTTTCAATCTGTAAGAATTTCAATGGTGAAGCATCCAACATCCACTTTTGTCGCTCAGTGGGTACTCTTACGTTCTTGTAATTATCAGTTTTTACAATAATTAAAAAAAAATAAGAAATTCGTTGAAAAATTGTTAAATTAGGTATTCAAATTCCTACTTTTTTCTTTTATCCTCTTTCAAGGTTTCTGACACAAAATTCTCGTAACTAATTTACAAGGAAATGTGTAGCAGCCACAGGGGAAGATTAACAATCAGATTTTGAGAGTTGAGGGTTTAACAATACAAAGTTTTTCATGCTCTTGCATCTCATTATTATTCAGTTCAAATACTCCGGCTTCATGTCATTTACTGAAACAAAATTGAATGAAGCGTTTCCAAACGTTAATTGTAGTGCAGACCTCCTATTGGTTGACATTGTTCCCTACGTCAGTAATTCACCCCCGAAAATACAATAATATAGTTTATTTAATGAAACCTAGCCAACTTGAACTGGAATTTTATTAAGAAAAAGAAAAGCGTTCTTCTCAGTCTGTTCTTTCACAGCTGCGATCAAAATGCTTTTTCCCGGAGGAAACATGTCAGACGTTTAGGTTGAAGTTAATTTGTAGAGGGCCAGAGACTGAATGAGATTCGAAGATATTTCCCTTACCGCGGCAAAAAAGATGAAGCGCTTGGAAAACGCGAGAAGGCGAAACTTGTACAGAGTCTTTAAGGATTAAATTTAAGGATTCCACCATTTGCAGTGTCGTGGTCGAAATCAAGTCTATTTGACGAGAAATCAGGCATGGGAACATCATATAGCACATGGAGACTTCACAAAAAGACGTCAAGACCGCGAAAATTGAGCGACATGGCTATCAGGGGATCTGTCAAACGGGGCGGAATGAAAAAAAGTAAAAGTGAGGGTAACTTAGTGGACGATATACCCACCCACAAAGTACACACCAATCCGTTATATCGCCATCAAGATTTGTTCGATAATGACATGTTTTTCGAGGAGATCTTGGCAAAGATAGAGCGAGAAGCGGCCAGGTTATCAAGTTCTGATAGAAACGGCGAAAGCCTAAGAGGCTTTGATTCATTTATGATGTATTAGACTAAGATCATATCATTGCAAAGAATAGTCGCTGCAAAATCGCAGCAAAGACACAAAATACGCGTCAAGTCTATGACTTGTGTTAAGATCACCCGTGGAAAAGTAGCGATGTATTTACAACACAACTGAGATATCTTTTCATTAGACGTCCATTCAGAGATCTTAATTGCTGTAACTTATGTTAGAACACCCTTATGAGTACTGCTTAAACCTTAGCTGCAAAGAGACTTTATATGAAAGAAACTTTTAGCGGTGGAATTCAAGGCTAGTAAGCAAGAGAATGAAGTGGAGTTTGTTTGCGCTATAGAGTCGCCAAGGCTGCAAAAAGACGCGTTTGTCAGTAAATTATTCGCCAAACAATTAACTTGAACTCGTAACATCTTTTTAAGATAGTGGCGTCGGTTAGAACATGCAATTGTTATATATAAAGGCGTCAAGCCCACAAATAAGGGAGATCATTGATATATCTGAGAAAATATATGATATTTAAAGTGATAAAGATACGGCTTTGGTTACAGGACTTTATTAATACCACCTGTCGATTAATTATTTATGTTCGTATTATTTCCTACGTAAGTAACCTTACAAGGCTTGGTGTCTTACCCAGAGGCGTCTTTGTAATCAAGCTAAGTTTGTCAAACTTTGGGTTTGTTTTTTTCGCATATTTTCTTTTTGCGGGCGTCATTATAAATATTAATGCGTTTGACGTTGTTCTGTTCGATGGAAATAATCTTAGCGTCTACGAAACACTCCTCTCCAGTATTTCTCTCCTTCAATTCTACTTTAACATCATGGAAAGGAGAAGCTCAATTGCCCTGGAGAGTTTCTGTAATCTCTATACAAACCATTTGCGTCAAGAATGAAACAGCTTGCCTCCTCTCAGACAGGCGTCTATGACGATTTCTATGACAGACAAAAAAAGATTAGAATTTTCCGTTCCACATTTTCGCCAACTATGGTCATATCTATTTTTGTGAGTCTTTCCGCAGGGCACACCTCAATGTTTACTTTGTTTAAATTATGTATGGCAATGAAGGTCTGATCAATAAGGCAAAATTTTGTACTCTTTGAACTGATATCCAAAAGTTAGTGGAGAGTAATTTTACAGTATGAGAGTCAAATTGTCTGTACCAGCCTCCTAGCACCTGCAACAACCACTTAGGCTAAAAACTTCTTTCTGAGACATAAAGTCTATTCATCCGAAACCTCAACTAAAATGTGGTACAATGAAAATGTTTGATATTCGAAAGGAGAGGCAGAGGCAAGTGTAGATAAACTTGAAACCGTTGAATGAACCGTACTGGCGGCAATTTAAATGAGCTCGTTTCTTAGTCTTAAAAAACTGCTCAGAGTTGTTACAAGTCTAAAACAAGTAAAATTATCGCCTTTTTATCTAATTATTTTACCTCTAGTGCGATGAAAATCCAACTTCTCCTCACAATAGCAATGCACTATCCAGTACAACGGTGATGAGAATTGCAGTCACCAGCTAGATGGCGTTATCTTGATATAATAGCAATTTCTCCCAACTAATTACCACGGGAATAGATGGGAAATAGAGAGGTTAAGTATCAGGTCTTGAACGTTAGATCCGTTAGAACTCGCCTTTTTATTGAATGTTGTGCTAAATCATCGAATCATGAATAAATCGGTCCATGGGACAGGCCTAAACTAGTAACGCCCTTCCGCTTTAGAAATTAAGGCTTCTTCTGCAATTAAAACGCTGAAGATTGTGACAAAGGGTAAATATAACGGGTGAGGTGTCGAAGTGTTTTCCTTTTCTCTTGTTCTTGTCGCTCCCCCACCCCTTCCTCCCTCTCCCCCCACATCAAACTTTTTTTCAATGAAAAGGGACGCTTTCGAACTTCTAACAAGGTATTTTCACTGGCGTCAGAACTGCTCCAAATGTCTCACCCGAACAAAACCATGAGACTAAGCCCATTGTTTACAAAGCCCCCTAAAAAGATGAAATTATACCTTTCGAACCTTTAAAGTGTTTCTAGAGTATTCCCTATTCACCTTGTTTTCTACCAGTTTTAATTTTTTTCTATTTTCTAATGGTTGTTAGTATCAAATTACGCCTCAGGGCATGAATCATCAGAATTGAGTATGTCACGCATCTAATTTACACCTCATCGATTATTGCCCTATAGAGAAGTTTTCATAAAATGTTAATGGACATCTATTTATAGCGTTTGTTCTTCGATTCACCACACAAATCAATCAAACTACCTCGACATTGCCTTAATCAACCTTTCCCACGCTGAAAGGTGTTCAAGAAAGCCAACTTGGTAATCTTTCGCTGAGTATTCAACTACTTTTGTTGTACCAAATAAATGCGTTGAAAGCAAGGGAATTTCTTGACTGAAAGTCATGTTTCAAATAGATCTCAAACTTATTTCATTATACTGGCGGCAACGTCAAAAAAACTTTGAGGTCGCGCTACCTCGTTTGAGCTCTTGACAAATTCAACCGATTTTTTTCCAAATTTTTCTTTCTTATATATCTAATAATCCCTGAATTTTACAAGAGTTCAACTAATCGCTCAATCGATAAAATCATTCTCATATACATCTTGCGTGACCCCTTTGTTTATTTGTTTACTTACTTATTATCTATTATGCCGCCTGCGCAATTGCGACATTCGGTGACTGAAACATAGAGTCTGCGCGATAACTAGCGTCTACACATGACTTCTAACCATGACAAGGATACACAAGTAAGGCTTAACGCGAATTCTCAGAAGCCAGCCTCACCGTCCATTAGCTCTTTCTTGAGGTAAGAAACGTTCTGCTTGTATTTCCGACGTTAAATTACGAAAAGATACTCTAAGAGGTGAAGGCATTAGTTCCAACGATCGTTTTAACTGCGCCGCTAAGTTTATCGACTTCATTATCCGTGATGGCCTGATACATCATTATATAAATACCGCCGTTGTCGCCTCACTCGGGGATAAAATCGTTATTTATATGTTTGTTAAGGGCTTTATGACAATGCTTACAGCGAGCTGGATAGAAAACGGGCGTTTCTTGGGAAATTAGATGCCGAAATTTCCTTTCGCCTGAGGACTATATGATAAATACTCGCATAATTTTGTGACTTGATCAGGTTCGATGGTAGCGTCTAATTAATTCACATATCATGTTATCATAACATTTCGCCACCTGCACTCAAACATAAAAGACTGTCAGTATTATTTATAGCGCATTATACCCTGGAAGATAACGTTTCTTTCTTTGGAAATCCTTTCATAATTATAATCATATACAAGTACAAAGGATTCTGCACAAAACAATAATTCACATTCCCTGCTGGACAAAAAAGCAAACAATAACTTAACTATGTAGGCAGAAATGTGTGGCAGTTCTAAGTCTTGTTAAATATCGTTCGCGCTTAGCAAATTCTTGTCTTTTTTGTAAAGACTTATCTGTGAGGTCGACAGCATTTCAAAAGATTTTGAATATCTTCATTTTTAAGGAGTGAAGAGAACTTGTTTGTGCATTGTCATCTTAGTCTTTTTCAAGTAGCACTGTTGTGCGGTGGTCACAACTTGTTTAACCGGAAACATCAAATTCGCTAAGTCCAAAAACCCTGCAAGCGTTAGTTCTTCCTCATAAAAATAAAGTCCGTCAGGTAGGATTACATTTGCACAAAAATAGACTGGCTTGTTGACGGGTGCTTTCCCGACTTCGTCAATTTTACATGCAACACTTGTCATGTTTGTTTGCGTTGGAAAGTAAAATTCAAATTAATGTTGAGTAATCGTACTGGAGAGTCTCAAATCCACCCATACCTTTCCACGATCAAGCTTCATAAAAAGCCATATTAAAAGTTTTCCTATGCATGGCTCATTTTAAGACCGAGAACGGGAAATAATGGAGCTTTCTGAAGCATCGAATGGGTACTGAGACCTGTTCAGGGCACATTTAGATGACTGTAACATGAAATAACTAACAGCGACACGCATTACTTCATTAGACTATAGACAGATAACAGGTGACCGGTAAATCACATGGAAACAGTCCCTTTCTTCAGATATAACCCTGAAAAACTAGTGAAATCATCCTTAATCGCCATGTTTGCGATGAAACGCAAGATAAGCCATGAATACGTGACGTGTTCGCCAACAACTGTGACCTTGACGCCAACTTTGGCTTCTGAAATGCCGATTTTTAAATGAGAATCTGGGATTATAGTTAATTTGTCTCCTGTTATATACGCTCCCGACCCGAAAGCTCTAATCCTCTTATTAACTTCGAGGTAGTTACAAATGAGTTCGTTATCTTAAATTTAATCGGATCCTTGGCGGGTCAAACATAAACGCTTTATAGGCGAGGGTTTAATACAACTTAACCCTTCCACTCCCACGAGTGACCAATAATGAACTTCTCCTCACAATATCAAAACATTTTCGAGCAGAAAGGTAATGAGAAGAAATCGATCATCAAGTGAGATATTATTTGAATAAACTTCAAAATTTTAGAGAGAAAATTAGACGAAATGTATCATTAATCATGACCGAGCGGATAATTGATACTTAGATTTGAAAGTGAAAGGATTAACCAGGACTTGAGAACTGCATATTATAAGCCGAGATTTCTATCATGTGATGGATTTATGATAGTCAATTAGTAAGGGAAGACCGAATCAACTTTCACGCGTAAAAATCGATGGCGAATCTTACTTTGTTAGTGTAAAAGTACTGATCTTCTTAAACTGAACAACAAGATCAGCCCGTGTTTTTCACTTTTTTTTTTTTAGAATTACACACTTATTAGGCTCCTAGCTCGACTATCTATCATTAACCCTTTAACTCCCATGAGTGACCAAGACAGAATTTCTCCTTACAATATCAATACAATATCGAGCAGACAAGTGATGAGAATAAAGAAGTATATCAATTTGGGGATAATCAGTTGATCCAATACTAAATTCTCTGAACTAACATTATAAGAATTGTATGGTTGACAGTAGGGAGAATTACAAATTTGATCTGGGAGTTAAAGGGTTAAAAGATAAGCTGAGCTTATACACGCATTTTGATTGGTTCCTACCTATGATTTATTTGAGGACAGACGTATAGATGACGTCACCATGACAACAACATTTTGCTTTTTCATCGCACAAAATAAATAGTACGAGTAGCCTAGCCAATCAGCTCGCTGCGTTAGTGAAAGGGCGCTGGTTTATTCATTCTAGAACTAAATAGATGGCCTGTGAACCAGTTGTGGTTTCCGATGGCCACAAAGAATCTTCCGGGCTATTTTTTTTCTCCTCTTCAAATTATTCAAAAGACATTCTAGAAACGAATAAAGGCGGTAAGTTTCTAGAGAAACTGTTGTGTTGCATCGGTGGAAGAGTATAACAGGGTAATTTAGTGTTATCAACAGAGTTGAAAACGTAAATTGGCCACCGTAGCCTTTAAACTCTTAACGGTGGCCAATTGACGTTTTCAACTCAGTTGATAACAGTAAATTACCCAGTTACATTCTAGAAACGTTCAGTAATAGACCACAGATGACGTCAAAATATGGTAAGAACAAAAAAGTGGTACACAGGGAGCAGCCAAGTGTGTCACTGATGTTCTCAGGTACCACATTTTGATGTCATCTTTGATCTATTATTGTACAGACCCACGGCAAAATGGAATTTATTTGTTTCGTATGATAAAAAAAGCAAAATGTGCGAAGATATCTATGCGTCTGTCCTCCAATAGATCATCATGGTATAAGAACGAATTAAAATGCGTTTATAATATAGTAGCCTGGTATTACAACAGAGAAAAAGATTACACCTCAGTAAAGTTGGAACTTAGTAAAGACTGACAAATTAGTTTCCTCGAGCGCTAATTGGTCATCAACAATGAGGAAGTTTATAAAAAAAGTAAACCCAGAAAGGATAATACAGGAGACAAACTCGAACTGGTGTTGTCATTGCATGATGGCAAATTTCTCCAGTGAAATCGTAGAAGTACAGAATCTTTAATAAGTTGTTGCTAGCTTACATTCGCTTTGTGGAACCGAGAAGAATCAAAATGATTCTATACATTCGCGGGTCAAAACTGTAGAGTATACGAAGGTAATTTAATACCATCAACTGAGTTGATAACGTCGTTAATCGGCCACCGTAAAGAGTTTCAAAGCTTTGAAGCTCTTTACGGTGGCCAATTTCCGTTATCAACTCAGCTGTTATACTCTCCCACCGACGCAGCACTACTGTTTCTTTAGAAACTCATCCCCTTTATTCATTTTAGAGTATATGGCCAATGTTGGAATGTAGTTGTTTAGTTGATTTTATCAGTCGGCGTAAAATTGACGTACTTTGATCGATAATCATTATCTGTATTTTCTTGAATGTAAACCGTTTTCTACCAGTTTAACTTTCCGAATTATAATTAGCATAAATGTTCCGCCGGGTATTTTCAATGAGCTCCTTTTTTAAATTGACCGATATTATTAAAATACTACTTGGAAATGAAAGATTACGTCGTTCTTTATACAAGGTTCAAATTGACCTAAAAGGGCTCAATGGCTCCCCCTCTTCAAATTTAATGGGGCCTTTTTTTAAGAAAGGGGCTCAGAGAGGGCCTTCGGAAAGGTTTTCGAGCTGTGAACTTTAATATATTTTGTGTTCGAGCTTATTTGTACAGTGTAGTCACTAAGAAAACGAGGAAGAGAAAAGAAATTGAAACAGTGAGGGACTATAAAGTTCAAAGTGAGTTTTAAAGCGCAACTGTCATATCAATTTTGTTTTCAGTTATGTTTTTGAATACTTTATTTAGAAAATAGTTCTAAGAACGGGCATAAGCAAAATGTATTGCACCGCGTTGACGCTTAGATGTACACTTAAGAGCGGCTTTTTTTTCCGAAGTGCCGAAATCCCGTTAAAGCGCCCACTTAATACAAATTTTGCACCGATTTAAACGGTATCAGCATGAATCCTTCATCAGCACGAAACATTTTGATTTCATCACTTCTCGGCTTGAAGTAAATCTTTAATTGTTAAGGGCACCCTTAAATTAAAAATAGATTCAATTGTGGCTTTTAAATTCATTGAAATCAATGTAAACGAGTATTAAAATTTGACTCTTTGAGGAACAGATAATTTTCCTTTTTGACGAGCGTTGGAATTGTTTTTCAACGATAATAGAAGCGGCAAGTCGAGAAAAGCCTCGTTGAAAGAAGAGATCAAAAATCTCCTTCTTGAGATTATCATGAGTTTAACTTTATCTAAGCGTAACCGTTTTAAATTTAAAGAGAACAGAATGGTTATTTCGAGAATTTTCAAGTTCAGGAGAAGAATGTAAGCATAGTTTACGAGGGTGAAGTTTCTTTCTATTCCAAGTAGGTCAGAGAAACTGGGACAGAAATGTCATAACACGGGGAGAAATCGGAGACGAGAGCCTTAAAATTTGAGAGAACTTGTGTACGACACGCAATGTTAAAGACAATTTACCACCCCTTATGTGATTGTGAAGGTGGTGAACAAACATTATTTTTAGCCAATGAAATCAGTTTCCGCATCAAACCATCGCTTCCAATGAAATGGATATAATTAGAGTTTGTGGAAAGAAAGATTGTGGTATAGTTTATATTCTGTTCTCTGCACGCATAAATTAGCTGGGCTTTGCATATGATTTGTAAGCGATGTGTCACCGACATACGACGGTCTTCCATGTAAACACAGATTATTCAGCAAAGTTTGCACAAATTGTATGGCTGGCTGGTACACTGCTGCGATTAATGATCGTAAAATGAGATCGTTTTGACGACTACGAACTCGGTTTTTAATTAATAGCAACGTGTATACTCGGTGGTAAGCTTCTCACTCAAATAATTCTGTGTATGTATCGGAAGTATTATGGCGACGACAGAGTTACATGTCAGAATCAGCTCGACACCTTCTACAAACGGAGAACCTAGTTTCACGATTTGCACGTTCTGTAACAACTCAACAAATGGGTTCGAGAAGCGTTTATTTGCGACAACACAACCAAAGGGACCTTTTTTTCCTGTCTTAGCCGAGCTACAGGGAAAGAAAACAAAGTTAGACGACCTCGGTCGAGCGGTTGTTTGTGTGGCATGTTTTCATCATCTTTTGCGACAATGGAGCAGTTTCGAACGAAGGGGTATTCCTGTTCGTAAACGGGAATATAATATTATTACAGGTATGCGATTCATATGATTATTCATGTACAAAATTGTTATCTAGAAACATCGGGGCTTTCGCTTGAAATACTTTTGTTACCAGTTTACTAGGGCAGTCTGATCACTACTGGAGACCTTTGTTTGAATTGGATCACCGAGACTAGGTCGATAAAAATGTTGTTAACCACAATTTTATTACCTTAAGCGCCATTCCGTACGCTACCGTATTTACAGACCGCCTCGGTTGCAAGAAAGGTTTATTTACGTCTACCGAGAAAAGCTTTCGAAAGGTGATTTTATTTTCGAAAGTATCTGTTATTCAAGCATATGAACAAAAGGAACTAATTTGTCTGAAATCAAGCGTTGAAACACATCAATGAGTTTATTCTCGTGGGAAAAAAGCTTAGGCTCTTGTTAATTTGAATTTGTTTCCATTCATTTTCAAATGTATTTGTCTGTCAGGTCGTCCTATTCCATTAACTTATAATTTACTTTTTAAACAAACTTGTAAAGAACCTTTTAAGCACTGTCTTCTAAAGTAACAGACAAGACATGGTATTAAATGCAACAACTAAGATGTTTTTATTTACTCTTTGTGAAACATATCAGCATTAATACGACCTCGGGAAGACAATGTGAGGTACATTTTGTATTTTCAACCTCTCCAAATTGATATTTTTTTACATATTTGTGTCCGTTTAACTTTGTGCATAAGCAGATAATGTTTTAACTCTGTATCACATGAAATATAGAGAACTCGAACATTGCATAATTTGCATATTTCCTGATGGGAAATTGGGTATGTGAATTTAATTAAACGTAAATTGTGTGCACTTAAAATAACTGTTTACCTAGATTTGCAGAAGCGGGTTCCATCCCTTATCAAAGAAATGCCTAAAGAACGAGCTATGGCTACCCAATATGTAAAGACACTTGCACCAGCAGACACCCTTAAATAGCTCGAGATTGTTCTTTTCCTTCAATCAGTCAGTAAAGTTCAAATGCCAATGCTCTCCATTTAAAAGAGCTCTTCCATTGAGTGTCGTAAAACAAAGACCTAAATAAACTAAACGACCATTCATTACAATGGGAAATTGTCTCAACCCTTTAAGTCCTTGGAGTGACGAGCATTTAATTTTTTCCTTGCAATATCACCCCTGAATGAAACATTAAAGACACAAGAATAAAGGAAATGATCACAAACTAAAGAAGCTCTTGATTATTAAACAAACTTTTCTTGTCAGCATCTGTACAGAAAGCAGTATGGAGAGTATGCATACCGATGCACGCTGATGCCAGGGTATAATTGGTTCAAGAGTAAGCCAGAACTTAAAGTGGAAAATACTGACTGCCTTAAGCACCGAAAAAACAGCGGTGTACGAGTCACAATTGTTTTCTGATTGGTTGAGAGAGTGACGCGAGTTTTCTTGACCGATTAAAGAGCAAAGTAAAATAAGCCAAAGCCACCCTGGGTTGCTTTGCTTTCTCAGTTGTAAATTACTTTATCATAAATTTCTTGAGATCTTAGCTTTGAGAAATGTGGTGTATATCTATTCCTGATGATAACATTCAGGGAAGCCACACACCAGGCTCAGGTTACATTAATCTCTGGAAAGAACCAGACAGCTTTAGACTAAAGATAACCTCAAAGAGAATTCCTTAAGGCCTTCAGGGGGAGATAAACCTCGTAGCTACAACCTGAATCACCGGGGATGGAAAACTGAATCGGTCAACATTGCACCATTGTGACATAATGTTTTTTTTAAGTAATTTCCAACTTTGAAAGGGTGAATCAGGACGCCGAAATCTGTTTGGTAGATAAATCTGATAATTGGCGAATTTTTCTTATTTCTTAAACAAACTTTGTCCAAGATTAAAACTTCTTCCATAGCTAAGAAGCGAAGTGAACACAATTAATATGTGTACTATTTTCGAACAATTTTCCTACTGCCTTCATTCTGGCGAGACAACTCAAAAGCGAAACTATCAAAATGATACCAAAATACGCACACGGTAACTGAATGGAAAGAATATTTCTTGAGGTATACGTTCTGAAACTTTATTTTTCGAGGTTGATAATTTGATTAACTGATAGGGCTCGTGAGGTGAGTTTCCTTTCTTATTCAATTAACTTACTTTACCAAGAAAGAGTAAATTGACAAACCAAGCTATCAAGCCACGACATCGCTTGAAACTTCTCTGTTATGGTAATTTTTTTAACAACCTTCAAGGTCAAAAATTACTTTTGAACTTCGGGACGCAACTTACCTGTTGTTTTTGTAATCCCTCATTACAAATTATCTGAGTAGCTCTGTAAGTTCTTTATTTTTAAATGCAAAATTTTAGTTTTAGCATCATGACGGGGTAATTTCTACAAAAGATTCTTCAATTAAGGCTCATTGTTTTCAGTTTTGGAATAGACACAAGGAATTCAAAGTCAATACATTTTTGAGAACCAGTTTGCTTCAGTTTCTTCAAACGATGTATTCTCGTTTTATCCCAAGATTGATATTGTCTTGCAGCCCAACTTACAGCTTTTCCTGATGGATTTTTAGAGAATTATGAATTATTCAGTCGTTAAATTATACTACCCATTAGTATCATGGACCACTGTTACACAATTATGGACGATATTGACTTTTATCTTGCGAAATGCAAATAACTTGCGGTATTTTCTTTCCCGTGCTGCGCGATACAATAATGTTTTGGCTTCTATTATCTTTTCAAGTTTTCGTATTCGTCCGATTTAGTGTCGCTTCAGAATTGATTCTTAGTCAGGCAGCTGTTAAAATGTTTTGGAGTTATTAAAGACTTACTCAGTGCAGTCTTGTCCTGATAACTCTTTCTAATTTTGCAAATGGTTTCGAGATTCAGCAATCAAGATTTTCTTAAAACATCAGAAGTTAGGTCTTGAAGGTAAGAAAGCCTAACACGCTTAAGCTGCTAGGTCATGTATCGAAAAATTTAAGAGAAAACAAGCTTTCCTTGAACATTGTTTAATAATTCACATAAAGTTTGGTCTTGCTCCCTCTCAAGTCTAGCTGAGAGCTTTCCGAAACGAAGACGTACATCTAGTGTATCTTTATCTCAGCCGGAATATTAACAGGTATTCTTTTGCAAGCAGAGCGTATTCATCTTTTTAGCTAGTTAAAAGCTGTACAAGAGCTTAACAGCTGCAAAGGCAGTAGATTTTGCAAAAATAACCTCGTTTGAAGACTTATCTATTATGGAACACTGAACTGTTTTGTGCGAGTAAACGAACCTCGAACCAGATTTGAATACTGGGGAAGGAAATACGCGCGACAAGATATGAGCGAAATAGAGGTCTCAGTGAATGTTTTAAAACTTCATCGACGCTTATTTATGCTAGAGACTTACTGCATGGCTCCCTCAAAATTTAGTAGCCAATAGGGACGTTTTCTTTAAATTAATTTTGAAGGTTTGAAATTTATTCAAGGATGTAACTGACAACCATGTCAAATTTTAGGATTTTTGTCTCCAAAACGCTATAAGCACTTACCATACTATTTCGTTACGGGTCAAAACACGTAATATATAATTCATTTGGTTTATTTTGGGCGTTCACAATGCTAAGTTGTATGAATTCATCATGTTGGCGACAAATCATAATTATTTTTATCGAGTGTTAATGGGCGAAGTTTTCAACGTGAAAATAATTTGTTGGTAAACATAGACGCGTGAACAGAGCATAACCACAGGAATCAAGGACTCTTAGAAGAGACTTCATTGAAGGTGTCAGTAAGTCCAGAAAAAACACACACTTGACTCTGATGATGACTTCCGCTCAGTTTTTCGAAACGTCAGTCACTACAATCAACAACTGTCCTTCTCAGGACTAACCTCACTTGAACGATCAGACTACACAGTCTGTATTCCATCACCAGCGTCTACGAGAGATTTTCATCGTGAAAGTAGCATGTGAGGGAACAGCAAATATTTCACTATTTTTGCGTGCCCTGTGGCCCTATTATTTGGCACATATTTAGCAACTTTTAAACAACTGTTTACAAAGCTTAGTAATGAAGAATCGAGAAGTATTTTAGTGAGTTCAAACGAGTTTATAGTGATTTTAATAAAATAAAACAGGCAGGCCTACAAGTCCAACTCAAGAAGTTTGCAGTCTTGTTCTTACCTGTGTTTATTTGTTTTTTGTTTTTGTTTTTTTCATTTCAGAGGAGCGTGTGAACCACTACCAGGTCAGACGTGAAGAGGAGATACGACAAGAGGCCGAACATAAGATAAAAGAAATTCAGGATCGCGAGGAAAGAATCCGACGAGAAGCCGAAGACAGGTTCGAAAAGTATCGACAGCGTCAAGCAGAGATCCGACGGGAGGCCGAACAAAGGCTACTCGAGGAACAAGCCAAAGCTGAGGAGTTCAAAAAGCAAGCAACATTTCAGCTCAAAGAAGAGCAACAGCGAGAAGAAGAGTTACGACGACAAGCCGAAGATCGAATTCAGGAAGAAAAAGAGAAACGAGAGTACATACGGCAAGAAGCAGAAAGACTCCTTCGCGAAGAGAAGCTATTGGACGCACAAAGGCTGAAGCAGGGTTCCATATCACCAAGCCTTGAGAAAGTAACAACATACCGGACTGAAGTTATTATTCCTTCCACCGTCAAGGAAACTGCACCTTTGAGGGAAATTACAGATAAAGGGGAATCCGAAGAGATGGCAGGTGTAATTAGTGAGCAGGAGCTAGACGCAAGACGCCAGAGGCGCAAAACGATGGAGTACGATCCAGAAACGGGTTGTTACAGAAAAATAACAGCAGATGACGATAAAGAAAATACCTTGGTTGAGACCAGAACAGAGAGGGTGGAATATCGTTTTCGTCTCCGCTCAGACGAGAATGCAAAGGAAACCTCAGAGAAGAAAGATACCTCCTCTAAACCTGACAAAGCATCAGAGGACATCACAGTGTCAATGGAGCCAGTAAAATCCTTTAGTACTGAACAAACTATTGTATTGAACGGTGACGATAAATCGAAGAGGAAAAGTAGTGAAGGCGACACTAGAGGTGAAGAGGACCTAAAAAAAGCTGGTGACATAATGAAAACCAAGTTTGAAGAGGGTCGGAAGAGATTCGAGCAAGAATCAGTTGAAAAAAAGAGGAGTGACTCTTCTAAACAGAGAACGACGAGGACAACATCCGACGACTCTCTAGAGGAGAAGATCAGAGAAATGGAAAAGAGGAGAGAACGACTGCTTCTCAGAGGGCCATCGACAGAATCGAAAGACACCTTGGGTCGAAGACCGTCGGAAGAAGGAAAGGACTCCTCTGTTGTCAGTCCCGGTGAAGATTCAAAGAGTCTGGTTGATGATGGTACTAAGAAGCAGAGAAGTCGCAGTGAACGAAACAAACGGCGCTTAACAGCCGAGGAGATGACTTTTAAAAAGTCTCCTGGCAGCGAAGAGGATTCAACGGGGACAGATGCCGCAAAAGTACCAAAAAAAGATGTCAAAAGCGAAGAACGCGAAATAGAAACGAAGAAAGAAAGTTACAAGATTCAATTGAAAAAGGTCGAGAAACCAGAAAGACCAGTAGAAGAAGACATTGTCATGACTCAGGTGAAAAAGGTTGAGGCCTCAGTTGACCTCATGAGCTGGGACGACTCCACCGATGGACCTACCTACGGTAGCGAGGGGGATCCAGCTCCAGTTGCCCAAACAGAGTTAACGAAGAGGGCTGACAGCACTGAAGGAGAACTGTTTTCCAGACCGTCGAAGCTGGTTGACATGGAAGCCTCTATCAATGTGGTTAAAAAAGGAGATGTTGAGACCGTGCCCAACTCTAAAAATCTTCTAGACCTTGAAGAGGTGAGTAACTTTCGGAGGTAACAGATCCATAAGGCATTAGAAAATATTTCATTTTTTCGCCCTATACCTGTTCAGGGTACCCTGTTATACTCTCCCACCGAAGCAGCACCACAGTTTCTTTAGAAACTTACCCCCTTTATCCCTGTTCATCTCGAAATATCAATGGTTTTACTCCCTTTAAAACTGTTGGGGAGAATGGGAAGGGGGTGGGTGGAGTCCAGAAAGTTAAAATGGATCCCACCAATCAAAGCTAATTGAATAGAAGAGATGCAGGAAACATATATATACCAAAACATACAAGTAGAAAAAAAACACATTTCTTTTGATGATAGGACATTATGAGGACAGCCTTTTAGTGAACTTTACCAATGCTGATCCAGCATTCGCTAACGCACAACTTCGATTTAAAGTAAAAACCAAAGGGACGAAGGTGGTTAACATTAGGGACTTTAAGGGATGAAAATTCGAACATTCCAATTTTAAGAAACCAGGAGAAAACCCTACTTAATGACTACTAGCGGTACTGAGGGGATTAGGAACTTTGGCGGTGAGTTTGGTGCGGGACCGAGCTTGTTGTCACATTAACAATGGCTATTCTTAATTTACACTTTGCATTTGGAGGGTTAAGTTTTGTCCAATAAAAGGCAATTTCAATTAACGATGGTTAGTTTAAAACAATAACATAATTTGATGCTTGTTTAATCCCTCGGCTGGTATTATTTAATCTACATAACCATTAGGCGAATAAGTATCGTAACCGTAAATCGTTCAAATCTGTGGTGTTCTCGACTCCTTATTGAAGTGTTTCTCATGTCGGTAATCTCTTTTAACCAGGCATCAGGTCTGTCATCAGCACCCATCGAGCCCATCTCGACATGGGACAACAGAGGTCGCTCAAGCAATTCCGCCGAAGAAGACCGAAGACGTCGCGAGAGAGAATACGAAGAAAGGAAGCGAAGAATCGAGGAAAACCAACGGCGAGCGGCGAAAGAGCTCAAAGTGAAAAAACTCTACGAAAACGACGTGAAGCCCTGGAGAGGAGAAGAGATCCACGAAGGAAAGCACGATGATGTATCCATAAAGGAAAAGAGGCGTTCGTTGGTGGATATGTGGGAGTCATTTTCTGAGCCCCACACCAATGTGATGTCTTTTGAAGAATACGAAGATGAAGAAATGCCTGAAGAGAGGAACAAAGTCGTGACTCTCGAGAAAAGAGCTGTGTCGGTGAGTACAAGTAAATTTTTTGATTGATAAACGTCACAAAGTTGAACTGAGGGGTAGAAAAATTGCAGCGGTTTGCAGAGAAACTTGTCTGAGGGATTAAGCCAATTTTGGAACTTAAACTTAGCTTAGATTTGCCTCAACTTGTTTAAAATAAACAAACTTTTCAAGGAGGTAAGAATGCTACTAGTCGTCGATTATCTTTCTATCAGTCTTCTCGATCATTATCAAACGGTTCGGAACACACAGTATTGTTGCGTTGATTAATGCAGTTAATTGTTGCTGGAAACTTGTAGTGCGTTGATTATACGAGTCAAAGTAGAATAAGACACTAGACAGGTCAACAGCTCATGAAAATACAACGTCGATAATTTTGTTCAAATTACACAGGTGGGATTTTGACAGCGAAAACTAAGGAAGGTCCATGTACTTATCAAAATTCGATTTCTCTCTTTACGCAAAAGATTGACTCGCAGCAACAGAATTTGAATTTCACACCTTATATCAACCAAAGAGGCTGATGTGTTCCGACTATACAAGTGTTTTACAGTACAAAATGTTCGATAACCGAAACAACAAAAAAATCCAACTTTGTTGTCAATATTTCAAAGACAAAAAAATAATATCAATATATTTCTAGTGCTGACTGTGGAAGCTTAACAAAACGGATTGTAATGATATCAGACCCGAATTCTTGTAGAAGTCCAGTTTTCCCCAGAGACTCCATCAGCGCTATTATTCATACAAATTATTATTCAAAGTTGGGAAAGGTTTACTTTTGATAGTACTTATAATTTCGAGAATACTTAGCTACATATCGAACGTCACGTGAAAGGTAACGATAACGATCTGTTTATGTGTGGTATGAAAGTCTCTGTTCGAATTTTCCACCAAATTGACCTACATATAGTCTTTTTTTTAAGAATAAGGTTTACCATTACTGAGGTACGCTAAAACTGTTTGACCAGATCTTTTGTTTTTACTTTGCCGAATGACTACCAGGTATACTTTGAGTGATTTTTTCACATTCATACAAATACTCCCCAAGTTTATTTTCATTTGTTTGTAAGAAAATCTAAAAAAATAAACGAGAAATAGTTATTTGATCTCCTCTCTGACAGTTTCACGGTCTAAAGACTTCATTAGCAGTCTCTCTATTGTCTGTTAAGATAAATGACAAGTTTAGATGAATTAAGAGAGAGATTATGCAGTGCGTTAAGACAGGTTGAAATTTTAGCAGTGCTCGTCCCACGTATAACTGATCTCACCTTAGTTATTCCCACTTGGATTTCTTAAGTGCCCCTTGAGATATTTGCATAACACGCATGTCTGTACAGGTCCGTTTGATAAAAAATCGCAAGGTTTCTCATGCTTGGGAGTAGCGGCGAGCTAAATTATACCAGAGTTAACAGTTGAGATGGTTTCAATTTGATTTGGCGAGTAGTTTGATCCGTTGAAAGAGAAAGACGACGAAGGAGACATGGAGGTCGAAGTTATCACCACAACACGACCATCTGCGGACACGGACATCAACCCAAATTTGACTGCGGAGGAACAACGATGGGAGAGCGCTGGACAATTCCAGCCAGGCCGGCTACAAAAAACTGTGTTCCACAGCTTGTCTGAAGCGGCCTCTGTCGACGAAAAACCGACACCAAAGCCTCGTAAGAGTCGATACGACTGGATGAAGGGGGAGACAGAAGATGACCAAGCGGCGCTTGTGCCAACGAAGTTAAAACTTGACCGGCAGAGTAATCAACTTGAAGATGGGACATTCAGGTGAGAAAATTTTAATAGTCTCTCTACCAATCTTTGGCAATTTTGCCGACCGTTGCACTGAAAATACAACCGACTGCAGTCGAAACAAGCAGACGAGCACGTATCTTAATCACGTTCAAGGACCGTTCCACTTGCCTGACCTCCATTGCAGTTAGATTATCAGAATTCCTGGATTTTTCTTTTAACGTTAAAGTAATGCATAAAACGCTATATTTTTTTTTACATTTGTACCGCAATATTCATGGCCAATACTCGAGGGAGAGCTCTCGCTTAATCCAAACGGCACGTAGTGTTGGTTTAAGGATTTAAAACCTGAATTCCTGAATCGACTTGTGGTTTTGAGTTTCACAGCTGCGTTAAAATCAATTATTGCTAAATTGTGTTTTTTGAATGACTTTTTCACCGACAAAGTAGACTTGCGGTCGCATACGTTTGACTCTTGATTGTTTTAATGGCTGTGCGTGGGTCTAAAGGGCCTGAAAATACTGATGAAAAATTCCTGTCAAGTATTAACGAAATGTTATATTTGATATTCTTTGTAGAATTTTGTAAATGTTTTAAATATGTTGTTTGTAGTATGGATGACTAATTCAAACACAATGCTTTTATTTACATGTTCACCTCATTCATCGTTATCATAAATACTGATTTAGTATTTTTAAGCAAACTACAGTGGTAATTATTTCAAGGAGATTTGTGAAATGATGTGTAGTTTTGAATTAGCATTTAACTCGGTAGATCGTCACGCCACCTGTCACGCGGTATGTCACGCATTATTTTACTAAAATCAAAGACCAAATTCATGTTAACCTTTTAACTTCCATATTAAATTTGTAATTCTCCTTACTGTCAACCATACAATTCTTATAATGTGGGTTCAGAGAATTGAGTATTGGACCAACTAATAATCTTCAGTTAATAGTTTTCTTTATTCTCATCACTTATCTGGTTGATATTGTATTGATATTGTAAGGAGAAATTCTGTCTTGGTCACTCATGGGAGTTAAAGGGTTAAATTAAAAGCAACTGGAGAATATAACAAGACTCTTGAAACAACTCATACTTTGCCTCTTCCGTCGAGATTGAAATTTCTTTTAATTAATTTTCTTTTCCATATGTTTACAAACATTTCCTGTTATTTCCCTTTTCAGCAACGGTCAAGACAGAACAAGTCCACCCGAGGTAGCTTGAATATTTGTTTAAGATTCTTTAAATGATACAATTTTATCTCATAAAGCAGTAGTATCGTTGTGTAACTGTTCCATTTCCTTAGCCTGTTTGAACCTTTCGGTAAAGTGCAGGAATAAGGAACGTTTACGTACAAGTTAAGTAACGTATACTCTGGAATGGAATGGACTGGACTGGACTGGACTGAACCGTACTTAACCGTACTAATATCCCATTCACACTGGCAAAAAAGTGTTTAGTTAAACCGGATTTAACTGAATGAAAACAAGAAACAGAGAAACGAGGAACCGAATTTTCCATGGGATTCAAGTAGTCCCTTACTTGTATGTTCAATGTGCTGCATTTGAAATCGACAAACATCGGTTCAAGTAGCTTCTATGAAGTAAAAAATCTCAATCGTATTACACAAAACGCCTTCAAAAAATGTTGAAGCTTTGGTGTGAATGGGGTATATGTTTAAATGAGACAATGAAATAAGGAAAGGCAATTGAAAGTCTATTTTGATTTTTTTAGACCAAGAAGTTAGATTCTACGCGATATGTACCGTTTAAAGAATTAGAAGCGACAACTTTGTCTTGTTTAGTATTAGTTTTTACATTTTATGTTAGAGCTTTGAATATCAATTTCACTGCATTTCCCACAGTGAATCGAGACTAGAGAAGAGCAGGCTGACAGAAGACGCGCGAAAAAGGATTCGCGTGAGAAACGAGACGCGCAGAGGACAGGATGCGTGTAGCAAGACTGCTAAAATATCTCCTTCTGACATATAACGCAAGTCTGCTTCTCGTGAAAATACGCTCTAAAATTTTCACTTTGTTTCACTCCTTAGCCAGTCCCAAGGAAGGTCAAGACGGAAAGCCATGATTTAAAAAGCAGCAGCGAGAGCGAAAGCGAAAGCGAGAGTAATGAAGGAAGTGACAGCGAAAGTGATAATGAAGAAGAGAGGGATACCGTTGAAGTTCTCAACTCACAACTCACAGAGGAGGAGAAACAGTGGGAGCAAGCGGGAAATTTCCAACCCAAAAAGCTAAATCTTTCTCTATTTGCTGGGTTTCAACAAGCACCTGCGAATGCAGCAGACAGACTGGCACCAAAGAAGACACAAGGAGCATCCCATCCCTCGCAGTATAAAAAGCCACTTGTGAACAATGAAGAAGAGATTCCCGCTCCGGCTGAAGTGAAAGTTCAGGAAACTGAGCCAGAAATGGAGGACATCAGGTAAATTATTTAAGGTTTTGGGAACAACTCTTGGCGCAAAATCACTTCATTACATTTGCTTACCGTCACGTTTGGTTTGGTTTGGTTATTTTCTGGTACGGTGTAGTTTTACAAGAATATCAGCGGACACTTGAACCCCTTAGAATGACTTGGATAAAATTTCTCTTACAACAGCACCCCCAAATAGCATATTAAGGCCACAAGAATATAGGAATGATCACCGACTAAATTCTCCTCATCAGCACCTTAGGAAATGTATACAGAAAGCATGGAGAATATGTAAACTGATTTTAGGGTGTGAAGGGTTCACTTCAAACACGTGTTTCGTATTTCTCCTTTTCAACTGTGTTACGTTTTCTTGTTGATCAGTTAACCCTTTAAACTCCAGGATCTCATTAGTAATTCTCCTTACTGTCTGCCATATAGTTCTTGTGATGTTAGTTTGGAGAATTTGTTATTGGATCGACTAATAATCCCCTAGTTAATATTTTTCTTTATTCTCATCACTTTCTGCTTGATATTGTATTGATATTGTAGGGAGAAATTATGCCTTGGTCACTCATGGGAGTTAAAGGGTTAAGGAAACTTGCTACCAACTTATGATTTCCCTTGTAGCTGTTGGGTGTCTTTGTGCTCATTTCCTACGTGCTAAATAATGTATTGATTTTTCAAGAAGACGTTGCATGTTAACCCCTCTACCCTAGAAAGTGTCTAGCACTTGATTTCTCTTTACAGTATCACTAATGAATTAAACATTAAGCAAGACTAACAGATGTGATCGCCAACTAAACTATCTCACGATTGTTGGACAAATTCTCCTTGTCACTACCCAAAGAAATCCTTTACGTCACACTTGCAACTAATCCATGAAATCGGAAAGACATCGATTGCTGCACTTTTCATCCCAGAAATGGAAATATTTTAAAGATGTTTTCATGCAATCAATCCTTCACGCCGATCATCATCTGTTCAGAATTCAATTGTGTCTCATGATGATGATATGATCTCTGAGTTTTAAATCTATCGACCATACTTCATTTAATTTTCAAATTTTTTTCAAAGAGAAAAACAGCTCATTTAATTTAAGATTTTTTTTCTTTGCAGTCCGGTTCTTGAAGTAAAAACAGAGACAGAGGTAAGGTTCCAATGTTATCTTGTGATTATTTTTTCTACACCTTAGAATTCAATCGCCTTAGGATGTTCTGCTGTAGGAAAACGAGTTGAAAGATTTTTTTAACGCACTGGTAAAGTTGTGGGCGAACTTGTTTCACTGCAGGGGGCGAACTCGCAAAGGGGGCGAACTGGTATCGAGAGACACTTTTTCACACAATATCCCAAACAGATCGAAGTTATTAGAGAAAGAGGATTCGAGAGGGTAATTTAACAGTAATGCATTTAAACTCGTCATGAGTATCTTGCTAATGCTGCAATCATTAACCTTTTGGCGAGATGTACTGGTGAAGGTGAATAGTATGTTAATGAGAGTAAAATATTATTTAATAAAAGCGCAAGATGCTGTATACAACACAACTATTAGCTTATAATCTGCGCAACAGCACCGGCTAAATCACATTAATAAACAAATGCAAAACTGACTACAAACTGTTCTTACTGCTTTTAACGCATTTAGGAAATATATTGTTTTGTTTTCTTCGTAATGGCAACGAATTATTTAGACGACTGCAACTAATAAACGAGCTTTCTAACACACAGTTTACTTGTTTTGTTTTTAAATGTGAGCTTTTTGTTTATTTTAAACACCAGACTGTTAAAAGTAACTTAAGCCTGCGCATGCGCTGCTGCTGCTGCTTATTGCGTTGTTGTATACCTGGCTTAATTTCTCTTGAGAAAGAAGACAACCATAGCTCTTGGAGAGGAGGGCATTGAGAGCTATCACTTTGACTCCAAATACCGGACAAAATATCCAATAAAATTCAAACACCAAATCGAAATAACTCAACCCAAAGGTTCGAAGATTTTAATCTAACTTTATAGTTTGGACTATTTTAAAAACGATCAAAAAACCATTTAGATTTAAGAAAAAAAAAAACCACGGAAACCGCTGCGGATGTCAAAGCCACAAAAGAAGCGACTTTGAATAGAAAAGATCGAAAAACCGATTTCGAAAATTACCAATATTGAAAACAAAAAAACCAAATGCCCTCCTCTCAGTTCGATAGCTAAACCTCATTTAGCGGCTAAACTTTATTAATCACTTGTAGCCTCTCTCATCTTCGCTTTACACCTACACGTATGAGGAGGAAAGTGATGACGACGATGACATTCCCGGTTGGAGAAAGGTAGAAGAGCAACGAAGACAACAAGAACGAGAGGAAATCGAAAGAGCAAAAGAGGAAGAAAAAAGACGACGGGAACAAGAGGCCATGGAAGAGGAGTCACAAAAGCAACCTGATTCAAGTGACGATGAGTTTGAAACCAAAGTACGCACAAAGGAAGTCAGAAAGATTAATCCAAATCTGTTGTTTCAGTTCATGAAAGAGGCAGACAAAGAACCAGAGAGACCCCTGAAATCGTCGAAACCCAAACAGCAACAAATAGATGTATCCAGTGTCTCGTTGTCAGAATCTACACCCGTTGTCGACAACCCCTCCGAAGACGGCTATGCAGGAGACCAAGAAAGAGAGGTGGAAGATGAGTACGAAGAGAAAGTACGGAGCGGACAAGTAAGAAAGTTGAAGCTGGTTAACAGTCCTTTTCTTCAATCGAAGGAAACGGAGATTGCTCCTGACTACCGTCGGGATGAGCCCCGTAGCTCTCGAATTATCAAAGACGAGATCTACGTAGAGAAAGTTGAACACTCGACTGTCGAGTCTGCGCCAAGGAGAGATTGGGAAGAGGAGGCAGATGAGGTATTCAAGCATGCCGCTGTCCTTAGCGATCCACATGAACGCGATCATACGTGTTTTGTTAGTACCAAGTAGTTGACAATTTTTTGTCAAGCGACTTATCAACGCGAACCATACACTAAATTCGTAAGGCGGCCTTTAGATTACGTATTGCAATCGAAATCACACTGTTCTTTAGTTTAAAAAAATGTACACCTGTGGAGTGATCCGGCTTGCTAATAACAAACACAAGACAGTGTAATATTGCTGTTCCGCAATTGCATCATTGAAAATAGTCACGTTTTGTTTGTTCGATGTTTTCTGTTTCACACTAAAGACCAAACGGCGGCACCCATGCAACGCCCTATCACCTAACACCTACTGGTGGTTTATAATTTAAGTTCAAAGTGCTATGGTCCTTCGTGGGAATTGTTTCAATGATGACGCAACTCCCTTATCTGGTATCAATAAATTTAAGTATTGCGTGAAAAATCATTGCAACAGCTGTAAAGTAGACTAACATTAAACCACCGTGGTATAGACCACTACTATGAAATATGAGCGCAAAAATATTCCTTACGGAATAGAAGTCGAGTTGGTGTCAGTGAACAAGTTTTGCACATTTTCTTAGACGTGATTCGTCTTTTTTTTTTTTTTTTTGTCATTAGCCTGAAGTCGACAACATTGCTGGCGCAACTTTGGAGAGTTACGAAGAGGAAAGTGAAGATGATGGTGTTCCTGAATGGCGCAAAATGGAAGAAAAACGAAGACAACAAGAGCTGGAGGAAATTGAAAGGGCCAGATTAGAAGAGCAAAGGAGACGAGAACGGGAAGCGCTTGAATCCAATGAACAGGAGGATGAAGATTCAAACGATGATGAATTCGAAGCAAAAGTTCGAACCAAGGAGATTCGAAGAATCAATCCTAATCTGCTTGTTCAGTTTATGAACGAGTCAAAAGAAGAACCCGCAAGTGATAGAAGACCCAAACAGGAAATCGTAAAAACTCAACACGTGTTGGTGACGGAAACCACGTCCAAGGATGACAGCGATCATGAAGATGCTCTGGAAAAAGATGACGAGTTTGTCGAGGATGAATACGATCTCAAAGTGAAAAAAGGGCAAGTGAACAAGCTTGTCCTTGACAACAGTCCTTTCTTGCAAAAGCAAACCAGAAACGAGACACCTGTTTTGCAAACGAAATCAGAACCAAAGACTAGTAAAGTACCTAAACAAGCCTTGCAGGATTCTTTTGTGCGGGAAGAAGAGCTTGTTCAAGTAATTGATGAGAAAGTTGTGGAGTGTCAACCAGACTTGGGTTTCCGTGAAGGAAACGAACACGATGAGTACGAGGTAAAAGTTAAATCCAAACTTGTTAAGAGGTTAAGTCATGACCAGTTCCATTTTCTCCGCAAGCAAGAAGAAGAGGAGCGTAAAAGGCTTCAAGAAGAGGAGCGACGTCGAATAGAACGCGAGGAACGCGAATTACTTAAAAAAGAGGAAGAGCGTAGAAGAAGGCTAGAGGCTGAAGCCCGTGCTAGAGAAGAAGAGAGGATTCGCAAAGAAGAGGAAATCAGAAGGCAGGAAGAAGAAGCGAAAGCTCGTAAAGAGGAAGAAAACAGGCGTCGGCGTGAAGAGGCTGAACGAGTTAGAAAGGAGGAGGAAGAACGGTTACAAAGAGAAGAAGAAGAGGAGCAGATGCGCATGGAGGAAATGCGGAGGCAAAAGGAAGCAGCTAAAAAGAAATTTCAGACCGGAATTTTTGATGATGTTCCTGTGACTCGTTCTGAGAAGGATATATACAGCGTGGGGCGTCTTGATGCGAATAAGTTCTTGCAATTCCAGCAAAGTCCTACGGAAGAACCAAAACTGAAGTCAAAAGCGCGGTACGACCAGAAGGTAACAAAAGAACCCAAGGTACCAGAAGCTGTTGTAGAAACTGTTCAAGTGGCATCTGTTGATTTGATTGAAAGCAGTCCTTATGAGAAAGATGGAGGATCTTTGCTATCCGAAGACGCAGAATACGAAGAAAAACGAAAGAGTGTGGGAAAACTGGACAAGGAGTGGTACATTTTACAGCAACGAAAGCAAGCGGAAGAAAATGAGCGGCGAGCCAAAGAATTAGAAGAGCAAAGGCTAAGAGAAGAACGTAATGAAATATTCCGGTTTCAGGACGACGATTCCACTCCAGAAGTTGTTGGCACTTTGGAAAAAAGAAGAAGCAAGCTTAGCGCCGACAAGTTTAGTGTTTTTGAACAGGATGCTGTGGGAGGGAACAGTAGACCCGGAAAAACCCAAAAAGAAGGTTCAATTATGGTTAAAAAGAGGGAAGAAGTTCAATCTGCACCTGCAGAAATAAAAGAGTATGAAAGTAATGGAAAGATTAATCGAAAGAATTATGACGATGACAATGTTATCATTCTCGGAATGGATGATTCCGAAACAGTCCAACGGAAAATGCGTCTCCAGCGAGAAAGAGACGAAAAACAACTGCTTCGCCAAGAGGAGGAAAGGAGAAGATTGCTTGCCGAGGAAAGTTTGGACTACCGTGACAGTGAAACAGAGAGTGATAAACCCAAGAGTGTTGGAAAACTGAATTACCAACAATTCTCTGTGTTCCAGCAGGAAGGACCAGTCGCTCCGATAGCAAAACCGCGCAAGCAGGACCCGCAAGTGATCCAAGAAGTGGTCAGTGTCAAAAGTCAGGAGGTAGTTGAAAGCTCTCCAGTCGATATGAACGAAGCTTATGCCTGCCACGGGGGTCCTGCTGAGACGCAAGAAGATGTTGAGTATGAGAAAAAGATCAACGCAGGCCAGAGACTTGATGTGGAAAAGTTCTTGAATGCCAGGTCTCAGGAGTCAGTAGAGAGAACACAACGTGCTAAACGAATGGCAGAGGAGAGAATGCGTCAGGAGCAGGAAGAGCTGGCTAAGTTAAGATTAGAGGAACAAAGGCGGATGCAAGCGGAACTAGACGGGGGCTATGAGAAAGAAAGTGATCTTATTCAGCCGCTGGAAACCGAAAGTAGGAAATCTATAACCGGCTCCGATTCTGAAAGGTCACGAAAAGTGTCCATTGAAAGAAAAACGTCGACACCCATGGAACATGAGCCAGAGAGTACCGAAAAAGGTGTTGGTGTTGGTGTTGGTCGTTTACCAGAGGAACTTCGTTTACAATTTGAGAGTGATAGCAAAAATACAAGTTCAAGACGACAGTCCACTAAAATCAAAGGCTCAAGATCACTGACAGACGAAGAATCGACAAGGACAAACTCGATTGAGAGTCTTCGCAGTATTTCTGGTGAAAGTATGTCTTCTGGGGCGCGAGAAAAAGACATGAATGGAACTGCTAGTATCACTGAAAAATTGTCGTCCTTAGACAGGTAAGTACAATTTAATTTCAAACCTTGTAGTAATATACTGATTTTATTCTTAGTGCTAGACTCACGGTCCATTAAGAGCTCATTTGGAAACTTCTGGCGTAACATACCTGTGTGAGATACCAATAAAAATCGCTTAGTTGATTCGTAATCAGGTTTTTCCAATGCAGAATACGCTTGAAACTTTCAGCTTTTACAGAAAATAGCAAACCAAAACTGCTATGATTTGGAGGACATGTTTACCTTCACGACCTACATTTATATACCACGAATGCTTTCTTTCAGGAGGGAGTCCAATCAGGAAGTTCAAATGGAAGACAGAACAACAGAGGTGTGTTTCATAAACTTTTCCACACATTATTTTAATACATTACTTTTGGATCTGTCCTCTCGCCAAAAGAAGTAAACTATCTATGAATGAACAGACAACCTAGCTAATTTCCAACCAAGATGACCGGAACGAATGAAAGCCTTTTATTAGGATACATAGACGTTTACTTTGTGACATTTTCAAACATGTAAATAGAATATATCACATATTTCAACAACCACACAGTAATCTTTTTTTAAGTAAAAAATTCAAACAAAATTCCAGTCATCGGAACCGTTCCACTGCTATCAGTAGAAGACGTAGTAGAACGGCGCCCAAGCAAAACTACATTTTGTGAGCAACTCATGGGCCAGTTCCAAAAAAACCAACAGATTAGCATTAGTTTCACGAGAAATAAGTTCAGATGTCGGATTTCACAAGATTTCGCTACTTTTTGGATGATTCATGTTTGCTTATGCCTGGATATAGTTTTGGCTTCGAGTTCCAGTGACACAGTTGTTGAACTATACACCTGCTATGATAAATAATCATAAGGTTTCCTGGTTATAGTCTTACTCTCCAGAGGAAAAACCAATTCCTAAGAAACTCAACACGAGTATGTTTGCTGCCTTTGAGAAGAGCGACCGCGAACCAGTACAGCTTCGGCGTGCAAAGAGCGAGAAGCGTGCCAGACCCAAGAGCATTGGAAACGTGGACTTATTGATATGGCAAGATGACGCTAATCTTTCCCATCCTCCCACCGACGTTTCAAGAGGGGGGTCTGGGCGCCAGCCACGACCAAAAAGCATTGCATTTTGAGCAACGAATGTTGGCCAATAATCGATGAAACATATCATGATGTAGTAATTATACGTTTAATTGTATAGCTATAATAATTGCGATAAACTTTGTGCGAAATTTGAACAATTGGGTTGGTCCGAATGGCGAACGATCCACGTTTGATTAAATTTCGTTTTGAGAGCTCTTAATATTATGATACAAAAGGTGTAGGGGGGGGGGGAAGGAGGCACATCTCGCTTTAACATGTTCAGTATACTTCAAGATAATTCAATACAACACTTACCCAAGTGCTATTAAAAGCATCTTTTTCACGTGATTAGATGTATGAAACGTCATTTTTCAACAAAAACAGTTTTCATATCGTTAAGCCAGGGTATGACCGCTGAAAAAAAGAAAAGAAAATGACAAAAAAAATAGTCGACATCATAGCAAAATTTCGGCAAAGGTTAAATATGTTTCCAGTGTTAAGTTAGTTCCTAATTTTTTTACTTAAATTTGTAAGTCAATTTAATCAACCTTTTGTTAATGACCAAGTCGACAAGAAAGGGTTAGAGTTTTATAGAATGGAACTTTACGATGGGTTATTGGCTGTCGACATCTTGCGTTACGCATAACTCCAAGATTACAGAAATGTCGAAGATGTAAAAAATTCGTGGAGGTTTTTTCATAAGTTTGTAACCAGATAAAACATTAGCACCGAAAAATCACTTTAAATCTTTACTCTTAATATCTGATTGTTAATTCTCCCCTCCAGCTGCTTCACATTTTCTTGTAAATTAGTTACGAGAATTTGGTGTTAGATCAAAATAACAACTTCTACCTGTTTGCTGAATAATGTATGTTTTTTTAATAGCGGGGAGAAGTTTCATATCAGTCACTCGTGGAAGTTGAAGGGAAGGGTTAATATCCTTTATGAAATCATTATCGTCTTTGTCGGCGTATGTATCAGTAATGAAAAATGATAAGATATCGTAGATAGTTATACGTGTATAAGCTCTGAAGTAATTTAGAACATTTTCAAAATCACTCTTTGAGGGCCCATGATTCTAAATAACCCACTGAGGGCCCCATACTTAAACGAACCCTTCTAATATCACCCGCTAAGAGCCCCATACTTAAGCGAACCTTTTTAGTATCACCCGCAAAGGGTCCACTACTTAGCTTTACTCAAAATCCCCGGTTTTCGCCCAGTCAATATCAAGATCAGAATTCGAAATAATGGTAGATTTTGGTTCAAACAGGAAGACCTATAATATAACAAGGTCGTCAATTGAAAGATCGTTTTAAGAGAAAATTTCAGCTTTACAACAGGCGAACAATATACTCAGAGAAAACAGAGGTAGAAAATCAAAGCTGACCGATTCATATTGTTAAATTTTCGCCCGCTAAACAACTCTACAAATTGCAGAAACTGTCATTGGTGTTTTCTTTGTAGGACTTGACTTATTTGTAAGTCAATCATTTGGAATAAATAATTTAAATTAAGTCTGAGTACTTGTCTTGATTGCAGTGTTATTTGCGGAGATTTTTTATTTTCTACTTTCAGTCGCTCTAGCCTTGCTTTTCTGCGAGATACAATTTTCGACGACACAAAAATATGTAAGAATGAACCTTCGAGGTAACTGATGGTTTCACTAACGACCAGTTCGCTAATGTCTCAGGTCGTTTCGCCAACGTCTTATAGGTCGTTTTGCTAACGTAGTACAAAACGTTCAGTGAGTTCATTGGTAGAACTTGATCGACTTCTAATCGACCGAAAAGTCGTAGGGGAAGTCAAATACAAATTGAAAGTTGATTCCATACATGTAATCACTGTGACTTCAACCAGTCGATCTCAGTCCATTTTCGGCCAAAGGTACACGTATATTTACGGTACATTTCATTTGTCGCGACTTCGAAGAAAAAAAACTTTAAAGAGACGTTAGCGCAGTAACCTAGAACGTTGGCGACACGATCCACGAAGTTAACGAATGCAATTCACCTTTGGATGGCCTGCATGAACGATCCTTTATTGTTTTAGTAAAGCATGTTTGGTTCACTCCGCGGTCTCCTTGAACGTCCCGGAAATTTTAGCACTACTACAAAACGATGTTGTGGTACCCTTTAAATTGGCTTATTCCCGCTCCCCGGTAAAAAGTGGATGCGTGTGATCTCTGCTTTAACCATCACGCATGAAATAATTTTCTGGAGGCTACTCAAAGGAATTCTGGACATCCGTAGTCCTCAACTTAATATAATAAAGTACTGCAATTCTAAGAGACGATATCTTTGCTGCTAAAAAGCAGACGCCTCCAATACTAAAAACGTGGCATGCCATTTGCGGTGAAGTCGTAAGTCGAAGATAATGAAAACTTAAATGTCATCTGAAAGTCTTCCGGTGTTCTTTTAAACAATTTACTTTGTTCTCGTTATTTGAATTTACTGGAATTATCGATATCTCCCAAAAGTGCAAATGATATCACTTGTGTTAACTAAGCATAGGTAGTTCGCAATACGTCTCTGTACTCCCGGGGTGACATCTGCGTCACGAAAGTTATAATTATCATGATATCACTAAAAACTCGGCGGGGACCCATTGCACGGAAGCAATTAGTTCCAGTTCATCCACTTTGTTTTATAGTGACCCCAGTTGCTTACGTCTCTGATTTCATTGATGGCAGTTGCTAGGGATAAAATCGAAGTCCTTGAAGGCAAGATCAATATCAAAATGTTGTGTAAAACCGTGGGAAAAGTATACAATAAGAATGTACAATGCTATGAGAGAAAAGAGAGTACTTTCTTTTACTTATTCACCTGTTTTTCGCTCACCAGGCATGCAGATAATTCTTGAAAGTTCCATAAAGATGGACGAGTGAATGGATTCAAAATTCAATAATTAGTTGTTAAAAAGCGGTATAGCTGTGTTTATCACTGATTTAAAAGTAAGGGGTAGTTATATAAGATGCAGAATCATTGATCCACATTAAATTTTCCTGGAGTCATATAAATCCAAATTTACTACCACCTGGAGGTCTTTAGAAAACTAACTGACAAACGATTAAATACATCGAAAATTTCCAGCTTGTGCGTGCAAAGGATTAACAAATTGGTAATGTTCGTGTTACAAATTCCGTCGGTTTTCCTTTACTTGGGAATAACCTTCTTGGGAGAAAGCAACTTCAAAGAAACCGTGGGAAATTGGCCGAGTTAGTCATGGTCGAATGAAGATGTCATTATCCTCAACAAAGAAAGTGATTAGTGCATTTTTTAATGATAATTATTAAAAACAGTACAGGAGAATTCAAACTTTTATCAGCAAAAATAATAGAAAATCGACAAAACAAACGGACAGCAAACGGTTCCATACTGTTTTTAGTTCTTGCGTTGCGAATCAATTAGCAATAGTGGTATCGTTTGTGGGCTGGAAAGTGGAAATTCGGCCAAAGAGGAAAGTGGGATGTGTTAAAACAAGACCGGCTTCACGCATGAGGCAGAACCTTCTAGTTGCCATAATTATCTTTGGATCAGTCACACTCCAATAACCTTGTCCACTGTTCGTCCTGTTGTTTCGGGTCGTTGCTATATTACGGTCAGTCTCTTAGACTCGCTCAGATGACTTGGAAAAGTTACTAGGTACAGCTTGTGTCAAGAATCAACATATTATAATCAAGTTGAGCAGTGCGGTTCGTTCGTTCCATTTTCAAGTCCTCTCCAAGGAAGAAGGTAATATTTTACTTTCCTTTATCTAGAGATCAAGAGAACACTGCATGTCAATAAAGTTGGCGTAAGGAGTGAGAGGCGAATAAACCTCTTTCAGAGGAGCATACGAAGGGAGACAAGACCCTACCTTAATCGTAACACTAGCTATAAAATAAAATGATTAATGTTCTCTACTACAAAAACATAAAAAGCTGCAGTTGTTACATCTTCATTTGAGTGCAGTTTGATAATCACAGAACGTATTTGGAAAAATCTGATAATCTTTGTGTTTACTTCCCCTGATTAATGTTCAGTTTACGGCTTGATCTCTATCAGTTTATTACAAAAATCCTAGAGACTCCGAACTTAGTTAACTCAGTCGGTTGTCCAACTTGTATTTGCTTCTTCACGCTTGGGGAACTCAGGCACTCCATCGAATTCAATCATGTCTCTAGATTGTTCCACACACGAATGCCTAATGTATATTGCAAAATTGTCAAGGATATGTGGCAGGGTGAGAAGGAATATCCATCATCAATTTCAAGCACCTTTTAACGTTATTGTCTTACGGAACTTTCCAGCAAAACAAACCCCAACCTTTCTTTGTCTATTAAAAAACGTAAGAGTTTACACTGATGAAACAAATAATACGACTGTCTAATTTAAATACAATACACAGTTAATTGAAAATAAAATATTTTCGGCTCTTGGAAACGCCACAGATTAGAGAGAATCGGCTTAACGTTTTTGTGTACGTTTCAGTATTTTTGATTGAGCATGCTTGAATTGAACAATTTGCTTGTGTCAACTCAACTAAACAAAAACATAAAGATAAATCCATTGTCGGCAATCTCGTTCTTTCGTAAGGAGTCGAGAAAAGTCAATTAACTACAAACTGTGTTTTCGGCGTTTGAGACAATAAAACTGTTAGAGTAAAGGCTAATGAGAATCGATATTTCGATAAAAATAATTCTAGGGAACGAAGTCTCGGACCAAAATCCAATATACCGATCATTAAGACTTTGGTATTCCTGAACCTTTTCAGAAGACAAGTAGATCTATCAAGGGAGTTGCTAGGAACTTAAGCATAAGACTTGTGGCAAACGGTAAACGACACATGTAAAATTCTTTCATCCGCTTTTTTTTGTACCAAGTTTACTACTTTGAAAGTATTAGAATGAATAATATATGTTGTTTACGATGTTTTTTTTGGGGGGGTTAATTTATGTTTCAAGGGAAAAAAAAACCAAAAAAGGAAATCGCAGGGGTTTTTGCCGTATTCCGTTACTGTGAATGTCATTATTAATAAAGCTTATCTTAAAATCGCCAGTTTATGCTAAAAGTTGAGTTGTATCAGGTTGTGACGCACGAGATCTCACGCATCACCTAAGATAGTAAGTTATGGTGAACAATCGCTCGTTAAACACATAACACAGTTAATTGAAAATAAAATATTTTCGGCTCTTAGAAACGCCACAGATTAGAGAGAATCGGCTAAACGTTTTTGTGTACGTTTCAGTATTTTTGATTGAGCATGCTTGAGTTGAACAGTTTGCTTGTGTCAACTCAACTACACAAAAGCATGAAGATAAATGTATTGTCGGCAATCTCGTTCTTTCGTATGGAGTCGAGAAAAGTCAAATAACTACAAACCTTTTTTTTTGGCGTTTGAGACAATAAAACTGTTAGAGTAAAGGCTAATGAGAATCGATATTTCGATAAAAATAATCCTAGGGAACGAAGTCTCGGACCAAAATCCAATGTACCGATCATTAAGACTTTGGTATTCCTGAACCTTTTCAGAAGACAAGTAGATCTATCGAGGGAGTTGCTGGGAACTTAAGCATAAGACTTGTGGCAAACGGTAAACGACACATGTAAAATTCTTTCATCCGCTTTTTTTGTACCAAGTTTACTACTTCGAAAGTATTAGAATTAATAATATATGTTGTTTCCGATGTTTTTTTTGGGGGGGTTAATTTATGTTTCAAGGGAAAAAAAAACAAAAAAGGAAATCGCAGGGGTTTTTGCCGTATTCCGTTACTGTGAATGTCATTATTAATAACGCTTATCTTAAAATCGCCAGTTTATGCTAAAAGTTGAGTTGTATCAGGTTGTGACGCACGATATCTTACGCATCACCTAAGATAGTAAGTTAAGGTGAACAATCGCTCGTTAAACACGTACTACTGGGCGTAACGCCGAAGAAACACTTTTCTTATTATGGATAACACTAAATAGAAGCAGAGGCAATAAATGCTACCTTATCCACCGTAAAGAGTTCCTACAGCTGACGTTTTGAGCGTTAGCCCTTTGTGGGAGCGAATGATTTAGTTTTACCAAAGAAAACTTGATGAGTGGTCATAAGCTCACAACTTTCTTACACTTTTCCCTCATGGTTTTTCTACCTCACATTGCCTCAGTTCTAAGGAAGGACGTGCGTAATATTTTTCCAAACAGTCCAAAGAAGAAAGATAATATACAGTACGTTGACGACAGTTGAACTGAAAGTTACTAACATTGATTCCGGGAGATAAACATGGAATAAATTTGACTAAAGAGAATTCTTAATGTTATATGAGAGGTTCGGCTTTAAGTGATCGTTCAACATAGGTGGAAGACAATACAAACAGGTCGTTAGGACTCAGTCAAGGGTGACCACGAACACTCAATAAAGGTGACCGCTAAATAGAGGTGAAAATTACCAGCGTTAAGTGGAACAAAATTACGGGACTTCGACAATCGACCGCTTAATACATGGTGACCGCTTAATACAGATTCTATACTACTGTAGTATGTCACAATTCTTTCCGTATCAATTAAAAATATAATTAACCTATTGGCCCGGCAGGCTAGAAACCACTATATATCAATTGATTTAAGTATTCATAGATCAAACTCAGATCAGATCAAACAAGAAATAATTCCTCTAAATCTCCGCTCGAGATTTCGCAACGTCCAATAGGAACCAATCCCACACTCAATCGCTATATTCTTCACTTTTTACGCAGCACAACAACGAAAAAATCTCCGAATTCATCCCATGACGCCGCTTGGTTAAATAACACAAGGGGAACCCTTCCTTCCACCTCAAATTGAGAAAAAATGTCACAAATTATCACGAGAAAGGTGTTCACGTATTCCAGCGCTTCAACACAGCACCCGATCGAAATAACAGGCGAGGAGGACACCATCCTAAATCCAGAAACGTTTCCTTCGAGTTACGAAGCAGCAGTTGCAGAAAGTCCACACAGTGAAATAGACCAAGGAGGTGGAATTGCCTTCAAAATTCATGGCAGTAAAGATGCTAATCCAGCATATACAAAACAAAGTTCAACAAAGATCGTTCGGACACTAGTTACGAATAAAGAAGAGAAGAAACAGCTCGCCAACGAGGCAGCGCTGAATATTACAACAACAGTAAATTCTAATACTGAACAAAGGCTTGCGAAATTACAAGAAAATATTCAAACAACGAATAGACACTCAACCAGTGCAGCCAACGAAGACCCTGGAAAACACACCAACGTGGACTCTACTAATATAACAGCTACCAGCAGACGAAGGTCAAAAACGAGTTACACATACAGAGTTCATGATGGCATAGCAGTGTTGGAAAATGTAACAAGATACCAGCCTGAAACGCAAACAATCACAAACTTTGCGCGCGAAAAACCAAAACATACAGAGATATCCAATGTATCCTTTGAAATAAATACAGAAGACCTGGCAACAAACCAAGACCATGACGTTCAAAAACAAAACACTTTCAGAACAAATCTGGCCTTTCAATCCAAGCCCAAGACGATATTTACGCAAATGGATATGGTCTCTAAATCAGAAAATAGAGCCGTAAGAGAAATATCTGGTAATCGTCATACTGAGGGCATTGGCCAACCATCAACAGACGCAGAAAAAAGGAAACAACTAAAATTAACCACCCGAACTACGGCATACCATGCCACAGCACAAAATTCATCCCAAGGAGAAAGGCAACTTATTGACACCCCCCAAGAAACCCAGAAATCACCAAAATACTCTTACTCAGTCACAAGCCCAGGCCCTTCTCATAAGATTTTTGGATCAGAGGTCTACGGAGAAAAATCAATAACACAACCGCAGCACCAAAAAGAGCGTCTCCCATCAACCAATACAAAACAAATAACGACACAGCACCAAACAACAAATATATCTGACTCTGGAAAACTTATAATTCCCAATTTTACTCAATACACTTCAACCAATCAGGTAAAACTATGTGAGCCAACGCCAAAGGACAACAATGTCAAAAGTGACGAAAAAGTAAAAGACCTCAACACTGAGGAGTGGGTAACACAGGTAGTTACTCAGAAAGATCTCCGTTCAGAAAAATCACTGCCACCAAATAAGCTCTCAGCATATAAAATGCAACTTCTTCACAACCAAGATACACAGCCCGAGAAAAACCTCGACAAATCCAGCCCTGGAAGACTTGTCATTCCCGACTTTAATCAAAGTACTTTCACAGCAGAAGTCAAAGAGACCACGCCATCGCCCAAAGTCGACAAACTCAAAACTGAAGAGTGGAGAACACAGGTAGTTACCAACGAAGAATTCAGATCAGAACCAACTCTCCAGACAAACAGGCTCTCAGAAGATAAAATGAAATTTCTTCACAACCAAAATACACAGCCCGAGAAAAATCTCGACAAATCCAGCCCTGGCAGACTTGTCATTCCCGACTTTAATCAAAGCTCTTTCACCACAGAAGTCAAAGACATTAAGCCATTGCCCAAAGTCGACAAACTCAAAACTGAAAGGTGGGCAACACAGGTAGTTACTCAGGAAGATGTCAGATCAGAACAACCTTCACAGGCAAATAGACTGTCAGCAGATAAAATGAAATTTCTTCACAACCAAGATACACAGCCCGAGAAAAACCTCGACAAATCCAGCCCTGGTAGACTTGTCATTCCCGACTTTAATCAAAGCACCTTCACCACAGAGGTCAAGGAGACTAAGACATCACCCAAAGTCGACAAACTCAAAACCGAAGAGTGGGTAACACAGGTAGTTACTCAAGAAGAGATCAGATCAGAACCACCTCTCCAGGCAAACAGAACAGATAAAAGACTGTCAAGCAGATACACAGACCGAGAAAAATGACAAATCCAGCCCTGGAAGACTTTCTTTACAACCAAAACAAATACACAGCACAGAGGTCAAAGAAAACCATCGCCCAAAGCAAATCCAGTGGGCCCAGGTATTTACTCAGGAAGAGGTCATTTCAGAGACTTTAAACAAAATGCAATTTCTTCCAACGAGATAGAGGTCGAGAAAAAGAGACTGAACCATCGCCTAAAGTCAACAAATTTAAAATTGAAGAGTGGGTAACACAGGTAATTACTCAGGAAGAAGTCAGATCAGAGCCACCTCTCCAGGCAAACAGGCTGTCAGCAGATAAAATGCAATTTCTTCACAATCAAGATACACAGCCTGAGAAAAAGCTCGACAAATCCAGTCCTGGAAGACTTGTCATTCCCGACTTTAATCAAAGCACCTTTACCTTAGAGGTCAAAGAGACTAAGCCATCACCCAAAGTCGACAAACTCAAAACTGAAGAGTGGCTAACACAGGTAGTAACTCAGGAAGAGGTCAGATCAGAACCACCTCTACAGGCAAACAGGCTGTCAGCAGATAAAATGCAATTTCTTCACAATCAAGATAAACAGCCCGAGAAAAATCTCGACAAATCCAGTCCTGGAAGACTTGTCATTCCCGAATTTAATCAAAGTACTTCCACCACAGACGTCAAAGAGACTAAGCCATCGCCCAAGGTCGACAAACTCAAAACTGAAGAGTGGGTATCACAGGTACTTACTCAAGAAGAGATCAGATCAGAACCACCTCTCCAAGCAAACAAGCTGTCGGCAGATAAAATGCAATTTCTTCACAACCAAGATACACAGCGCGAGAAACAGCTCGACAAATGCAGCCCTGGCAACCTTCTCATTCCCGACTTTAATCAAAGCACCTTTACCACAGAAGTCAAAGACACCAAGCCATCGCCCAAAGTCGACAAACTCAAAAGTGAAGAGTGGGCAACACAGGTACTAACTCAGGAAGAGGTCAGAGCAGAACCACCTCTACAGGCAAACAGGCTCTCAGCAGATAAAATGCAATTTCTTCACAACCAAGCTACACAGCCCGAGAAAATGCTCGACAAATCTAGTCCTGGCAGACTTGTCATTCCCGACTTCAATCAAAGTACTTTCACCGCACAGGCCAAAGAGACTGAGCCATCGCCCAAAGTCGACAAACTCAAAGCTGAAGAGTGGCTAACACACGTAGTAACTCAGGAAGAGGTCAGATCACAACCACCTCTACAGGCAAACAGACTGTCAGCAGATAAAATGCAATTTCTTCACAACCAAGATACACAGCCCGAGAAAAACCTCGACAAATCTAGCCCTGGCAGACTTGCCATTCCCGACTTTAATCAAAGCCCCTTTACCTCAGAGGTCAAAGAGAGTAAGCCATCGCCCAAAGTCAACAAACTCAAAACTGAAGAGTGGATAACACAGGAAATTATCCAGGAAAAAGTCAGATCAGAGGCACCTCTCCAAGCAAACAAGCTGTCAGCAGATAAAATAGAGTTTCTTCACAACCAAGATACACAGCCCGAGAAAAAGCTCGACAAATCCAGTCCTGGTAGACTTGCTATTCCCGGATTTAGCCAAAGCACTTTCACCACAGAGGGCAAAGAGACTAAGCCATCGCCCAAAGTCAACAAACTCAAAACTGAAGAGTGGGTAACACAGGTAGTTACTCAGGAAGAAGTCAGATCAGAGCCACCCCTTCTGGCAAACAGGCTGTCCGGAGATAAAATGCAATTTCTTCACAAACAAGATACACAAGCCGAGAAAAAGTTCAACAAATCTAGCCCTGGCAGACTTGTCATTCCCGACTTTAGTCAAAGCACTTCCACCACAGAAGCCAAAGACACTAAGCCATCGCTCAAAGTCGACGAACTAAAAAGTGAAGACTGGGTAACAGAGGTTGTTATTCAGGAAGAAGTCAAATCAGAGCCACCTCTGAAGGCAAACAAGCTGTCAGCAGATAAAATACAATTTCTTCACAACCACGATACGCACCCCGAGAAAACGTTCGACAAATCGAGCCCTGGGAAACTTGTCATTCCCGACTTTAATCAAAGCACTTTCACCTCAGAGGTCAAAGAGACTAAGTCCTCACCCAAAGTCGACAAACTCAAAACTGAAGAGTGGCTAACACAGGTAGTAACTCAGGAAGAGGTCAGATCAGAATCACCTCTACAGGCAAACAGGCTGTCAGCAGATAAAATGCAATTTCTTCACAACCAAGATACACAGCCCGAGAAAATGCTCGACAAATCTGGTCCTGGCAGACTTGTCATTCCCGACTTTAATCAAAGTACTTTCACCGCACAGGCCAAAGAGACTGAGCCATCGCCCAATGTCGACAAACTCAAAGCTGAAGAGTGGGTAACTCAGGCACTTACTCAAGAGAAGATCAGATCAGAGCCACCACTCCACGCAAACAGGCTCTCAGCAGATAAAATGCAATTTCTTCACGACGATGATACACAGCCTGACAAAACATTTCAGAAATCTAGCCCTGGAAGACTTGTTATTCCCGACTTTAGTCAAAGCACTTTCACCACAGAGGTCAAAGAGACTACGTTATCGCCCAAAGTCGACAAACTCAAAAGTGAAGAGTGGCTAAAACATGTGATTACTCAGGAAAAAGTCAGATCAGAGCCATCTCTCCAAGCAAACAGGCTGTCAGCAGATAAAATAGAATTTCTTCACAACCAAGATACACAGCCCGAGAAACAGCTCGACAAATCCAGCCCTGGTAGACTTGTCATTCCCGACTTTAAACAAAGCACCTTTACCTCAGAGGTCAAAGAGACTAAGCCATCGCCCAAAGTCGACAAACTCAAAACTGAAGAGTGGCTAACAAAGGTAGTAACTCAGGAAGAAGTCAGAACAGAACCACCTCTGCAGGCAAACAGGCTGTCAGCATATAAAATGCAATTTCTTCACAACCAAGATACACAGCCCGAGAAAAAGCTCGACAAATCCAGTCCTGGTAGACTTGTTATTCCCGAATTTAGCCAAAGCACTTTCACCACAGAGGGCAAAGAGACTAAGCCATCGCCCAAAGTCAACAAACTCAAAACTGAAGAGTGGGTAACACAGGTAGTTACTCAGGAAGAAGTCAGATCAGAGCCACCCCTTCTGGCAAACAGGCTGTCCGGAGATAAAATGCAATTTCTTCACAACCAAGATACACAAGCCGAGAAAAAGTTCAACAAATCTAGCCCTGGCAGACTTGTCATTCCCGACTTTAATCAAAGCACTTCCACCACGGAGGCCCAAGACACTAAGCCATCGCTCAAAGTCGACGAACTAAAAAGTGAAGACTGGGTAACAGAGGTTGTTATTCAGGAAGAAGTCAGATCAGAGCCACCTCTGAAGGCAAACAGGTTGTCAGCAGATAAAATGCAATTTCTTCACAACCAAGATACGCACCCCGAGAAAACGTTCGACAAATCGACCCCTGGGAAACTTGTCATTCCCGACTTTAGTCAAAGCACTTTCACCTCAGAGGTCAAAGAGACTAAGCCATCGCCCAAAGTCGACAAACTCAAAACTGAAGAGTGGCTAACACAGGTAGTAACTCAGGAAGAGGTCAGATCACAACCACCTCTACAGGCAAACAGGCTGTCAGCCGATAAAATGCAATTTCTTCACAACCAAGATACACAGCCCGAGAAAAGGCTCGACAAATCCTGTCCTGGTAGACTTGTTATTCCCGAATTTAGCAAAAGCACTTTCACCACAGAGGGCAAAGAGACTAAGCCATTGCCCAAAGTCAACAAACTCAAAAGTGAAGAGTGGGTAACACAGGTAGTTACTCAGGAAGAAGTCAGATCAGAACCACCCCTTCTAGAAAACAGGCTGTCCGGAGATAAAATGCAATTTCTTCACAAACAAGATACACAAGCCGAGAAAACGTTTAACAAATCAAGCCCTGGCAGACTTGTCATTCCCGACTTTAATCAAAGCACTTCAACCACAGAGGCCCAAGACACTAAGCCATCGCTCAAAGTCGACGAACTAAAAAGTGAAGACTGGGTAACAGAGGTTGTTATTCAGGAAGAAGTCAGATCAGAGCCACCTCTGAAGGCAAACAGGTTGTCAGCAGATAAAATGCAATTTCTTCACAACCAAGATACGCACCCTGAGAAAACGTTCGACAAATCAACCCCTGGGAAACTTGTCATTCCCGACTTTAATCAAAGCACTTTCACCTCAGAGGTCAAAGAGACTAAGCCATCGCCCAAAGTCGACAAACTCAAAACTGAAGAGTGGCTAACACAGGTAGTAACTCAGGAAGAGATCAGATCAGAACCACCTCTACAGGCAAACAGGCTGTCAGCAGATAAAATGCAATTTATTCACAACCCAGATACACAGCCCGAGAAAAAGCTCGAAAAATCCAGTCCTGGTAGACTTGTTATTCCCGAATTTAGCCAAAGCACTTTCACCACAGAGGGCAAAGAGACTAAGCCATCGCCCAAAGTCAACAAACTCAAAACTGAAGAGTGGGTAACACAGGTAGTTACTCAGGAAGAAGTCAGATCAGAACCACCCCTTCTAGCAAACAGGCTGTCCGGAGATAAAATGCAATTTCTTCACAAACAAGATACACAAGCCGAGAAAAAGTTCAACAAATCTAGCCCTGGCAGACTTGTCATTCCCGACTTTAATCAAAGCACTTCCACCACAGAAGCCAGAGACACTAAGCCATCGCTCAAAGTCGACGAACTAAAAAGTGAAGACTGGGTAACAGAGGTTGTTATTCAGGAAGAAGTCAGATCAGAACCACCTCTGCAGGCAAACAAGCTGACAGGAGATAAAATGCAATTTCTTCACAACCAAAATTCGCACCCCGAGAAAACGTTCGACAAATCGACCCCTGGGAAACTTGTCATTCCCGACTTTAATCAAAGCACTTTCACCTCAGAGGTCAAAGAGACTAAGCCATCGCCCAAAGTCGACAAACTCAAAACTGAAGAGTGGCTAACACAGGTAGTAACTCAGGAAGAGGTCAGATCAGAACCACCTATACAGGCAAACAGGCTGTCAGCAGATAAAATGCAATTTCTTCGCAACGAAGATACACGGCCCGAGAAAAGGCTCGACAAATCCAGTCCTGGTAGACTTGTTATTCCCGAATTTAGCCAAAGCACTTTCACCACAGTGGGCAAAGAGACTAAGCCATCGCCCAAAGTCAACAAACTCAAAACTGAAGCGTGGGTAACACAGGTAGTTACTCAGGAAGAAGTCAGATCAGAGCCACCCCTTCTGGCAAACAGGCTGTCCGGAGATAAAATACAATTTCTTCACAGGCAAGATACACAAGCCGAGAAACAGTTCAACAAATCTAGCCCTGGCAGACTTGTCATTCCCGACTTTAATCAAAGCACTTCCACCACGGAAGCCCAAGACACTAAGCCAGCGCTCAAAGTGGACGAACTAAAAAGTGAAGACTGGGTAACAGAGGTTGTTATTCAGGAAGAAGTCAGATCAGAACCACCTCTGAAGGCAAACAGGCTGTCGGCAGATAAAATACAATTTCTTCACAACCAAGATACACAAGGCGAGAAAAAGCTCAACAAATCTAGCCCTGGCAGACTTGTCATTCCCAACTTTAATCAAAGCACTTACACCACGGAAGCCAGAGACACTAAGCCATCGCTCAAAGTCGACGAACTAAAAAGTGAAGACTGGGTAACAGAGGTTGTTATTCAGGAAGAGGTCAGATCAGAGCCACCTCTGCAGGCAAACAAGCTGACAGGAGATAAAATGCAATTTCTTCAAAACCAAGATACGCACCCCGAGAAAACGTTCGACAAATCGACCCCTGGGAAACTTGTCATTCCCGACTTTAATCAAAGCACTTTCACCTCAGAGGTCAAAGAGACTAAGCCATCGCCCAAAGTCGACAAACTCAAAACTGAAGAGTGGCTAACACAGGTAGTAACTCAGGAAGAGGTCAGATCAGAACCACCTCTACAGGCAAACAGGCTGTCAGCAGATAAAATGCAATTTCTTCACAACCAAGATACACAGCCCGAGAAAAAGCTCGACAAATCCAGTCCTGGTAGACTTGTTATTCCCGAATTTAGCCCAAGCACTTTCACCACAGAGGGCAAAGAGACTAAGCCATCGCCCAAAGTCAACAAACTCAAAACTGAAGAGTGGGTAACACAGGTAGTTACTCAGGAAGAGGTCAGATCAGAACCACCCCTTCTGGCAAACAGGCTGTCCGGAGATAAAATGCAATTTCTTCACAACCAAGATACACAAGCCGAGAAAAAGTTCAACAAATCTAGCCCTGGCAGACTTGTCATTCCCGACTTTAATCAAAGCACTTCCACCACGGAAGCCCAAGACACTAAGCCAGCGCTCAAAGTCGACGAACTAAAAAGTGAAGACTGGGTAACAGAGGTTGTTATTCAGGAAGAAGTCAGATCAGAGCCACCTCCGAAGGCAAGCAGGTTGTCAGCAGATAAAATACAATTTCTTCACAACCAAGATACGCACCCCGAGAAAACGTTCGACAAATCGACCCCTGGGAAACTTGTCATTCCCGACTTTAATCAAAGCACTTTCACCTCAGAGGTCAAAGAGACTAAGCCATCGCCCAAAGTCGACAAACTCAAAACTGAAGAGTGGCTAACACAGGTAGTAACTCAGGAAAAGGTCAGATCAGAGCCACCTCTGCAGGCAAACAAGCTGTCAGCAGATAAAATACAATTTCTTCACAACCAAGATACGCACCCCGAGAAAACGTTTGACAAATCGAACCCTGGGAAACTTGTCATTCCCGACTTTAATCAAAGCACTTTCACCTCAGAGGTCAAAGAGACTAAGCCATCGCCCAAAGTCGACAAACTCAAAACTGAAGAGTGGCTAACACAGGTAGTAACTCAGGAAGAGGTCAGATCAGAACCACCTCTACAGGCAAACAGGCTGTCAGGAGATAAAATGCAATTTCTTCTCAACCAAGATACACAGCCCGAGAAAAAGCTCGACAAATCCAGTCCTGGTAGACTTGTTATTCCCGAATTTAGCCCAAACACTTTCACCACAGAGGGCAAAGAGACTAAGCCATCGCCCAAAGTCAACAAACTCAAAACTGAAGAGTGGGTAACACAGGTAGTTACTCAGGAAGAAGTCAGATCAGAGCCACCCCTTCTGGCAAACAGGCTGTCCGGAGATAAAATACAATCTCTTCACAACCAAGATACACAAGCAGAGAAAAAGTTCAACAAATCTAGCCCTGGCAGACTTGTCATTCCCGACTTTAATCAAAGCACTTCCACCACAAAAGCCAAAGACGCTAAGCCATTGCTCAAAGTCGACGAACTAAAAAGTGAAGACTGGGTAACAGAGGGTGTTATTCAGGAAGAAGTCAGATCAGAGCCACCTCTGCAGGCAAACAGGCTATCAGCAGATAAAATACAATTTCTTCACAACCAAGATACGCACCCCGAGAAAACGTTCGACAAATCGACCCCTGGGAAACTTGTCATTCCCGACTTTAATCAAAGCACTTTCACCTCAGAGGTCAAAGAGACTAAGCCATCGCCCAAAGTCGACAAACTCAAAACTGAAGAGTGGCTAACACAGGTAGTAACGCAGGAAGAGGTCAGATCAGAACCACCTCTACAGGCAAACAGGCTGTCAGCAGATAAAATGCAATTTCTTCACAACCAAGATACACAGCCCGAGAAAAAGCTCGACAAATCCAGTCCTGGTAGACTTGATATTCCTGAATTTAGCCAAAGCACTTTCACCACAGAGGGCAAAGAGACTAAGCCATCACCCAAAGTCAACAAACTCAAAAGTGAAGAGTGGGTAACACAGGTAGTTACTCAGGAAGAAGTCAGATCAGAGCCACCCCTTCTGGTAAACAGGCTGTCCGGAGATAAAATGCAATCTCTTCACAAACAAGATACACAAGCCGAGAAAAAGTTCACCAAATCTAGCCCTTGCAAACTTGTCATTCCCGACTTTAATCAAAGCACTTCAACCACAGAAGCCAAAGACGTTAAGCCATCGCTCAAAGTCGACGAACTAAAACGTGAAGACTGGATAACAGAGGTTGTTATTCAGGAAGAGGTCAGATCAGAGCAACCTCTGCAGGCAAACAAGCTGTCAGCAGATAAAATACAATTTCTTCACAACCAAGATACGCACCCCGAGAAAACGTTCGACAAATCGAACCCTGGGAAACTTGTCATTCCCGACTTTAGTCAAAGCACTTTCACCTCAGAGGTCAAAGAGACTAAGCCATCGCCCAAAGTCGACAAACTCAAAACTGAAGAGTGGCTAACACAGGTAGTAACTCAGGAAGAGGTCAGATCAGAACCACCTCTACAGGCAAACAGGCTGTCAGCAGATAAAATGCATTTTCTTCACAAACAAGTTACACAGCCCGAGAAAACCCTCGACAAATCCAGTCCTGGTAGACTTGTTATTCCCGAATTTAGCCAAAGCACCTTCACCACAGAGGGCAAAGAGACTAAGCCATCGCCCAAAGTCAACAAACTCAAAACTGAAGAGTGGGTAACACAGGTAGTTACTCAGAAAGAAGTCAGATCAGAACCACCCCTTCTAGCAAACAGGCTGTCCGGAGATAAAATGCAATTTCTTCACAACCAAGATACACAAGCCGAGAAAAAGTTCAACAAATCTAGCCCTGGCAGACTTGTCATTCCCGACTTTAATCAAAGCACTTCCACCACGGAAGCCCAAGACACTAAGCCATCGCTCAAAGTCGACGCACTGAAAAGTGAAGACTGGGTAACAGAGGTTGTTTTTCAGGAAGAAGTCAGATCAGAACCACCTCTGAAGGCAAACAGGCTGTCAGCAGATAAAATACAATTTCTTCACAATCAAGATACGCACCCTGAGAAAACGTTCGACAAATCAAACCCTGGGAAACTTGTCATTCCCGACTTTAGTCAAAGCACTTTCACCTCAGAGGTCAAAGAGACTAAGCCATCGCCCAAAGTCGACAAACTCAAAACTGAAGAGTGGGTAACACAGGTAGTAACTCAGGAAGAGGTCAGATCAGAACCACCTCTACAGGCAAACAGGCTGTCAGCAGACAAAATGCAATTTCTTCACAAACAAGATACACAGCCCGAGAAAAAGCTCGACAAATCCAGTCCTGGTAGACTTGTTATTCCCGAATTTAGCCAAAGCACTTTCACCACAGAGGGCAAAGAGACTAAGCCATCGCCCAAACTCAACAAACTCAAAACTGAAGAGTGGGTAACACAGGTAGTTACTCAGGAAGAGGTCAGATCAGAAACACCCCTTCTGGCAAACAGGCTATCCGGAGATAAAATGCAATTTCTTCACAAACAAGATACACAAGCCGAGAAAACGTTCAAGAAATCTAGCCCTGGCAGACTTGTCATTCCCGACTTTAGTCAAAGCACTTCCACCACGGAGGCCCAAGACACTAAGCCATCACTCAAAGTCGACGAACTAAAAAGTGAAGACTGGGTAACAGAGGTTGTTATTCAGGAAGAAGTCAGATCAGAACCACCTCTGAAGGCAAACAGGCTGTCAGCAGATAAAATGCAATTTCTTCACAATCAAGATACGCACCCCGAGAAAACGTTCGACAAATCGAACCCTGGGAAACTTGTCATTCCCGACTTTAGTCAAAGCACTTTCACCTCAGAGGTCAAAGAGACTAAGCCATCGCCCAAAGTCGACAAACTGAAAACTGAAGAGTGGCTAACACAGGTAGTAACTCAAGAAGAGGTCAGATCAGAACCACCTCTACATGCAAACAGGCTGTCAGCAGATAAAATGCAATTTCTTCACAACCAAGATACAGAGCCCGAGGAAATGCTCGATAAATCTAGTCCTGGCAGACTTGTCATTCCCGACTTTAATCAAAATACTTTCACCGCACAGGTCAAAGAGACTGAGCCATCGCCCAAAGTCGACAAACTCAAAGCTGAAGAGTGGGTAACTCAGGTACTTACTCAAGAGGAGATCAGATCAGCGCCACCACTCCACGCAAACAGGCTGTCAGCAGATAAAATAGAATTTCTTCACAAAGATGATACACAGCCTGACAAAACGTTCGAGAACTCTAACCCTGGAAGACTTGTTATTCCTGACTTTACTCAAAGCACTTTCACCACAGAGGTCAAAGAGACTACGTTATCGCCCAAAGTCGACAAACTCAAAAGTGAAGAGTGGGTAACACAAGTGGTTACTCAGGAAAAAGTCAGATCAGAGGCACCTCTCCCAGCAAACAGGCTGTTAGCAGATAAAATAGAATGTCTTCACAACCAAGATACACAGCCCGAGAAAAAGCTCGACAAATCCAGTCCTGGTAGACTTGTCATTCCCGACTTTAATCAAAGCACTTTAACCACAGATGTCAAAGAGACTACGTTCTCGCCCAAAGTCAACAAACTCAGAAGTGAAGAGTGGGTAACACAAGTAGTTACTCAGGAAAAAGTCAGATCAGAACCACCTCTCCAAGCAAACAAGCTATCAGCAGATAAAATGGAATTTCTTCACAACCAAGATATACGGCCCGAGAAAAAGCTCGACAAATCTAGTCCTGGTAGACTTGTTATTCCCGAATTAAGCCAAAGCACTTTAACCACAGAGGGCAAAGAGACTAAGCCATCGCCCAAAGTCAACAAACTCAAAACTGAAGAGTGGGTAACACAGGTAGTTACTCAGGAAGAGGTCAGATCAGAACCACCCCTTCTGGAAAACAGGCTGTCCGGAGATAAAATGCAATTTCCTCACAACCAAGATACACAAGCCGAGAAAAAGTTCAAGAAGTCTAGCCCTGGCAGACTTGTCATTCCCAACTTTAATCGAAGCACTTCCACCACAGAAGCCCAAAACACTAAGCCATCGCTCAAAGTCGACGAACTAAAAAGTGAAGACTGGGTAACGGAGGTTGTTATTCAGGAAGAAGTCAGATCAGAGACACCTCTGAAGGCAAACAAGCTGTCAGCAGATAAATTGCAATTTCTCCACAACCAAGATACGCACCCCGAGAAAACGTTGCACAAATCGAGCCCTGGGAAACTTGTCATTCCCGACTTTAGTCAAAGCACTTTCACCTCAGAGGTCAAAGAGACTAAGCCATCGCCCAAAGTCGACAAACTCAAAACTGAAGAGTGGCTAACACAGGTAGTAACTCAGGAAGAGGTCAGATCAGAACCACCTCTACAGGCAAACAGGCTGTCAGCAGATAAAATGCAATTTCTTCACAAACAAGATACACAGCCCGAGAAAATGCTCGACAAATTTAGTACTGGCAGACTTGTCATTCCCGACTTTAATCAAAGTACTTTAACCACACAGGTCAAACAGACTGAGCCATCGCCCAAAGTCGACAAACTTAAAGCTGAAGAGTGGGTAACTCAGGTACTTACTCAAGAGGAGATCAGATCAGAGCCACCACTCCACGCAAACAGGCTCTCAGCAGATAAAATTCAATTTCTTCACAACCAGGATACACAGCTCGAGAAAACATTCGAGAAATCTAGCCCTGGAAGACTTGTTATTCCCGACTTTAGTCAAAGCACTTTCACCACACAGGTCAAAGAGACTACGTTATCGCCCAAAGTCGACAAACTCAAAAGTGAAGAGTGGGTAACACAAGTGGTTACTCAGGAAAAAGTCAGATCAGAGCCACCTCTCCAAGCAAACAGGCTGTCAGCAGATAAAATAGAATTTCTTTACAACCAAGATACACCGCCCGAGAAAACGTTCGAGAAATCTAGCCCTGGTAGACTTGTCATTCCCGAATTTAACCAAAGCACTTTCACCACAGAGGCCAATGAGACTAAGCAGTCGCCCAAAGTCGACAAACTCAAAACTGAAGAGTGGGTAACACAAGTAATTACTCAGGAAAAAGTCACATCAGAACCACCTCTCCGAGCAAACAAGCTATCAGCAGATAAAACAGAATTTCTTCACAACCAAGATACACAGCCCGAGAAAAAGCTCGAAAAATCCAGTCCTGGTAGACTTGTTATTCCCGAATTTAGCCAAAGCACTTTCACCACAGAGGGCAAAGAGACTAAGCCATCGCCCAAACTCAACAAACTCAAAACTGAAGAGTGGGTAACACAGGTGGTTACTCAGGAAGAGGTCAGATCAGAACCACCCCTTCTGGAAAACAGGCTGTCCGGAGATAAAATGCAATTTCTTCACAACCAAGATACACAAGCCGAGAAACAGTTCAAGAAGTCTAGCCCTGGCAGACTTGTCATTCCCAGTTTTAATCAAAGCACTTCCACCACAGAAGCCAAAGACACTAAGCCATCGCTCAAAGTCGACGAACTAAAAAGTGAAGACTGGGTAACAGAGGTTGTTATTCAGGAAGACGTCAGATCAGAGCCACCTCTGAAGGCAAACAAGCTGTCAGCAGATAAAATGCAATTTCTTCACAACCAAGATACGCACCCCGAGAAAACGTTCGACAAATCGAGCACTGGGAAACTTGTCATTCCCGACTTTAATCAAAGCACTTTCACCTCAGAGGTCAAAGAGACTAAGCCACCGCCCAAAGTCGACAAACTCAAAACTAAAGAGTGGCTAACACAGGTAGTAACTCAGGAAGAGGTCAGATCAGAACCACCTCCCCAGGCAAACAGGCTGTCAGCAGATAAAATGCAATTTCTTCACAACCAAGATGCACAGCCCGAGAAAAATCTCGAAAAATCCAGCCCTGGCAGACTTGTCATTCCCGACTTTAACCAAGGCACTTTCACTACAGAAGTCAAAGACAATAAGACATCGCTCAAAGTCAAGAAATTCAAAACTGAAGAGTGGGTAACACAGGTTGTTACCCAGCAAGAAGTCCGATCAGAACCACCTTTCCAGGCAAACAGGCTGTCAGCAGATAAAGTGCAATTTCTTCACAACCAAGATACACAACCCGAGAATAAGCTTGACAAATTCAGCCCTGGCAGACTTGTCATTCCCACCTTTAATCAAAGCACTTTCACCACAGAGGTCAAAGAGACTAAGCCATCGCCCAAAGTCGACAAACTCAAAACTGAAGAGTGGCTTACACAGGTAGTTACTCAAGAAGAAGTCAAATCAGAACCACCACTTCAGGCAAACAGGCTGTCAGCAGATAAAATGCAATTTCTTCACAACCAAGATACACAGCCCGAGAAAAAGCTCGACAAATCCAGCCCTGGCAGACTTGTCATTCCCGACTTTAATCAATGCACTTTCACCACAGAAGTCAAAGACATCAAGCCATCGCCCAAAGGCGACAAACTGAGAACTGAAGAGTGGGTATCACAGGTAGTTACGCAGGAAGAAGTGAGATCAGAACCACCCCTCCAGACAAACAGGCTGTCAGCAGATAAAACGCAATTTATAGACAGCCAAGATACAGAGTCGAAGAAGAATCTGGACAGTTCCAGCAATCAATTATCACGTTTAGTGAAAAGTCGATATGAAGAGGAGGAGACTTATTCTACACATGTTCGAAACGAATCCTTTTTTTCTTCGAAAAATTACTTCATAAAGGATACACATTCTACTAACGGTGGGAATGCCTTGTCATCTGAGATGGTTAGGAATATGAAGAGCCCTAAAAATGTCATTGAATCACAAAGTCGTGAATTACCACTTACCCAAAAGAGAGAGTTAACGGATGAATGGAAAGTGGAGGATAAAGGAAACGAAGAGTGGCGATCACAAGCACCACAACCTTTAAAGGAGTCATCGGAAAAACTTAGATCACTTTCTAGAACCCAGGAAATGCATTCAATGACAGGATCTGATGTGTTACCGAAAAATTCAAATGTGCCTCTGAGTGGCACTGACAACACCTTCTTCATTCAGATTCAAGATGCAGCCTTCACAACTGGAAATTACAAAGATGAGCAGGCGATAAGGCATTATCTGACTGAATTACCTGCGGGAAAAACAGGCCAAGTTTTAAAGTCAGATAGAGCTCATTCCTCCGACAGCGTTGTAATTCCCGTTGAACCGAAACAAGTTTGTTCTTCTTCTGGAGTCGTCATAAATAACGGCGAGAACTGGATAACTCGCGCAAATACAAGTACATCGCCAGCAGAGAAAGAAAGGATTTTTTTTCATGCCGGTGAGGCACGTCAGGCTGTAAAATTAGGAGGGATCTCATCTAGTGGCAGCGCAGTCATTCCCATTGAAATAAAAGACATTTCTTCGTCACCAAAAGTCGAGATACATGATGGAAAGACGTGGACTACTCGGCAGACCTCAGTTAAGTTGTCAAGAGGTGACAGATCCTTTGTAAGTACTGGCGAAACTAAAGAAGTCATAACGTTGGATGGCTCTTCATCCAGTGGTGTTGTGATTCCAGTGCAAATTTCACGCGAATCTTTGACTACAAACGTCAAGATATATAACGGCCAAGTCTACACGCCCTGATACGTTCAAAAAGAAAAGCGTAAATCACAAACCGCTTCTCTCAAAATCGTCATATTCTGAGCTTGACTGGCGATGGGAAAGTCCATAATTTCATCAAAAATGCAATAACACTAAAGACATATTATTGGCAGTACCCCTGGTCAAAAAATGTTTTTTTTAATTTAAGTGGTACCGTGGTTTGCGTCATTGACCAAAGCTTAGAGGAAGTACAAGTAACCTGCACATAATAGGTCAAACTTTTCAGTAAGAACTATCTGCTCAGTCTCATACTTTTCTAAAGCAAAAAGAAAATTAGACAGGAGCAAACATGGTCTATTTTTTCACTTGCTTATGGAAATGATGGAATCAATTTTGTTTATTTGTGACCTTTTAAAAAGTACAGTGACCTGTTTGCTTATACTAAGTCAAATTCTCAGTTGACAAACACGGTGGAGTCACATGAATTTACAGTTGATTGTATTGTGAATTCATATATTTTCTGAAATTTGATCTTATGTTTTCTAGATTCGTTTTTAGTTTGATTTTAGCAAATGTTGCACCAGAGTTCCCAGATTTTGTTTAGACGACTCTATTTCAATGGCTATAAATAATCTTCAAAAAGCAGCTTGCATAATGACTTAAATTAGAAATTAGGCAAGGTAAAAAAATTTGTATAAAGTATATTATACAATGCATTAAATCAATAAGGACAAATAAGTCTTGTTAAAAAAAAACAATAAATAAATACTTCTTGGTCCATTTTACCTGTCTCACTTAATATGTTGAAATATTTATGAAAATTAAGCTTGAATTAATTAACAGTTTGAGATATACAAGCTGTGAGAAACAAATTGGATGACAACAATAATATCAAAACACTAAATCCTAAAATATGACTTGACATACCCTGCTATATTTTCTACAAATTATTGAGCAGGGGGGGCTATAAGCTTAATCCAAAAAATTGCCTTATTAATGATCGAGAGCACTGATAAAAACATTAAGAACTTACCTCAAAAGCTACTTAGATATTCCAAAATCAGCAGCAAGGAAATCAGCTTTATCCTTAGTCCGTACTGTTGAAAAAAATTGTAACTACTCTGCTTTCATCAGAAACTAAAAAGTTTATGATTAATTGGTGGAATGTGTCAAGCAATTTCATACTGAATTGATACAACTGAATTAGATATTAAGGAATCACTAGTGGGATGCCAATTTGTCTATAAAAAGTGTATCTATGTGCCTTAACATTCTAGCATGCAGAAGTTTTGGCATGGGCAGTGTTTTCAGAGAGCAGACCTGTGCAGACAGGTGAAATTGAGTGCAAAAATATTGAAACTGAGAACAGAAACTTTAAAAGTGTCCCCTTACAAAGTTTACCTATAGGTCCATGCATTGGGCTTAAAAATCACTTTGATCAGCTAGTCAAATGAGACTCCATTGATTCCATACCATAACTTATCAGATCATTAAGGTAACAAGTGGGTAGAAGTCTGTTAAAGGGTCTAAAATGACAGTGAGCCCTGAAGTATAGGACACCCCTTCCTTAGCTTTGAAAATAAATGAAAGTGATATCTTATCATTTCAGCGTTAGACCCCACTAATCTGAAATATCTCCCTAACTCTTGATAAGGGACTGTGCAGCCATAGTCTGCTTGAAAAGAGATGATTCATGGGTTACAGTTACGTTGGAAGGTAGTTCTGTTAGTACAACAAATCGCCTTGTACTTCTGTAGTTGGCAAGGTCATATGGTGTTTAAATTTGGTCTTATTTATAATCCATTTGACTACTTATAGTGCCCAGTGTTACAGCTAAACAAAAATGTTAAACAAGTTCCTCTGATTTAATCCACAATGCTTCTTCTCTTTCTTCCCATCACAACATGATTCAGGGTAAAAAAAGGGATACATTGTGGTATAGAATTCAATGTTATCCTTAGCCGTGTGCAAAACCTTAAATCAAGACTATGACAAAATCTATGGAACAAGATTCATGGTTATTAGCAGTCTGATTTAAGCTCTTATGAATCAGTGTATGCAGCATGCTTGTAATTGGAAAGTGTAATAGGAGAGGTTACTAGCCACACATGTGTAATTGAACAGTATGTCTTTTGTGCACTATCTTGATTGTATGGTAAGCTGAATCATACATAATTTTTTTTGGTTCTTACCCATGATCTATTAGAAGACAGAGGCATAGATGAGGTCAGCATTATAACAACAGTTAATAATCATAATAGGACCAGGTGGGGTGCAATTCAGTCTGTAACCATACAAGTCTGATTTGTTAATAATGAGTATGATTACAGACAGAATTGAATGACACAAAGTCCTGTAACCAATTAAACAAAACTATGACAACTTAGTTTGAGAAAGAAACTAGACATTGGTTACACATTTTCATGAAAAAACAACAACATTAACTCGGCAAAATGCGAGACAACAGTGCGCGCACATGACGCCTTCTGTCCACTAACACAGGCATGACGTGTTAACTGTCCCTTTAACTGTCCTACTACACTGTCCAATTACAAGCATGACACCTACACTTTCCTATTAGTGCTCAAATCGGGCTGATAATAACCAATCAAGTTCGATAATTTTGTTATAGTTTTGATTAACTTATTTTAAAGCACATAACTCAAATCCATTCCTATTGCCCCTGGGTCCAAGAACTGTCTGGCTTCCATCCAAATGGATACAAATGTTAAAATATTCGCATTTGTTTTGAATAGGAAATAATTGTTGTTGTTATTTTTTTTCGTTTGGTTTTCAAAGATTAGAATTAAATAAAAATGTCCAACAATTAATATGCAGCTTTTGTTTGTATGCAGTTAAGAAATATTTCTTAATAAAGTGCGATGATCTATGCTTTTTTAGGTCGAAATTGGAGGCTTGTTTCCAAAACTCTGATTCCAAAAATCTGGAAAATTTTACAGATTCTCTAAATCTTCTCTGAAATTTCCCAGTGGAGACCTACCAGCGTTCTTTACGAATAGCGAAACGACGCGATTTTCAGCTTGCTTGCGCTTCAAATTGAGTTGTTTTTGTAAAGATACTCTTAATCTTACCTTTGTGCAGCTAGCAATAACCTTAAAAGCTTTCCGGTTTACGACGCCTTTGGACAAATATAGATCATAGAAACCGTTCTGAAACGAGGCTAAAGCAGCTACGTTTTTGGCGCGAAAACCTGAGCTTTCAGACAAGTGACGTCACACTTCTTGCAGCCAATGAGATTTGAATAATTGCGACATAGGTGATTCCAAGTGGGAGAGAGAGACAGAGAGGAAGGGAAATCCATTTATTTCCTTGAGTTCCTTTCTTTAATTTTTTAAGGCACGGAAAAAGTTGATGGCTAAAGATGGATATGTTGCGTAAGTGATAGTGGAGAGGAAATGTTCGCAATGAAATATTTATCCGGAATGGACTATCAGACTGCAAAAACATCATAGGAATAGTTTCCTATTAAGATTAGCCTTGAACTGCTTACCGCTTACTTAAATGGCAAACAAAAAAAAAAAAAAAAAAAAAAATTAGCATAAGATAATATACACTGTCTCGGAGACGTCTCATGCATCAGTGAAATCTTTTGTCAACAATATACTGCTCTATATATCATGCCGCTCTGACGAAGAGCAAACGCTTGAAACGGGGATTCTTTACGGTAGCCAATTTACATATACCCCCACCGATGCAGAACTATAGTTTCTTTAGAAACGTTCCCCCTTTCTTCATATATTTTTAGAAAAATGAGCTCAAATATTTGTCGATATCGTTGTGCAAAGAAAGATGATTGGTCGCTATTGGGGATTCAAACTTCAAGCATATCAATTTTGTGGTGGAATGCTCTATCAACTTATCGTGTTTTTTTGTTTTTGTTTTGGCCACGTAAAAAAGATTTTCATTTACCTGTTTTGAGTTAATCAAAAGAAAAGGAAAATAGGCACGATTAAACCGCCATAGAAAGAGAAAAGGTCTTAATGAAAGTAAACGATCTTCAATTACAAACAGGAAATATTGAACAAACAACGTGACGTTTAGCACGATGCGAAACCGGAATAATTCAACTTGAAAATGTTAATTTCAAATATGTTTGGCAAAGCTTAGGTCGATCGACGCCAATAGTTAATGTATTTCTGCGATTTGCGGATTGCCAGCTGTCGAGGAGAACGTACCTCGGCATATTTTCTTTCTAAAGGTAATTTGGCTTTATGATGCAAATTAGCCACCGTAAAGAGTTTCTAAAGCTAACATTCGACATTTGAAGCATTTAATAGCTCTTCGTTTGAGCGAATAACCGGAAGGGCTAATGCTTGAAATGTTAGCTTAAGAAACTCTTTACGGTGGCTAACTTGCATCATCAATTCAGTCGATAAAACCAGATTACCTTTCAAGAACCCCCACCGACGCGGCACCGCAATTCTTTTAAAGAATTTCACCACCTTTAAAGAAATTTCCGTTCACAATTTCTTTCAATTTCGTGGGAATTAAATTTTATTCGAAATACCCAAAAAATCGTGACTCATACCCTGTCTTCAAATTATTGTCAAATAACTCTTAGTTAAAGACGTGATGATCACGAAAGTGAACTGTTGCATGTCATCAAATTACATCAAAGGCCAATTAACAGTCACGAACACTTTCATCTAAATACAGCCATTACGAGTATTTGGCTGTAGGTACTCACGTTCGTAATAGCATGTTACTTTTAAGAAGCAAAACGTTGTTTACTTTACTTCAGTTTCGCTGAGTTCGCCACGTGAAGTGAGAATGGCACCCACACGCACCTAAATTTGTAACAAAGAGCCTAAGCAACCGGATGGGTTAAACGGAATTGTTTTAAGATTAATCTGCAAGTTAATGATTCGTACTAATTTTAAAACTTTTGTCGCGTTATTGATCGAGGTCGACAGTAATGAACCATCAAGGTCTTCTCAGCTCTTTTTTCATTCTGTGTATTGGTGTATTTACCGGAATCACGGTTTCCATCCAAAGCCATGTTCAAGAGAGAATATTCAAAGACGGTGACATAAATTTAGGTGGAATGTTTCCTCTCCATTTATTCAAGAACGGTCAGGGATCGTCGTCATCATGTACGGATCTTCGCTCCCGAGTGTTGCTTCTATCAGAGGCCATGATATACGCCGTCGATGAAATAAATAGAAATGGCACAATTCTTCAAAATGTGACGTTGGGCTACGACATTCGCGATACGTGCGGCAACGAACAAGAAGGCATTTCTATAGCGTCGGATTTTGTTTACGAGAATGCACTTAAACTTGACCCACGCTTCTCTGTGACAAACTCTTGTCGTGCGGGAGTCGCGCCATCAAAGGAAGCAACTGTAATAGCAGTCATTGGAGGACTGGATTCTCGTGTTTCTGTCAACGTGGCAAATGTACTCCAAGTACAAGATGTTCCGCAAATAAGCTACGGGGCGTCAAGCGCTGAATTAGCGGGAGCGGAGTTTACATCGTTTTTTCGCACTGTTCCAGTAGATACCTTCCAATCACAAGCTATGGCAGAACTGATTGCACACTATGGGTGGACGTGTGTGGCAGTCATCGGGGTGGATGACTGGTACGGTCGTAGTGGCGTTGACGCTTTCGCTACCGCGGCCAACAAAACTGGAATCTGTATTGTGTTACAAGAACTGTTCCCTGTTCACGACTCGGAAACCCAAATACAGACCATGATCAGTCAACTGAAAAACATGGGTCAAGTTCAGATTATAATATTATACAGTTTATCACCTCAAGCGATAAAGGTCTTTGAAGAAGCAGTGAAGCAAGGTTTGTCCGGGAGGACCTGGATCGCGAGTGACGGGTGGTCAGAATCTTCATTGATTCTTCAACCTCGCTTTAAGCCGATTATACAAGGCGCAATAGGATTTGGATTCCACACACATAGGTTTGAAGAATTTGAAAAACACGTCACAGAAATGACGCCTCTTTTGCGAAGAGGGGCTTGGTGGAATGAATTTTGGGAAATGGAGTTCAACTGTTCAATATCTAATTCGACGCATGCTCAGTTTAAACCCTGTTCAGGCCATGAGAGAGTCAGCCCGGAAAGATACAAACGAGATTACCACAACGCAGGCGCAGCCTATGTGAGAGATGCGGTATACTCAGTCGCGAATGGACTGGGTGAAATACTTAACTGTCACGCCCAGACCCCCTCTTGCTCTGAGTGGTTTTCCTCACCCCGTCCCGATTATCTATTGACAAGCCTTAAAAAGGTTTCATTCACAGGGCTTACTGGCTATATTGACTTCCGAAATGGGCGGGTTCAGGCAGCTTACGATATTTATAATCTTCAGGAGACCGAGAAGGATGGGTTTAAGCGCGTTCAAATTGGAACGTGGGATGAAGGAAATGCGCATGCACAGGGACTAAGGCTACAAGATGATTTAGTGCAATGGCACAGAGGTATTAAACCGCGCACCACTTGCGGAGAGATCTGTCCTTCTGGAACTTACCGAAGTATCCCTAATCAGTGCTTCTGGGAGTGTGTCCCGTGCGATAAAGACACCGTCAGCGAACGATCAGGTAGCACCGAATGCAAGAGTTGTCCCAAAGGATACATATCCAATGAAAACAACACGAAGTGTGATGAGGTGCCCATTGAGTATATTGAATGGGATGAACCGTGGGGCGTGGCACTCTCTGCCCTTTCAGCCTTCTGCGTACTTCTTACATTAGTTATCCTGGCAATTGTCTTGCAACATCGTAAAACTCCAATAATCCAAGAAACGGGTGGATTTCTTAACTATGCTTTCTTAGTGGTGATACTTTTGTCGTATATTTTCAATTTAGTCCACCTCACCAAGGTGTCCGATCTGACTTGTCGCATGCTCCCTCCTTCGTTTTACGTGATATACACGGCTGCAGCCTTGGTACAATTCCTTAAGGTTTATCGCATCCGCCTTCTCCTGAAGCCACCCACGCCACCGGCTACCCACGACATGAAATTGGTGTACATAATCGTGGTATTCGTGTGGATTCTTCCCGTTTTTATCTCGATCATTTGGATAATTTCAGACCCTCCTATATTTGAAAAGTACATTATATCGAGGTTGATAATTTACGGTATTTGCACACCTTATCAAACCAACGTTGGAATGGCGTTACGTTATATGAGTGCAGTTATTTTATCGCTAATTATTATTGGCGCTATGGTGGTTGCCTACAGTACTAAAGGTCTCCCACATAAGCAGAAATTTGACGAAGCCAAACACTTAGCGTTCTCACTGACTGTGTTTACCGTCACTTTTGCCACATTTTATCCAGGATGGTCTTTTATAAAGGGACCAAGTTTGACAGTGTTCGCATGTAAGACCAATTTAGTCGCCGCTACCGGTACAGTCCTTTGTATTTTTGTCCCTAAGCTGTGGCTCATTTATCGCTTTCCCCGTCACAACACCCTAACCTACGTTCGTCCTGCGCCCCAGATAAAGTCAGAAGACGTCAGATCCACAACTATGTTGTCAATCGGGCAGGTTGCTGTAAAGATAGGTGATAGCCCCTGTGCGAGCTAAGGATCACCGAAGGCGCAACGAGACTCAACGAATACGTAAAAAGGCTTGCCGAAGACGAGACAAGGCTCTCCGTTATTGAAAACGAAACAAGGCTCACCGAAAACGCAAAGAGAATCGCCGAAGAATCATGTAAAATTTAACCTCTAACTCCCATGAGTGACCAAGATAGAATTTCTCCATACAATATTGATACAATATCGAGTACACAGTGATGAGAATAAAGAAAAATATCAGCTAGGGGATTATACGTTGATCCAACACTAAATTCTCCAAACTAACATCACAAGAACTGTATGGCAGACAATAAGGAGAATTACTAATGAGATCTTGGGAGTTAAAGGGTTAAGTGAACTTCACTTTACGGGAACGTTATAGTACTCTTACTCGATTATTCAATTTTTGTAAGATTTTGGGGCACTTTTTAACCCTTTAACTCCCAGATCAAATTTGTTATTCTCCTTACTGTCAACCATACAATTCTTATGTTAGTTCAGAGAATTTAGTATTGGATCAACTAATTGTCCCCAAACTGATAGTTCTCTTTATTCTCATCACTTATCTGGTTGATGTTGTATTGATATTGTAAGGAGAAATTCTGTCTTGGTCACTCATGGGATTTAAAGGGTTAAAAATCATTTGGCATTAAGTAGGTCAAATTGGGGTATAAGGGTCAACCATTTGTCAAATGAAGTGATGGTTGAGATATTTATTGTATTAAATAATTCTTAATATTTGTTTGTCTGTAATAGTCTTGGAGTAGGATATCAAGAGGAGGGCTGACCCACTGACTGTGTCTTGAGCTCTCTTGTATTTTAATAAGAAATATTCTAAAGGACTTTGTAAAAGATTGCAGAACTGACAAGCTAAGACAGTTAGATAGTAGAAGAGGAGTTAACCAGACCACAGATGGCGGATTGGGCAGTCTACAGCCCCTCCTGGTGATAATTTAGAGGGGGGGGGGGAGGTGGGTTTACTCTCCTCACATTTCAGCATCAACAGTGCAGCACAGCAGTGAAGCTTAAAATTAGTTGGCAAAATATTCAGACATGCAATCTTTTCAAATAGTTTCATAGGGATCATCATAGTGTAATTATTTTATGTAAGACTTTTTTTCATTTAAACAGCTCCAGCTTATGTTTGGAAAATTTGGTTAAGGGTATGTACTTGGGTTAGTATACCAGATGAGCCCCCCCTCCTACACATGCTGCCTCTGCATACAGTCAGACAAACATATCAATTTCTAATCAAATATAAACAGAAAAAAAGAGTATTAACAATGCATGATAAAATCAAATTACTTTTTACTTGCAATTGTTATGTCATTTCAGCTAGTCAGATAGGTACTACGTACGGCTCTGGAAGAGGGGCTTACAGAGCATTAAAGCCTTTTTTTTTTACAGTAATCATTAGTGCTGGGCCTCGAGGAAGAGGGCCAATTCTCTCCACACTGAACAAGTTTTGTTCTTAAGTGCATGTTACTGTGATCATGTGATTGCTGATAATCTCATTCACAATTCCCAGTTTTGCTGCATTTGAAAACGTCCCTGATAGGTCTTGTTGGAAAATGCGCCATTCACATTGTGAGGGCAGGGGAAAATGTAAGGCTAGGAAGGGGCAGAATTTCTGGATGCCTAAATTTTGCATTTCTTTTGACAAAGGTTGTAAGTCGATCATATGACATTAAACTCCTGAAACCATTGATGGTACATTGTTGTTCTGATGGATGTCTATTGGTGTTGTATTTGACAGTGACAGTCCAATACTGTTGCAAAGAAAGGTAGCATCACACTGGATGCCATGACAGTCCAATACTGGTACACTATACATTATATGGGTATAACAATATCAGATCTCAAACATCATGGTCCTGTCCTGCTGGTTGTTCTGTTAGGCATAGAGTATGGGTGAACACTGGCAGCTGCCTTAGTGTCTGTTTTAACAGAGCTTGGAGCTTTATTTGTAGATTTGTCACTCATCCAGCTACTTTGTGCTGTAGCAAAGAAAAAAAGAATATCACCTTTAAGAAATATTGTTTGTTTATGTATCAGATAATGTACTCTGTATGCATTCCTAATGAGCTATCATTGAAAAGATGAAGCCCTACATGTATTATAAATTTTAATCCACTTAGAGTTTCTTTCATCATATATACAGTTTTACTTGATGGGACACAATTCATTCTCAAGTAACATATACTGTATTTTTCCAAGGAAGTCTTCACTGCTGAGAAAAGTTGTCGTCAAACTGACAAAAACATTTTACATTATCAAGATACAGCATGATGCCACTCAGTTTAAATTTTATTCAATAGAGCACTTGGATCTCCCCTCTTTCTGAGGCCTTTGACTCCTAAGGGTGACTAGCATCTCATATATCCTTACAATATCACCCCTGAATCACACATTAACCCTTTAACTCCCATGAGTGACCAAGGTAGACTTTCTCCTTACAATATCAATACAATATCAACCAGATAAGTGATGAGAATAAAGAAAAATATCAATTTGGGGATAATTAGTTGATCCATTACTAAATTCTCTGAACTAAAATCATAAGAATTGTATGATTGATAGTAAGGAGAATTACAAATTTAATCAGGGAGTTAAAGGGTTAAGGACACAAATTAAAGAAAATGATCATTTTGATGAAAATTGATTTTAAACAAATTCTCCTCGACAACATGTCAGGAAATTTATAGAAAACAGTTGGGAAAATATGAATACCGATGTTAGAGTGAAAAGAGTTTATATTAAAATTTTATTTCCTGGTCCAGGATCCAGTTTAATTTCACTTAATATAACAAAATGTTAACTATAATTCTAGCCCCTGTTATCCAACAAGTCAAAATACTGCAAAAAGATCACTACAAATATACCTTTATCTGACTTAGAACCTCGACCCTTGGTAACTTTTGCTGGTTTTAGACCTGTACAATAAAAAACAACAAAATTAGACCTTTCAGAAAAAAAATTCACTGGATAGCTTATGAGAACCTGTTTACAGTGTGTCTGAGGATGCATTGTGGCCTTTTGGCTGGATAGCATTTGGGAGTCTGCAGAGCTACTACAAGTAGAATTCCACTTCAATCTATCATTGCCAGAGTAGATGTGTCAATTGAAAGGTTAGTGTGCTGGATTCCAAGTCAAGAGGTCTGGGCGAGAGACCTGACTGGGTCAATGTTTTGTGATGTTGGGCAAGACACTTAACTCTTATGCATTTTTACTATTTCACACCTTTTCAGTGTGTAAATCTCAGTATTTATATTTAATAAAAATGGGTAGGGGTAAATTGTCAGGGAGGCCTGATGAAACACTGGGGGGGGTAACCTTGCAATACACTTGCATCCCATCCAGAAGAACAAGTGATACTCCTTGTCATTTCAAGTTATGAAAACAGAGATAAGTTCCAGCTGGGTAGGCCACTTGGCTTCAAAACAGAGTCATGTACATGTATCATCAAACATACCTCTTCCAAATGTAACCGCGGAAACAAGACTGTTGAGGTCAGGATTAACAACAGATGAGCTTCTTGATGCTAAAAAAAGAAAAAAAAATCAAGTATGAATCCAAGTTAAAAATTCGAGTCCATTTTGATATGTAATTATTGCTAAATTTGCATGAAACATAACTAATGCAAATTTTAATACCTGCACTTTGCTCTCCCTCCCAGTCCTCTCTTGCACTTGATATAAGATTAAAAAGATTTTCAGCAAGTTCATTCAGTGTGTCTTTCTGCTTCTGTAATTGAACATGGTAAAAATTAAAAATGAACAAGATTACCTTAAGTTTTCAGTTTATAAATATACTGTATACCACAGAGTGTACGCTGTAATTGAAACAACATTACACCAAATGATATATGAACAATTTAAGGGGGGGTCTAAGGATTATTCACTTGCCTCAACCCTTTCGGATCAATATCAGTATCTGGTCAACTGCCCACCTACCCCTCCCCTGACCCAACATTAACCCTAGCTTGTTATCAATTGACTGCTGTTGAGTTAGGGGAGGGGTAAGTGGGCAGTTGCCCAAATACTGATATTGATCCACCCTTTCACTGAAACCCAAGTAATTTCCTTCCCTCCCTCCCCCCCTTCCCAAAAAAACTAACACAACAATTAAAAAACATAGATAAGTTTTCAAAGCTAAAATTATTATAAGTAGGGAATGACAGACAAGAAGAGATCTTGGGAGAGAAAGGGATGAGTAGTATTCTCTGTTTTCTGTTAACCCTTTAACTCCCAGAAGTGATTAACATGTTACTTCTCCCTATAACATCCATACATTTTCCAACAAACAGGTCATGGGAATACTCAAACATTAAGTAGAGGGCTGTTATCTTGACCAAATGCCAAATTCTCGTGATTAATTTACAAGGAAAGGTGTAACAGCTTGAAGGGAGAATTGACAACAGGATCTTTGGAGTTAAAGAGTAAAAATTAGTTTCTATATACCTGAGCTTCATCTGGTGGGATGTTTGTTGCCATGGTTTCCACCTTCTGTTCAGACTCCTCTATCTCAGGAGCATACTTTGTTCGCAGATAGTCTGGGACTGGAATGAAAAAAAATCAAAATTTATGAGTGGGCACTGTATGAATTGCGTAGTATAAACAAATTAATACTTACCAACTTCATGGTCAAATGCATGTATACGGCCTTCGCTTGCTTTCTAATAAACCACAAAACAGAAAAACTTGTAAATGAATTGGAATTTGTTCATGCCCTTACTGTCATTACCCTGACCAGAAGTCCTGTGACAATGCAATTTGACTTTTATTCAGAATTCTGACTTGCTTTGAGTTTGAGAGTCCAGGTTATTTTACATCTCTAGTATCAGGGATTTGACTGTTACTCTAACTATCAAGGTACTGAGAACGTAACATGGGCACACAAACTGAAAATTACACGACACTCAGCATGTCACATTGTCACGCATGTCGCGCTGGCAGCGAAGGGGTTATGATGTCACACTGTGATAGCTATTATACAAAAATATTGATCATCATCAATGGTTAATCCTAAACATAAAGGTCTCTCTTTCTTATGGACTTGTTGGCAAGTTTGTTTCACAACAGACTTAGGGAATATTTGGTAAACATATTATTTTATTCCATTAGCAAGAATATCATTATAGTATGATTTACATTTACTCTACACTGTATATCTGCCACAAATGTACCTGTATATCTGGGTCTGTTTCTTGTTGTACTAACACAGGTAGGAGCACCAGGTTTCGAAAGGGGGGAGTTTTGTCATTTTTCAGGAGTTTTGTCAATGTGTTTACTTGACCTGTTCAACAGAGATGCATAACATGTAGGCAAGTTCAATACTTTAAACAATAAAAATTAAACTAGGGGTTGTAGCCAAGAGATTACATAGAACCCTTTGACCCCTGAGAGTGAGCAGCATCTAATTTCTCCTTACAATATCACCCCTAAATCACACATTAATGTCACAAGAATAAAGGAAATGATCACCAAGTAAAGAAACACTTAATGTTCAAACGAATTCTCCTTATCAGCAACTTAACCCTTTCACTCCCACAAGTGACCAAGACAGAATTTCTCCATACAATATCAATACAATATCAAGCAGGTAGGTGATGAGAATAGAGAAGAATATCAATCATTGGATTATTAGTTGACCCAATACCAAATTCTCTGAACTAACATCATAAGAATTATATGGCAGATAGTAAGGAGAATTACTAATTAGATCTTAGGAGTGAAAGGGTTAAGAAACGTATGGAGAACAGTATGGAGAATATGTTTATTGATGTTAGGGTGTAAAGAGTTAAACAGGCAACAATAAACCTACCTGATAAGAGAGCATAGTTATCCAAAACCGAGGGCCTGTAACAAATAGTAAAGTGAGTTGATAATGCTTCAGATGGTTACAAGAACTATTCTTCTGAACAGCGAGCTAGGAAATTTAAACGTGCAAAGAGCAGGTAATGATTCTCTTACCAGTTCATTTGCTCGTGCTCCAGTTTCATCAGGAAGGCTTGAATTGCTTCCTTTAATTCTTGGACCCTGCTGGATACTGCTTCCAGAGAAACTTCTAATAGCTTCTCGTCCTATTCGTTGAATGAAAAAAGTTCAAATCGAGATGGAATAAAAGTCGTATTATATACAGACATGCAGAAAAGTTCTGATAGATAATGTAGGTTTTTGAAAAACAACTGCTTAATCAAAGTAATAATATACGGTATTAATTTGCAGGAAAGTTTATGAGAGGTACAAGAATCACGTAACAATGAAATCCCACTCAAAAGAAAATAAAATTATTGCGATCAGACCTGCATTTTCACGAACTTTCGCACAGTCGTTTTCAGAGAAAAAGCCTTTACGATGAACTCTCCGATAATTTGTTATCTGCCATGAGTGAGCCCACGAATAGGAAAGCAAAGACGAACTGCATTCACGCGTGCGCGCGTAATGGAACGTCTACTAAACATGGCGGACGAACTCATCAAATGCTGAAGAGTTTAAGATGCAAAATTTTAGCCCTTTTTGTGGCTTCTATTTACACGATCCTTACCATTTATGCACTTCAAGTGCTTCTAGTAAGCGAGAACCAGAAGAAACATCAAAGGACTTGTGATCACTTCTCAGTCGCCCGCGACTTTCTACCGTGTTCCTGGAAAAGTTCCTCAATATCGACAAAAGAATTTGGTTGAGGTTGAAATCTGGGGTAAAGCTGCGATCGGGCTTTATTTATGGGAGCATATTCTTGAGGGGCCCTTAGAGGAAAGACTTGGTGGAGCATGGCGCTACGGCGAAAAGCAAATTCAGAATATCAAGTTCATATTTCGGACTGGACCATGGGTGGTACCAAATAATGTTCCAAAACAAACCAAGAGTCTTGTGCTCGTTATCAACGGACGAGAATCGAAAAAAGTGGAATTTGCAAAGGCTTGGCTTCACTCTCTTCAAGATTTTCCGCATCTTCAAAACATAGGGGTTGTTCTTTTGGGAAACGAACGCTGTGATAATGACTGGTTATATTCCTACATGAAAAATAATGGAGGTCATGTGACATTTGCCTTCATTGTCTATGATATCACTTACGCAGATTCTGAAATCTACTTCCAGTGGCCTTTGGGAGTAGCCACTTATAGAAACTTCCCAAATGTTCCATTTCTTTCCATTGATGTTCAGAAACCTCGTAAATTTAAGTGTAACTTTTTAGGAACTGTTTATCCAAACTCTTCTCGAGTAGTGCTGCAGACAGTGATAAAGAAGTTTAACCTTGAGGATGAGTGTTTTATGAAGACTAGAGACACTTGGTCACTGGGTGAAAGTTCACAATCAGCCAATGATTATCACTATGCTTTAGCCAACAGCGACTTAACTCTTAATCCAGTGGGAATGAATACAGAATGTTATCGCATATATGAAGCTTGTTCCTATGGATCCGTTCCTGTCATTGAAGATGTTGTCACAGCTGGACATTGTCGGAAAGGAAATGAATCTCCATTACAACTGTTAAAGAAATTCAAGGCCCCATTCATTTATGTAAAAGACTGGAATGAGTTACCAATTATCATTGAAAAGGAGAAGAATTTAACTCACAAAGATGTAGTTGAAAGGCGAAAAAAAGTGTTATTGTGGTATAAAATGTTTAAAGAAACCATGAGGGACAAATTTGTTGAGACTATACAACAAAACTTTGCTACATAAAGTGTCAAATAATTTTTGTAATTTGACATGTCCAATGTATATACACTTGCATTTCTTTTTTCCTTTTTTTCATTTAACCCTATCACTCCCAATATCTCTTTAGAAGTTTTCCTTACTGTATGCTATATAATTCCTATGATGTCAGTTTTGAGAATTTGGTATTGGATCGACTAATAATCCACTAAATCCCTAATTGATAGTTTTCTTCATTCCCATAACTTTCCTGCTTGATATCGTATCGATACTGTGAGGAGAAATTCTGTCTTGGTCACTCATGGGAGTTGAAGAATCAAGGATAGAGTGACTTGGAGTGCTTTGGGCAAAATTGTTAGGCCAAGTAGCCTTGATCTGTAGAGAATATTTTCATTTTGATGGAGGGCTAACAGTCAAAATGCCGGTGTTAGGAACTCTTTATGGTAGCAAGTTTAAATTTATTTATCAACTCACTGAATTATCTTATAATAACTCTACCAACTCAGCACCACAGTTTTTAGAAACTTACTCCCTCAGAATTTTTTCTGTCCCACACTCATGATGAAAAAAACATTTTCATTTTTTGATGGAGGGCTTACCATTTCTACAAATGCCTTTCAACATTGCTGATCTTAGCAGTATGCAGGACACGTGTCATATGAACTTTGTAATAGACCTCACTGACCATGGAGTCTCTGTGGCTCAGTGGTTAGAGCATCAGAGTGTGGAATCCAAAGGTCTGAGGTTCGATTCCTCATTGGGGACTCAGAATTTTTCTTTGTCCCATGCTCATGACTAGATGAAAAAACATATTTCTCTTACCCCTCTTACAACAAACATTTGAGAAGGGGAATAATCAGGTAAACATAATACCACAGTACCACATTTCTATGGATCAATAGATAAAATAGCTAAAAACAAACCATTGTTTCCTCTGTGTTGTGATTTATTTTTTGTTAAATAAGGTAATAGAGAATATCACTATTCCACACAGAAAATTTATTTTGAAGACAGACCTTTCTTGTTTAAACCAATTTACATTGGACATATTCAGTCACATGACACTGGTCATAGTAGCATGCATGTGTCATATCACTTGCCTTTCACCCTTTGGAGCAGTGTTCCCTTGAGTACTAAGAAAACTTGTGGACTGTTTGGCCCTTTTAACCTTAAAAGTGACCATTGTTTAATTTCTCATTTCACAGTTTTACTGTGGAATCATTCATTGAGATCATGAGTATAAAGTGAATGATCACCAGCCTAAGAAACATTGATTGTTGAATAGATTCTCCTTGTCAGTTTCAAAGAAAATGTATAGAAAAGAGTATGGAGAATATGGATGCTGACCTAAGGGTTCAAAGAGTTAATGAGGACTGTTCCGTTTTTAACAAAAAGGGGACTGCTTGAAGATATTGATTCTCTACCTTGGTAGACAGTCTTCTTAGAGAATTATTTTCTTTCTTTCTTTCTTTTTTATTGTTGGCCCATGTTGAGCCAGGAGCAAGATTCTGTGGGGAACTCTTAATACGAGTCTGGAATCAAGAAAAATAGGCCGGGTGAAATTTTTTTCTGAGATCATAAACATGGAAACTTTGCTATATGGAATTTCACTTTATTTTGGTCTTAATTTTCTCTCTCATTTTAGGAAAAAGGCAGAAACTTCTAATTTATTCTTGAAAAGTAGATCATAATCTAGGACTGAATTTGTTTCCCATCACATAATTCAGTTCATTCGCACATTTTCACTTTCTTCCCGTTTCCCACCCCCTTCCTCTTGACCAGCGGTGTCGCGCGTGAGTAGTTAGCGTGGCGGAAATGGCAGACGACTGTTATTTGGTTAAGAAACTTGTCGAAAAGGAAGCCTGCAAAGATTTTGCATGACATTTTGCAAATCGCTCATCATTTAAATGATTGTGTCAATATGGACCTTACCTGAAAGGTAAATCAGAAACGAAAATGGAGGAAGACGGTGCAACGCAAGAGGTAAGTTCTCGAGTCGATCATAAGTTCTTCCCGATGTTTCCTCGTGCTTCACAGCGATTCCAAGTAAATCAGCGATGCAAGGCTCATCTTAAAGTGTTATTTATAAACAATTATTTTGTCTTAATTTTTATATCCTTTCTTTTAAGAAAAGGCCTCGTTTTGGCTCAGATAACGGTTACCGTCAATAAATTTGAAAAAATAATTAATTGAAATTTGAGTCCTTGCACAAAGTGGATACACTGTCCCCCTCTCCCCTAGTCCATAGTAGTGCAACAGTTCTTTTTTCAGAACAACGATATTATTTTTGTGATTGGAAAGACTGGATAGCTGTTGCAAAGACTAAAAGTAGCTTTGAGTGACTGAATCCTAATTTCGTCTCACAGTATTACCCTTGAATCAAATGTAAAGGTCACGAGAGTAAAGGAAATGATCACCAATTCAAAAAGCTCTTGATTGTCAAACAAATTCTCCTTGTCCATAACGTAAGAAATGTAAAGAGAACAATGTAGAGAATATAAATGCTAATGTTGAGGTGTTAAAGGGTGAAGTATTTACATGGTATGATTTGTCTATGTATGCCAAAGAAAACAAATACCTGCAAATAAAGTAAGTAAACAAACAAAGCTCTAGTAATGAGGTTTTTCTTCTTAATTTTCCCTAAATTATCTGAATGAGCTCTTTCTCCAACAAAGTGTAGAAGAGATGGAAATCGTGGTTCAGTAGTTTTGTGGAAATGATCAAGTTATATATAGTTACTGCACCTTTCAATAACAAAACATTTTGGATTTATATTAATTTACTTATTTCCTGCTTTGGATATCTGTTACAAAAATAGTTGATTTTTGCATAAAAAACAATTGTAAGATTTTCTTTGAACTTTAGAATTAATTTTGTTGGTTTGCTCTGTTTATTTTGATAGGAAGATGCTCTTCATGTGTTTCTTCTCATGGGAAAGGAGTACAGAATCTCAAGGAGTATCAGAGCCCAGTGGTTCTTTGAACAGTTTAACAAAACTCTTTCTGATCCCAAGTCACATGATGAACTGGTAAGATGACAGTCAATGGTGCTCCAAGTTGAAAAAGTTTTGGTTACCATGGCAACTATTGAAAAAAAGTTTGGTTACTGAAGTTGCCAATTTGGTGACATTTGTTTGGAGGTTCTGTAGCAAGCTGTGGCCATAGTCTCAATTTAATCCTTCACCTCCTAAGATCTGATTGTTAATTCTCTCCTCCAGCTGTTACACATTTCCTTGTAAATTAGTTATGAAGTAAGATCAAGATACATTTAACAACTTCTATACCTGATAAGTTTGAGTATTCTCATTACCTGTTTGCTTGATAATGTATGAATCTTATGGGGAGAAATTACATATTTATAACTTATGTGAGTTAGATGGTGAAATTCCCTTTTTTTGCTTCTGTAATTTAAATGTTATTTAGTTGAGTTTTGAGCTCTACACAGTCATCCAACTTAACAATGCACATGAAATTTACCGTGCCTAATAATGCTTTGTGTACAAGATGTGCCCAGTGGGTTGATTTGCCTGGACTCTAATAATGTTCTTTTTTTTGTGGTCTAGATTGCTTCTAACGAAGAACTAGAAGTTTTGTCAGTCATTTCAAATAATCAAGACAAGCATGGACCCTACAAACTTGTTCCTTCAACTCAAATTACATTTATTGGCAGGCGATACAGATATGTATTTTGCTTTGACATCAGCCCATCTCTTGCCACTGTGGTAAGAATGTAACGAAATTGTAAAGAATTGTTGGTCTTCGTGGAATTTTTTTTCCAAAAAAAATAAATGACAGTTTAGCAGTGTGTTCGAGAAGTGTTTCCACAATGAAAATGTTTTTTTCTTCCAGGATATCCAGTCAGGGACTGTAATAACTGATGAAGCATTTGAAAAATTTAAAAACTGTCTGAATGGCTTAGTTGCTCCAGTAAGTAAAATTTTATATTTATTTATTAGTTGTTTACAATTCTGTGTTAGCTCAACTTGTTATTTTCTGGGTGAGTGAATGGTGGCATATCTGTTAATGGGAACATATGTATTGCAAATTGAAGTCTTCAAAGTAATGTTGACAGGACAGCGACACCAAGGAAGATGTCAATTAAAAAAGGAATGAAATGTTTAGTTAGAATTTTGCCAACGGATGGATTGAAACTTGAATAATTTGGGTGTTAAGACTAGGTAAATTTTGGTGGTTTCACATCTTTGTTTTGCAGAGGACAGCTAAGAAATATACAAAGTTTTTAAATGTCTATGCTGACCTGTTGTTCTACCTATTAGATATTTTGTTTTGCGATGTCTTTACTGCCTTTGATTCATTACCATACCCACTGTATAATCATGCATTGAGCACTTTGCTAAAGCAGAATATCTAAGTGTACTGTGTTCCAGCTATGATTCATAGCATGAGCACAGAAACTTAAACTCCAGAGTATAAACACTTCATTTATCCAAAAGATTAACAGTCACACTCACTTTCTCTGCAGTTCTCTGTTCCTGGTAACACCATTGTGTTACGTCCTGAGTTGTATATCACTGTCTTAGCATATACTTCCAACTTGGATCCTGAAGTTCCTCAGGTGAATTTATTTATATTTTTCAATTTGAGGATCATTTTAATTACTTCCTCACAGTAGTTTATAAGGTAGATGTGGAGGCCTACACTGTAGTGGCTAGTGTGCTTTACTCTTGGTCAAAATGTTGGGCTCAAGACCTATAGCTGCATCTTTGTATTGTGTTCTGGGCAATACACTGAACTCTCACAGAGCCTCACAATCTTCACCCAGGAGTATAAATGGGTACTGGTAACATCAGGGTAGCCTGGTAGGGGTGTAACCTTCTGGACAATGGAATGGCATCTCACCCACAGGGGAGTGGTAATACTCCAAGATGCTTCATGCCATAGAAACCAGGATAAGTCGCTGGTTCAAGTGCAGACTTAACCTTTTTTTAATTGTTCACACAGGGTGACCTATTGCTTGAATAAATGAATTTATGAGGTACACTTTCAAACAGAGGAAAAAATCAAAAGTTCTCCTTAGTTAGCTTAACAGCTTTAAATCTTTTTGCTTTGCAGTTTTTTAAGTCAGTGAAAGAAAGACCACTTGTTTTTTTGGTTTGTTTTCCTTTTTCAAGATTCTTATCCAGGGCTGCCTTGTGACAGAAGAAAATATCAACTTTGTTCTGGAGTCAGTACACAGGCAGCTAATGGAGCTGGAGGACTTCTTGGCTAAGACTACATCTACACTGTACTGTGATATATGCTCTAGTGATGAGGTAAGGTTCGTGGGTAGTAGGGACAATTTGAAGAATTTACTAATTAAAAAAAGATATAAAATGAGATTTTAAATGAATGAATGAAAGGAAGAAAATAATGAATGAGTTGATTAATGAATGAATGGACTGCATTTGTGCACAAAATGCAGATGTAAGAAAATTAAGTATTGTTGGATTCTCTTTTCAACTTATCTTTTACTTCCTTGTGAAACACAAGGAGAGGTTGATGTAGAGTTAATTAACCCTTTAACCCCTAAGAGTGACTGGCATCTAATTTCTCCTTACTGTATCACCCCTGAATCAAACATTAAGGTCGGGAGAATTAAGGAACTGATCACCAACTAAGGAAGCTCTTGATTGTAATTCTCCTTGTCAGCACCTTAGGAAATGTTTAGAGAACAGTATGGAGAATATGCATACTGACATTAGGGTATAAAGGGTTAAAAGTTACTTGTGGCTTAATTACTCAGTGGAAGACATGGTGGTCTAATGGTTAGTGAGCTGGACTCCAGGTTGAGAGGTCTGGGTTCAAGACCAGGCTGATTCAATGTGTTGTGTTCTTGGGCAAAACACTCGTTACCCTCACAGTGTCTCTCTCTCTATACCCAAGAGTAATACCCCGGGATAAGTCAGGCTGGATGGACTACTTGGCTTGAGTCTAGACTTTACCTTTGACATTGTTCTACACACTGCTTAAATTTTTTTTTTGAGAAATAGATAAGCCTTGACTGTGTTCTGTTCTGTTGTAAAGTATGCAGGTAGCAGCTAGGGCAGGAAAGAAGTGTAGAAAGAAACACAAGACATAGTCAAGTGTTTCTCCCCTCTTCTTCTGTTGCTACTTGCCAGCTTGCTTGTTTTGAAATTTCACCTTCAACTAATTAAAGAAAGCTAGAGAGAAGTTTGGGAAAAGATCAAACATAGTACAAATTGGTAGATGATGCAACAGCTTTAGCCCAGCACTATGCTTTATACATGTACTCTGATAGAGCAAGCTCTTTCAACCAACAGCAGCACATGTTATATCCAAACTTTATTATAAAAGAACTTAATAAAGTACATTATATGTTGAATATTGATGGAAGGAATTTGATACTTTAATGAAGGGGAACAAAACTGAGAGCAACCAGAGTGGACTGGCGCATGACTCTGTGACACTGATGTCACCCGAGGCTGGACCAATATCAATATTAAGGAACACTCTCCTTGCATTACAGCTGCTTCCAGGAAATGCAAGTGCTGGTATGTTAGATATAGAGCTGTGAGTAAATTAACCCTTTGACTCCCAGATCAAGTTTGTGATTCTCCTTACTATCAACCATACAATTCTTATGTTAGTTCAGAGAATTTAGTATTGGATCAACTAATTAACCCCAAATTGATATTTTTCTTTATTCTCATCAATTATCAGGTTGATATTTCATTCATATTGTAAGGAGAAATTCTGTCTTGGTTACTCATGGGAGTTAAAGGGTTGAGTGCAATTTGATAAAATATTATGACCACTATCACCCTCTTCTAAAACTGCAGCATTCAAGATCTTGCAAAAGCAGTTACCTTCAGGCTAGTCAAGTCTTAGGTTATATTTAACTTTCCTAGACATAGTTTGCACAGTGATAATGCTGATAGTACTTAGCAAATTTTCACTAATTGTGAAATCCTGTTAGTTGATAGTGAGTCACTAGTAAGAGAAATATTGTTGAATACTGTTACTACTTTTTTTGTATGAATGTATAGGAGCAGTTGTTATCACAGATGGTGTTTTTGCCCTTCCTGATGCGATTACAGTTGATTCTCTCTTGGCACAGCTAAGAGCCAGTACTGTGTGCTGTTCTTTTATTAAAGTTGGAAGTGGATTTCATGCCCACTGCAGGTTGATCCTCTTAGATATTCAATTTAAAATCCTATACTAGTGTGGACTTTGTTGTTGTTTGTTTAGATTCAGTGTGTTTCGCAAAAGATTCCCAGTTTTTTGTAACAGTAACAGTATTATTGACCATTAACTGTATCTAATACAATTAAATTTAACTCTAGTGCAACTAACTTTATTTTTTCCCTTCAAGCCTTGGTTATGTGCCACACTGTGATATGATGCAGTTTATCGCCATGGCCAGTTCAGGTGCATACCTTGCAAAGGCACCCCCGGTGAGTAGAAGACACTGTACATTGTTGATTTCAATAGAAGATGATACATTAAGTTATTAGGAGACCTTGGTGTCTTCTTTTTTCCTCTTTTTTACTTTGGCGTAGAAAGCTTCCTGCCAAGCTATATACAATGAAAAACTGTTGTTGAACCTTGATGTTCATTGTTTAACACCAATTTGCACAGTATTAATCTGTTAGATACTTAACAAAGACTTCTTGCAGTTTCAGGGGTAAAACAACTTATATTTTTTGATTTGATTTCAGCTGTGTCTTTCAAAGATCATTATGATTTTCTTTAAGTTTTATTAAGACATATGTCTTACAAACTGAGTTTGAGGCCCGCACAGTGAAATACAGCCTGCTAAATTGACCAATCATAATGTACATAATAACTGAAAATGTAATAATTTTCCAATATTTCCAGGTTTCAAAAGATGGTAAAAGAGTGGATGAAGAAGGTAAAAAAATCTTAATTTTAAAATCTGAAAGCAAATTTTCCTGGATGATGAGAGAGTGTCAAGTTCCTCAGATGTGTTGCGTCAATTGATATGTTCTGGTTAAAATAATTAATTTTTGTACCATTTTGATTTATGAATTCCTTTGTGTGACCCTTTTACCATTAGAAGTGATTAAGATGTAACTTCATCCTATAATATCTGAGATATTTGTCTTTTTTGTAGAGGATTTCAGCATGAACCTTTATCACAAAGCTCTACTTTGCTGGAACTTTCAGAGAGATTTTGACCTGAGCAAGATTGATTCCTGGATGGGTAATGTTGCTGTGACAATTGCATAATTGGCTAATTCTTTTGAGCATACCGTAATTAAATCATAATTTTGTTTCCTGGACTTTGGAAAGTCTGATTAATGAAGAAACAAGGGAAAAAGAAAAGAACTAAAGAAACAAAGAAACTTAATTTGGTCAATAAATATTTTATCATGATTTTACCACTAATTGTTGAAAATTTTTAAAATCTTGTTTCACCTAAATAGGACGCAATCGAGAGGAATGTGCTGTGCAACCACAAAAAGACTCAACAATGAAAACTCAGAACAAGAAACTCACAATTCCTAGAAAAACACAACTTATTTTCTCATTTCTGCTTTGCTTAAAGTTCATATCCACAATGAGAACTCATCTTTTTGGAAAGAGTTTGAAGAAATAAACAAAGCTGTACAATTGTGGGGCTAGACAGTTTTTTCTGAGCCTTCTTATTTTAATCCATTTGGTCCTACACACATCAGCCTTCATTATGGTTTTCTATAGGATCGTGTGAGTGGGTTACTCTATAATTATAACATCATAAATTTAATTCTTCATCGCTAATTATTTCAACATTCTCTATTGTTGAATGAATACTGACCATAGGTGACTGTTTGGAGTTGAGTGAGGAAGACTTGGCGTGGGCATTGCAAGGCAAAAAGTAACCACAGTATTATTGTACATGCTCAGTTAAAATAACTATTAAGTTAGTGTTCAATTTTAAGTGGAATCCCCTATAAAAGCAAATGAACCAGCTCTTATGTTCAACTCTTTAACTCCCAATATCTGATTGTTAACCCTTTAACTCCCAAGATCTCATTAGTAATTCTCCTTACTGTCTGCCACATAGTTCTTGTGATATTAGTTTGGAGAATTTGGTAATGGATCAACTAATCATCCCCTAATCAAGATTTTTCTTTATTCTCATCACTTGTCTGCATGATATTGTATTAATATTGTAAGGAGAAGTTCTGTCTTGGTCACTCATGGGAGGTAAAGGGTTAATTCTCTCCTCCAGCTGCACACATTTCCTTGTAAATTAGTTATGCAAATTTGGTGTTAGATCAGGATAAAAACTCCCTGATACATTCAAGTATTCTCATTACCCATTTGCTGGATTATGTATGAATAGTAAAGGAGGAAGTTACATGTTAATCACCTCTGGGATTTCAAGGATTAGTTAAAGGGAGGGAAGGTACCTGGGGTATATAAGAGCCTCTATTGTGTCCAACCAGCCCTTCAGATAGAATTCTCCCCCCATGGTTGGCAAATCCCAGTTATCAAGCCACAAGTCCTCACATTAGTCTCCCATCAGTGTTAATTTGATCAGTTCAAGGAAAATGAAGGGAAGGTGGATTGGGAAAAAAAAAACATAAGTATAAACTGTTCAGGACTGTGCAGTGATTTTTGATTTTTTTTTTTAACTTAAATGTTGTTAATATTTTCATTGCAGATCAATATCTTATGCACTGAGTGAATGGGAGAAGAATGCCATGCAACGATCAATGCGAATTAGACATCTGGAGACAAAGTTACATACTAGCATCACAAGGTGAGGGTGTGAGTCCCGCACTTATGACCTGTCATGGTAGAATTCTCCAAATGAAAAAGAGGCAATTGTTAGTAAAGCACATCATCTGGTAAAACAAAATGGCACATCTGAAGTTTGGCACTTACAGTTGTTCAGTATTGAAGGTTATCACTTGAAATTTCAGCTGGCAGCCTAAGTTCTTAGCTACAACCCTGAAAATAATGAGATGCAATGCATGGGGTAGATAAAGCTTGAACAACTTCTTCTTTTTCTCGTGTCTAGTGTTCTCAGTGTGCGTCTCAGAGAAGGGTATTCAATTCAGGACGTTTCCATAGCAAAAGGTATTTACATTTTATATGAAGATGTGTCAATTAATCATTTACACCCTAACATCAGTATGCATATTCTCGATACATTTTCTAAGGTGCTGACAAGAAGAGCTAATTAACAATCGGGAGCTTCGTTAGTTGATGATCATTTCACTTATTCTTGCAACCTTAATGTGTGATTTAGGGGTGGTGTTGTGAAGAGAATTTAGATTTTAATCACTCTTAGGGGTCAAAGGGTGGAGGTCTGTCGTTTTTTACTGATTGATAATTCTCAAACAAATGACATGAAAACAGGGAAGACATGTCTTCTGTGTTCTGTCTACATGTGTATTTACTGGGGTACCTATGCTATTGCCATTGGGTCTTCACATATGTTATGTAATTCAATAAAACTCTCCTTTAACAAGGTGGAAAGCAGCTTCAAGTCAAGCTAACAATTCCTTGGAAGCATAATGTCCAGATTGAGTATTTAGCTCTCTCAGTAAGTAAACAGATTTTTTTCTTTGATGTATTTAACTGTAAGTTAATGATATTGTTTTCTCTTTAATGGCAGTATGGTAGCTCCATGTTCATGCATGTTTGTTATTTCAATTCTCCAGTGCATATTAAAGTGCAGTGATGCTCTTGCCTCTTTTAATTTTTTTTTTTTTTTTTCGCTATTTCAACAGGTTTGGCCCCTATCCACTAGCAGGTTAGTAAATGCAGTGAACAGCATAATAAATCATATATATGTTGTAGTTCAATTTTATCCTTGGTTCAAATTTTATTTTCCTTTGTTTCAAACTCATTAACATATTTTACAATACCCAAAAACAAACGAAAAGAAACTTTGAACCAAGGATAAAATTGAACCACAACATATACACAACACTATTACTTACACCATACAGGCTATTTATGAACCTACAATTGGCAACAAAATTATTGACACATTGACCTTTTAACCCCCTATTACTTCAATTTTATATCTGTTGCTCTTGTTTAGTTAACCTACCCACCCCTTTTTCCCCAAAAACAATGTTGTATCATGATTCTATGAACCTTCAGCTACATCAGGCAACAATGAATAGGGGAGGGGGGTTTTGTCAATGATTTAGGGTGTGGTAAAAACAGGAGTGTTATTCAACACATAAATAGAGTTCTTCAAACATGGTGTGTCAACTAATTTTGATGCTGATCGTAGCTCTTGATAAATTTGTATGCATATGTATAAGCATATGTGAAGGGGTTAGGTTTATAATGAAAAGAAACTGTGATACTGTGTTGGAGGGGGTATTACATATAATAATTTGGTTTTATCAACTTAATTAGCTCATCATCAGAGCAAATACTGAAGGGCTAATGCTCAAATTGTCAGCTTTAAAAACTCTTTACAATGGCCGATGAAAACTACATTATCAACACAGATGATCAAACCAAATTATCTTTTATGTATAGTTGGTAGAGATGCGACGATTTTGTGAAATTTATACTGCCAAAAATTATAGAAAATAAAGTGTATTTGACCTAGGGATGGTAAAGCTAGCACAAAATAAGTCAAGTTGGGCAGAACTATCTGTAATTCCCTGAATTTCACTATGACACTATTTCTATAGGGTTTAGGCTCTTTGCTCAGCCGTCATGAAAAGAAGTCACAGCTAATGGTTTTTCTTTCAGTTGTGTGACACATGTAGAAGTGACAATAGAAGCACCTTATGAATTTCTTCATGATGTGATGCATTCTACAAAGCCCTTTCCAAGTCCTTACAGGTAACTTTTGTATGAACCAGTCCCTTTCCTTACTATCTATGACACAATGCTTATAATGTTAGAGTGGAAATTTTTAATTTTCTTCATCCAAAACCCTCCTTGTTCCTTTTTCTTCCCTGTTCCTGTTCCCTGTTCCTGTTCCCTGTTCCTGTTCCTGTTCCTGTTCCCTGTTCCCTTTCCTGTTCCCTGTTCCCTGTTCCCTGTTCCTCCTGGTCTTTATAATGATATTACCTTCTTCGCTGAAAGTTAATTGCCTAGTGTTGTCTTGTCCTGCTCTATAGACCAGGAAAGATGGGAACAACTACATACATGTACATACCATCCATGGCTTTAACTAACTTACACTGTAGCTGTTGGCCTTCAGAACCAAGGAGAGAGTAGTTAACTTAAATTTACAGGCATGTAAGCATACTTGGCTAAACAAAATTAATACATGATTTTAATAAATTCAACCTTTTCAGAACACTTGTTGTCAAAAGATTCAGGCAATCCATGAAAAGGTAAATCATCATCCAAGTACAATGCATTTTCTTGAAATTATTTTTTTGTGGCTTTTAAACATGATACATTGTATTGTAATGCAATGTTTTCCTTTTTTCAGTTTAAAGAGCACAGATCAGATGCTTGTTCATCTCCAGTCCTTTTCATCCAATTCCATTTATTACACCATACCAGAGAGTGCGAAAAAGGGAGTTCCACTATTCTACCTACCACCAAGCTCTAACAACCCTGTAAGTATCAAATAAAAAACTTTAAACATGAAGGCTCACTATAAGTTGGTTGACTCCGCCCCTTGATTTCGGATCAAATGCAAATTACACCCAATATGATGCAAAGGCGAAGTGAATCATTTTGAATTTCAAATTACCACCACAAATTATATGAAGAGAGTTTCAATTGAAGGAAGGAGATAGAAACCTCAGCAATTTCTTCAATTGTGATGAGAACGTTGAAACTAATAAGAGCTTTTGAGAAATCCACGTGCTATTCACTTGCTTTGGATTGGCTGCAGCTCAGGCTGTTTTGAATTTAGAGGTCTGTATGCCACAACAGTTGATTGACAACTAAGTACCTAAGGCACCTCTTCTTTTATAGCACGCCTTTGTGTTTAAAAAGCAACTTCCCAATTGTGTTTATATGTTCAATGTTTGACAAATAGACTCCACGTTACCTTGTGTGTGTTCAGTTAAAGACCACAGGTGACGTCAAAATGCAGTAACAACCAAAAAGTGGCACACAAGGCACAACCAAGGGTGTCTCTGATGTTCTTGTATAATTCAACTACTGGTATCATGTAATTGAGAGATATCAGGGTTTTTTACATGTGTGTAATTCTTACTGTTAACTTGGTTTCATTTTAGGTTTTGTCACTACAACTTGAAAGGTAATTTAAAAGTGCTTCCTATATTTCATTTCCTCTTGTTTCAATCTTTTACTTAAAGTTCCTGAGTTAGCTGTCTATGAAACTAGTGAAGTAATTTGATTCATTTGGATTAATCATAGCTAATTTATAACTAAGAGTATGGCTATCTAGTAATATATCTTATTTATTATGATTATTATTATTAATACCACTTTATTTGCAACTGCCCTTTTTGTTCTGTGCTGCGGTATTGGTAATGTAGTTTTGTGGAAGAACAAGGAAAAGCTATGAAGAAACCTTTTTAATCAAAAAAGGCTTTCCTAAGTTTTCACAATTACATGATTTCAGAGAGAATTCCAAATCACAAGAGTCCCAATTTGCTGTCTTCTGGAAGCCAGTGTTATCTCTTGATACGACTGGATGGTAGGTATATTTATATACAGACTGTAGTCACCTCTTTTGTAGAGGGTGTGCTTACTTTACTTTTGGTTACAACACCAGGTTATGGATAGAATTTTGGGTTGAAGCACAGGCCCAGTCTTTTTGTTGCGTTCTTGATTGGCAAATCACCGAACTCGCAATGGACTCTTTCTAACCAGGCGCGTTTCGAGTGTTAGCTCTTCGCCCGTTGCTCTGACAAAGGGCTAACGATCGAAATATCTGCTTTAGAAACTCTTTACGGTGGCCAATTTACATCAACTCAGTCGATTAAACCAAATTACGTGTATCTTTTAATAAAGATGAATTTTTCTCCTAGGCAAAAATGGATGCATAGTCACAGAATTGGACTTGTACTGGAACATGATGTGTGAGTGTGATGGATATTTTTTGATCCATGTCAGTATCTGAGCAGCCGAGCACCTACCCCTCCCCTAACTCAGGAACAATCAACTGATAATAACTTATGGTTAATGTTCGGTTAGGGGAGGGGTGGGTGTGCAGTTTCTCAATCTACCCCTCCCTAACCTAGGAACAGTCAACTAGTAATAAGTTACGGTTTGAATTTACGATACTTAATCGAGTAAGGAAGGTCGCCATTCTGGGAAAACACAGCAAATGAAAACTTACCTTTATTTGCAGCCCTTTGCCAAAGAATCTTCATCTTCCGAAGGAAAATGACAGATCCAGTGCAATCCAATGTCGGGTGGCACTGAGTTCGCTTAACTCTCTTCTCAGAAAGTGGAGCTCGTTTGTGTTACTGGAAAACCACTCTTACATCAAGTTTATTGCCAGGTAAATATTATTCTTTTGCCTTTTTAACTCGTGAATTGCGCGCATGCGCAAGAGCGAGTTGTAGATACGATGTGGGGGAATGGCACTCGCTCGCTCGATTGGTCGATTCCTGCAAACTTTTTTTCGATTTTAGGCTTTTGAGTGCATTTTATAGTTTTTGGCGAGCAATAAACAAACGAAATGGCGACCTTTGTTGCTAAGAATAGTGGTGGGGTGACAAAGAAGCAAAAATTTTTTTTTTTTTTCGTTTTAGTTTCAACAAGCGGCGCCAGCGACTGGCAAGCATGCAAGGATTCACACTGAAATAACAGAAAAACCTTCGTTTTTCATAAAATTGCAATTTACAATCCTTGAACTTAAAATCAATCCGAAGATTCATTGAAAAATATCACTTACTGCGAAGCGCTCGGAGTTTACAGATGTTCAAAAGCTTTTTCTGTTACGGCGTGAGATTGAGGACAAAATCGATCATTACGTTTTGTATCATGTGTTTTTTCCTGTGAGAAACAACAGAAGATGCCGGCGACTAACGAAATTACAAGTTATCACGAAAATCAGATAACACCTAAACAAACAATTTTAGCTACCGATTTTCAGCGAATTTTTAAAGAACAATTTTCTTTTAAGTTTCAAGACAATTTGAAGATTCAAAGTACATATTACGTACTAAAATGCGAAACTTATACACCACAGAATTGATAAATATATGGGCGAATAGGCCTGAAATTAAATTCTATCTTGTTATTGATTATACGTTGCCTAGCTCGTGACTAAAATCTACCTAGGCGGAGATCTAAAATGACGGTAGCAGTCTTGGCTTAGTTATATCACTCAGAACTCGTTCCCGTTTCATCTCAGATAAAGAGGGAATCGTTTATATTTTCGTTAAGAAAGTATTGCCTTGATTTTCTAATATTTACAATGATAGACAGTAAATTTCACTTTTCACCCACATTTACTTCCAACCTTTTCTTTTGAACCAGAAACAGAAATTATATAAGTTTAAAACACGACATCATCCACCCTTGTCAAATGCAATAGCATGATCATTTCAATTGTAATGCCTTCTTATCCCAACGTTACTTTGTTTCTTTGCTACATTAGCGAACACTGAACTACTGCTCGTACTCCAGATATGACAATCAACCACAAAGTTCCCTAAACCAGATAAAATTAAACATAATCCAAAAAATCATGTGTCAATTCACGAGTTTGCTCACAGAGCACTTTGATTTATTGCATGTTAGCATGTTATGTTTTTCAATCAATCCTACCACGTGGTGCTTGTACACAAGATTTGGGATTTAAGTCTTTGACCCCCTAAAAGTGACCGGCATCTAATTTCTCTTTACAATATCACCCCTGAATCACACCTAAGGGTCACGAGAGTTACGGAAATGATCTTCATTTAAAGAAGCTCTTGATTGTTAAACGAATTCTCCTTGCTAGCAACTTGGGAAATGTATAGAGAACAGTGTGCAGAATATGCATACTGATGTTAGGGTGCTGATATAGAGTTAAAGAAACTTTCATACACATAAAATTTTTCTTAATCACTTTCTTTGTTTAATGCCTGTATATGGTTTTGATCTCAACAGCGAGAATCCTGACGGAGCCCCTTCTTCTTTCTGTATCGTGCGAGTAACAGCAAGAGGACCGTGTATTGTCATCAAGGTAGCTTTCCTTGGAGGAACTGCAGGTCACATAAGACATCAGGTGAGTGACATGCTACAGTCCTAATACAATGATATTGAACTGTTCCTATAAACGTACAGTTACCTCTTGCCTTGTGGAGACAGGCAAGGCTGGGGGATGATTAATTTTTCATACCTACAGCGTGGGTGCTTATTCGAGGTTTGGCGCTTAATCGATTACATATGGTACATCTCCCCTTAAGTTAATGGCTTAACCCTTTAACTCTTAAGAGTGATTGGTATCTAATTTCTCCTCACAATATCAACCTTGAATCATACATTACGTTTATGGGAATAAAGGATGCGATCACCCACTAAAGAAGGTCTTGTTTGTTAACTGTCACCTTGAATCTTACTTAAGGGTCACGGGAGTAACGGAAATGATCACCACTTAAAGAAGCTCTTGATTGATAAACAAATTCTCCTTGTCAGCACCTTAGGAAACGTATGGAGTATAGTGTAGAGAATATGCATACTGATGTTAGGGTGTAAATGATTAAGGATAAATAGATGAGCGAGTTTACATGTAAAAACAAACATGAAAGCATTGAGAACAGTTTGAAAAGATGCAAACGAAAAGGGTGATTGAATAGAATTGAATTAAAAGATCTACAGGAGGAAATGAGTTTAGTTTGAGGCCAAACAACTCGATGACTTTGTTTACCGTGCGTGTTTGCAATTTATCTTCTCTAGATTGTATCAGACCTAAAGATAAAACTCGCTGATATCACAGCTCCACTAGGTGTGATTAACAAACCTCAAAAAGCCCAAGCCAAGGGTAAAAGTCTTCAACGCGACGTGCAGTTATCGAAACAGCGGACTGTAGTTGAAAAGCCATGCGCGATTATGTATGAGAAATCTCTGGATGGGATCTTGATTCGGTACGATCGAGTTCCAGAGGACCTCTTTTCGGCATACCCAGAAAGGCCCAGTTATTCTATGTACTCAAGTTTGACGGGAAATTATGCGTATAAAACCAATGATAATCACATGAAGGTCCTATGTCAGTATCTGCATCACCATCGTTGGATTTGGACGATGCAAGATGAACGATCACCAGCTTTAAGTGCTGAGAAAGTTGCAAGAGTGCTCTCCACTCTAACAAAGTAAGGAAGGAAAGATGTTGTCTTTAGCACTGAGTACTAATGCTGTTCCGTAACTAGTAATGACGACTCATTCCCAGACTCTTGATGAAGTCTACTTGTCCTCCTCTTAGAGGAGAGAAATATGTAAATTGTAAGCAAGCAAAAAGGATAAAATTTTAGAATGAGTTGCGTTTAGCGGCCCAACAGTTTTAGCTTTCAGTCCCCCATAATAGATATAGACTGTATACAGTAAATGTGGCTCAGTCTGAGTTGTGTTGTCTCACACTTCTGATTCGTAGGCTACGACTGCAAGAGGGATACAATTTTGTGAACAACAGCGCAGGGATTATCACCATGGCAAAAGAACTCAAGATGAAGGTGATTGAACGTCCATGTCCTTTTCAAATGTGAAATAAGTAATGGATACAAGTCTGAGTAGAGTCGAATTCAGTCTTTAATCATACTAACTAATCTTAGTGATTGACAACATCAGATGACCGCGGAGTGACGCGCAGTCTTGTTACCAATAAGTCAAAACTATAACAAAATTTGAGAATAAAAAAACTATCGATCTGATATTCGTTTTCATGATGAAAAACAACCGTTAACTCGCCGAAATGCGCCAGGACATCCTGCGCACTTGATGCGTACTGTCCAATTACACTTGCATGACGTGCACACTTTCCAATTACAAGTATAACGCATACTCTTTCCTCTTAGTGCTCAAATCGGGCTGGTGATAACCAAATGCGTTCGAGAATTTTGTTATACTGTTGATTACAAATTTAACATTAACGTACATGGACTTATTCTAAGGTCACAAAAACTAAAACTGAATACTCGGATGTTAATGTTCTCTTTAAGGATCACACACGAGACAGTGACCAACCGTATTCCTGTGTCATTCAATATGTGCTGTTCCCTCCATATCTTCAGTCATGTGAGTCAGAACGGTCTGAAGAGTCCGTTCTTGACTGGGCGTCCCTAGGAAAGGCTGGACGCAAGTTTAACATGGTCACAGAAGTGTGGACTGAACCACAGTTTGGTTGCTTGACTGATTTGAAAACGGAGCTGAAGTATATGGAAGGACTTCAGTACGATCAAGTTCCAGATGCAGTAAGTTCAAAAGCAAACATAAGGAAATATCTTAAGGAACTAAAGAATACGCAGAGAAAATACGAGCTAGCTGACTGACGTGTGGGAATACGAGCGTGACCAAATTGCGATTGGTTTTAGTTTCGAATTTGATTGGTTGAGAAGACATCTTTTCTCGACCAATCGCGTAGCGAAGTAAAGTAAAACGAAAGATTCTCAGATTGCTTTCGACACGAAACTGAAAATTGTCCAGGAAAATACGGTGACAGACAATGTGTTACACTTAACACGTCGCATAGTTCTTTAACTTGAACTCCGGGCTATGTTAATTTTACCGGCTAATGTGGTTTGTATTATTTGTCTTCTATTATCAGATTTATCAAGCTGATGTAAAGCACGTGTCGGCTCTGCTCACTTACGATCATCTGTTGAGTATGTGCGATGACAAGACTGTTACCACCCCCCAAAGATCTTGTAAAGCGTCGCATGAGACCTCTTTACTGTTCAAAAGTAATTGGATAGTAGAGCAGTCGCCGTTTCCATTTGACATCATTGATTTGTTGTCCAAAACTCGACAAGTGGAGATGGTTTTTTCTTCCCTGATCGAGACCTCCTCTCCAGGTATCATTCTTTCGTGATTAACAGTGATTTTATAAATTGGCCAATTTAGAGAGTTTCAAAAGCTGACGTTTCGAGCTCTGACAAAAGGCAAACGCTCGAAACGTCAGCTTTCCAAACTCTCTTAGTTGGCCAATTGAACACGCAGTTGGGAATTGAACTCGCAGGATTATTTTCACATTTTAACCCAGTGAATGTGACATACATGCAGGCCAACAACTGACTCGTCCCCAGGCTTCTCTCTATTTTGAAATGTAAACGCGGGAAGCGCGCGAGAGATGTGCAGTTAGGAAGATGGGAAGAAGGAAAAGGGAGATACTCCCCTTTCAGTCCTCTTCCTTCCCATGGTTCCTGTCGCCGTGGTAGTGCGACTCACCTACTCTTGGACGATAGCGGATCAAAATTTCTTTTATCTTTTTTTTTTTTTCCTTTTTTTTAGCCTCAGATGACCTCGACGATTTGCCAAACGAGAATCTTTTCAAGCTTTTGATAGAAAACATGGAGCGTTTGAACGATCGTGAAGTCGTACTAAGTGACGATGACTGGAATCGGTTCACACAGCACATCCTCATTCGGCCGAGGAATGGCGTGCCTCTTCCATTCCCTGAGGAACTGTGTCAACGGAAAGATTCTAGCGATTCCACACAGAATGACAAAGAGAAAAAGTCCAAAAACAGAAGCACGTCTTCAATGAAATGGAGATGTTTCATTCGTGCAGTGACTGCTTTTGGCGGCGGTCGCCTCATACTCACATTTCTACCAGCAAGCTTTAAGTATGTTAGGCTCATTGGAAGACACCGGCGGAGCAGGAGCTCTAGTGTTGAGAGCAGCCCAAGAAGCCCGCACGGCACGTCAGAAGTGGAGCCTGAAGGAGCCACCGATGAAATAAGTCCTCATGGCGCATGTGGACTGCAGAAGCTAAATAATTTACTCGTATCACAAGGCTCTCTAGGAGGTTTGTTTAATGTTTTAGTTGGGTTGATTACAGTGGGAGGCTAAAATTTGTTCGTCGAATTAGCCTTTCCTCTCCCCTAACAAGATCAATAGATTTTGACGCAAAAGGGAAACGAGAACAAAGAAAATATCGGTTGGGGATAATGCTTGATTTTATACCAAATTATTAGACAGGAAATTATGATAAAATGTATGGCAGACAAAGCGGGGAACAGATTATAGATCTTGGCAATGAAAGGATTAATATAAGCTATCATAATTAGATTCTATGGATGGTATGAAGAAAGACCATTGCAAATATTTCTGTTTGTGCGAAGGCTTTGAGTTTTCTTCAGTAATTATGGGGTTCTCATCGCTATTACGTTATTACTGTAAAGGTGATGTACTTTTCCTGAAATAAGAAATGAAAATCTGTCACAGCAAAACGTTCGATGGATCGGGTAACAAGAATTCAAAATGTTAATAAATAGCAGTATACTTTTTTGTTTGTTGTTTGTAGACCAAAGCCTGACACCTACACCGACCGCAGAGAAAGACGAAAGTCCATTTTTCTACTCTCAGAAAACAAGCAATTCACTCGTCTCTAATGAAGAGTCAAAACTGTCAATCAACAGTGATGATGAAAAGAAAAGCGTAACATTTCAAGAAAACTCCACACCTATCAAAGAGCGCAAAGAGCCTGTCTTTCACGACAGAGGCTTTGGTAAAGATAGTGACTCTTTTAGTTGGGACATCCCAATATATTGTTATGACTGCCCGATGTCAGCCCTCGTAACAATACCTGCTGCCGAGTCCGATACAGAGGGGACGTCAGAGGAAAAGCGCGAAGATATATTTCAAGATTTTACGCAGTTTGCTGCTCATGTATTTGTGGATCCATTCGGTTTAGACGAGGTTCCGAGATCCTTAGAGGGGCGAACGAAAGGAAGGTTTGGCCCCTCGAAAGACCTTCTGCTTCACTGCAGTGCGGTACATGATTTGTTTTTCCGAAGTTTTGTGACGTCAACGTTTTCAAGTTTGCAACACGGTCAGCAGGTGAGCATGCGAGATGTCCATTCAGCAGTTGATGCCTGCGAAGAGAACTTCCTTGAAGTAGACATCACAGAGTTTATCCATACTCTTTGTGGACACTATATCAAGAGCAACAAGTCCAAGGAGGCTTTTTTTGAGACAACAATCAATGAGGATCTTCTGTCTGTCCCAATTTGGTTACCGTCAGAATCATCCGAAGAAAGAGTGAGGGATCTCAAGGAATCTCTGGTTGGACAGTGTGAATCTGTAGATGGTCTGCATAAGTCGATCACTGCAAAGTTTTTTTCAATAATGGGAAGATACTTCAAAGCAGTTCCTCCAAGCCGAGAATACTTCTTCTACTGTCCACAGCAGTCTGAGGGCCCGAGAAAGGTACAATGTGACCACTTTCCCCCTTGCACATTTGTAACAAGACGAATAACGTGTTTCCCTCTTTTTTTTTCAACCTTTCAGTCTGCTCTTGAGTCGTTCTCCGAGTTTGAAACCTTCGAAGCAGACCAAGCTGCCGAGGACGATGCTATGGACAGAGACAGCGACGTGGACTCGGATGCCTCTGATGATGGTGACATCTTTTTGGACGATGGAACAGTTCAACAGGATGAGACAGAGGATATGTCTGACTTTGAAAGTCAAGCGAGTGATATCGAATTTGAAGGAGATGCTGATGTTGGACAGGAGGTGAAGTCACCGCTCTTCTTACAGCTGACATGTTCACTGAAAGATACGAGAAGTCATGGACAGCCAATGACGCCTGTTGCTATTAACACATTACCTGTGTGCCTCGGTAGGAACAAAATGCCACTTTGCACTACTAACTTTGATGAGAATTTGCGCATGAAAGACAACTGGAAGATGAGAAATACATTGCAGCACCATGTCATCGAAATTTTAAACGAGCAGTTATCTTACGATACCTCTCTTTGGAGGAGTTGGTGGGAAAAGGGGGAGGGGGGGGCGTGGGATAACTTTCTTTGGTAACGGGCACCTCCCTCTCCATCCATGTAAAAAGTCTCTCACTTAAATTTAGTCTTGACCCCCCTTTTTGATTGATTTCTCACTGTATATGACAGCTGCATGAAGTAACTTTCTTAACATTGCAGTGCCTCGTATTTTTTATTTGAGTGAATTGGTGCAAACTATTTATAAAAGTTGAAGTTCTTCCGGGAGCTCGCCTCGTAATCCTTTTTATTCTAATTTAGATTCATCAAGTGAGTTGATGATGTAAATTGGCCACCGTAAAGAGTTTCTAAATCTGACGTTTTGAGCGTTAGTCCCTTGTCAAAGCGAGGTCATTCGCTCTTCAAATTAGCCATGCGTCATTCGCTCTGACAAAGGGCTAACGCTCGAAACGTCAGCTTTAGAGCCTCTTTCCGGTGATCAATTTATGCCATCAGTTTACATTATCAAACGAAATAATCTTATAACGCTCCCCAGCTTCGTAGAAACATACCCCTTTCTACGTTTATCATTTTAAATGTTTGTCTCTCGGTAGGAGAAATTATCCGCAAGTTTGAAGATCATGATGAATGTCTGGATCCCTTCAGTCCATCCGTACGCATCACTCTCGATCTTATCTGTCTGACCCTGCCAGCTGAACATGATTACTCTGTTCTTAAGTCTTCGGCGCGTCATAGCTTTGCACGCTCTAATTCCTTCTCCAGTACCAGTTCGCCCATTTCTGCTTCTCCTTCGGATAAAAGATCAGGACTTTTTGACTTCAGACGGCAAGATTCTAAAGCCACTTCTCATGATATGGAGAGGTGAGGACGAGGCCTTGTTTGAATTAGCAGGATATCAACAAAGTTTAATTAAGGCCATGTTTACACAGACCGCTACGTTCTCCGCTGACTTTGCTTACTTTACTCCCAGTGCGTGATAGCAATTGAAAATATTTTCTTTTTAGTAAACAAATTGCTGTATTGGTTGCTAAAGATGCATTTGGTCAGCGAGCTCATAACCATAAATGAACTTTTAGTCATTTGTTCCACGATGTGGGGTGTCCATCAGTTGTAGAGACCAGTTGTCGATTTTAGACTGTAACCTTTCAACTGCCCTGTGTCTAATCTCTATCTTGTCGGGATGATATACAGTATATGGCTTGAATCTACAATTTAAAATGACTCTTCATGGTGAGACACAATAAAACGTTCACTTTTCATACTTTATTCAATGATTCATAATGTCTCATGGGAACTGGAAGAACAAAGTGATTTAAAAATAACCTCAGAGTTTACCTTAGGAATAAGGTAATGTGAGGATCAGTCTCCTAACTTATCGTCTCTTGAGTTGTATTATATAAATAGAATTATTCTTTTTTTCAGAATTGAAAGCTTGGATCCTCTTCATGGTCTCATAAATTCTCAGCGCCAGGCAGTGAACAACACACGTGAGGCCATTCGTTGGCTTTTGCAGGATGAAATAGTCTCAGAACTCCGCCATATTGGACCAGTCGATAACTCGATGCTGGAAAAAGTCGAGCAACATGTTCAGCAATCTGAAGACCATCCCTCCTGCATTTCCCGCCGTGTTCACCTGCAATTTGTCTATGGGGCTGAACAAAGCTTAGAAGTCTTCGTAAAAGAATTTGAGAGAATCAGCTTGCCAGAATACGTCCTGAAAAACGTGGACAAATACTACTACTTGACAAGCTTTTCGGAGAAACAGGTTGCGGCTTTGTCGCCGTTGACTCAAGGAGAGAATGGAGGTTATTTGGATAAACAGCAGGAAGAAGAGGCGACAACACCAAATCCTGACACGGATGGCGAAAATTACAACCAAAAATCTTTACCACTTCTTGAGGTCCAAGCCACTCCTGAATCCCATACTTCAGCTAATGATCGTCTGTCAACGGTTTACATTGAAAAACAGGCAACAACCACTCAGCATGAAGAAAGCGTGGAAGATAATCTCAGGGAGAATGGAATGATTACCCCTCTCTCCAGACCACCGCATCTTGGCCAGCTAGGCAAGCAGCGCTCCGAAGAAGAGGAAGAACCAGGAAACACTGCTGCATCTACCCCACTCAGAAATGATGCTTCATTCGCTTCTTCCGCTGGTAGCACGCCAATAGGGAAGCTGATCATACCAGGTGAAGACGTTGGTGCGGCTGACTCAAGTAACGCAGAGGCAGAAGAGGACGAGAGCTGCCCGCTCGGTCCTTGTACGCCACGCCATGATGAACTGAGTGTTTCATCATCGGAATCTTGCTTGAAATTCTGGCTTGTCATGAAAATACTGGACAGTGAAGTGAATATCGTCTTTCATCAAAGGTGAGAGGTCGTCATTTTCTATGTGTTCGCCTTTTTACGCCTAAATTGTTCTACGATACAATAAAGGGAAAGCGCGCCGCTGTATTAACAATAGTTTCGTATTACCCTGCATTGGTGGATTCCTAAAATGCAGATGGATGCCCACTCAATATCACAACACATAAGCTAACCAACAACAGGTTTTGCAACACTAACCTATTTTATTGCAAAAAAACAGAGTCAGTGGGTTTGTTATTGTGACACAGCTTTAAAGCGAAATTTTTTTTGCCTTTATTTTGCTAAAATGAGGTCATTATTTTTCATTTTGGTCCGCCACACAGCTTTAAAGCGAAATTTTTTTTGCCTTTATTTTGCTAAAATGAGGTCATTATTTTTCATTTTGGTCCGCCACATCGCAAACATAAGAACAATTTTGGGTGTGAGCCATTGTTGTTAGCCAACACAATGTGATGGGTCTCAAATTTTCAAACACAGGGAGTCACATGATCCGAAGTCTTTTTGTGCTACAAGAGCCAATGGTCTGGTTGAGATGGTCATAAATGCTCTACATGAAAAATGCCGCATCGTCAATCAGGTGGGAAATGGTTACGTTAAAGGGTACTTTAAAATGATGAATTTAATCAGAATGGCTAACAATCGAAAAGTCATCTTTGAAACTCTTTACGGTGGCTAATTTAGGTTATCAACTTAGTTGATCATACCAAATTACACTTCTGACGATTGGTTGATCAGTAGTTATTGGCGAACATTGTGACATTTGAATGTAATAACTGTGGAAAACCACACTTGTTTTTGGTAAAATAGTTCCTCATCAGGGGCCCCTTCAATCGATACATAAAGCTTCCAAAAATTTATTTTGAAGACGTTCAGTTCCATGTAGCTCCAAAAAGCGCCTTCGTAAAAAATTATTTCAAATAGGCCCATCATGGGTTTCATTGAAAGCCGGTGTACCGCTGCTTACAAAACCTCTTGCCAGGAGGCTCTCGTAGTTTGGTTTCCCCTCACAGCCTCCCTACACCATGGGCGGCCAGTTCTACAAAAAAAAGTTTTTGAAAACCTTTGGGCCACGATGAATCAGAAATGCTCACTTATTTCGAAACGCAACAGAATGGAAATTCTCGTTCCCATCACCGACTTTTATAAAGAGTCATGCAATTTTTGGGTTTTGAAAAGAGATGCACAATATTGTCACAAGCAGGAGACCTAGAAAGATGTGAATCTTCAGAGTCTTCAAGAGTCAGATCAGATCCTCTTCTAAATGAGATACAGAGAATTCGTTAGCGTGCTGACCCGTATGCACTGTTTACGGTTGATGTATGTTTGTGTTCATGCTAAAAAAATCCTACAGAGCAGAGAAACAAGCGCTGACTTAACTAATGAACATGCATTCCCTTCATCCATAGCGAATGTTGCTACATGAACTATTTGAGACCAAGCTGTGCAATTCAATGTTATTCCCTGAGTCAGACGAGGACATTTGGAAACATGAAGATATGCAAATCTCAGTTTCCCCCCTCGGTGTTCACATGACCAAAGGAGACAGTAAAGGTAAGAAAAGGCTAAAATTTGCAAGACATTTCTGCGGCGATCACTTTATATCTGAATTTAGATGAAGGTCTCAGTTACGAATATTACATTTGCCTCAAGGTCATCCAAAGGACTGCAGCTTAGACACGTTCAACCCTTTACACCCTAGCATAAGAATCCTTGTTCTCCTTTTCATCCTCAATACATTTCCCTTGATACTGACAAGGAGAATTCCTTTAACAATCAAAGCTTTTTAGGTTAGCGATCATTTCTTTTATTCTCATAATCTTAACGAATGACTAGGGATATTATTGTAGGGAGAAATGAGTTGCTGATCGCTCTTAGAGAAAGGGGTAAAAAATTTACTGATGTGGCATTAAGTGAGTGAAACCTCGACAACTTTGTGCGTAGGTTATAAGAACCCTTGAGTTAGAAATGCAACGTACAACAACAACTACTTTGCTCGCACCCTTCTACCTGGCTTCCTTGATGCGGAAGCCTGAAGTTTTTCAGGCCTGCTTCAATTTGTTGTTCTTTCTCTTCAACTTCTGTCAACCTTAGAAGACCAATTCGCCATCTGTTATCACATTCACAGTTCAAAGTATGTTTTATCTCATACACATTAGTTGCAATTATATTTTTTCGTAGGGAGAAAAGAATTCGATAACCTTTGCTCCGCCGTTAGCACTTGACTTTGTAATATATTCGTGGGATTGGAAGGTTATAAGGGGGAATTCACAGTAGAGTATCACATTACAAAGAATGCTGATCTATTTCTCTAGGTCGTGTCTCCAGTAAGTTTGTTCCAGTCCAGTTTCTCTTCCAACCTGGACACTTTGGCTGCGACAGTAAGTGGTACACCCATTTACCTGTGCATCAGCGACTTTTGGAAACCTCGGGTCGAACAGGGGTATCCCGTGGGCTGAAGGTCATTAAGAGTGCATTGGAAACGTTTGACGTGAGGAATAGGAAAGACATGTTTGTGTACAAAGATAGCGCTGGCTCTATCTTCTACTTCAGGTAATGTAAATTGTTTTGTCTCCCTTTTGAAGTATGAATCAAACTTTTCGAGTAAAGTTTTGTTTATTTGAATTCTCTTCCATGATGAAAAAAACTGGTGTCCTAACTTGACAAACCATGATTATAAATTACCCAGAGACCAACTTCGATGTAATCGCAACTATAAATCTGAACAAACGAAAGTACCAGCAACAGCCAATTAGAACGTAAAGAAAACAACAGCCGACTAGAAGCATTGAAAACACAAATGACCGAGTTGCAATTGTTGTTGTTTTTGCAATTTATTGGTTGCGAGGGTAACGCAATTTTTTATCCACCAGTCACAGTGCAGTAAATGAAGACCAAGTTAATCTTGAATTACTCTGATAAAAATTTCTTTTGGTATTCAGTCGTGTAATCCTTATAAGGGCATTTGTGAGTGACTATTGTTTAGTAAAACGTAGCAAAAATATCTTCAGAGATGCGCTAGTCAATGAGCCAGTTTTCTGCTTAAGTTGTGGAAATAGAGATGTCACATCTAATAAAATTCCTTTAAAGGAAAACATTCACTCAATTAACATCTCATAAAGGACTGACATTCGGGAACGAAATAACTCACAGTGATGTTCCCGTTGGTTCATGTCATTCTCTCTTTTACGTTTCAGGTTGTTTGAGTCTCTATGTTCGTCAAATCAAGTTCGTTCTGACCCTCGTAGTTCAGGAGATGATGACGACGATTATCTTTCTATGGTATCGGTGACATCACTGGCTGGTTCAAGAACGTCATCACAGTTGTCCCTGTCGTCTTTCGTAAACAGAGGGCCAGGAGATGTAGATGAAGACGTCGCTGTAAGTTGTAACAGGGCGGCATTGAACTATTATTGAGGAGAACCCAGCTGGCTTGGGATGTAACATTGCCTCTTCCATCCTTGATTGAAACCACCGCATAGACACGCTCCGGGGGAAGGGAGCGGGGTACTTCCTAGTAATAGGCTAATAGGGATGTGCCGCCGGATGGGTCGCATTGAATTGACTATAATGGGGTTGCATTTTTAATAGCGTTTCTAGGATGGGGTCGCACATTTCGGGATTTTAAAGTTAAGTCAATTGCGGGAGTTAGAGTTGCGATCGACGGCGTCTATAATTGGTCGCTGAAAAGATTATTATGGAGCAGGGGATCTGAGAGGCCAGCGGCACATACTTCCCACGGAAGTTTTACCTACGAAGATTGTCATTTAACCATTTGAATAAAAGCTATTGACTAGAGCCTTCAGCTTGTGTGTTTACTAAGTTGTATTTTCATCGTTTTTAACAGGAAGCGAAGTCAAAGAAGCTTCCAACGACCCAAGAGCAAGACACAACCAGTATTCATTCAGCTCAGCCCGTCATAGACAAAAGCATTGCACTTCATGTATACGGCGTGGACGATCCAGGTCCGGAGATCACTGTAGAACTTGTTGACCTTTTGCAGAACAGAATTAATGATGCTATGCTCGAGGTTTTGTCAGTTCTACTTGCCAGAAATCCAAACTGTAAACTGACTTACGCTGATGTCCGGGTAAGCTTTGGTAGGAAGGAAAAGTTTAATACGATAAAGATAGACCGAATAAAAATGGTTAACGAGGCAGGTGATTCACGTGGATTACAAACTGACAAACATCAAAAGTTCAATCTGATTGTTGTAAGGCACATTATCCATTATCCGTTTGTCACTGGGCTCCTTCAAGAATTAGGAAATGCATGGGATAGTATCTTTAGGAAGCTAGCAGTACTCCCAGTCACTTCATAGCCAAAAGCTGGGACAAGCTCCGACGACATGGCTCACTTGTTTCAAGTACACCAACACTATGTATCATTAACCCTTTACACCCTAACATCAATATGCATATTTATCATCAATATGCATAATCTCCACACTGTTCTTCATACATTTCCTAAGGTGCTGACAAGGAGAATTTGTCAGCCAATCAAAAGGTTTCTTCCCCGGTGACCATTTCATTTATTCTCGTGATCTTAATTTGTGATACAGGAGAGATATTGTTGGGAGTAAGTAGATGACAATCACTCTTAAGATTTAAAGGGTTAAATAAAAAAAAATGGAGGTAAAGTAAAACTCATCTAAAAGGATGGAACCTAGAGTTTACACCCTTTTTCAGCTTTCATCACTTTGAGTGTAATTATGCACGTTGCCACTAGCTTTGTTCGAAACATTCAGTTGCGGAGGCTCCTCTAACCTTCCACTTATTTAATTTCTACAGTTTATACAGCCTCAAAATGAACCACCAAAAACAACCCTCACTCTCCTAATCCCAAAAATGGACGTCAATTTCCTCTGTCCGTTGGTATTCTATTTGCGACAAAACCTTTTGCAGCTCCTACACTTTCCAAGATACATGGACTCGGATCCTAGCCATTATTTCAAGGCCCTAAGTGGAAGTAAGTTGGACGCTACCGGAAGTGCTAGTGGCGAAAGCCGTAAATTGGAGCCAGAGATTTACTTGTACAACAGGCCGCATTCATCTGGAGGAAAAGGTTTGAGATAAAAACACGTGGATATTGTCATATTAGTAGCTAGGTTGATATGTGTTAGTTCAATTAATTAAATGTTATGTTGATTTGCACTGCTGATTATTTGCTTGCTGTTTTTTATATTTTCAGGTGTGGCCTGTATATCTGTGTCCGTTCTCAACTGGCGTGGTGGATATATTTACATTCCATGTGGAAAGAGAGTTTGTGTGTATGCTGGGGAGATCGACTTATTCGAATACTTAACTGAGGTGTCCTTATGTCCAGACGAGCTTCACCTAGGTAATTATTAAAGGCAGTTTTCACTTGAGTTTCAAAAGTACTTAATTACACTTTGTGATTGGTCCAGAAAACTCGCACCATCTTCTGAACAAATCAGATCCAAAACTGAACCCAATCATTACTTTATTTCGTGCCCAAGCCTATTTTTACTTGAAGTTCTTATTGGTTAATTATAGGGTCAACCTTCACTTCGATTGGTTGTTGTGATTAGTTTGGTTTCACTTTTTCAAAACATAGAAACGTTCGTTGTTTATTTATTTATTTATTCATATATTTGTGTGTGTGTATTCCAATGATGTCCTTGTTGAACCCAAGGATTGTTAACGTTTCGATCAAAAGGAAAACGCCTTTTATTTTAGTATTTTGAGTTTATTGGAAATTGATATGATCAGGTTTTTCTTTTCCTTTTCAGCCGATGATGACATCAAGGTGCAATTTGCAATTTGGGAACGTGGTAATATCGGCCTTGACCAGCTCTCTGAACAGCTGAAGCTCACTTTAAGGCATGCTCTCTGCGACCTGCTAACAGAGTACTACCTTTTGGCTGCGCCTTTATCCAAAGTGCCAAAGTTGTACCGGAATTCGTCGAATACACGTCTTCGGTCTTCCTCGGCGCCTACCTCCCCCTTACCCATACCACCCAAGGTGCCTACTCATTTAGAGTCCCCTCCTGAGAAACCTGCCACGCCTTCCAAACGGCAACTGGATTTTGGCAGCCAGTCCAGCTTTCGAAACAAGAGGCCCTCAGTTTCGGGTCATCGCCAAACTCCATCTGATGGGAGCACTCCGTCTTCTGGTTCCACAGGGGCAACAAGGAGGTCCCCGCAGAATCCGTTTCTCTCCCAGCGGCAGAGTGTTTCTTCTCCTAATGCTGTTTCAAGGCAGAGCACAGTAGAGGATGAGGTTTTCCAGTCGAACTCAACCTCACCTGCTGCAGATGTTATAGAAGTATCAGCCAAGGAAAACAAGGCAAATAGCCATGGCGTTACCGAGTCAACAGATGATTTACCTGCAGAAGGTAGGGTATTACATTGCTTGAGGTTAATGGCGAGTATTACTTTGGGTTATCGCCGGCTCGTTGCGGTTTTAACCTATTCTGATCAGCCGTTGTGATTACTTTGGGTTGTATGACAGACACCTTTCAAATTAACTCTGTAGGTTCAGTGTATTCAGTAGGCTCGTTTTGCGCTTGCAGAGGTTGCAGGAAGAGGTCAAGCAACATTGGAGAGCAAGGACAAACTAGGGATGAAAAACGCGCCGGAAAAACTAGACAACTCATCTGATATAGAACCAACATTCGAAAGTTTCACCGCAGCTGAAATCCAAGAGTCTCAAGAATTTACTTCGCAACCCGGTACCCCAGTCACAGAAAATGTAGCGTTTCTCTCAAAAAAGGAGGAACAGCTCTCTGAGAAACTTAATAAACCATCAAGTATTTCCTCTGCGAGTTCCATCAGTGGCTCCAAGAGCTTAAACTTCAGCGGGATGGAGTCATCAAGTGTAGGAGGACAATTGAGTGATGTCCAAGGCACCTGGCAGGATGTTGAGGCCGTGAGAAGGAAAGAAAGAGAAAAGAAGAAAAGGCGAATTCAGTATGAGAATGGAGAACGCGGTGAACTTCATCCAAGGTTGTTAAACTGTCTTTAATTTCTTTTCATATTTAGCCCCGTTAACTTCCAGGATGTGCGAGTTCATTCTCCCCTCTTTTTGTCATATACTTACTTGTAGAAATTGGTGCCATCTTAAAATAACCTCCCCGTTTCTCATCATGTGTTTAAAGTTTATTAATAATACAAATTTGAGGAGAGGTTATATGTTTTTCTCGTCTACGAGGCCTTATTTTTTTTTTTTTTTTATCTTTTTAGTCTCCAGGGCCTTTGTCAAAAGATGTTCTCTTTCTTTCGTAAGCTTGAAGTCCCATCAGTGTACTGTATTGAAGGAAAATTGCTGAACAACTTTGCTTCCGACGCCTTTCTAGCTGAACTGTGCAACTTAATATCGTCTGTGTGTCCTGATATGAAACCTAGAGTCTACCGTGAAGCTCCTGTGTAAGTATGATCATACTCGTGTTCAATATTCAACTGTCCACATTATCCACAGCACATACAGCTATTCACAATAGCCACAGTAAAGACAGCGATCTGAACTGTCTCTAATAGATACAACTATATACACAAACTACAGTAGAAACATTATTTAAGGTAAATATAGCGGTCAACGCCATGTACAGAAAATACATATACCTAAACTGTCCACAACAGATTGATAAAGGGGTGAGTTTCTAAGGAAACTATGGTGCTGCGTCGGTGGAGAGTAGAACAAGATAATTTGGTGTTATCAACTGAGTTGATAATGGAAATTGGCTACCTTAAAGAGTTTCTAAACGTTTTGAGCGTTAGGGCTAAGTCAGAGCGAAACGTTGGACTAACGCTCAAAATTTCAGCTTTAGTAACTCGGTGACCAATTTACGTTATTAACCCAGGTGATTTTATATATTTTTTTATTTTTACTTTAAAAAATATTGGTTTTCGTTGCCCAATAGAGATTCTGCTGATGGCAACGAAGCCGATTGTAGTCAAGAATTTCGCTGCCTGCACTATTATCCAGCCAGACAGCCTTTGAAGGTGACTTATTTATTGAACTCTGAAATTGTTATAGAATATCTACTGTAATGTATGGGTGGATACTGGCGTAGATCTGCACTTTGCCGACTGATTCTGTCAGTCTCCCCGTTCTTCAGTCAGTCAGTCATTCAGTCGGACGGTCGATCATTTAGTTTTTCAGTTTGTCAGTTAGTAAGTCGGTTTGTCAGTCATTCCGTCAGTCACTTTGTTTGTTAGTCGGTCAATCAGTCATTCGGTCTGTCAGTTAACCAGTCAGTCAGTCAGTCTGTCTGCCTGTATGTCAGTCACTTAGTCAGTTAGACAGTCAGCATTTATTGCAGTATTTCTCAAAGCCAGTAGACCAGTCCTTAACATGAAATATACTCTCTACGTTTATGTGGTGCTTCTAGGTGCAAGACATGGAAGAGTCCACCACAGACAAATCAGGAAAGCCGTTCACAACTCTTCCAAAGTCGTCACAGTTCTTTGTCGTCGTTGGTCGAAATGTGGACCAATGGCGAGCTAGTCTGGGACTTGAAGAAGGTGAGGACGTATGGCCGCTTTTGTGGGACGGCAGAAACAGAGAGGAACAAATCAAAACAGTCTCCTTTGTGATGGAAAAGTTTGAAGTTTCCCATTTTAAAACGCTGCAAAACAAGTTAAATACAAAACAGTATCAGCTACAAATTTAAAAGAAGTTGATTAGCAGCAAGTGTGTTTGATTAAGTTAGAGACTTTTAACCATTTATCTCTGACATTGTTGCTTTCAGATTTATCTCAAGATGACGCCTTGGGTCGTCCGCGAAGTACGTAGTTTCATCAAGATATCGTACCATATCAAACTCTTTTAATTGCCTTCTTTTTACGTCTGCATGATTGTCTGTTTGTCTGTCTTTCTCGATACTCAATTTATGTTCCTGTCTGTTACTACTATTAGTTTGCCTTCCTATTTGCTTGTTGTGTTTACTGTTTATCCACCTGTATCTCTCGGAATGTATACATATATTTTTATTTTTTCTTTTCAGTTCGCACAGGTCTTCAGCGTTTTAAGCCACTGGACCCAAATGCACTCGTTCCCGGCCGAAATCTTGCTGAAAGCGTATCTCTTTCTAGCTTGTCTTTGGGTGGGGGGTCCCGGTCATGGATAAAGACGAAAAAATAGGGTAATTTGTATTAACAAGTGAGTCGATGGATAAAGTTTCGAGGTCGTCAGAGCGAAAAGAGGATGGGTTGGTAATTTAGAAAATAGATTACGGCAATGCTGGAGACATGGTCGATAACGTGAAATAGGCCACTGTAAAGTTGACGGGATTTGAACGCATGACCTTTGGATACCGATGCATTTGAATCCAAAACGGGCCTGATTTTTTTTTTTCCAGCTCCGTTGTTTCAATAGTGTTCTTACAAAGTGCAAATATATGAATTTCATATTTCTAAAATCATCAAGGGTAAATTAGTTGAATAAAAAGCGCTCGTTGATACCGTGGGAATTCGAAAGAGTTTTGCGGCTTTCCGAACTGCTTAGATGTTGGGAAAGGTCGCAAACTGCTATATGCTGCCCAGAATGATTAGGGAGATTAAAGTGTCTGGCGACTGGTTTGGATGCGTCCTTGTCATTTAAAATGGTAGAAAATGATGGCTAGGCGGAATAGAATGGTCATGTGGACAGAGACGAGGGAAGCGTTGGACATGAGTTGGTAATCGTGCAATTTTGCTTGCAAAGAAACACTCATTGATTGTATTTTTACACTGTTAACTTTGATATAGAATGGAGTCACCCTGTTTAGTCCTGAGCTGTCTTTGATCGTAACTTATAAGAGGTGGTGGTTCGAAAATGCATATAAGCGCAAATCTTCGTGAGGTTTAGTGGTTGCAAAAATATAAACAGCACCTCACCTTGATAAACAACTTACGCTTCTTTGTTCTCTTAAAAGGTGACAGCCTTTACGTATAACTGGGCTTCAGATATAAATACTACCTTCGAAAAACAACTGCATCGGCTGATAAACTGGAGTAATGTTCGTTGCCACCTTACCTATTGTCTTCTTAGTCAAAAAATGGGACTTTACCATCACACATTATTTACAGACATCAACAAGGGCAAGGAATCGAAGGTAGATCAAAGCTTCCATGAGTCTTCCATTGAGACATTTGCTATTTTTTCGGCGTCTCACGTCCACCCATCAAAACTAAGGAATTGTCATAAGCTATTGTTAGTTTTTCATGATACAACATAATCGAATTGTATTTGAGATGCAAAATTTTGCAGCATTCAGAACGTTGACTGAATTTGTGAAGATGTCTTTGCTAGTAACTGACATGCTGGTGACTGAGTAAGCAAAATAACCCGATTTACTCAGTGCTTTGTTTATCGCAAGTTCACAAGATAAAGTATAGAAGGGGTACGTTTCTAAAGAAACTGCTGTGCTGCGTCGGTGGGAGAGTATAACAGGATAATTTAGTGTTATCAACTGAGTCGATAACGTAAATTGGCCACCGTGAAGAGTTTTAAAGCTGACGTTTCGAGCGTTAGTCTTTCTTCAGACAAAGTATTTTTGAAGTCTTTGTCTTTTTTTGCCTCTAATATTGGTCTGCGATTTTGAATGAACTGAATGTATGTCAATTTTCATTTATCCGAAGTCTTGCACAGCAAGTTTTTTGGTTTTGTTGGTTTGTTTTTTCCCTGACTTCTAAATGAAAAAAGTATGCTTTTTTTAATTTTCAGGACATGAATCCTTTCTGTTTATCAGCCAATGATAAGGACATGTCACTCCTGATAAGTCATCCAGGGCCACCTGCGCCTGATGTAAGTAGATAATAGTCGTTTTTTATGAAATATTCTACGACCCAACAATAGAACTGATTCCTGATTCATGCAAATATGTGCTTGTCAAACAAAACTATGTAATATCCCAATATCGTTGAGGGAGATAGACTAAGCTTTCAAGAGCCAGGGCGGTCTTCATCATTTGCAGCTAGAGAAATTGGCCTACTCCGAAGAGAATTTTTATTGTTCTGCTCTGAAACAATGTTTGTCGTTGTGTCAGTATCTAAGCAACTACGCACCCACCCCTCCCCTAACCCCAAAACAGTCAACTGATTATAAGTTCCACTGATTTGTTGTTGTTTGATGTTATCGATACTTCAAACCTTTATTTTACCCTTTTTGAGGTTTCGTAATGTGTAACAACGTGTTCGAAAGAAAGCTTAAATTTCTTTGTTCAAATCAGAAGTGTTTGATAGGCATACTGATTTTTTTCAGCGTGCTGTGCCGAGATCAATGCCGCCGTCTCCGAGTATTCTGGTCTTTGATAAAGTTCTACGTGATGTCACGCCTCCCAGACCTCTTTACCGCACCCCTTACTCCCACAACCGAGATCTTGTGAAAAGGCATGGGTACCAGTTTCAGGTGAGACTGAGTCGCGGCTTCGTTATTCTTTATTCTTCGTTATTTATGATTAATCCTCTCGACTTCGTCACGAGGATTAATCAACGCTATTTACTTGGCGAATATTTGTTCCTCAACTTTAGCGGAAGACATTTCTTTAAGCCTGGATCAGGAGTCTCCTTCTCTTTCACATCATTTTCGCTTGAATCTTTCCCGTGTGTCTTTTTGGAAGGTCCACTCATCATATAGCACGACACTAAATAACACCACGATATGATCTATATGGGACGGAATCGTGACTTCTTTCCTTCTTTCTTTTGTTTTCCAGGAGATTCGGTCAGTCCAGATCAAAAGTAAGCGATAATCACTTCAACGTGTTTTAATGTTATTACTTCATGCGGCCTCCCGTAGCGACCTCAGTGCTTATTTTCTTCACTCCTGCTTTGATAAAATTGGTTTGACTCTTTCCTTGTTCTCTTATTGTTGATTTGCAGAGGCGATTTTGGAGAAGAATTTAGACGAGCTGTATGTCATGTGGCAGCGTAGGCCTCCTCACGTTCAGATCAGTGTAAGTTGGTAGAAGTTACTTAGCTGCCCAAAAATTAACGCCCAATCTCTTGATAAACAAGGGATGACTGGGGAATTTCCAGGAATAAACAATACCCCTCGAAACTCCTGCCCAGCAGCCAAGAACAAATTCAGTGGTTATTGACGTATCTGTAGGTCACACCGTTTAGATTATGAGGATCAATGTAAGTATCTTAGCAAACGCGCACCTACTCCTCTTCTAACCCAATATTAACCCTAACTTTTATGACTGTCGTTAGTTTAGGGAAGGGGTAGGTGCGTAGTTGTTCAGATACTGACATTTATCCGTTTATGACATGACTTACAAACTTTCACATCTTTCTGTTGTTTTCTCCAAGTGAATGTTTCCTTTTTTTCTCGTTGATGACTTTGCGTTCTGTACCAGATTTTTTATGTATTATTCTGGAACTGTTTCACAGGAGGATAAAATCGAAACACTCAAGCGCTCGTCCAGGTTAATCCACTATTGTGCAGCTCCTCTCTTGTTCCACCCAGACTGGAGAAAGCTGCGTTCTTCTTACGCCCCGGAGAATAGCACCGTGACCACAGAGGAAACATCCAGCGAAGATAAAAAACAGGAAACTAAGGAAAGAAAAACAAGTAAAGCACAGAAAACGATTGACGGTGAGTGTCAAAGGATTGTAATACGAATCTGTGAATCTAGTTATTGAGTAAGTTTCTTATTTTTTGGAGTAACCCCCCCCCCCCCTGCAAAAGGTAGGCAAACAAGACTGACTTGCGTTGCAACAGAAAATTGTCCATCTAGGCTTAGCTACCTCGTTACCTCATCAGCTCTTCGTTAGATCTCGCTAGTTCTCCTATAGTTTGCTGGTACCCATATCTACTCGAAGGGGCGGGTGGGGGTGAAGATCTTTTTGAGAGTACCTTCCCATGTTTGTTCTCTAACACATCGTTAGGCATCACTGAGAGATACTGAGACTGCCTAATATAAGAGAAATCGTCAGATTTTTTAGAACTGTGATGTCTCCTAATATGAAATTATGGAAATTTTGCTTTGTAGAAACAAATAAGGAAGAAACAGCTGAAGCTGAAAAGAAACCACGCACTGAAGAAGCCTGGCACAAAGAGTTACGGTCTGCTTATTTGCAGCTATACGTGCAGTACATGCAGTCTCTGCAATTTATTGTGGTGCAAAGCAGGCCGCAATCACCAAAGCAGTCCAGGAGGTAACACAGAGATGCACAAATCTTAACTCACAAACCAGTACTGTCTCATACAAAACTGCAACAGGAAATATTTTTCTTTGAATGGATTCGCTATAGATTTTCATCCACAGACCTTAAAAATGTACCTTTTTTATGCAACTTAATAAACAGTACCACATGACCTTTTGCTTACACTGGATTGGTGGCACCCCTTGGGGTCCTCCACAAACTTAAACGTAGCACCTCCTTGTAGAATGTTGTGAACGACAGAACTGTTCCATAACGTTCTTTGGAAGAGCCATACTAAGTAACTTCTTACACTGAGTTGGCACCAAGAATTTCAACAGAGTTTTATCTATTTTGCCTCATAACATGAAAAAAATGACAGAGATTACAGTTATTTACATAATTCACAGTAAAAGTGTAATAATGTTGGGAATTTAGAGGGATGTGGGGAGAAAGCCCAATATAGGCTGGGATTTTTTTTCGATATTAATACGAAACATCACGGTTCCATTTAATACCACATGAACATACCGCTAACAAATGTTTATCAACGGATGTGAAGAGCATAAATTTTCACCTTTCAGGCATCTTGGTCGCGGAGCTGTTAACACTAAACCGAAAAGAGAAAGTAGCCCAGCCGACGTTAAGAAGCAATCCTCAACTAAAGACAGGAAAGACAGTTCACCAAAAACTCTGCAGCGTTACCTACAGAAAACTTCTCCTGGAGGAATCATGCTGATGGAATTAGTGTTTCAGGTTGGTTTGCATAAAGATTACAGGGTGAAGTTACAATCTGAGTGGAAGACTGGCTACTGGAGTTCATCTTGATATTGTAGTAAGAGGTTACAAGGAGTATTGTTACATCTCCTGAATGGGATGCTTCTCTATCACAGGTTACCCTTGAAATAATCCCCTGTCGGTGCTTATCTTGCATTTCACAACATGAAGAAACAAGGGGAAATGTTGCAACTTCCAGATGGGATGTTACTCCATCAGGGGGAAAAACCCTGGGATAACCCCGGTCGTCACTTATCTGGTATTTTATATCTTGAAAAGACAAGGATTATTGTTGCAACTTCCGGTTGGGATGTTACTCCATCAGAGGAAAAAACCCTGGGATAACCTCGGTCGTTACTTATCTTGCATTTTATACCTTGAAAATAATAGGATTATTATTGCAACTTCCGGATGGGATGTTTACACCATCGGGGAATAACCCCTTGGATAACCCGTATCGTTGCTTATCTTGCATTTCATATCTTGAAAAGACTAGGAGTATTGTTACATCTCTTGCATTGGATGCTACTGTATCCTGCGGGTAAATCCTTGGGATAACCCCTGTGGTTGCTTACCCCAAATTTTATAAGGTGAAGTGACTAAGAGTATTGTTATTCTTCCTTGATGGGATTTGACTCCATTGCTACACTAAACATGGCAAAATCTAATCAAAACTGAAGGTAGTGTATCAGAGGGAAGCCATGAATTTCATTCTTAAATTGTTTTGCTTTACTAGGGCTGCTTCTTTATCGTTCGACTTTATGCGTTGGGATGTTCTCAGATTCCTTCAGGAAAATCAACTTCTGTGCAGGTGAGTACGTTTACGGGACTATTGAGTCGTTATACCCTGAAAATGTTGAGGTCAAATCTGCTGCCTAACTAAGGTCCTCAACGCCGGACCTTACCACAGCTTCTGTACCATGAGGTAAATAGGCGTTTTCCCCCCTCCCCTTCACTGTGTGGATAGATGCAATGCTAATCCATCGAAAATTAGAGCAGAACAAAAGTAATTCTTAAAACAATTTAACTTGTTCAACATCTTCATATCGATTTTTTCCCCACATTTTCTTTTTGCACAGATCTGTCGTATGTTTGTGGAAGACTGCAATCGTCACAGAGAATATATTCATCTTCTCTCGTTCAACTATGACTTTCACTTGTGCAAAGCGCAATTTTACTTGAATGGAAGCCAGATAATTTTTAACAAAGGCTATGGAGTCACACACATGCTAAAGGGATTGTTGCAAGAGTACGTGAACAGCCCTGTGTTCGCAAGGAACCGCCTTGGTTATGGTAAAGCATTAATTTCTTTTTCATTTTAACTGGTAACACCCCAAAGCCTTGTTGGTTGGTTTCGTCACGCAACACGTTGCCTGTTGCGTGACAAGACCAATCAAGGAGTTGCTCTTTTGAACCCTTTCACTTTAGAGAGTGACCAGTACTGAAGCGTTTTGCTACTAGGGGTGACCAATATGTAATTTCTCCTTAGCGATCCATTGCCGAGCAGAGAGGTGATAAGAAGAAAGAGAAATAACAGCCAGAGGGGATATTGCTATTTATGTTGAAAGCTTGAAAGTAAAAGAGTTGAAGTTAATATGACTTCCAACACTCTGGCAATGAGAATATTAAAAACACGACAATTTAACAAGTGGATAGTGTTTGGATAGAACACCAGTTCTTTAGGATAATACAAAACATAAATTTATCGCAGTTAGAAGTTATCCGAAACTCTTATGATAGAAGCCTCACCCTCAAGTTTGGTAATAGCGACGAATAGATTCCTTCCTAGAAGAAAGAGTTTGAAGCCATCATGTTTTACTTGAGTGTCGAATTTAAGCTGAAGAAGAAATTGCTGTATATCTAGTACATGAATTATAAGAGTTTCGAATACAACGTAGCCGAAAGAGAGATCACATTTCACGATTGAATTACGATTGAAGGAAAATTACGTCTCCAGATACGGTTCACATGATCCCACTTAGTAGCAAAATGCACTCAATCGATTGACAAACTGGATATGTGTCATACTTAGAAATCCTTTTTAGGTGAAATTTCAGTGCCGTTGCACCCAGGAATCACACCCCAAATTGTGTTTAACTACCTGGTGAAAAAGGCTTCGTTTTACGAGTTTCACACGCTACCTGAGCAAACAACGAATGCCTCAAGCTCCGAAACCAACCGAGTTCTTACGCACATTCTCCGAGAGTATGGTGATTATGACGTCAGCTTCGTTTTGTCGCTGAAGGAGACGAAAGAAGAAGGCGTGGTCACCATGGAATACATTGTCTTAATGACGAGTCGCAGAGAGCTTTTTCCGAAGTTAACTTTGGATTTAAGACTTTCAAAGAAGTCACCATCGTCAGGTTCGCTTTCAACCATGAGCAGTGGAAATAGAACCGTGGATTTGCCAGAGAACGGAGAGACAGAGCAAGAAATAGGTATTGGCGAGGAAGTGTTAAAAAGGACCATACTATTTTAAAACGATATTGATTAACCTGAGTGAGAATTAGGCGAGTTTGAACGTGATCTTTGGATGAAAAATGTGTCAAAAAGTGGTGTAAGAGCACAATGAGTGGCAAAAGAAGTTGGTACGCCATCCGTCAGAAGGCGGTCGCCAACCTAAAACCAACTCAAAATTTCATGCAGAAATCTTGTAATTTTTCTCTAATGAGTTACTTTAAAGAAAAACTCTTTCCTCCAAAACAATGTTGCAAGAAAGTCTTGAACGTTATCCTAATATTAGGTGTGCGCGCAACAAACAAAAAACTATTTTAAGTGGCAACACAACTAAAACTCGCGTCTTATTCATTTTTTTTCTAGCATCACGTGTACGATTCAATCTACCCATGGGGAGTTCCCAAGGAATCCCAAACCTCCCCTCCCCTGGTGAGTTCCACAGGTCAGCCTCCTCACCCCACTCCCTGTACGCATTGGGTCACGAGGGTGGGTCGCAGATCTTCAACGTACCTTCGTCGCGCTCGGACGAAAAGATTGGTGACCACCACCGGGATGTGCTTCCGCCGTTTGCGCCAATTCCAGAGCATTACGAAGAAGAGTTACCCGAGAATGTTGCCTTGCGCGAAACCAAGCTCCTTAAGGAAGCTTCCCTGCGTGGCCGCGACCATTTGGTGCATATAATCTGTCGGGCCCAGACCCACTGCAACCGAGACTTGTTATGGCATCGTTTGCTGGTTGGAGAGACTGAGGATGAAGAGAGAGACGGAGGGAAAAAGAGCAGGCGTAAGAGCGTCATGCGAAAATCCAGCTCAGAAACGAGTCTTAAACAGAGCTGGGCAAAGACTCTTGACTCGCTTAACCCCGGAGCAGATCAGGTACAGTCCATTCTGTTCATTAAGAATAGTTTCTATGAGTCCCCTTATACAGTTGGTAAGGGTTGGTGGAACAATGTTAGTATCTAATCAACTGCGCACCCACCCCTCCCCTAACCCAACAACAGTCAACTGATAACAAGGTACGGTTAATGTGGGGTTAGTGGAGGCGTAGTAGCGCAGTTTCTTAGATACTAACAATGATTCGGGATGGTTATGCGGGACAGTACGTAAGTCTTGGTCGGCCCTACTCCCATTGCAGTGTCAATGCCTCATCAAGTAGGCATGTGACGAGAACAAAGAAAGCCGTTAGATGTGTGACGGGTGCGTGACAGCCTTGCGTGACAAATTTGCTAGTCAAAGTGACGTGAATAACAAAGGATTCATTTTTAAGCCCTTGACTTTCTTTTTTTTTTAACATTTCATTGTACAATTCTTTGTTGCAGGTGTCACCGTCGCGCTTGACCTTTGAAGATTTTCAACAACTTCTATCTGTGGTTGGAGTCAAATCTTTGAGAGAAGAAGATCCACAACTTATTTCACTCTTGTCGATGAGAGCAACGTGGTTTCTAAGCCTTTTCCCGTGAGTGAGCGTTATAATTTTTTTACCCGTCTTTGATTTTGGGTGATACGTTATCGAATTAGGAAACGAAACAGTTTGCCGTTTAGGGCACTTAAAAACGTGATAAGTGATCGAGATGAAAAGAAAAACAAAACAAAACAGAACAAGAAACCGAGAGCAAGGAATTATCAAACGAAAAAATATGGCACTGTTTGATGCAAGAAAAAAAAAAAATGATTTCGGAGAGATTTGAAGGCAGAGCCATTCTTGCAGCAAGGATCACCAGTGAATTCAAAATGGCTGTAATGCTTAGTTCAAATGCACTTTTAACCTGCAGTGTAATCGTCTTACTAAGGCGAATTAATTTTACAAGCTTTCGATTGTTTATTTGACCGGCCATGTTTGATTTAAAGTTGGCGTGGACGGTGGGGGGAGGGGGCGGGAAAGAAAATATTGAGCACTCGTTCGCCAAAATTACGCCAGTTCTGGAGGGTAATGCGCTTTGGACTATTCTTGATTGTTTAAATTTTTTCTTTTCTACAGAGTTATTCGTGCAAAATTTCCAGAGGAGCATCGTTTATTCACGGACGAGAACAGTTCAGTTCACTGCCTGGCTGTTTTGAATCGTGATTGTCCGGATATGTTTGTTCTGTTGTATGTGGATAAAAACAATGATAGTGCTGTGAGTATCGTAATATATAGATTTAGCCAAGCCTAACAGTGGAGCTCGCATTTTTTTCCCCGCACGTCTCAAGGGCACAACGCCTTGCCCCGGCCAGGACTAGAGCTCGGGTTGTCCGACTCGGAGCCCAGTGCACTGACCACTGGACTACTGAACAAAGCCGTGGCGTTGGCGCGCCCGCGGTACACTTGACCACGCATGTTAAAAGTAGCACCTTGTACGGTCGAACGGTGGTACATCCAAATTTTTTCGGCTGGATGGGTTACTACTATTTTGTATAATTATGGGGCTACGCTCTGCGAGCTCCGCTATTAGTGGCTCCCTATGTTGTTATTTGTGTTGCGCACGAGTTTAACACATTTCAACCTGTTAGTTAGAATTTTGTTTCTTTGTTCATGGTAATGTTGATGTACGTGATAATATCTGTTTATGGGAGAAAATCACATACTACTATGAATGGCAAAAGTCTTGGCACACTCTTCTAATTTTTGAATCGTTCTATAACTCTCCTCTATCTCTCCCTCCCCCTTCCCATTTCAATGTTGCCTGGTGCCAAAATGGTCACCACGAGCCAACATTGATTGGCAGGAAAGAAAGGACCTTCAAGAAAATTATTAGACATGAATAACAAGATTTATGTTTATCGTGTTGATTGGAAGGTTGTCGGCCACTTACTAAGGGAAGGCGTGCTATCTACTTTTGCCAATCATTGTAAGTAAGACAACGGGAATTTCAAGGGATGGGTGGGTGTGAAGAGCAGTGTTTGACACCCATGTGGCCGAAACAGTGTATAACTACTTCGGATATCTTACATTTAAACTACACCGATTAAGCTTTAATTTTCCACGCAGGATATTTATGTTGTCTTCCGTGAGGATTTGTCAGATGATAAGGAGATCTCATACAGATCACGTTTGCTCAGAAAGGAAGTCAGAAGTCACGTGTACGGTGTGATAAACGCTATGTGCTTCCACATGTGGACAGGCTTACTTCCGGTGTGACAATGGTGCAAGTGACCGGAAGTTCTGTAACAATTGCGAAGATGACAGCAATGGTGGTGCGCATTTTAGCAGTCATGTAATTTTCACTTTATTTTTTGTATGGTTTTGGCCTGTCAATGGATAGTCAACGAAAAGATGCTCGCTTGTAAGTTATGTTTAATTTATTTTTTGAAGTCTTCACTTGCGAGTTCATGTCGCTCAAAGAGATGCCTCGATAGCTTTTCAGTCCATCACAATTACGAAAAGGAGGTCTTAATGCGTCTAGTAGACCAGTAATGCTGGTGACTGTATGGAGGGACACAAAAGGGGAGGACGAAAGGTTGTTTTTCTTTTTGTATGTTCTTGGCTCTGGTATGACGTAGAAAAGACCCCTGCCATCCCCTCCCCCCCCCCCCCCCCCCCTTCTTGTTAAATTATTGTTTACCCCGTAGGAGTAATTTGTAATGGTCTTCTTCAAACCACGAAGGGGACAATTTAAAACATCGTATCAATTATCAAACTTAATTTTATAAAATAAAATAAGAGTTACATTATGAGGGAAGAAATAAATTTCAGACATTATGCCACCCATAACATCTTTTCACTTTCCAATTTAAGGTTACTTTATCTGGAATTAAACATATTAAAGAGATAGCCCACACACGCCTGCGCTAGGTTTTATTTCAATATGTTGTTAAATTGTAGATTCCCATCTAATGTGTAGGAATAATGATAAATTATGGGTGCAGTAATTTTTTAAATGAAGTGAACAAGAATTTTTAGATATCTTCACAAAATAAATTTATTATAGATATTTTGGGGTTTGACCTCTCTCTTTTCGCCGATAAATTATTTTAAAATGAAATACTATGTACCTCCGCTCTATCGACGGTTTAACGCTGGAAACGTCAGCTTTAGAAATCCTTTACGATGGCCAATAGGCCATTTTACAGTTGTGTACTCAGTTGCCAAGCCTTTGTTTTGGAGTGAGGTTGAAGGTGACCTTGTTGTGATAGAGACCAGTATCTAGTTAGCATGATAACAAAGTAATTTGCATTTGAAAAGCAGCAAGGTTTGTAGCATAACAAGGTCACCCTTAGCCTCATTCCTGTTCAAAGGCTTGGCAACCAAGCTCACAACTGTAAAATGGACAATTCACATCATCATCAGTTGACAAAAAAAAATTATCTTGCAATACCACCACCGACGCAGCACCGCAATTTCTCAAGAAGTCTACCCGCCTTAAATACGTCCTTTAAGACTGAGTGGGAACCGAAGTCTTGAACTACGAACTGGGCGCGGCAGGGTGATTTTTATCTTGAGTATTCCGATAAAAGTGCGCGTAGAGCCACTCGGGTCGTATAATAAAATGATCGGCATTTCCCTGAAAACAACCTGACAACACCGTCAACTTTGATTCAACCCGTGCATGGCCATTGCTTAAGTGAGATCTTTAAAGTAAGGGTTTTCCCAACCTCTCTTATTTGATCAATGCAGTGAAGATGAATTGTACACATTTCTTAACCTCACAAAGCCTATAACATTTGGTTACTACTATTGGGTTTGATATAATTCTTTTGCACTTGATATACATGAACCAGTACATATCGATGAAATACAGTGCGCTATTTAATTAGCACTTCCCTGTTTACCCATTACGCCCCAAAATTCACATTCTCCAAACTCTTCTCATCACATTTCTTATGGTACTGGCGAGGAGAATTTGTTCGACAATCAGGAGTCTCTTACACTTGTGACTATTTCTTTTAATTTCATGAACTTTACATTTAATTCCAGGGTGATAATGTAGGGGGGGAGTTAGAACACAGTCGAGCTAAAGGGTCAGACATCTATTTTGATTTTAATCTTATTTAGTGATTACATGATTGAAATCTTTCTTTACTTTCCTCCTTTCCGCTCCCTTATCTGGAGTTACGGGGCTGAAAAAACCTTACGAACTGTGGAAACGAAGTAGCTACCGTGAAAGAACTTGCTCATGACATCTTAACGCATTTACATAACTTAAGTAACATTTAAGAATAAAAGGGTTTTGATTGTATTTACACGACGAAGGTAAGGGTAAGGGCACAGCTGTTTTGCAGTGTCGCCTCCAAAGATGTGGAACTCACTGTCCAGAGGCTTGGATGTTTGTTACGGACTGCGACAGAGTGGCATTGTACTCCTTGCTTGTACACCTTGCAAACGAATTTCTGATCTCTGCACTCAGAAAGATGTAGAAGAATGGATGAAATAGGCTCCGGCTCTGATACAGGAAGGTTAAGACAATCACCACCCTGTAATCCACATTACGCCAATCTACGATTAAGAGAGATTCCACGGCGGTAATGGCACTCCAAAGGATCAGGTACAACAGAAACAAGGCGCACGAGACGTGCAGCACTTCCAAGTTGAGGAGGTGGGTTCCTCCCCTGAAAGACCCAGCCATTGCAGGTGTCGGGGTTGGCAGTCTTGGCTGGGTGCTCACCGGCATGGAGGATACCTTCGGCGTAGGGTGGATGGAGTTCTTTTGCAGGATGGTTACGGTGATCGCCAGAATAGTGAAGAAAATTGCAGGGCCGAGAGTGATCAGAGTATGAAAAGTAGAGTAGGAAAGGGTGGCGAGGTTGCCCTTCTCCCAAGACAGCCAGCATGTTCCTTCAAACTTGTCATAGGCTCCCCATGTGTTTGGATTCAAGGGTGGAGACGCCAGGAAACCTGCACCGAACCAGATCGTGAACATCAGTAGACGGACAACGGGCTTGTTGATGAAAAACATACAGTAGGCACTCGGGGACTTGACATACAGGAATCGGCTTATCGCAATGAGAGCGACTGTTGCAAGGAACACTGTTGCCAGAGTGTTGTGGAAGAATCCCTGGATGCGACATAAGAACGGTATCATTCCCAGCCCGAAAGAATCGACCCAAACACCTGTAGCCCAAGGTCCGGCTGTTACCAAGGCACTGACAATGTCGATAACCATGAAATTTTGGATGAACATGTATGGTACAGTTCTGAGTCTTATCGACGTTACTATGATAAAGACTAGGTTGAGGAGAAAAGCTAGAGAACTGATACAGGCAAGAACTTTTAATTGAGCCCAGACGGTGCTCGCCTCCTGAGGCTGCCTGAACAGAGGTACAGGATCTGTAGGAGTGTAGCCGCCGGTAGTGTTGGTAGTGTTGGAGTCATTTCTTGGGGTAAAGGTTGAATTAACCTGCAAATCGTTCCCCATTGTCAAACTTGCTATGGGAACTGAAATAAGGCGAGAGAGAATACAACAATAAGATTTCGATGGCCTTAAATGAAACCGTTCAGAACATTCTATATTCGTTATAACATTTTCCTAGCAAGAAGTTTTCCATCCCCCACTGTATCCTAATCCTTGTTGAAAATCATTCCTCGTGGCTTTCACACCTGTTAATAGAACTGAATGGCTAGGAATCGTTTTGTTAAATTTCTTTAGCTTGAAAAAAAACTAATTAGATATTTCGTTTCCATGATTGCGATTTTGCTCCCGTAATGTTTTTTCACCCCTTGTCTCTAAACGCTGTCTGGTTTGCAATGTTAGTGTGGCCGAGAGGGGATCCGAAGGTTTCTGTGTTACACTTTTTCAAGCGAGAAGTGACACCTTTATCATAATGAAACAAGCTCTTCTACTCCCATTATCTAGAAGGCATTTGATTTAAAACTCCTCCCTCACTTTCGCAGTGACAAAGTATCTTTCTTACGCCGCCATCTGGTCTAAGAAAAACAAAATCAATCTTCCCATCCTGTGAGAAACAATTTGTAAGTGTAGTTTTGATTACGCATGAACTTCTAAAGTTACATTTCTTTGTGTGCCAATTGTTCTATTGGCAATAAGAACCTAGGATTTTAATTAAACTTTCACCGCTTGGTAAACAAATTAGTCTTTCCTCGGCTTGGGCTTTGTCTTTCTTACTAATAAGCCGCAAAAAGGCTAAGTGGAAATGCACATCAGATATTAAAAAGCATCGTCGGTTTTTCTTTGTTCCAATTTTGTTAGCTTTTTGAGAAAGAGAACCTTAATACTTTACAGCCAATACGCTTGGGTACCGAAGGGTTGCCCCCTCTGACAATTTCTAAAAAATTTGACACAAAGTTTTTGCTACATTGCCCACTAAACAAAGGGACAACCTTCGAGTGAATCAAGACAGGAGTGGATTGCCCTTGTAATTGATTTTGACATTTTTGTTAAATTTCTTCCCATTTTTTTACACGTAGAAAGAGAAGGAAAGCTGTGGTCTAAAGAGGAACATGAGAGGTTCTCAATGTCTTGTAAAGAAGAATTAACATCTTTACTCATCAAATTTAATTTCTGGTTATCAATGCGCTTGCTGGAAGTATCGCAAATAACAAGCTATATGATAAACTGAACGAGCATCCTTCGACATCATAGAAATTTCTCTATCTTGGAAATAGATCGATTTGTGAACAAATAAGAGCAAATATTTCACGACTTTCGAAATGATATCCCATATTCGCCTAATAAAATCGTTGATGCACGCCCGATAGTTTGCAGGAATATTTTCAAAATAGTTTTATTATAAAATAATAATAAAATAATAATTTTGCCGGTGATTTGTGCTTATCGTTAATTCTGCAGTAATCTATGACAAATCTTCTGTTAAAATATGGAACCACGGAGAAATAAAGACTCTGCCATTCTGCCATTCAGTAACCCTTATTAACCGTAAGGTTTTCGAGTGAGATTTTGAGAGACCATTTCAACTGGATAGAGCAACACCCTTACCTTGTTTGCTGATTTCTTCGATCTTCTTCCAGGTGTGTTGGGACTTTGAGATTGAAAAAATTTAATGGGAAAAACTCTCTCCGCTAACCTTTCATCTAAACCTGTTGAACCGCCCTTCAAGTTTCGTGACCAGAGGCGATCACCAGCTAAACTGAAGTTTTTGGTAAAAACTCACTTTTTTCATGATGCGGGGAATATATTTGCTTTCTATTAACGATGGTGTTCCCATATCCCACACACCGGGTCATTGTTGCACAATAACAAAAGTTAAATTGATTAAACTTCCTTCTCTTTGGAGGTACACTAGCTTTTGAAAGTCATTGACGTGAATGGCTCATTTTAGTCCTCAAAGTGCAAGCCGCTTTTTTCAATTAGTTTTAAACAATTATGAGCGTGCCTCTTCAAAGAATCATCAGTGACAAAAATTTTCTAGTTTTAATTTCAAACTCAGCTGCTTTTCTATGAAAGATGAACATTGTGCATCCTGGGAGGCGGTTGACTCTTATTTCTACCACTACGTTTGTGGCGAAAAAAGAAATTATTTTCTCTTTTGTTGGGATCCTTACTCGGCTGTTCCAGGATCGTGCGGTTACAAGCGACACTGATACCATTTTCTGGCTCTCTACGACGGAGAGCATCGTACAATGTTTTCTCATATTGAGCTATATCGTTATATGAACCTCGACGAACGATGAAATTTTTAGGGAGACAGGAAATTTAGTGTCTAAATTTGAATGGTTGAGATGGTTAGACGTTAGGAAATCCTCTGAATGAGACCCCCCGCCGGCGTATTCAGATTGATTTTAACTGGCAACTGACTTTGATAGGATACAGCTGGGACCTGCAGGAAAAGTGATTCATAAAAACTGGGAGAGTGATCAGTCGATGCCTTGCTGTTACCAAATTGAAAGTCAGCCGCTGGAGCTCGACACCTTTTTTACAAGTAGTTCACTCCTTTGTCATTATTCATCAGTCCTATACAAACAACCTATATCCTCAGACAAATTGAAAATTCTCCTTCCAAGTTAACGATCTGAATGCTCATCTCTTCATCTGAGATGCGCTAAACAACCCCCCAGTGACGTGCCTCACATAGTCTTTTATCAGATATTACATAGACATCTCACGCATTGTTTTTATTTCGTCCTCTTTGGTCGCAGTTTACACACACAGAGATTACAATTACTATCCTACATTACCTAAAATTCAAGAATATATATAGAATATCGTTGTTAAATATTAACAGTACTTACAACCGATCTTACTTACAATGCTCTTACTTATGGAGCGACAGTCGAGCCAGTAAGTGGTACTGTATCAAGCGGTCACCCTCGGTCAAACTCCCAAAATTTTTATACCTTTAATTAATATAATTTTCACCTCTATTGAGGGGTCGTGAACACCCTTTACTAAGTTCCAACAGCTGCAAGTAATATCCTTCACCTATACTGAACGGTCACTGACAGCAGAACGACTCAAATAAAACTAAGAATAGTCTTTCCAGTAAAATTAAATCCATTTTATCTCCCGAAAACAACGTAAGCAGTATTTTCGAGCGAGTGATGTGTGCACCTTTAGTATAAAATCGGTTTTTTAACATACCCCTATTCTGCTGAACCTGTCTTAAGCGGTGACCCCGCCATTCCCCTGTTCGACTGTAATTTAAGTTACAGCAGTTTTCAATGCAAGGAATTTTTCAGGATACTTTCAGAGTAGTATTTGCAATTACAAACAGAAACTGATACAAGTTTAGATAATCAACAGAATAACAGATAAAATACGTATTAGGGTGAGGGAAAATCGTCCGAAGCAAAACCAGCAGCACGCTTTTCTGTCGTCTTCACAAATGGGAACCTGCGAAAAAGTTCTACTCCAGGACACTGCCTAACATTGTAGCATCTTTGTGCTCTGAAACGCTTTGTTCAGTCGTCAGTGTTTTACTAAACGCAGAATTTTGCGTGGAGACCGCTAGTCGACCTTCATCATTCGTTGTGCGTTTGCTTGCTCCATTTCCTGTACAGTTCTGGTTTACATTATCGTTGCCATACCGACCACAGCTTAGGGCTTTTTTGAAGGCCAGCTGGAACTGTGGATTCATTATTCCATAGATAATCGGATTTACATAACTACTCGAGAACATCAGGTAGATAACTGTTGCGAAGATTTCTCTCGGGATTTTGCACCCGGCAGTCTCAATAACAACCACAATGGAAACTGGACCCCAGGTCATCACAAAAACACAAACCACAGTAAAACTTGCCTTCAACAATTTTATGTCCGTACGGCGAGCATTGACACACTGATTCCCTACGTTGTGCGCGTTTAAATTTAGCGAGCTTTGTTTCACTGTTTGGTATATTTTATAGTAGCAATAAAATATTGCAACTGTACAACCGTTTACAACCCCACCAACAACTAATAAGAGGTACGAAATTTGTTCTATCTTCCAACTGAAAGTACAGACAGAGAATTTCGCGTGAAATTCAAACTTTCCCCATCCGTACAACGGAGGTGTGGCGCATAGGAGAGCAACCAACCAGACAAGAACACAGTAAAACCAAGCAGTTCTCTTGCTGGGAAATATTCTGCTATAAAGGGCTGGTTTTACAACTCTTATATATCGATTTAGTGCAATTACGCCCATATTTAGAATGGAAGCGATACCCAGCGTAAATTGTATCATTGCAGATATCTCGCACCACCGTTGGGAGAAATTCCAAGCTCCAGTATAGAGGCTCACGATCCAAAATGGCATGTGAAGCGTCGCCATGGAGATGTCAGTTAGTGCCAGATTGCGGATGAAAGTGTTGGTGATACTCTTGAGCCTGGAGTCTTTATTAATCACATAAATAACAAGCAGATTTCCAGGTATACAGGCAAGGCAAACGAGAATGGCCAGGCTCACCTCGAAACCAATTTCAGTGCGCGAACGACCAAGAGGATCTGTAGCAATTGAGTCAGAATTGTTCACCATTTTGTGGTGAAGCAGGCTGGAAGATAAAAGGGCCTAAACATCAAGAGATAAACATCAATCAACACAAAGCATCAAATAAAGAGTGCTGACAATAGAGGACCGGAATTCACTTTTTGTTTGAAAGAATAAAACTTACTACTGATTATGTTCTTGCGACCTGTTAGCTGTATACACCTTGAGAAATCATTAGCATTTATGATTAAGAAAAGCAACGAGTGTTTTAATAGACACTTCTAATTTTCATCAACGCTTCTGGTGGTGCGATTATTCTGTGGAGAGTGAGACCGAGGACTGAGATTAACATGAAATCTGTTTCGGAGAATGAACAGTTTATTGATCACTTCCGATCAAATTTGCTTTTATCTCCCATATATTTAAGCATGATATTGAAAAACGTTGCCGAAAATTGGGGGAAAAAAAGATGGGTAAAATTTCCGCACAGCCCCATCCTACATTATGCATTCAGTTCTTGAATAGAGAAAACAATGACAAAAACAATACATTTCTATTGGGAAAACAGATTTGTTTTGCAATAGTATGGGGCTGTACGGAAACTTTACCAAAAGATGTAAAATGTCCCTTTGTGTCCAGGCTTGCCAACGTTATCCAAGGTTGTTTCACATTTTTTCCTCACCCTTTAGTCGTCAATTCATGCATTAATGAAGACATTTGGAGTTTTCTAGTTGATTGAAACATCTTTTCAATGTACTAAGAGAGTTAAGTTTATCTGTTCCAGTTTTTTGCGAATCTTACTTTGAAGTGGAAGCACAAAATAATTATTTACAAGCGAAATACTCAAATTTGAAATTCAGAATTACATGCTTTCAACTCCCGAGGAAATTTGTTTTGATTTTTTAATTCTCGCATTTGTGTTAATCAACTTGGGGCGAGAAGCAAATTCAAATTTGCTTGATTGAACTGTTATTGCTTATCCCAAGAAAGAAAAATAAAGGGCTTAATTAGTAATCGAGGCCCGTTGAGCACTTACCGGTACTGCGGTGAATCACTACTATAACTTACCAACTAGCTTGAAGGAAGATCTTCTAACGAGGGTGATTTTTAATCACGGAGCACTTTGTCAAACTTTATAGTGCCTGGTTAAAATAAACATCAATCTAGATATTGAAATTTCTAAAGTCTGCTCTTCTTCGGTTCTTTGGCGATGTATTCAACCAAAAAACGTGGCCGGCCTTTTTAACCTTCGACAATTTTCAACCAGTTTACATGAAAATGCATATAATGTTTCTTTTATAATCCGCGGTTACTCATTTACTGTGTTATTATTTGCTGGTCTATAGGTACAGCTTGCACAACAAAGCCACAAATAGATTTTACACTATTCTATATAATGGTGCCTTGCATCTGCTCTTGGACAGATCCCACGCGGGACAATTTTTGGAGAATTCATGGGCATGCCACAATTATCAGGCAAAAATTTCCTTTCCCCTTTGACAGCAAATTTCTTTGCATGCAATGTGAAGCCAGAGGCTTTGGCTCTCCTCGATGGAAATTCAAAAGAAAATCAAGAATGCTTCTCATGTGTGATTAATAATAAGGCAAAGGTCTTGCATTTATTAAGAAGAAGCGGTTTCAAGCGAAAAAGAAAATTTTTTTGAAAGTTACCTTTGGAACTTTTTGAATCTTTACTACTCAACCAGGCCCACTATTCAACTCACCTTTTCCTGCAATGATATTGATATTTGAAACCTTCGCTTCGTACTGATTCAAACTGAGACAGCGTAATCAAAGTCTTCTTCTATCTCACTAGTATCTAATCGCAAGTCACTGACCAAGGGACGTTGAAAAAGAGAAAAAAATCCTTTTTACGACATTTTATCCACGAGAACATTCAAATGGATGCAGCTGCAAAGTGAGTGACCCTTCAGGGAGAACATTAATTATTACTCGCTTCTCTGAAAATAAACTATCGCAAATAACGCACGTATCATACAAGGCAAATATTAATGGAGCTTCCGCGAGGTGCGAATTGACTATTTTGTTTTATGAGTGATTTGTTAGTTTCTGTCAAGTTTCCGCATTTCTCACCGCTATTGATTTATGGTTCATAATGTATTTTTTATTCACTACTTTGGCTCTTAAAGTGATTAAAACACTAGTGGCCGATTTTGGATTTTGGACCCTAGTGGCCGATTTTGGATTTTAGACTCTAGTGGCCGATTTTGGATTTTGGACCTTAGTGGCCGATTTTGGATTTTGGACCCTAGTGGCCGATTTGGATTTTGGACACTAGTGGCCGGTTTTTGATTTTGGACACTAGTGCCATACTGGCAGTTGACTCTTTACTATCTTGACTCTCTCTACCACCAAATTTGAAGAAAACTAATTACAGTCTGTATTTCTTTTTTCGTATGGACCGGAAAACAACTTTTTCGAGGTAATTTGAATAGTGTACCTTATGAGGCTCTTTACCCCGTTCAAGTTAACTAAGATTTAATGAGAGAGAACTTAAGAGATCGAGCAATAACGTATATTGATAAAGATTTAGTGCCTTAAAATTTTCCATAAAATAGCTTCTATCAGCAAAATGCATAGTTGTGCGCCACCTTTACCCGTTTAATTCCAGATCTAATGAGTAAGTCTCCCTTTTGGTTACTTTGAATTTCCTCTTTGATTAGTTATAAGAATTTAGTTTTGCATCGAGAAAAAACCCTCCGGCTAAAAAGCCTATTTACTCTCCTCCAACGAATGCAGATTCTTTATTACCTGGCTGAAAATACAAGCAAAAAATTTCTTGTTATAAGACGGTTATCCTTCCCCCACCCCACCGTGAAAGGAGGGTGTTGCCAAGGTAAGGGAACGTAGCCATGGGGTACACAATACAATCAAGCTTTTCGTATTCTGAGGAAAATTTCAGACTTATGTTGAAACATCAAACTTAGTTAAAAAACCCTGCAATTTTTTCTTTTAACTTCTCTTTTTTCGTGAATAAGGGCCTGTTTACATGGTGGTGGGGGACCCCAGGTAGGTGAGGTAACCCGACTAGCCGTGGTCGAAAAATAAACGTGTTTACACGCAATCTTAAAACCCCGGGGTGCTGTGGTGAGGTTCCTGGAGGTTTTTGTTGCGCTTGCAATTAAGGAGTTTGAACAGAGGCGTCCCAAGTTCATATCTCGAAAAAGACGAAAGATTAATTCTCGGATACAAATGTATTTTTCATGAAGTGTCACACATTGTGTTACGCGGTGTTTGGCTTCGCAAGGAACCGTTGACTTAATACGTTATACGGAATAGTTTGGAAAACCAAATGTGGTCGATTTACATCGCTAAATATTCTGAAATGTGAACATTTTAAACTCCTTGTGTATCCGTAGCGGTTTCTGGTGATTTTTGCCATGAGACGGCTAGGAAATGAACGAAGATTTAAAACATACATGTTTCGCTTTTGAGCTTTTTGCCATGAACGCAAGCCCGGCTAGGCGGGTTACCCCACCTTGACACGTTTACATGGCAAATTGTCACCCCGGCTGACAGGGTTACCCTACCTGGCAGACCGGGCAACCCGCCTAGGCGGGTCACCCCACATATCATGTAAACGTGATCAAAATAAAATAAGAAATTATATGGACAGGCGGGTTACCTCACCTACCTTGGGTCCCCCACCTCCATGTAAACAGGCCCTTACACAGAAAAATCACCATTAGTGCCTTAAATTACACACATGTTAAGGAGTCATTTCAATTTTCATGTTACTCACGGTACATACAATCAACCGACTAACTCTAATACTCTACCTTATAACACTTATTAAAGTTAAAGAAGGTTGCAATGCAATCTGGGTATTTATTAAGATACTTTAAGTGCAGTATCTGTAGTGATCAACAGAAGCTAATATGCCAGTGTTGATAATCAAGAGGAAGTTTAATAACAGGTAAAAGAAATATTACAGTAAGGCTTGCAATGAACGAAGTGCATGGTTAAAGTGTCAGCCAGTGCACGTCTATTGGTCAGCGGAGTCGAACGGATGGGGCAGAATCACACGAGAGAAAACTGGCGCTCTGCTTTTCCCATCGTCTCTTCAAATTGAGTGTGTAGAACGCTACCACAACACCAGAATCAGATACCTACTACTCAAGATACTGCCAAACATTATGACATAAGTAGCTCTGAAACGCTTCGCTCGGTCGTCAATGTTATACTTCGCGTAGAATGTTCCGCGGACACCGTCAGCCTTCAACGTTTGTCTGGTTCAGTACCTTTACAGTTCTGGCTTACATTATTATTGCCATAGCGACCACAACTCAGTGCTCTTTTGAAGGCCAGTTGTAACTGTGGATTCATTATCCCATAGATAATCGGATTTACATAACTACTCGAGAACATCAAGGAAATTACTGTGGCGAAGATTTCCCTCGGGATATCAAACCCAGCTGTCTCAAAAATAACCACAATACAAACTGGACCCCAAGTCATCAGAAAAAAACAAACCACAGTAAAACTGGTCTTCAACAATTTTATGTCAGTACGGCGAGCATTTGACGCATTGACACCCTGATTTACTTCACTGTGGGCGTTTATATTTAGCGAGCTTTGTTTCACTGTTTGGTAGATTTTATAATAGCAATAAAATATTGCGATTGTACAACCGTTTAAAACCCCCGACGACCACTATAACATACGAAATATGTTCTTTCCAAATTAAAGAGCATGTAGAGAATTTCGTGTGAAAGTCAAACTTTCCCCATCCGTACAAAGGAGCTGTGCTAAAAAAAAAAGCAACCAACCAAACGAGAGCGCAAAAAAACCAAGCATTTCTCTTGCTGGGAAATAGTCTCATATAAAGGGCTGGTTTTACAACTCTTATATAACGATTCAGTGCAATTACGCCCATATTCAGAATAGACGCGATACCCATTGTACATTATGTTAATGCAGATATCTCGCACCACTGTTGGCTGAAATTCCAGGAACCAGTATAGAGGCTCACGATCCAAAATGGCATGTGAAGCGTTGCCATGGATATGTCAGTTAGTGCCAGATTGTGGATGAAAATGGTGGTGATACTCTTGAGCCTGGAGTCTTTATTAATCACATAAATAACCAGTAGATTTCCAGGTAGACAGGCAAGGCAAAAGAGAATGGCCAGGCTCACCTCAAAACCAATTTCAGCGCGCGAACGACCAAGAGGATCTGTAGCAATTGAGCCAGAATTGTTCACCATTTTGTGGTGAAGCAGGTTGGAAGCTAAAAGGTCCTAAACATCAACAGATGAACATCAGTCGACATGTAGCATAATATAAACAGTGCTGAAAATGGGGACAAAAATTTACTTTGTGTTTGAAAAAAGTAAAAACTGCTGCCTATTACACTTTTTACAAAAATTGTAGAAATTCTCGCGAACTCAATGGTCGAGCACTATCGTCAATAAGCCGGGTTATCGACAGTAAAAATGACGCAAAATGTAACGCAACGCTCAGCAATCTCCGGGGGAAAAATTTATCTCGTTAAAACGATTGCAAATTTCTCAAATGTGGACAGTGGCTAATTTCCCAATTTTTAGATAGATATACTTGCAGATAGTTTTGAAGAGGAACTTGTCGAGGCTACGCCTCGTGGTTTCACCTTAAGTCTTGATGGCGTCATTTCTACGATCAGTAAGGCTTTATATAATAAGCTCAGTTATGCACGCATTCTGATTGGTTCTCACGTATGATCTATTGGAGGACAGACGTATAGATGACGTCATCATTAGAACCTCAGTGACACACTCGGCTGCGCCTCGTGTGCCACTTTTTGTTCTTACCACATTTTGACGTCATCTGTGATCTATTACTGAACGGACGCACGGCAACTTGGAATCTATTTGTTAAATAGACAATAGAAAATTGTAAAAAAGTGTTTGAATAGACACTTATTTTCATCAAAGCGTCTGGTAGTGCGATAGTACACAGATGTACGAAAAAGTGAGACCCAAGAATGGAAATACACCTGAAATCTACTTTGGTAAATGATTGGTTACCTTAGACTAAACTTTCTAAAGAAAAAGGGGGAAAAAAAAGTAAGATACCCCTTTGCGTCCATCGTTTCCAACATTATCCAAAGTTATTCAATATTATTTCTTTCCTACCAGACGTCAGTTCTTAAATCAGTGAGAACATATGGAGCTCCTTGGTGGTTTTAAATATCTTTTCGCTGTATCAAGAGAATCAAGCTTACTTGTTTAATCTTTTGCGAGCATTATGCCAATTCGGAAACACAAAGTACTTACGAATAAACGAAATACTTAGGAAGTGCTTAAAAGAGACATGAATGGACTTAGTTATCAAGGTCCTTTGAATTACTTTAATCGGACAGCATATCTTACAATCGCCTAGAAGAAGGATCTTCTAGCTAGAATAATATTGAACACGAAACACTGCTTCCATACCCAATGAAAATAAAAATAAAAATAAAATCACTTCCAACGCCAGCCTGGGGAACGAAGATTTTATAAAATGATATTGTATCGTGTTTCAAGAAAATATATGATACAAAACATAGCTTTTAGTTGACTCGGCTCTCGAAGGATTACTTAGCCTTTGCACAGAAAAGATGTAGCAGTGAACTAGAGTGTATCTATACAATATAAGCTACTCGCTTTTGGCTCTTCTTAATGTAAAATCAAAAGAAAATCGTTTATGCTTATCATATCTTATTTTGGTGTCTCAAAAGTTTGTGGCCAAGTTTCCGGTCCATAGAGCCTTCCAGGAACAATTTCAGTCGCCTGCATACATACATACATATACTTTATTTATGCTCGAAATTCAGTATAGCTGTAGAGCTAATATCTTCGAGAAAATAAGCTAAAATAAAATAAAAATATGCTATCTTACAATTCCAATATCATTTATATTATTTATATTATTTATAAACTATATACAACTATATACTGCATGTCCCCACTTTCTTTTTGTAACAATTTCCGTGCGTAGTGGCGTAGAATAAGCCAACTGATTTAAATAGCGGGGAAGCTTTCCTCCATGCACGGCGTACCCACGTTTTTAGCTCTCGGGGATTTTTTTCTGGATTACAACCTAGCGAATTAGCAGGCTATTTTTTTTTAAAGTTTTGTTTCATGTTCTTACAATAAAATTGGGAAAACTTCTTGGGCACCATGTTGGCGTAGCCTTGGCTTTGTGAGCCGATGCTCCATCTTGTAAAAAAAATATTCTCCTATTGGAGCTAAACAACTTTAATTTCACGGTTTTGTCTGACGTACATCTGCGGCTAAGTAAAGGCTTGACTTCATGTCTAAGTTCATATCTAATGTAATGATTAAATGTTAACGTTTCATTTAAGGAACAAAATTAAGGTTTATTAAACCGTGGCCAGTCACTTCACCTCGTTCTTGGTTTGTCCTCAAAATCTTTGCGAGGTGACCATCCTATCACCTGGAGCTCGCTTGACCGTAATATTTTAGATGTTTCTCGAATCGATATCCCAGAGTACATTACAATTGAGGCTTGTGCCCGTGCATTAGTTTTTTGGCGTGTTTCGTCTTTGTAAATGAGGATAATTTACGAAAACAGGACAATGACTAAACAGGGAAAAGACAGCGAGAAACAGAGAAACGTTGGCATTCACAGTTTGCGCACTTTGGCAGGGAAATAATGTTTTTATAGTTTTTCTCTATTTTTTTTCAATGTTTCATTTTTGAGTAACTTTGAAATTTTAAGTTAATAAAATCAGGCAATTTTTCATAAAAACATAGCTTTCAGAATTCGAAAATAATTATAATATAGGCTTAGAAAAAGGGCACGAACTTCTCAGAAACACCCTGTAGGTCCTCTATTTATGAAGAAAAAGCGGTTTGAGCCAAAAACTATTTTTAAAGTTACCTTTGAGACTGTTTCAATTCTAATGTCCATCTCACCTTTTCCTGCAATGCTGTTGATATTTGAAACCTTCGCTTATTAGACCCTTAGTTATCCAAACTGAAACAGTGTAATTAAAAATCTTCTTATAACACACTAGTTTCTAGTCACAAGTCAACAACTAAGTCACAGCTGACGTTCAAGATGAGAAAAATCTTTTTATGACAATTTATCCATGGGAAACATTCAAATGGATGCAGCTGCAAGGCAAGTAGCCCTCCAAGGAGAATATTACACGCCTTTGTAGAACAAACCATTGAAAACAAAGCATGCACCAGAAAAGAAAATATTATAGGGGCCTCTATAAGATGCAAATTGATCATACTATTATATGCAGTGTTTTAAGAGTTTCTTTCAAGTTTCCACATCACCTACAACGATTGCTTTTTCTATGGAATCGATAGTTATTTTGGGGGGCTAGCTAAATCGCATGTACGGCCAAAACCATGTGTCTTCTTAAAAGCCAGTTTGAACTGCGAATTCATAACCCGTTAATTTTCGAGGATATAAATTTAATAGATGAGTGGATTTAGCAAAGATCTCTCTTGAAATTAAACTCAAAAGTTTCCAACAATAATACGAGGGACAATGGGGACCATGCAATTAAAAAGAAAGAAACCGCAGTGAAACAGTACATGTCTTCAACATTGTTTAAGTCAGTACGATTCTGATGCACAGCGCCGACTCCTTTAACTCCGTTTCGTTCACCGTGGGCATTCATAGTGCAATGGGCATTCTCATTAAGGATTAAAAGGATTTAATTATGTTTAAGGTCTTGGCTACAGAATGGAGTTAATGGTCTGTAGAGCGTTACGAATGTCAATTCAACATAATAGTGGCAAACCAGAAGATAGCACTTGATTGTGGGAAGTAATTGAAGGATACCATTGGATGTCATTTGATTTGGAGCTCACATCTCTTAAGAGTGAAAACTCTCATTCAGAATCAAAAGGATTAAATTAGATATTGAATGAGGAAATAATGTTAGTTCCGGCTACAAGATGAAGTGAATGATCCGCAAAGCGTTACGAATTTAATAGCTTATGTCAAGTGTACATTTTTAACGTGTATGTCATAGACATTTGGAATATAAAAGTAGAAACTTCATTAATGCCCGCCTAGGTATTGGATTTGAACGATTATTGATCTGAGCCCTGCCCAAACCCGTTGCTGATTAATTTCTCGAGATCACGGAGAGAATGAAACGCCCAAAGCAAGATTAAAGAGATATGTATCAGCCGTAAAATTCATTCTTTATTCCTCTAGATCAGCGAAATGCTCGACAATGTCCGGTGGTTTACAATGCAAAAATCGTGTTACCGTAACCGTTAATTCACGAGTTTACACAATGTTTAATCCTTTAGTTTCTCCGTAAGTTCCTTGACAAATGACAGTCCAGTAACTGGTTCCTCATCCGTATATAAGCGAAATATGAACGAGACGAAAGAAAACGCTCAGCGGCGAGGTTTAACCGAGCCGGAATGAACCTCGGTAAAATCACGTGACCTAAATAGCCGGACGGACTGGTCCGATTACACAGGATAACCAATGTCAGAAACTGGCATTTACAAAATAAAATAGGAAAATGAAAAAAACAGACTTCAATCTGAAAGAAAAAGTTGCAAGCTTGATGTGTTCACTACGATTCCATCTCTGTTGAATAAGAGAAGGTTGTGAAAAATTTCAAAAACAGAACGAAGCCGGTATCAACCGATCTCTCTGGGAAAAAGTATTGTACTAAGGCTTTAAATGATAGATCTTCACGCCATAAGTCATCGAATTTCGTTGCTATTCGGATGTATCATAGCAGCTGCAACTCTTTCATGACTCTGATCTTCATTATCGTTGTCATAACGACCACGACTGAATGCCTTTTTGAAGGCCTTTTTAAACTGCGGATTCATTATCCCGTAGATGATTGGATTTGTAAGACTACTGGAGAACAACAAATACACAGATACCTCAGTCACTTCGTGGGGAATGTAGCCTCCAACAGCAATTGTAATAGCGCATAAGGCGAAAGGAAACCATGTAATTAAATAGAAACAAACCACTATGAAACAACTCTTCAAAATATCGATGTCAGTACGATGGAGCCTTGGTGCACCGATGCTATTTTGTACGACATGGGCGTTGACATTATCTGTGCTTTCTTTCACCTTCTGGTAAATTTTCCAATAGGAGTAAAATATTGTTAACGCTGTAACGTTGAAGATTCCTACATGCAGAATGAAAAAAGAAAAGTGTCCGTCCTTCAAGTCGAATGAGCAAAACAAAAAATCTGAGTTAAAGTTCATTTTTCCCCATCCGTACAACGGAGGTGTGGCAAATAACATAGAAGTCAGCCAGACGACACCGCAGTACACCCAAGCAACTTTTTTACTGGGAAAGAACTTGATGTACAAAGTTCCCTTGACGACTTTCATGTATCTATTCATGGCAATTAAGCCCATAATGAACAAGGAGGACGAACCCATTGTGTGTTGTAATGATGCAGAAACTTCACACCATTCCTGGCTCAAATTCCACTTTCTCGTGTACAAACTCGTTATCCAGAAAGGCATGTTAAGGGTCGCCATGAACACATCAGTCAGTGCAAGATTGTGTATAAAAATGTTGGTAGTAGTTTGAAGCTCGGAGTATCTTTTTATAACATAAATAACCAGCACATTACCAAGTATGGAAGCGAGACACACCAGAATGGCGAAGGTTACCTCCAACGAAATTTCTGCTCTCGAGCGAGTTAAACAATCTTGGGAAATTGTTTGAGACATCCTCGTCTGTGACTCAAGCTGTAATATGTACTGATTAGAGGATAATAGGCTGAATTAAAAATCCATGTACCCCACGAAACGTCTTTCTCCTGACGAGAGAAAAAAAACATCTGATACCTCTCCTAGAAATGTTTGATCATTTTTTCTTACTTTCTAAATGTTCTTGATTTGAGCGCCGAGTAGTTGAGACCCATAGCTAACAACGTACAGTCTTCGTGACAGTGGAAAAAAACCGTCAAGAATATATTATTGTTTCTGTTGTTGTTTTCTCCCCTTTTTTTGAAAGGAGACTTCTCTAAATGGAGTCCCGCAAAATCTCAGGGTTGATGGTGTTAATGGGTTTTGTACCCTCGTTGTCAACAAATTCTTAAGGTAAATTTTTTAAAATTAGTTCTTATCTCAAAGAATACTCACGCTTTCTTATAGTTCAGTGAGGCAGTAATGTCAAAATATCTTTGAACCTAAGAGAAAAACCTGGTTGAGACCTTTTTCAAATTTCACTGGCTCTACTTCAACTGAAACTGTAATCATGAAGCTATTGCAGCGAATAGGATGCTTGCTAAGATTTTCGCTTGAAGGTCGGTTTATATAAGGCTTTATTGAATTCAAAACATATTAACACAAGAGAGCCATTATCACTAATTTATTTTTTAAATTCATTTTTAGCCATAATAACTTCTTAGTGTTTCCTTTGTCTGAGCTACTGAAGCAAAGGAAGCGTTTGCTAAGATTTACGTCTGAAAGTTGACTGAAATACAGCTTTATTGAATTCGAAACTCATAGACACATGAGAGCTGTTATGGCTGATTCAAATTCTTCATTTTTTTGTCGCAATCATTTGCTAGTTATTCCTTAGTCTGAGCAACTTCAGCAAAAGAGAATGACAGCTAAGGTTTCTGTATGAAGGTGGACTCAAATACGGCTTTATCGAATTCAAAACTCATAAACACAAGAGAGGCAGTATTCGAAACATATTTACGTAACCTGTTAACTAAACCATTTTTACTAATTTAATTTTAAAATTAAAATCATTTATTGGCTATTCCTTAGTCTGAGCTACTTCAGCAAAGGGGAATGATTGCTAAGATTCCCGAATGAAAGTTGACTTAAATCTGAGCCATAAAAGGCTATTTTAAAAGTTACCTTTCAGATTGTTTCAATTCTCAATGTTCAACTCACCTTTTCGAGTAATGCTGTTGATATTTGAAACCTTCGCTTGTTAGACCCTTAGTGATCCAAACTGAAACAGTATAATTAAAAATCTTCTTATAACACACTAGTTTCTAGTCACAAGTCAACACCTAAGTGACAGCTGATGCTGGAGATGGGAAAAATCCTTTTATGAAAATTTATCCATGAGAAACATTCAAATGGATGCAGCTGCAAGGCAAGTGGCCTTTCAAGGAGAATATTACACGCTTCTGTAGAATGAACTATAGAAGACAAAGCATGTACCAAGAAAGAAAATATTATAGGGGCCTCTATGGGATGCAAATTGATCATTTTGTTGTACCGCAGAGGTCATGGGTTAAAATCCCGTGCGGGCCTGAATTTTTTCAGGTCTTATTTCAACTACTAGTTCAGTAGTGTTTATAGCTGCGAGGATCGCTTATATCTGTTTCTTTACGGCAGTACACATATATGATTTTCATATATTTCCAATCATTATTCACTACTTGGAAGGTTTATCTGGATCCAATATAATAACAAGCTCCCAGTTGGCTTGTTAGCTCATTTGGGAGCTGCGCTGCACCGTACGGGCCTGAATTTTTTTCAGGTCTTATTTTAACGACTAGTTCAGTAGTGTTCATAGTTGCGAGGAAAGCTTATATCTGTTGTTGTACGAGTGTTTTATGAGTTTCTTTCAAGTTTCCACATCACCTAGATCGTTTTTTTTATGGAATCAATAGTTATTTTGGGAGGCTACAATGGCTCTCAAAGTACTATCGATAATCCTAAAGGAAGCAGGCCTTAGCTAAATCGCATTAGGACCCTAATTATTATCATATTTGCATGTACGACCTCAACTAAATGCCCTAGCTCTTAAAAACCAGTTTGAACTGCGAATTTATAACCACGTAGATTTATTATAAGTTCAGTGATGTCATCCAAATAAAGGAAAGTGTGAAACCAGATAGATTAAAAAGAAATGGAAAGAAAACGAAAGAATACAAATAATTAAATGAACAGTTTAACTGGAATGGAGTCTTTTTGAATGTTTGGAGTCGGTCTCTTTTTCCTTATCAAAAGCATATGTTCTGTCATCGGTAAATATCTTCAGGACGAACATAATCAAAGACTGAACAATCTTCACAAGTTAATTTCTATCCTAGAGAAATGCCGCGGAAAGTTTGAGTGCCTTATTTATGAGATGCTTTTAATAAGGAAAAAGAAACCGACCCTGAACACTCAGAAAGACTCCATTCTAGCGAAACTGTTCATTTAATTATGTATATTCTTTTGTTTTACTCCATCTCGTTTTATTCTAATTTGGTTTCACATTTTCCTTTCTTTAGATAGCGTCACTGAACTTAAAATAATTTCACATTTGATAATGGTGACATGTCGTCACCGAAACGTCATGTTTTAATCTCGCCACTATTTAGTATGAAATGTTTTTCTAAATCTTTCGTTATCAGAAACCAGAAGATAATACTCGATTGTGGGAGGTAATTGAAGGATACCACTTGATGTCATTTAGTTGGGAGCTCCCATCTTTAAAGAGTGAAAGCTCTCATTTAGAATCGAAAGGATTAAATTGGATATTGAATGAGGAAATAATATTAGTTCCGGCTACATGATGAAGTGAATGATCTGCAAAGCGTTACGAATATCATTTAAAAAAAGAAAGGAACTACTTGAGTAAAGAAAAAATCTCTCAGCGGATTCAATAGGTTATGTCAATTGTTTAACGCGTACGTCATTAAGACATTTAAAATATAAAAGTAGAAACTTGATTAATGCCCGTCTTGGTATCGAGTTTGAACGATTATTGATATGAGCCCTGCTCAAACCCGTTGCTGATTAATTTTTTGAGATCAAAGAGAGAATGAAACGCCCAAAACATTATTAAAAAATAAAATAAGAAAATACAAAAAGTAGACTTCAATCTGAAAGAAATACTTGTAAGCTTCGTGTGTTCACTACGATTCCTTTTCTGTTAAAAAAGAGGTTGTGACAAATTGCAAACAAGACAGTAAATGACATGACACTATGTACATATAAGACTAAAAAGTACTTTCAATGGCCCAGTAGTTGATGATGAAAATAAAATGTGTTTCTTCATTTTCATCGCAATTTTTTAAAATTTTACTTTTGTTTTTTGACAGCTCTCGTAAGTCTCTTTTATGCTACTTTTCTCGTTACCATTTTCAAGCAATGGCTTAACGTACTAGCATTCTACGTTTGCACGTCAAGTTGTCAGCGGATTTCGAAACTGATGCAACAAACATTTCACATTGCGTAGGTCGATGATCGTTTACCAGAAAGATGGTTTTTGTGGCTAAACCACTTGCTTATCATTCAGACTGATTTGAAAGATACTGTGAACTTATTGACTGAGTGAGAGAGCCAGACGGGAGATTATTTGTACTCGGGTCATGACACGCGGACCAAGCGGTTATTTATGGGATTTTGAACACACAGGTCAAAAGAGGCTTGAAAAGGGCTTTGTCATTTCATCCATCTGACTAGATTAATGCAAGGAATGAGGAAGGAAGAGAAGAAAAACAAATGAGGGAAACCTTAAGTGAGACCTTCTTGGTGATTAAGGCACCAACCATTTTGAGGGAACTGAACCAGCTTCGACGAGAACAATTAGTTCATATTATTCTACCGAGTAAAGGATGCCGCCAAAACTTGTTAAATAACTCAAAGTTTGGAATGTATCGTTCTTTTCATGTTATCACAAAGATTATATTCAAAATGTTACATCAAAATATGAAGTACTAGGCGTTATGCAGGTAAAAATAGTAAAATTATTGTCCAGCTACGAAATACGATTATGCAAACTGAGTTTTTGAAATAATAAAGTGGTTGACTTAATTTTGAAAACTTCATCTCACTGTGGGGGAAGGGATGGGGGCAGGATCACGTGCAAAGTATATCATCAAATGTGGTTGTATTTAAGACACTTTACTATTGTCTCGACTTTTATTATTATTAATATTATTATTATTATTATTATTATTATTATTATTATTATAATCTATGAGACTGAATCCACAGTTCAGGAGGGCTTTGAGATTTTTTTCGTTTATACAACAAAAGTACTTATCGGATGAATTAAGGAAATGAAAAGGAAGAAGAGATACGGCAAATGCAGAGGGAAACAGCAAGTGTGGCATAAATAATTTTGAAGCTTCTGAATCAACCTTAGCGAGAACGATTAGTATATCTACCGAGTAGAGAAGACTTCAAAACTCATTATAAGATTCAAATTTACACTTTATTGTTCTTTCCTTGAATATAAAAAGTCGATCATATTCATATTCTTACATCCAAGATGGAAGATAGATGACGTAATGCAGGTACAAATGGTAAAGAGATTGTCCAGCTGCCACCCGATATTTTAGGATGTTTGAAAAAGTTAGGTAAAATCTTTGTAATGCGCAGACCATGGCAAAGCTACTTTGAATGTATCGTTGGAATCGAGTAAGTGGAAAAAGCAGCAAGGTCAGGATTCCTCATCCCTCTTTTTATAAATAATGCCTTGAAGGCTGGCTTGAACTGAGGGTTCATCATTCCATATACGATGGGATTCAAGCAACATGCTAAGAACACAAGATAACTCGATATCATTAAAGGCAAAGATAATCCTTTTTTTCCGCCTCCCAACAAAAGAACAAGTATTGCCTTTGGGAGCCAGCAAAGCACGACCACGCAAGCTATGCCCAGTGTAGTATGAATGCACATGTTCTCGGCGTTATGAGCGTTTTTGCAAGCGGCACGGTTTGCTCTGGTGCAAATCTGGATTCTGTTTCGTCGAACAGTGTTGTAAATTTTGAAGTAACACCAGCAAATTATGTAAGGAGATGGTTGTGTTATCGCAAGGAAGACCAAGTAGGAAACGTGTAGTCCATCAAATGACCATTCAAACGTACAGAGAAAAGACTGTGGGTAGAACTTATACTTTCCCCATCCATACAACGGTGGACTGCAGATGATGAGAGGCACAATCCAACATAGAGCAAGAAGGATTTTTGGTCTGCTCTTCTTTGCGAAGAAAATGCCATTATACAATTGGGGTTTCACGACCTTGAAATACCTGCTGAGCGCAATGAGAAGTAACGAATAGAGAGTTGCATTTGCCATTGCGAAGAACAGAAACCCTGACACGTTACAAATGATATTGCCAAAGATCCATTGTCCTTTGATCAAGCTTGTGACCCATAATGGCATAATGAGTAATGTTTCGGCCATATCAACGAGACACAAGTTTGCAATTATCTTATTTGTGAAAGTTTTTAGGGTAGGGTTGGTCCTTATGACATATAGAACGATGCAGTTGGTTAAAATTGAGGCCAGGAAGATAATTATAGCTGTAAAGGACTCCAGCACAATTTCCACGCTATTTCGCCCCTGTGAATCTCCATTTAGCGATGAATTTTGGTTTTGTTGATCACTCATTATGGAAATGTCTTGTTTTTCGTTCCTATGAAATAAATTATGAAAGATTAAAATCAGAGAAGCATAGCATAAATATCGCAATACTGCACAAAGAAGTTAAGCTACAGGCCTACTGGAGAGGAGCAATGACAATGGAGCAAGTATACGAAGAATTTAATTATCTTGTTTGCATTATTTATTACATTTTTCCCCTGAGGCAAACGAAAATTGGCCAGATGATAAATAAATGTAGGTCGGTTTAAGTACTCGGGCAAGTTACAGAATATTTCTGAAGAAAATTAATCAGGATTTCTTTTCCTTTCGTGTATGAGGTCAAGATATATGTGTCTAGGTATAAAGAAGTTATTGCATCGTCATACGCTAATTGGCAAAAACGGAATTCTTATTTAGTACACTTACGTTGCAGTATCCCTTATGACAAGGAGAAAAATGGAAAACAATTTCCTGTTTACAGTAAGAATGTATGATTACGCTTTTGGAAACGACTGAAAGGAGAAGATAAAATGTTTGACTTTTTCTCAGGTTGCTGTAAGAGTTACGCTCAAGCTCTTGATCAACTGTGTAATGAGAATGCTGAGCAGTAATGAAAAACCATGAAGGTTTAATAACAATCGAAAAAGTTCGTGACAAAACAATCAACCAACGTACCTTACACCTGAATGAATTTACAACTTTCGGATGTAGAGTATGTTGCGATTCCGCAGGAGAATGAAACCTTTCAGATCAAGACTCCATCAAAGGTATTTTCATAAAATGTTCAACTTCCCTTTTCGTATTACGTGAGTAGGATCGTGATCCGAGTTGACTCATTTAATAGGAGGAATACGCAATATGTGTTATTTATATGCAAATGTGATCCATTGTAAATCATACATGATGGAAGTTGAACACACATGTTTTATCCTGATACACTTAACCATGACCTTTAATCGTTCTAAAACACTGCGTTCGGGACCCTAACAAGAGGAGAAAGATTTATAAAAGATGTATTTCTCAGGCGAGGTAACCTAAATCCATGGTCTTTTCACCCTTTTGACCGATTTTCTGACCTTTTCACATCGATTTTCTTTGCGCGTGATTTGGACAGAGATCCACTGACATGTAGCAATCATGATGACCTGTTTGCTAATGATGACATCTTGAAATATAGATAAATGAAATACATTTATTTGTATACATAATTTCATCCGGCATTTCATCTTAAAGGAGATAGAAGATGGCTGTTATGACCATGTCAAATGTTCAATTATTTTCACACGGATTGTTCAGAATTTCGCAATACGATAAAAGCGTAATGAACAACCAATTTTTATTATTTTGGTTTATTTTGGAAATGTTACAAACACTCACTTCCACATTAAATCAGGATGTTTTCGATTTCATTCATCAGATACCAAAAAAAACCTCAAAGTTATGATTTTTATCTCAATTTTGATTTCATCATTTGTAGTTGCGCGGACTGAATTTTCCCGGCATGCACGGCGTGTACGATGTAATTCAACAGATTTCAACTGAATAACTACTCTGTCCCAGAGTCCATCACGATTGAAATCGCTCTCTCTATGTGCTCGCACTTTGTTTCTCTCTTTCTGTTTTGCTTTCATCTTTCTACTTTTCCCCACTAAGCTCTCAAAGTTCGACTTGTATTATTATTAGAATCATTTTCAGAGGTCATCTTTGATGGCAAACTGATGAAAACAGCTCGCCCCGTTTTTTTTCCTGAACGCTGTCTAATGGTAGGCACGATTATCATCACTTCGCCTCCCGGGAAAGAGTGGCTGTCAGTTTGAAGAAGGTGCACGTGCTCATTTCCCCGGTCAGTGGCTGGCAATCGAGCTTTCAATAACGGCTTCCTTTAATGAGCCTCGCTTTCATTCAAAGAAAAACGCAAATTGAAAAGAGACTTTTTAAAATCATTATCATTGTGTCTTTGCCATTCAATTGAAAGCCATCGCCATTAGGGGTCAATTCCTTTATTGCTGTTTCAGACTTCAGGTCTATGATTTTAGAAACCTCAATTTATTGACTTAAAAGTCCTTCTTGAGGAGAAAAAATTCCTTGATGTTTTTGAGGGACAAACTATCATAGGTCCCTAGAAAATAATACTTTCTATAAACACCACCTTTAAGATCAATCGAAATTGAATCATCAAGACGTTTAAGCTACCGAATTTGCATTCATTTCAGTTTATATACATTATGTGGTATTCAAAGATCTTTAGCGTTTTTACTTAAAGGATATATAAGTTGACTGGAATATAGACAAATCGGTAACACCTTTCTGTAGAAAAGCAGCTAGGTTGCTATGCGATACTGAACTTGAGTTTGAAAACCATGTGGTTGCCCTCGCGGGAAATACGTGCTTTAATGGTTCGTATAATTTCCGTAATTTTCCAGGTGAGGGTTTCATTCATTTTGATACTTTATCTACAATTGTTAGGTTGGTTTTTTTTTTTTAGGCAAATTCGCTTCATTTAGGAGAGTGCTAAACAAAAATTCAACGGAAGACCCGTCAGCGCGGTTTTAACAAGCTGGCAAGCATATTGTTTGGTGATTTAGTATGCAATTAACTAGAAAGCAAATAATTGACTACTTCTCAGCAAAATAAAGAAAAAATTTTCAATATCTATAGTGCTAATGAACAAAACCCTTAGCCGAAAAATACTGAAAGTGTGAAAGAGATTCAAGCGACTTGAATTTTCATGATTTATCGGAAGAAAACTTTTCCTTCATGATTTATTTAACCCGTGATTAAATACATACATTTCATTCTTATGAATATAATTAAAGTGCATATTGAAAGTTTCAAAGGATGTTCATGCAAAGGCGCAAACGTCTAAAGTAAATATGAAATAATCAGGTCATTTGAAAAATTACAGAACTCGTAAAAAAAAGGGACTTTTCTTGTACCAAAAAATTATTGATTGTTGAAATTTCTAACTTCATATAACAGACTCATTAGATATTCATGTTTGTCTGGTTGTGTTCGGTGTTTTTCATTACTGTTTAGATAAATTAAGCATGTTCCATAATGAGACCAAAACACTCTTTTAGTGCGAAATTACATTAGCATTTTGCAGGAAAACTCAGTTAAAATTACAAGCGCAGTTTAAGCGTTGCCATGACATTTTTTTCCAACGTCATGCTTTAGATAAGCTAGGGAAGTGCATATTTAAGAAAGATCCTAAACAGATTAATATTGGTCTTCTAAATATTATCCTTCTGAGTAAAGAGCTGCTACTCCAATTGCTTGAACAAGCTCAGACTTCTTATAGTGATCAGTAAACTACAGCTATATGCTTTTAAAATGATTAAAAATATTTAATTCTCTAAACAGAGAGATAAGAAAGGCCTCGGCCCTGGCAATAGAGATTGCTCTGCTCTGGCTAAAGAGATTGTTGTGTCTAACATGAAAGAATAAAGCGTTTAACGATATGGTTGAATCCCGTTATCCGATCTAGGAAAATGCGTCATCCTTACCTCCATATTTAGCAAAATGGAGGTAAGGGTCCCCAAATAACCAAACTCAATATTGAAAAGTTATCAAAACAGGTATTATAATGGCTTTAGCTCACAAAAGGCTTTAATGCAGCGGTCAAGAATCCTCAGAAATGAGAAACCAGAACCATCTCACAATGCTTGTTCGCTTTATAAAAATGTTCATTTTTGCAAAAGAACTGTTCTTTATGAGATGACTCGCGTTAGCTTAGCATTTTTCAGCCCTTAGGTATCGTGCTTGAGCCATAAAGAGTGATTTAAAAAGATCAGAGTACTCATGTTTGTTATGGTGTAGTTTTTGATAAACGAAAAACCTTGCAAAAATAAACAATTTCTGTGAAACTAGATCACATTAAAATGCTCGGTATGTCTTACACGTACTGAACTGACTTTAAAACTGCTTTATGATAAAAATGGTTATATAACAGCACGACTCTTTCTGTTTCGTGTTCTTCATTTAAGTTCCAATTTCTTACCTTTGTCTTTGTTGGATTTGTTAAGTTCCAAGCCAAAAATTACTGATGTGACCAAATCCTTAAGCTTGATTTGCGAAATCGCCTGGTAAACTTTCTGGTGCGAAGACAAATGCATGGACTCCTTCAATGTTGGCTAAAACTGTCACGTCCCCCATGTTTACTCAGTTGAAAGCGGAACTTCAAAAGCACACATATCGATTACTGTCTTCTCTTGATTATTCGGGTATAATTATAAATTTGCTCCTTCTTTCATGCTTATTAGTTTGCTCATACACCAGGCAGGAAATTTAATGTAGACTGTGAGTTGCAAATAAGTTGCGCAAGAATAGGCAAAATTAAAATCGGAAAAGTGGAAATTGTAAAGAGGGAATTTTATGAGAGCGGTGCGTATGAAAAAGATTGTGAATACCACCAGCAGTTAAGGCACCTGTTCTTTAAAGTAAATATGATTGCAAATATGGCTAAAAAGCGAGAAAGAAAGCAAATATAATATAGGTTCCTTTCGCATTGTTAATTTTTGATGTTTGGTGCCAAACTACTAGACACAAATTAAAATTACTCAACGTTTTCGAAGAAGGCACTGCGACGGGGTGTACTTTTAAAAAGTAGTTTTGTTACTGAAGATGCTACAAATTGAATACCTTTTGCAAGCTATTGCAGTGAGCGTGAAACAGGACTGTTTTGTAGGTCATCATGGTAAAGGTAAAGCCATTTTCATCAGAAATTTAGTCTGGAATTTTCCCTTTTGCCGTGTTATCTTGATAAAGACAGTGAAAATGTGCTCCACAGCTTGAGTGCGAGAAATTCAATCCGCATAGACCCTTTATCATTCCGGAAAAAAGGAGCCTTCGTTTTTCTAAATTTGAAAAGGAAGTTAATTCCTTTTGGTGAGCTTTCGCGTAAAGTGGAAGACTGTCTTTGGATCAAGACGCCGCCCTTCTATAACCAGTAAAGATTTGAAAAGTTTACCTGAGACTGCTTCTAAAACTCGACTGATTTCTGTCCGAATTCAATTTATTCAATACCATTGATATTCAGATGAATGCCTACTAGCACTTTGTCTTCAGAGATCTGTCATTATTCAGTGTGAAATTTCTCATCTTGTCTGGAATATAGAATTATGATCGTTACTAACGCTAGAGGGTTCAACTTTTAGCGGACGAAAATATCCTCAGCTACAGTATCATCAGTAGTTTTTAAATCTTTGGGAACATGAATGTTACATTTTTTTTTTTTAAATTTTAAAAATTGAAAACAAATTGATTACTCTTGGAGCTTAAAGAAAATGGCCCCTAAGTACAATCAATCGTAGAATTCTAGAGGGAAAGAAAATTTGTAATTTGACTAAATTTATCAACAGCTGGGAGTACGTACCGCGAGCTGAAATTGTTCCCGACCATTCATCGCCACAGTCAACATCTTAAGTCCACAATGTATTGGGGAGGGATTCACAAACCAAAATACATACCGCCCACAATTTTCATCAAAACGGAAAGAACCGCGTGAGCCTAATGGTTTAAACTGCGGTAAAATGACGAAACTGGCGAGTAACAGAAATCAGGAACCCCTTGATCGAAAACAAAACAAAACAAAAAACAGGAAGCCAGGAAAGGAAAAACCGAACACCGAAAACCGAGTTTTTTCAAGTGCAAAAACCGAAATTGATCGCTATAAACGACACACTCAGTCTTTACATAAAGTCATATGACATATGGTGAAAATACAAAAGTTAAACAAGGAAGCAATTTGGAATTTAATGAAATGCTAAATATATTTGCGGAGGTAAAATACTCTCACGAAACTTCGGCTGCCATCAAATTTCATGTTACAACAAAATTGCTCTTGTATTGTGCAAACAGGAGAAGTGTTTCCTTAACCCTTTAAACCTTAAGAGTGACCAGTATCTAATTTCTCCTTACAGTAATACTACTGAATCATTCATTGAGGTCATGAGAATAAAAGACATGATCACCAACTTAAGAA